TATATAGTTATTAATTAATTTAGCCGGTCAATAAGCAAATTCTCTAAGACGATAATTTATTGATTTCAGTATTTTTTATAATTTGTAAAATAACAAATACGATTTAAAAATAAAAAAGATAAAACATAATTAACATGCCATTTTTAAAAAAAAAAAAATCAAGACAATAAAATATATTGGAATATAAAAATGCTATTAAATTTATTAATAAATATCAATGTCTAATATTTTTATTTATATTATTAGTAGTAGTAGTACTTAGTAGCATAGTAGCAGTAGTATAATTTCGATGTTTTAGCTTAAAAAAATACATAAATAAATTTGTGAGTTTATGCACATTTGTATATATTCTAAAGACCGTCGAAGACCGTCAATGGGGAGAGAGACCATCGATTTGTAATTTATAGATATTGACGGTCTCATGGTATAGTTTTATGTGTACAAAGGCCGTCGATTGTAGTAGACGGTTGATTAGCAGGTTACTATACATATCGACGGTCTCGTGATTATACATGAATTTAATGGATATTATATAGTTATTAATTAATTTAGCCGGTCAATAAGCAAAACCATGATTTTTCTCTCTTTATTCTTTTCCTTTTTATTTTTTGTTATTTTTTATTTTCTTGTTTAAGGTCTAAGATTTTATGTTACATGAACTCCCTATATATTATTATTATAAGTAGTAGTATAATCTCGATTTTTTAAATTTAAAAATCTATAAAAATGTGTTAGTTTACGCACAATTGTATATATTCTAAAGACAGTCGAAGACCGTCAATGGAGAGAGACCGTCGATTAGTAGTCAAATACCAAAGACCGTTGATTGTAGGAGACCGTCGATTAGTAGGTTACTATACGAATCGACGGTCTCCTGTTCTTCATTTATGTAGCCAGCCAATAAGCATTTTCTTTAAGACGATAGTTTATTTGTGTCAATTTTTTGATGATTTGTAAAAAAAAAGCGAAAAAGGATAAAATATAATTAAAATGATTTTTTATGACTGTCAATTAATCGATAGATCATTGTTATTTTTCCAGATTTTCCCCTTTTTGTATTTATGAGTTTTCTTTTTTTTGTACTTTTTTTAAATATCAACTTCTTCGATAATATTATCATTTGTATAAGTAATAGTAGTATACTCAGAATTATTTTAACATAAAAATGTTAATTTGTTAGTTTGCACACAATTGTGTAAGACCGTCGAAGACCGTCAACAGGAAAGACCGTCGATTATAGTCAACAGTAGTTTGATAAATATCGACGGTCTCGTGGAGACCGTCGATTAGTAGGTTACTATACAAATCGACGGTCTCGAAGTATTAATTTATGTAGCCGGCAAATAAGCGTTTTCTCTAAGACGATAGTTTATTGATGTCATATATTTTCTGATTTGTAAATAACTGATAAGTTTGAAAAAAAAGTTAAAACATAATTATCATGACAATAAACTGTTTAAAGACTAACAATTTGTTAGATAGGTCATTGCTTTTTTCCAGTTTTTTTTCTTTTCCTTTTTTCTTTTTATTTTTACATCAACTTCATCGATATAATGGTCATTAGTAGCAGTAATAGAAGTATAATATCATATTTTATAATAATAATTTGTAAGTTAACGCACTATTGTGTAAGACCGTCGAAGACTGTCAGCAGGGAGAGACCGTCGATTATAAGATTAAACATAATTAACTTTTTTTTTTTTAAAGACTGTCGATTAGTAGATAAACCATGTTTTTTCTCTCTTTTTTCTTTTCCATTTTTTCTTCTTTTTTTTGTTATTTTTTGTTATTTTCTTGTTTAAGGTCTATTTTTTTTTGTTACAAGGTACATCAACTCCATCGATTATTATTTTTAATATTAAGTAGTAGTATAATTTCATTTTTTTTCTTAATTCAAAAAAATGTGTTAGTTTACGCACAATTGTATAATATTCTAAAGACGGTTGAAGACCGTCAATAGGGAGAGACCGTCAATTAGTAGTATTATAAATATCGACGGTCTCGTGGTATGGTTATATCTCCAAAGACCTTGTAGGAGACCGTCGATTAGTAGGTTACTATACGAATCGACGGTCTCGTGTTATTCATTTATGTAGCCAGCCAATAAGCCTTTTCTCTAAGACGATAGTTTATTGGTGTCAAAATTTGTTGATGATTTGTATAAAGATTTTCCTTAAAAAGGAAGATTAAACATAATTATTATGATTATTTTTGATGACTGTCAATTGATCGATAGTTCATTATTTTTCCAGTTTTTTCCCCTTTTGAATATATGATTGTATTATTTTTTTAATATCAACTTCATCGATATTGTTATCATTTGTATCAGCTATAGTGGTATACTCACATTTTTTTTAACATAAAAAATGTTAATTTGTAAGTTGCACACAATTGTGTAAGACCGTCGAAGACCGTCAACAGGAAAGACCGTCGATTATAGTCAACAGTAGTTTTATAAATATCGACGGTCTCGGGGAGACCGTCGATTAGTAGGTTACCATACAAATCGACAGTCTAGCTCGTGGTATTATTTTATGTAGCCGGCAATAAGTGTTTTCTCTAAGACGATAGTTTATTAATTGATGTCATTTTTTCTGATTTGCAAATAACTGATAAGTTTGAAAAAAATGTTAAAACATAATTATCATATGACAATAAACTGTTTGAAGACTAACAATTTGTCGGATAGATCATTGCTATTTTTCCAGTTTTTTTTCTTTTCCTTTTTTCTTTTATTTTTACATCAACTTCATCGATATTATTATCATTATTAGCAGTATTAGAAGTATAATCTAAGACCGTCAAAAGGGAGAGACCGTCGATTATAGTCTACAGTAGTTTTATAAATATCGACGGTCTAGTGGAGAACGTCGATTAGTAGGTTACCATACAAATCGACGGTCTCGTGGTATTAATTTATGTAGCCGGCAAATAAGCGTTTTCTCTAAGACGATAGTTTATTTATTGTTGTCATTTTTTTCTGATTTGTAAATAACTAATAAGTTTGAAAAAATTGTTAAAACATTATTATCATGGCAATAAATTGTTTGAAGACGAAGTGTCATAATTCCATGAATCTGCCAGGTACGGCCGGAATAGGTTGGAGAGACAGGAACGTATCTGCAAAGTATGTGGTATCAACGAAATTGAAGATGAATTTCATTTTATACTTAAATGTAAAGCTTATAAAGAATTGCAAACTAAATATATTAAACGTTATTATTATGTTCTTATAACGTGCTGGTTCTTTAAACGCCAACTTTTAATTATGATAATTTATTCATTCTCTAGCTGTGAAACACTGAAAACATGTTTGCTTATCACGTCCTTATCATTGCATGTATTTAATTTAATGTTGTATTAACAAGATACATGTATTGTATACGTTCTGTTCTGATCATTAATCGACTGATCTCTCTCAGGCCCCTAGCTACGTTTCACGCTAAATTATTGCATAACACACAAATATCGCACTAAAGGTGGGGGTCGCAAATTGCGGTAACATACTCTAACAACTATTTATGACCCAGTGACATCTGTCCAATTAAACGCTGCTGATTAATGGTATTACTGATTAATATCATTTTATAGCAGAAATTTCCTTCACATACATCAGTCATCGATGATGTTATTGTATTAAGCGGATCTCTTCGAATATTTATCCTTAATTTATTGAATTTTTATAGAAATATTCAGGTTAGATAGTTTCACCCATTTGTTCATTGTATTTACTCATTACATTTTTTACGGCTGCGTTTTTATTGACGCTATACGTTATAAACGAAAAAATGTCAAATCTTCTTTATATTTTGGGACCTTATAATATTTAATGTGATTATGAACAGATAGAACGGTAATAAAAATGGTGGATTTGTTTTAACCTTTTTCCTTTTTCAATGCACACAGAACGTATATTTCCATTTGTAGATATTTATTGACTTTTGTATAATAAATAAACTAACTTACTCGATCTATCATTATATTTGGTACCTTTATTAATATACCGATTAATAGCTTTAAATGGAAAGAAAATTAAAATAATTTCATTCTAAATTACTTCTGCACCATTGTCTTAGACAAGTAGTTTGTCTAAGGAAAATTGTGGACTTAGGCATCTAAGTGTGAAACTGATAACGATCGCTGATTAGCCTATCTCTATGACCCCTGCCAGCTTGATTGACAGGCGCAATGTCTTTTTTCTTCACATTAGCTGGTTTTATTTTACATTGCCTTTAAGTATATTTCTTGTTTGTATATAAATGCATTTTGTATATTTCCTTAACCATTATTTTTGCCTTTTTCATATGCCAATTCAACAGGTTTGATTATTTTAAAGTTGGGTTTTCTTTGCATTCAGTAAAAAGTAGGACCTTATATTAACAGCTTTTTATGTGTTAATCTTTTATTCCAGACATATTTTTAAAACAAAAAATGTGCTGTAAAGAAATTAATTTTAATAAATTTCTGAAATAATTTTTTTGTAACTTTTGCAAAATTTATTATTAAACAGTCTCTCACTTTTTTCGCAATTCATATTATGTAATAAATCTCGTATAATAACCTATTAATCGACGGTTCTACCGTCGACGGTCTTTTGTTGTGAATAACTTTATATATATTAAGTCAGAAATGTATTTATTTCATTAAGACAATTAATTGATCATTGTTCAATTACATCTGAACTAACAAAACATCTAAATTCTATTAATATATTAATAATCATCAAAACATTTCATTTTTTTCATTATTACTGTATTTTTTTGCATTAAAAATACCCGTTAATCATTCTAAACTATTGACATTAACCACTGAAAATAATAGTTTTATTGCCTATTTGCCAATCTGTCTTTCAAATTTAATTACGTATATAATCTGGAGACCGTCGATTTGTGTAATAACCTACTAATCGACGGTCTCCTACAATTGACGGTCTTCGACGGTCTTTGGAGACCGGGGACCGTCGAAGACCGGAGACCGGAGACCGTCGATTAGTATCCCCCGCAAAACAAGCGTTTAATGATCGAGACTTTCTCCCTCCGTTAGTGTGAAACTATTTTGATTTTCTGTTTAACACTAGTATTTGAGGCAAGTTAAAAAAAATATTATTAACTGTAGATTATCTTTTAGATTTACCTTGATGCTTATACTTTAAGGTATTGAATTTTTTTTGAACAGGCAAAACGTGGGTGGGGTATAACGCCGGCCGGTTTAACATGTTAACTCCCGACAGAATCAGTGTGTCTATTTTTACTAAAGCAGCTTTATCCATTGTATTTGCTATTAACTGTCTTTTAAATACTGTTTTGATTTGCATAGTGAGTTTAAAGAATATTATCTTATGTAATTTGTAAACAGAAACTAAACCTTGATGACAGAGCTTTGTGATAGTTTTACTTCAAGTCAAGTCAAGTCAAGTAAATTTTATTTATAAGTCGGATACATCAACAATAAAACATAAGCTCTGATGAGCTTTTTACACCGACTACAATAATATAAAACACATGTTTAAGATATGATAAATGACAAAATGGTTATGATAAAATTAGACAAATAGCATTGCATTAACAAATAGTGTATACAAACAGCACTGTACTAGCATTCATCAATAGCATACAAAAGTAAGAGGTAATACATATTAGCTCTAATAATAAAAACCATTAATATATATACTAAAAGTTAAGATCACACATCACAGCTTATATAAGACATATAAACATTTAAGCAGAGGAACATCAGGCATGCATACACACAATAAAATGCATTGACACACCAACTTATAAAAAGAGCAAATTATATATAAATAAATAAAACATGTTAGGACTAAGCAATAGAAAGACAAGGTTAAAATATGCATAATGAACATCAATCCTGACATTAACATACACACAAACATTCAAGTTATACCTGTATATAAAAGATGATACATAGCACATAAAAATAGAAATAAATCTATTACAATAAAAGCACACAAAAGCATAGCACTTAAAAATAGAAATACATCTATCACATTAAAAGCACACAAAAGCAGCTCATATCAAGCACAGTTATAAAACAAATGCAAAGCAAAAGTAACTAAAAAATTGAAACATCCAGCATGTCGCTGCCAACATTTTGGTTTTTTTCTTTTTGATGATGTACATGCGTTATGTGGTATTACATGAAGTACAGGAGCAGTTCTCCCCTTGCCAAGTATTTATCAATGATCTAAAATGGTTAAAAGATGAAGTTTGTCTAAAATTATCTGGAAGTTGATTCCAAAGTTTGGCAGCGGCATACCGGAAAGATTTCTTACCATATCTGTCAGTTCTTGGTAAAGGTACCTCAACAATATCGGTGTGTCTAAAATTATATTTTGAATGTTTAAGATGTAGTAAATCATTTAAATAAACAGGAGACATATCATTTAGAATTTTGTATGTTTCTAAAGCAATTGCTCTTAATCTCCTAACTTTCAAAGAAATAAGGCCAGACTTCTCAAGTAGTTGATCATAGTTACTGTTAAAATCATCATAAATAAATCTCAAAGCTCTTTCCTGAATTTTTTCTATTTTCCTAGTGTTTGATTCATTGGTAAAATGCCAAGTAAGAGGACAATAATTAAAGTTTGACATGACAAAAGAGTAGTATATTGTGAGTCTGCTTAACCTATTAAGATGTTTACCAATTCTCTTTAGTACATTCAGTTGTTTAGAGGCTTTCCTACATATATTTGACACATGTGAATTAAAATTTAACATAAAATCTAAGTTTACACCAAGCAGCTTTACTTCATCGTCACATGATATTTCTATATTTTTGAATTTAAAATTAATTTTCTGCTGGTGGGTTTTCTTCCCAAGAGCTATTGCCTGGAACTTCTCAGGGTTAGCCTTCATTTGATTTTTTGAGAACCAGTCTATCAAAGTTAAACTATCTTTTTCTAAAGTGCTAACCAAGTCTGTTTTACAAGTGCTTGAGTAAGAAAGAGTGTTATCATCCGCATAGTTATACAGTTGACTTTTATTTATGAAAAAGAAAATGTCGTTTATAAAAATATTAAACAAAATCGGTCCAAGTATTGAGCCTTGTGGGACGCCTTTAATTATGTTTTGATAATCACTACATATATTTCCTATCTTAACACATTGTTGCCTATTAGACAGATAACTTTTAATAAGATTGAGTGATTGTTCAGACATACCATAAAATTTCATTTTAAGTAATAATAAATCATGAGGCAAGCAGTCGAAGGCTTTTGAGAGATCCATTAGGATAGCTGCCAGATACTGGTTTTTATCCAAGAAATACTTCTTGACAAAGCAATGTCTTATTGGAGGAAAAGAGTCAACTCGACCCTATACCAACTCGGCACGGGTCAACTCGGCACATGTCAACTCGGCCCACTTTACAAAAATATATATAACATATTAACTTTGCTTTGCATGTTGTTAAGGTAAATGAATAATAAGAAATATCTTATTGTTATATAATTATATATTGTACTTCTGCCGAAATTAAGTATATTTAGAAAAAAATTGTTATTTGTCTTATATTTATAAACTCTCTCTCTGTCGAACTACGTAAATAACCGAAATAACCGAGATATATCGAGTGAAAAAGCAAGAGTTGTTTCCCTTAGTTTCCCTTCGCTTGCAAAAGAATGCAAATTTAGCCGTGTTTAAATCGCTAGTTTGGGGCGATTAAATGTCCGATATTAAAATTTGTTACACCAATTAAAAGCTGGTGATCTTAGCTTCCTCTCAGTATATATTTCAACACATTGTTTGACACTGAAGGTATTTAAAAACGGTTAAACCTACCACGAGTCAGAAATACAGTGAGATACGCAATCGGTTATCTTTACTCGCAATTCTACTGATAAGAAAAGCCTGTCTGCTGCTAGTTCTGAAATCCGTGTTTTATAAATAATAACAATAAATAGTGATAACACAAACCTTAATATTATGAATTAAAAGTGGGCCGAGTTGACCCGTGCCGAGTTGGAATAGGGCCGAGCTGACTCGGGGGGCCGAGTACGTTTTAGGGCCGAGCTGACCCGGATTCTTATTGGATATGTTTAAATACCTTTTACAGATTCAGCAACATTTTCTTGCATAAAGATGAAAGTAATGATAAATCAAAACCTATCTCTTGATATTCTGGATGGTAGCAGATCAGTTAAAAACTGTGTTGCTGTTTACAGCAAGGTGACATAATAAACACTTCCGTAACTAGTGCTCCTTATTCGCCTTATTCCAGCATGTTTACAGACATCGAAATTAACGCCGGCCTGAGACCACTAAATTTAGCATCGGTCCGGTGATTATTGCAAGGTTGGTGGTCCGACAGACCAGTAGATTTTTTGTCATGAAAAAATATTATAAGAAAAATTCATCAAAATAATGAAGCAGGGTTCTCTAAAAGATTGATCTGTTTGCCTTTTTTGCAAATGAAACCCATCAATTCTGTCCTAAATGTTCAAAACACAGCGAGAGATGTCTAAATTGTATTGAGTAATGGAGGCCACCATTTCTTTTTCTTGGATATTTTTCGTACCGCACCGTACAGTTATGGAAATTAAACCATTGTTTATTATGGTCATTATTTAGCTATGATTTTGTAATTATTGAGTTAAGTAAATATTTTGTGTGAAAGTGATTTGTTTGAAGCAAATTGCGTTGTTCATGTTCAATTCTAGTCATTTTTGCCTAAACATTTGGTCCTTAAAGATTTTTCAAAGCTGTCAACATATGGCCCAGAATACATGACGTATTATGCTTCTTTCAAAATTATCAAGGGAAGCATGATAAAGTGTTTTCCTGTACCCATCAATTTATTACCTATCTATGTATTTGGTCCGGCTAAAAATCACCAGATCCAGGAAGATTTGATATTTTACTGGCCCGAATGTCCTGTGCTTTTTAAAGTTTTTCGTGAAGACTGTGTTTAACTTAACATGTGTCGTCTGTCACTTTTTTAAAAGGTTTACAGTCTACACGCTGTGATTCAGTCCTTATTTTGGCAGTAGCTACTACACGCTAACGGCTATGTCACGACAACCATGTAAAATTTTAATTTTCATGTATAAAATGGCGCATATTCCGAAGTCGGCACCGCCTTTGATTTTCTTTATGATTAAGGTTAAAGGTCGGCCGAATCAATTAGGCTGGATCATTCAAATACCTGTATTGGATGAGACAGAAATATGTGTAATTAAACTGATACTTTAGCTAATAGGTAAATTTTACTGTTTTGTTTAAGAATTATACAATAGTTTACGCCAAATGTGGATTTAATAATGGAAAATTTTTTGCTTTTCTTTTGAAAAATGATATTATTTTTAGTTTTATTCTTCTTCAGCCTATTTTACTGTCGGATCAAAATTAATGTCAGTGTTTTTTTTGTGTTTTTTTTTCACCAAAATATTCGACAAAATTCGGCCCTATTACCCCCTCAAAATAGTATGTTTTTTCCCCCCTCAAACAGTACTGCCGTCAAAGCCGAAATTTTCCCCTAAACAGCAGCCCGAATCTGCCTGCAATATCATTTCTTTTTGCAACTAACTGCCAAAAAATGTTTTATTTTATGCCAAAAGACTTACTGTTAAGCAAGGTTGTTTACAAATCGTTCTCGGGTAGGTAAGGGGAGCTACTCCCGATGTCCCAACAAGTTTAACATGTGTTGATTATTTAATAAGAAAAAGAGACGTATTTTTAACTTGTGTTGCAAGAGTTGCTCCCTTTTCTACCGGAAAGAAAACAATATAAAATAAATAAACAAATAAAATCCCCCGCCTATTGCATTTTTTCCCCTCTAAAGGGCACGGACCCCCTTCCCCCAAAAGTGAAAAAAACGCTGAAAAACAACCAAACATGAAATCCTTCAGATTGATATAAGACATAGTCTATATGACTACAGTAGCAGTATTTTTCTCTCTTTTTTTTTTGTAAAATAATACTGATCATGAATAAGACAGATCATAAAAAGACTTTGCCATTTTTAGGGTTTACATGGATTCTTTTACCAAATTTGCCAAAGGCTCAATAAAATTTGAGTCCAATTTTAGCCCCTAAATCCAGCTGAAAATCCAGTTTTGGCCCATTTTTTTTGTCACTTGTATGAAAGATTGAAAAGTTCCTTTCTAACATTGAAACAATTTTAAAAAAAACAATGTTTGTATCAGATTAAGAACTACATTTTTATGTTTTTTTTTCTGCTTGAAAATCATTTAAAAAAACTGCCTGTTTTATTTGTATTGTTAGAATGTGGAAAAATGTTATGTTTGGAATATTTTGTGACTTGTGTCTGAGATTCTTTTTTTTTTAACTTCTTTTTTTTTTGGCAGCTTTCATTCGAAAAAAATAGTTCTGAACAAATTTTGCTTATATACACAGTACAACAGTACATGTATGAGCAAATGTAAGTTTTGTTTAAAAAATCTGAAACCAATCTGTTAACAACTTACATACAGTTAGATAGATAATAGAATATGGAGATACTTATGAATAAAGATCTTAACATTACATTTCAGTTGTAAAACCAAAGTATGGATGTTGATAATCCAAGTGATTTCTCTGACCTGCAGCAGCAGGCACTGCAACTTACAGCAGACATGGACACTGGAACAGATTTGCCAAGGGTTGACAGAAATCTAACTCAGATTCTTGAGGCAGGACAAAGGTTATTGGCCAAAGTTGGACCTATCAGTCAAGATGCTACTGATGTTAAAGCGTAAGTAGTTAAATTAATTTCAACTCCTCTTTTCAAAAACTAAGTGGAGCTATGGTAGTGACCCCTCTGTCATTGTCTTTGTTGGCATCAACATTGACATTTTTTGTGTCGCCTTGAAAAGGTGACATATAGGGGTTACTTTTGTCGGCGGTGTCGTCGGCGGCGGCGTCTGTGTCGGCGTCGGCGTCCGCTAAAGCTTGTCCGGAGCATAACTCAGTCACTGTAAGTCTGATTGACTTCAAACTTGGTATGCATGCTTCTTTCAATAACCCGAAGTGCAGTGCACAAAGACCAGTACTCTGCAGTTCTTATTTTTTGAGTTATTGCCCTTTGTTAATTTTCATACTTTAATTTTGTCCGGGCCATTTCTCTTCAACTAAAAAAGCTATGGACTTGAAACTTCATAGGATGATAGATCTCATTAAGAAGAAATGCAGTGCACAAGAACCAGTACTCTACACTTCCTAATTTTTGAGTTATTGCCCTTTGTTTATTTTCATACTTTATTTTTGTCCGGGCCATTTCTCCTAATGTATAAAAGCCATGGACTTGAAACTTCATAGGATGATAGGTCTCATTAAGAAGAAGTGCAGTGCACAAGAACTGGTACTCTGCATTTCTTATTTTTTGAGTTATTGCCCTTTGTTAATTTTCATACTTAATTTTTGTCCAGGCCATTTCTCTGAAAGTATAAAAGTTATGGACTTGAAACTTCATAGGATGATAGATCTCATTAAAAAGAAGTGCAGTGCATAAGAACTGATACTCAGCATTTCTTATTTTTGAGTTATTGCCCTTTGTTGCTTTTCTTACTTTATTTTTGTCCTGGTCATTTTTCCTCAAGTATGAAAGCTATGGACTTGAAACATCATAGAATGATAGATCTTATTGATAAGAAGTGCAGTGTACAGAAACTGCTGCTCTGCACTATATTTTTTAGTTATTGTCCTTTGTTATTTTTCATATTTCATTTTTGTCCTGGCCATTTCCCCTAAACTACATTGTTCACAAGGCGACACATCCGACTCGCGGAGTTCTAGTTTTTGCTTAGGTCTATTTCTTCAGATAAACCATCAAAGTTATTCACTTCAAACTTGGTGTACATGTTTATGATCAAAATATGATACCATTTCAAAGTGCAGATCATCTTTAAGATGCTTCTTCTTTGACTGTTATATATATACTATGCAGCAGAGAGTAAAGTTGAGCATATTTTCAGAGGGCAAGTCTTATTATTTTTAGCAAGAGGTTAGAAAATAGTGTTTGTTAACATCAACCTGTTATTTTATTGAGAGTAAATTTGCATATACATGTATCTCTCTGCCCCTGAAATGGTTGCATTGTAAATTTTCAATGACCATGAAAGACTCGCTTAGTAAATAACATTATGGAACTGAATTTGTACATGAAAATTAAGAAAACTTGATACAAGTGATAAATCTAAAATATTTAGCTTCAAGTTCATGGTTGACAAGATATGTTTCAATAAAAATATTCAAGATCTAATCCCATGTTCTGACATGTATTGTTGTTTTTTTTTTAAGGTCAATCCTACTTGGTTCTAAAGGTTATGATGTGCCAAAGATTTCACAGAAACTAGAAGGTCTCAGTGCAGCTAAAACATTTGAGCCTTTAGAGCCAGTGAGAGACACTGATATACAGGTTAGATTATTTTAATAGTCAATTATTTTTACTATATGTTTATTAAACATCACTAATTGCTGACTCTCCTTGTGACAATTAAATATTTAGAGGATATTAAGTGAGTGTAAGTTTAGTACTAAATTTAATGAACAAGGTCAATAAATTTAGTATTAAACTTACACAAATTTAATATTCTATTTACACATACCAAAAATAAAGACCGTTTTAAGTTAAAAAGAATAATTTTTCATTGACATGCCTATAATATAATGCTAATATTTAGCCCGTCTTGATGCTATGTTTATATAATGAAAATGATGTCATGTCAAAATATATGCATGGCTGTGCAATACCATTTTTACGGAGTCGTAAAAGCGGCACAGGTATGTGATGAATTACATCTCTTGTGGCACCCTGACAGACTAACAGTATTCATATCACAAAGTAAAGGGTATTTAAATTTATGATTCTGAAAGATCCGAAAAATGTCAATTATAAAAAGAAGTCCACAGTTATTAGGTATTAAATAGGGTTCAGATGCATAAATATAAGTTAACTTTTGACTTTGAATTTTGATTTATAAAAGCAAGGCAGCAAAAATTTGCTTTCAGGGATCAACTTTGTTTTATACATGATTAAGTGTTAAGAAATGAGCCGTCTGCTCACTGATGCTCAAGAAATGAGCATCCGCGCAGTCTGATCAGGATCCATGCTGTGCGCTGAACAACCCTATTACAAGTAGAGAAACTGATAGGGAACAGCATGGATCCTGATCAGACTGCGCGGATGCGCAGGCTGGTCTGGATCCATGCTGGTCGCAAACGCACTTTGTTGGTTTTGTCGTGACGCGGCTCATTTGTGTTTTTAGGGTTTCCTTAGAAATGAGAGAGAAAATGCTTTACTGGCTGTCATTGAGCAAACAAGACAAAATGTAAGTAAGGCTTTGATTGAATTTGTTTTTGCATTCATGCACAATATTTAAATTTTGATACAATCACAAGATTTTACCATTCATTTCATATTAAATAAAAGTGAATGTAATATTTGGTTTGATCCCCGGGAGATGCTTTGGTACTTTAGCACGGAGGAAGGTAGTCTAGTACTGGTGTAACTCTCCAGGAACGATGGTTAAGAAACTACCCGTCTATATGACTGAAATACTGTTGGGAAAAGGCGTAAAATGAAACAAACAAACAAAACAAATTGATAAAATTACAAATTTCAGAATTTTTATTTTAAGTACATAGAATTAGAATTAAGTAAATTTAAGTAAGTTTAATTTGTATAATTGACTTAATCATACCCAGGTAGATGTAATCAGTTTATATATGACATAAAAATGTTGGGATTTTTTTTTTGCAGACATTTACATGGGTTAATATGAAAAATTGCCCATTATTTCAGGGTAGATATAAACAGTGAATATATGATATAAAATGATAAAAGTGTTTTTGGTTTGTTTTTCCCCGACAGACATTTGCGGAGACAGAGAGACGCCACTGGGAGTGTATGGAGAATGAATGGGAGAGAGAGAAACAGAAGATTCTAAATGCTCTACTAGGTTCAGGTCAAGATACCATAGACTTCCAACCTGAAACTGAGGTAATGTACACACTAATTGATTTAAATTATCACATGATTAATTCTTATCAAATTACATTTACAGTTCATGTTACTTTGATGAAATATGGAAGCTGTTTTTAACGTAAATGACAGCTAAAATGTTATGTAGTAGATATAGTTTTAACCTGACTAGTGTCATGAAGAAATTCAGTTGTAAATAAGTTATTTTATATTTTGTTGCATTATTGAAAGTGTGATTAGAAACTTTTTAATTTGTGTTCTGAAAAAGGTCTTAGTTTGAGGTTTTAATCTTACTTAAAGTTGTTATAAACATTATCAAAGATTGAGTTTTTCTCAGATTTGACATGTTAAGAAAGTATCAATTTAAATGAATGTCATTGCCGTCAAAGTTTGATTACATTGTTTTCTGAATGTATTTTGCAGAGTTTCTTGATGGATTCTGTATCAATGCAAGGACGTAGTGCTCTAGATAATGTAGAAATGGCATACTCAAGACAGGTATAAATAACAATTTTTGTGCTCTATTAACCTTGATTCTGCTAAATCTATGAAATGGAGTAAATGGACTTGTTCTGCTTTTAATTTTGATGATCATTTTCAATTTTTTTTTAAATTAGCAAATTTTGATATGAAAATACTAAGTTCAAGGAGCCAGCAGTATAAAGTTGGGCCTATTTGCCTGCATGTTCATGTTGGCCAAATTTTTTTACTTATTATATAGTAAAATAATATTTGCTGTTAGCATGCACAGAACAGATTGAAAATTAAAAGTTTATTAACAATATTTTGAAAATAACCAGTAGCCTATAGTGAAGGCTAAAATCCTACAGATCTTACCAGGATGTTAAATTTACCTGTACTGTCAACACACACTATTCATTCAGTGCAATATAGAAAGCAAAATGGAAGTTTGGGGGTCATTTATTTCTGATTATGGCTTGTGACTTCCAAAATATATCCTTTTCCTTCTTTACCTATATAATGTGACTTCCAGTAACAGACATTTTCCAGTCTCAGACTTCTAAATTTTGGAAGCCTTGGACCTAGCTATAGATTGTCATCTAACAAAGACTTACATGTCACACTAAATATTTACAACTTTCTTAATGAAAACATTTTGTATTTGTAGGTATATGATTACAATGAACAGATAATAAATTCAGCATATATAAAACCCAACCTGGCAGACATGTTTAATGAGGCTACTAAAACATTTGATAATAAGGTAAGTTCAGTAGTTCTAACAATCTCTCATTTTCCACACTGAATTAACATAGACACGGACATAGGTTACTTTATTTATCAGAGGGCATGTTTTAGCCCAGTTGTTAAGGTCTTTGAGTTCAAACCTTTTGCCCTTTATTGCTTAGGATCCAAATTACGCCAGGGACTATGGATTTTTTCATGTGAGGAAGATATTCATCTAGCTTATGTTACATAAGTGGTTGCTCTCGGATGCCCTCTCATGCCTGAAATAATGCATGCAGTTTCTTCCTACCCTAGCTGGAAAGTTGTCATATGACCAGTCCTTTACTGTGGCAATGTGATTTAAAACATGTCAACAATAGCAAAAATAAAGAAGACTTGTCAATTTAGTAGTTTACATCATTTTATCTTGTTAAACAAATTTCATTTCAGTGATTTATGCCATATTGAATATTGTTATTGAATAAAACAGCAATTATGAAGCTGAATAAAAATATACCTTAGACAGAAAAAAAATCTAGAAACAAAGTGATCCCTCAGAAGCATTAATCACAACAAAATTACATAAGAATTGCAGACTTGGTTTGATTGAGACTGAGAAAACCTTAGTCCAATAACTTATTTTAAACTCAATTTAAAACTACCTGATTTATATAATCACATAGAACAAAGGTCAGTTTTTTTATTTCCTACAATTGATTGTTACAAACTGGTTTTCACTGTATAGAAGGTGTTTACTAGGGTTGACAATACTCTAATGTAGATAAGAATCTTTGGTATCATATCAGTAAACATTAATGTATTGTAATATCAGGATGTACAAGACCTGTGGGAAATGGTTCGTTGTATGATAGATATCCCAGCATGCACCAGCGGACAATCACTACGTCTCAACAAAAACACACAGAAAGCTTTTGTCAGGAATGCTCGGACACACCTTGAACAGTCGTATAAAAAATTTATAACGAGACACATCTCCGGGAACCTGCAGCAAGCACAACTAGGAGGTGTACCCGGGACCTGCAACCTTGTCAGAAGTTACCTTAACATCAGACAGGCTACATTACCTAGAGGACTTGAGGTGAAAACTTTATGCTTTGTTCACCCTAGAATATACACTATGTTGCTCAGTGCTACATTAGTAATGTGCCATTACTTATGCTTAAAATTAATGAGCATTACATAGATTGTACTGAAGAAATAAGTATAAAACTAGCTTTCTCCTGTGCAGCACATAACATTTCTTAATGTACACTACATGTAATAGTTATTCAAATGGCAGTTTCTCATAGAAAATGGATAAGTTCTTGTAAAAAAATCCAGAAATAATTTCTGATTTATTAAATTATGAATTAGTCATGTCAAATCACTTACCCCTTAATTGCAGTAGGTTTGAATAATTGTAGTGGCTTAGAATTCTTTCATGTCTAGGTACTTACATAAGACTTATAGTTCTACTGAGATGCTTGCATGTGACTGAAATAATGAAGGTAGGCACATTTGAGGGTTACAAAACTGTTAAGATTGAAATTTGTAAGGCATGTATGACCTTTCTAGTGTAATTGTATGTAAAACCCAACAACCCTGAATGTATTGATGTTTATACAATTATATGAAAAATATTTTACAATAGATACAATAGAAAATGTATTATATATGATATAGGATGGGGCTGTAGATGGACATCCTACCTGGGCTATGATATATTACTGTCTTAGATGTGGTGATCTGAATGCTGCACAAACTATTGTACAAAAGGCTGGGTAAGTTTGAATCATTGTCCTTTTATCTGGTAGTTATCATTGTGATTTTGTCAATAACCGGGTGTTCATTTTATAAGAAATATATTTATTCTTATCTTACAAATTTACCTGGGTTGTTTTCAACACTTGTAATGCAAATCTTTACAAAACACTTTATTTGCATGTTTCAGCATCAATTTTAAATATAGGAATACACACATGTATGTACTTCTCATCTTTACTATGGAAGTCACTCTATATCATATAATGATTTTCTCATATTTCAGACATCAACTTGGAGACTTTCCAACATTTCTAAAAGAATACATGAGTAACAATGACCACAGGTAAATTATCTTCAAGGCAGTTATTTTCAGTTAATAGTAATATTTATACTCTTGCTGGATATGACAAATTTTTAGGGCTGGGAACGAATAAGGAATTTGATGTTCGAATATTCGTTTTCCATATTCGAATATATTCGAATATTCGTTTTTACAACGTTTGTTCCAATATTTCTCTTTGACGTATACGTATCCGAAATTGATTGCGTCGAATACTGTACAATTTTAATATGTTTGGAATAATCGACGATTAAAAATACCTATATAGCTACGTAAAAGTTTTTTATTTTATATATTGTAAATCGACATAAATGTTTACTTTTGAAATAAATTCACAATTTGAATGCCTTTTGTTCAGTTAATCCGACTGCTGATCATTTGTCTTCATGGTCTAATTAACGGTAGGTAACTCACGTGAATTGATTGACAGTAATATGATTATTACATCACGGACGTTTCGGACCAGACACTTCGGACCAGATTTTTTGGTCATTTCGGACCAGATTTTGGGACATTTCGGACCATGTGATGGTCATTTCGGACCATGATGGAGACACTTCGGACCAGAATATATATTCCTTTTTATATGTAAATATTATTATATCACACGGAGTCTTAGTTTCTACGGAATAAATATATTTTGACGGAATATAGACACTGCTTACATAAAGCACCGATTAATACGTGTCGATTTTTTCGTCTTCGCAAAATTTAAGACAATTACTGATTAATCGGGCAGATTATTGCACAGAAAACAATAAAAAAGGTAATTAAAATCGGAAATTTACATTATACTCTGTTCAACAGGTAAATTGCAAACTGTGAAACGGGTGCCCTTTTGACCAACTATAGACCCCAAAGTTTTCACAGTTAATTGGCGATAATCGTTGACACGTGTCATACAAACGTGTGAACAACTGGTCAAGTAAAGGTCAATGGTTTAATTGCTATCTTAATTGAAATTTGAAAGTAATTACAAAAAAAACACTCTTTTTTTTTCGAATATTCGTATTCGTTTTTCAATGTTCGAATATTCGGTAGTGTTTCGAATATTCGAATATAATTCCCGGCCCTACAAATTTTGCACTGTGCTTGTTATTAATCAAGGAGAAGATTTGATTGTTAAGCATTGATGCAAATATTATACCTTAGCTTTTTTCTGTGGTAAAAGCTTTTTATATTTATGAAGCCATGTACCTTCATGACATTTTGAAGTCCTACAGAACTATTTAATATGAAGCCAGTGTAATGATATCTGTTTAACCTGCATGATTATTTTACCTTGACCTTTATATTATCAGTACTATTCCATTTATGCTTGAATGGGCAGTTCTTATTTATAGACAGGCGATTCCTGCCACTAGCCAGTTCTGAGATGAAACTTGATAAGCTCACATCTGTGTTCTTTCTTTAATCTATTCACATTTGTGAATTACTGAACTCCATAATAAACATACGTACATAAAAACCAAGAAACATTACAGCCAGTATATTTCTTGTAAATATTTTTTCTATTCTTTCTTAAGAAATATTTAAAGGTTTAATGAATTTGAAGATCTATAATGAATATGATGTAATAGAATTTGAATGGTCCAATAAAATGGCATTTAAGGGTTAATGTGATTTCAGGTTGAGTCCAAGCAGTGAAACAAAAATTCGTCTACAGTATAGACGTGTAGTTAAACAATGCTCTGATCCATACAAAAGGTAACTCATCAACTTTTCAGTGTGAACATTCTTCTGATAAATGCAAGTTTTGTCGTCTAGTTCTTTATTGAGAAAAAATTACTGTTTTCACTGTAAAGCATTAAATAATAGAGCAGAATATCCAGCATGTGCTGAATGGTGACAAATAAAATATCCTTACCCTATAGATAATGTTGAAGTGAAGTTTAATTTTCATCTTAAAATGTTACAGTTTAGTCACAAGTGACGTATGTTGGATCTAAATGAAAGATGTTAATTTGTTCTGTATTGTACCTGTCTATTGAGATTATAATCATTTTACCTCTTACCAAATGTTAGTGGTTCTACTCAGATGCCTGTTTGTGCCTGAAATATCTGATAATGCATGGAAGGACGACCAAGGTCTTCCTTCATCAGTAAAACTATGACCTACACTGTGTTGGTGCAACTTAAAACCCAACCTGAAAAAAAGATATAATTACTTTGTATTAATGTAAAAAGGGCCTAATCACAATGTTGTGAGTGTAACTCATTAACTGTATATGAATCGCGTCACGACAAAACCAGCATAATGCGATTGCGACCAGCATGGATCCAGACAAGCCTGGGCCTCCGCGCAGTCTGATCAGGATCTATGATGTTCGCTATCAGTTTCTCTATGTGTATTAGGATTTGTAAGGGAACAGCATGGATCCTGATCAGACTGCGCGGATGCACAGGCTGGTCTCGATCCATGCTAGTCGCAAACGCATTATGTTGGTTTTGTCGTGACGCGGCTCATATATATTACACAGGGCTGTGTTCTGTATCATTGGCCAGTGTGATTATATGGAGGATCATGGGGAACTAGGAGAGAAGATTGATGATTATCTCTGGTTTAAACTCTGTCAGACACAAATAGAAGCAGACGACACTGCAGATATACTCACACTGAATAAATTACAGACTATCTTGTTTGAAGATTATGGTAACAGAAATATTTTGATTTGTACTGTTCTTTTAAAACCAGGATCACAGCTGTAAGCCACCAAGCCTATGCTTCAAGTTAAAAATCTGGTTCAATTTTTCAAACCTAATTTTTAGCTCACCTGAGCATATGCTCAGGGTGAGCTATTAGGATCACTCTTCGTCCGTCGTCTGTCGTCCGTCGTACGTCGTCCGTTGTCCGTTCACACTTTTCAAACGACATCTCCTCTGAAACCATAAGGCAGATCATAATGAAACTTCACAGGGATGTTCCTTGTGTGAAGCCTTAACAAAGTTGTTCAAAGAATTCCATTCCATGCAGAACTTTGGTTGCCATGGCAACCAAAAGAAAAAACTTTAAACATCTTCTTCTAAAAAACCGAAAGAGCTAGAGCTTAGATATTTGGCATGAAACATCTTCTAGTGAGTGTCTACCAAGATTGTTCAAATAAAAGCCCTGGGGTCAAAATTGGCCCCGCCCCAGGGGGTCATTGATTTTCCCTGTATGCATATAGTAAAAACTTAAAAAAATCTTCTTTTAAAGAACCCAAAGAGCTAGACCTAAGATATTAAGCATGAAACATCTTCCAATGAGTGTCTACCAAGATTGTTCAAATAAAAGCCCTGGGGTCAAAATTGGCCCTGCCCCAGGGTGTCATTGATTTTCCCTATATGCATATAGTAAAAACTTAAAAAAATCTTCTTCTAAAAAACCCAAAAAGTTAGAGCTTAGATATGTGGCATGAAACATGTTCTAATGGATGTCTACCAAGTTTGTTCAAATAAAAGCCCTGGGGTCAAAATTGGCCCCGCCCAAGGGGGTCATTGATTTTCCCTATATGCATATAGTAAAAACTTTAAAAAATCTTCTTTTAAAGAACCCAAAGAGCTAGAGCTAAGATATTTAGCATGAAACATCTTCTAATGAGTGTCTACCAAGATTGTTCAAATAAAAGCCCTGGGGTCAAAATTGGCCCCGCCCCAGGGGGTCTTTGATTTTCCCTATATGCATATAGTAAAAACTTTAAAAAATCTTCTTTTAAAGAACCCAAAGAGCTAGAGCTAAGATATTTAGCATGAAACATCTTCTAATGAGTGTCTACCAAGTTTGTTCAAATAAAAGCCCTGGGGTCAAAATTGGCCCAGCCCCAGGGGTCATTGATTTTCCCTATATACATAGAGTAAAAACTTCAAAATCTTCTGTTAAAGAACCCAAAGAGCTAGAGCTAAGATACTTAGCATGACACATCTTCTAATGGGTGTCTACCAAATTTGTTTAAATAAAAGCCCTGGGGTCAAAATTGGCCCCGCCCCAGGGGTCATTGATTTTCCCTATATACATATAGTAAAAACTTCAAAATCTTGTATTAAAGAACCCAAAGAGCTAGAGCTAAGATATTTAGCATGAAACATGTTCTAATGGATGTTTGCCAAGTTTGTTCAAATAAAAGCCCTTGGGTCAAAATTGGCCCCGCCCTAGGGGGTCATTGATTTTCCCTATATTGCATATAGTAATTAAAAACTTAAAAATCTTCTTTTAAGGTGACAACAGACACTTTCCGTGGTACACACATAAATGTCATTTAAACCAAGTTATTTTAGTAATAATTGTTATTTATTTAATCTTTGTGCATTAAATGTCGTTGATCATTATAAAAAATAACATATTTGAAAAAAATGCCTTTGTAAATGATTGATTTTGAATAAAAATCCTAAAATTTTAGATCGTCATATCAAAGTCATTTTTTATTTTTTTGTCATCAAACTTTTGGAAAATAACCATACTTATATTATCTAGGGAACCGTGTCTCAAATTTTTTCTATCTTTTCTCAAAAAAATATTACGTAACGTCAAACATTTTATGCGACTTTTTTCACCATACATATTACGTAATTAAAGATAATTAAGTCGCTGATTGAGCAAACAAAAATCCCTGACACGGTTCCCTCCGTAAATGAATTTCCTTTCATGTGCTTTAAACCGCATGTTATTTGCTTGATTATTAAAAAAGTTATGCCGATTCAAAGTTAGTCCGACCCACGTCAAACGAATTGTCATAAATCGGCTGTTCTCTCTCGGACCCCTACGTTTCACGCTAAATAATTGCATAATACACAAATATCGCACCAGAGAGGGTCACAAGTTGCGGTAACATACTCTTACAACATTTTATGACCCAGTGACATCTGACCAATTAAAAAGCTGCTGATTAATATCAGTTTATAGCCGAAATTTCTTCAATTCTTAACGTGATTTACTGTGCGTCTGGTATCTGTCGCACATGTCACGTGACTATCGGTAAAATTTGAGGCACTCAGTGGGGGGAAATGGAACGCATTTGCGCACCGCTAGCGGGGTATTTAATTGTTTCCTTTTTGAAGTTTATTTTTATTATCATCAGCATTATTATTGTATTATACCAGTGTCACTCTGCCTGTGTATTCGTATATGAAATTCCGTTAAAATATAAAATAAAATAACAAAAAACTGAGCATCGACAGTTTTTTAAAGTCCATGGTAGATCGATGTACAAATAAGAACGGGATATTATATATTTTTTCCACCAAATTGATAATGCTTCACATATTTTAATAGAAATAAAAAGGTATTACTCGATCATTATGATCTGGCCATCATGAATATCATCTATGCACGGTATAGAGATCCAGTTTCTACCGGGATAGACAATAAATTCCATACTTTGTCCCAGATTTATTAGTACTGTGTCCGATTTACTGGCGAACAATTTATTTTCACTGAGAATATATTTTAATATCTTTTTTTTTTATTCAAAGAGAAATAATCATCCTTAGACAATCTAAAATGGTTTAGAAATTTGTCAGGGACACCTTACCACAAGTCATATAGGTGTTCACATAAAAAATGGTGTCTGTTTTTGTTGTTGTTTTACTTGACATTGTTAGAAAACGAGGTTGAATGTAAAGTAAGCCCTTGAATCCGTACAAAAGTCTATCAGCTCAGTGTAATATCTATCAGATTAACGGGACAGACACATTATGGATATTTTAGCAACTACATTTTTAATCAACACCGTGGTCGTGCGATTTGCCGCTATGCTTAATTATTTATGTTTCATACATTATGTTACGTACATTGGCCGACAATTTCTTAATTTATAAAAAAGGCTAAATGTTGAGATGTTCATAAAAGATGTACGGTAGTTGTACGATACATGTATTACGAGAAGTATGGACCAGTATGGACCTGTAATTCACAGATATATGGAACTACCGATTTCCCTCATTGATGCCTCAACAGGGGGCGGAGCATTATCGATAATCGACAGGTTACGCGAATAGCAGATACAAATAGTATAGGTACCGTTTTAAAACGTTTAAAAACACATTTTTTGGACTAACTGCTACCAAAATTAAATCACGAATGTGTTCAGAAAAGATTGATAAATCTACTTGGCAAAAAATCTCATTTTAGGTATTTTCAGTGATAATTGACTCCGTTGTCACCTTAAAGAACCCAAAGAGCTAGAGCTAAGATATTTAGCATGAAACATGTTCTAATGGGTGTCTACCAAGTTTGTTCAAATAAAAGCCCTTTGGTTTAAACTGGCCCCGCCCTGGGGGCCTATGTACAGGTGAGCGACCCCAGGGCCATCATGGCCCTCTTGTAGTATAGTTAGATTACATGAACCAGTATCAAGCTTGGTAGAGTCTATTCTTTTGCAACATTAGTTTAAGAAATTTCTTTATGTAAAATCTACATTTTAAAGTGTATAAAGCTATATCTAATGAAATATTTTTATAAAATCTATAAATAGTAAAGTTATGTTGTTTCCATAATTATATGGTCTATACATGAAACAGTTTTAACACACAAGAATATTGCATATAAAGGGAATAAAATGTTGGGAAACAAAATATTAAGCTGTTATTTTTAGTACAGTTTTAATCAATTATCGATGATTTTGTGCATATGCCATTTTTTTCTGTGTGAAATAAACGAGCATATTTATAGCATACTGGTAAAAAAAAATTCAGAAGATATATAGCTTTATACACTTTTATTAAAGCATAGGATGGTATTAAATGTTTGACATTTGTTTGCAAGATTACATTTAAAGTTATTTAATGATCCTTTTCATTCAAGTTTTGTGGATTTAATTTAATGGTGAATTTAACCCTGTTTACATCTATATCAATGAAGTTAAACTGTATTTCTGAGTATAATTGCAGTCAGAATAATCAATCTGATATTATTACAGGAGAGAGTCATTTCAATGGATACCAGCAGCCATTCCTGTATTTCCAGGTGTTAGTTTTGACAGCCCAGTTTGAAGCAGCTATAGAGTTTATGTCTAGAATAGAGAGACTGCGAAGTCATGCTGTGCACGTGGCACTCGTGCTGTATCAAACTAAACTACTCTTATGTTCACAGTCTACACAAGCTCAACTATGTAAGTAAAATTGATATGGTAAATTGACATTTATAACAGTTTAGAAACATTATGACATTTAGTTTAAAAGCTTCATTTTATTACTTTATCAGACCCTTATCCATAAAAAACACTTGTTATTTCTTTAAATATGGAAACTGAAAATATGACTCTATTTTACTTACTTGATTTAAATATATAAATACAGAAGTAGGATTATCAAGATTGTATAAATCATTGTTGTAAAGATTTTAAAAATGTTATGTCCATTTATACTTGTACATCCTCTTTTATGAATGTTAAGAAGTGTTATACCTTGACTTGTGCAAAAAGTGTGAGCCATACATTCAGAGATATATTACAACTTCATGACAAAACTATTTATCTAGCTTACAGGTTTGTGGTTCTATCCTGGTGTCACTTGTGCTGGAAGTAATCAGCAGAAGAGCACCTGACACCTGCCAGTCTCTTGGAAGTGAAAAAGTCACCATATTTGACTGGTGTCTTTGTGACTTATAATCATAAAACTAACATAAAGGTCTCTTTTAAGTTACTATAATATATGTTTGAAATTAACAATAATCTTAAACCTGTTTCATTTACAACAGTAAGTCGAGATCCTGGAGACCCTAGTCCATTACGGAGACTCAACTTTGCCAGGCTGGTAATGATGTATACAAGAAAGTTTGAAGAGACAGACCCTAGGGAGGCCCTACAATATTTCTACTTTCTCAGGTAAGTTAATCTTAGTTGGATGTACTATTGAAAAAGAATTGGCAAGCTTTTAATTAGGAACTGTCCATGAATGGATGTCAAAAATTCTAAAACTAAGCAGACAACAGTAGTCATTTATGACTGGCAGCATGATATGCCAAGTTGGCATGAACCTGGTGTCATATGCAGGTACATGTTACTATACATACACTAATGTTTAGGGAGTAGATATATAACATAGCTTAAATAGGTCACTGGTACTTTGCTGTTCTTATTTAGGTGAAATAAACCTTATTTCATGTTACATACACTTAAAGATTGCTGAATTCAGAATGGTATGGCAAAAGCTGTTCTACCAATGAATGATACTTATATCAATTTAGTCAAATAATTTGTGCGTATACATGTTGCCATAATTTTGTTATTATATTGAATTAATTAACTTCTTTGATACATTTATTTCAGAGAATTAAGGACCAGTCAGAATGAGAATTTGTTTATGACTTGTGTCTCTGAGCTTGTACAGGAAACTAAAGAGGTACAAGACATACATTTTACATCAAAAATTGCAACGTTTTATACAGTTATTCCTTCGACTGTTACTAAGGTTTTTCAAGGGTTTAACTTAATTTCAACAATCATATGTTAAAGTTAAGACTATATCTAGTACGATTTTTGCATAGATTAACCAATCTTTCTACTGAGATGAAGTACATGTGTTCAAATTCAGCAATATGTGTTAAAAATTGCATTCTTGGATAGTTGAACCTTTGGAAGTTATGATCTTATAGTTAATCTGTAAAAAAAAATCACATGCAAATTATTCTGCTTTACAGTATGAGATGTTACTAGGGAAATTACTAAAAGATGGAACAAGAAAGGTAAGTGACACTTTTATAAGTTGTTAACTGTAGTTGGACTTACAAACTTTATATGATTATTTTGGTCTCTCTTTTTTTTGCCAAGGATAAGTCAGTGCCTTGATAATTGATTGTTTCAAATGCAAATTGAAATTTATTTTGGATTTCTGTTACACACATGCGTTAAAGAACCTCATAATTTTCTTTTACATAGTAAAAACTACAAAAATGTCTATTTTCTTAGGTAAGCCAACAGTAGTGATGTTGCTAGCTTAGCAGTAAATAGTAACTGTATATCACCAATATTTACTTCAAACATTTTAACTTTTAAATTTTTATTTTGTGATAATATATTTAACAAAACCAGAAAGAAAATGTTTGAAACTCTTGTTTCAAGAGGTTAAAAAACTTGTTTCAAGAGGTTTCATCATGGCTGGGTAAATCTGCAGCAGAATTTGATTGGCCACCTGGCTACTTTCGGTAATCTCTTCAAAATTCCTTTCCAGCGAATATACCCTTTTTCCTTTGAGAAATGACCCAGCTTCTTTCAAACATAATGAAACTCCTGTCATTTTCTATTTGATTAGATGCTAAATAGATATTACCTTGTTAATGTTATTATTATGAAACAGGCTGGTGCTATAGACAAGTTTCAAGTTGACACTCAGCGTATTATAGAGAAAGTTGCCAGGGATACAGAAAGTAAAGGAGCATTTGAAGATGCTGTCAGGCTATATGATCTTGGAAAGGTATAAACTCCAGTCATTTATCTATGAACTTTTAACCAAAACTTAAAGATCCTATAACACAATTTTCTTATGGTTTTATATCATAAATATAATGTTCAAATGAAGATTTATCAATATTGTAAGTTCCAAAAAGCATTTTTTGTAAAGATATTACTGAATTTACATTTCATGTGAATAAAGGGAAGTAATTAGAAATTTATTTTCTATAAAGTCTAAGTCAAATTTTTCAATAAGAAATGAATGCATATATTTTAATGATTACATATAATGTGGACAAATATTTGCAGTACATATTTTACATATCATTCGATGCTTAAAAATTGTTTTAGAAGCATAATTATATACATATATATCAGTGTGGTAACAATCTTAATTACGACACACAAAATCTTAAAATTATTTCTACAAATTAGGAAATGATACTCAACTAGATGTAGCTTTCTTTCATTTGAATTTTGATTCTTTGGAATTATTGGAATGAAGAAATTTAGATGTGAGAAATGATTAGTATGTGGTCATTTTAAGCATTAAATAGGTATTAAGTGTTGCATTAAGTGTTCCTTACTTTCTTATCTTTCTTCAGAAACCTGACAAAGTATTAGAGTTGTTGAACAAACTGTTAAGTCAGGTAGTGTCTCAAACTTCAAGTAATCAAACAAACAGAGATAGACTGAAGAGCTTAGCACTTGGAATTGCTGAAAGGTAAATGTTCATTTTAACCAGCAGAACTTAATTTGCTCTACTTTAAATGTTTAATTGACTTTTTTATTGTAGGAATTTCAATATAAATATAATAAAATATAAGTGCTAGAAGTAATAATTTCATCAAACTGCATGGATGTGCAGGATGGCTTGGCTCAATACATGTGATATAGAAATGTCTTTATCCACTGTTTATAATCAATTAAGACTTAAAGTAAAAAGAAATGCTTTAATACATTGTCCCATAATTTAAGCTATTTTCTTAAATGATTACAGTTTTAACTTTATATTTACATAAATTTTAGGGCCAAATTGATTTGAGTTCGACTTCACCAGTACTGAGGGATGATATTAAGATTAACCATGTTTGAAATAGTTATAACAGTGTAATGATTTGTATTTGTTTATTAGGTACAGAAACAGTATGGTTGCTGACAGTTTGAAGGCAAACACTAGCAGTTTTTACCTTATCCTTGACCTAATAACATTTTTTGACCTTTACAATGAAGGTCAGATGGAAGAAGCATTAGAGGTAGGCGCCTGATAATGATTATTCTTATTTATTATTTGCCATATTAAAGGTTTTTAAGTAAGTTTATAATGTATGTATTTTCATGTAGCTTTAATATTATTGCACACAAAAAAAGAAAATAATTTCCCATCCCAACTTACCTCTAAGGAATTGGTTCTTCTGGTCAGAACTTAGACGTTAAAAAATAATCGTTCAAAGTTGGAAATCACCGTCCATCTGTACTTTAAAATACTTTTTACAGTTTACTAAATCCTTACCCCTACTAAATATCTTATATTGACTTTTCTATCATTCAATCTGGACAAAACCAGTTATAATTTTGAGGAAAAATTTCAAATATGTTAAGAAAGAATAAATAACAGTGTAGTCCATTATCAGTATGTGCTGATCATAGACATATCTTGTTCTGCATTGGTTGCATGGGTATAATCATTTGCTGCCAGCTGGCTTAGAGTTATAAGGCAGTTTGTGTCAAAAGTTAAATGCTTATCATAATCTTATCTACAGAGCACATCTATCTATTTCAGATTATCAGGCAACTACAGTTGCTTCCCCTTACAACAGAGGCTGTTGAACATAAAGTGAACACATTTAGAAACTATTCTGAGGAGGTAAGATTCTGATTAGATACTAATTGTGACTTTTCTTTGATAGTTTATTTAACATATGTTTTTGTTTTAAATTTTTATTCATAGATGACTTGGACACTTTCAATAATAAATTTTGATAAGTTTTCTTAAATAATGAAAGTTATATTTGATAAATTTCCAATTTTGGGATTCGACTCTTTAATTTTAATGTTTTGGTTTTGTTGCATTACTGTTCATCGTAATTGTTCATATTATCTTCTGACTGAGCTAAACTTTTTATTTGTTAATATTAACATACAGAATTATTTGGTTGTGAGGATGTGTATAAAGATAAAATTCTCTCTTTTTTTTCAGGTTAGGAGATGTCTGCCTGATGTTTTGTTAGCCACTATGAATGTTTTGCATAGTCAATACAGGAATGCAAGGTTAATATTACTGTAAACATTTGACTCTTTTAGTCATTGGGTACTATCATCTCTCATAATATTTTGTATTCATATTTGATGCTAGTTCAATGTCAGATTATTCATTATCAGTTAAAATATAAATTTGGCTTTGTGGATAGGGCCCTATTTTGATTTCATAACTGTATGAAAATTAAAAGCAACACTGAAGCAGCTCTAAACTGGTGTCATAGGCAAATCATTATAAATCTAGAGAATTTAGAAGATTTCTTAGAATTGTTCTGTAAAAAATGTTTTTTTATCAACAGAAATACAGCACCTCAAAGTCCACTTGTGAGAGGAAGAAGTGATGATGGTGGCAAAGAAACAGTAAGTTTACAAGCCAACTTTATTATTCATCTCCGAGAATTTGTTTAAATTTTACCAAGGAAGAAATAAATTTTCTAATTTTTGAAATTTGTGTACATGTACGATTACAAGAAAGGTTTTTTAATTCACTCCTGCCAATAATCATCTTGACTGTTAACAAGTGATTCAATTTATTCATCAATTACTTTCCCATATAAAGTTAAAAATACTGTATGTGATAAAACTGATACTATTTCTATTTTAATCTAAATTTAGTAATCAACTGTACATTGGATGGTATTTTATTTTGTATTGTGATGTAATATACCTGTTATTATGATGCTAGTACTGAGAGAGTGTTTGTAACAATGATTTTTTAGCTCACCTGTCACAAAGTGACAGGGTGAGCTTTTGTGATCGCTTTTCGTCCGGCGTCCGTCCGGCGTCCGTCCGTAAACTTTTACTTTAAATGACATCTCCTCATAAACTACTAAGCCAATTTCATCCAAACTTCACAGGAATGTTCCTTTGGTGGTCACCTTTAAAAATTGTTCAAAGAATTTAATTCCATGCAGAACTCTGGTTGCCATGGCAACCGAAAGAAAAAACTTTAAATATCTTCTTTTAAAAAACCATAAGAGCTAGAGCTTAGATATTTGGCATGAAACATCTTCTAGTGAGTGTCTACCAAGTTTGTTCAAATAAAAGCCCTGGGGTCAAAATTGGCCCCGCCCTGGGGGGTCATTGATTTTCCCTATAGTCATATAGTAAAAACTTAAAAAATCTTCTTTTAAAGAACCAAAAGAGTTAGAGCTAAGATATTTAGCATGAAACATGTTATAATGGGTGTCTACCAAGTTTGTTCAAATAAAAGCCCTGGGGTCAAAATTGGCCCCGCCCCGGGGGGTCATTGATTTTCCCTATATGCATATAGTAAAAACTTTAAAAATCTTCTTTTAAAGAACTCAAAGAGCTATGGCTAAGATATTTAGCATCAAACATGTTCTAATAGGTGTCTACCAAGTTTGTTCAAATAAAAGCCCTGGGGTCAAAATTGGCACCGCCCCGGGGTTCATTGATTTTCCTTATATGTGTATAGCAAAAACTTAAAAAAATCTTCTTTGAGAAAACCCAAATAGCTAGAGTTAAGATATTAAGCATGAAACATCTTTTAGTGAGTGTCTACAAAGTTTGTTCAAATAAAAGACCTGGGGGTCAAAATTGGCCCCGTCCCGGGGGTCATTGATTTTCTTTATATGTGTATAGCAAAAACTTAAAATCTTCTTTGAAAAAACCCAAATAGCTAGAGTTTAGATATTAATTAAGCATGAAACATCTTCTAGTAAGTGTCTACAAAGTTTGTTCAAATAAAAGTCCTGGGGTCAAAACTGGCCCGGCCCCAGGGATGTCATTGTTTTTAACTATATGTGTATAGTAAAAACTTAAAAAAAATTTCTTTCAAAAAGCCCAATGAGCTAGAGCTTAGATGTTTAGCATGAAACATCTTCTTATGGGTGTCTACCAAGTTTGTGCAAATAAAAGCCCTTGGGTTAAATTAGCCCTGCAACGTTGGGGTGGGGTGGGGGTTGGGGGGGCTATATACAGGTGAGCGACCTCAGGGCCATCATGGCCCTCTTGTTGTTTTACAGTATTTGAACTACCTTAGAAGTCAAGCCAAGGCATTGATCATGTTTGCTGGCATGTTACCATACAGATTACCCGGAGATACATACGCTAGACTTGTACAAGTTGAAGTGCTTATGAACTGAAAAACTTAGTGGATAATATGACAAGAAATTACTAGAAATACGTCACTGGTTTTATGACCAAATATCATCTGAATTACATTATTGTAACTGGTTATATATACCAGTTATTTGAGATCATGTTATTAATCAATTACATGTATATCAAAATATACATGATGACTGATGATTAGAATGCATAGTGAATATGAAGAGTGGGCCATTTCCAACATTAAATCCACCATGTCTGTGTTCATTTCTGTTAAGGAACATTGGAGAGAGAGAAAAAAAGAACTAATAATGTGGGTAAAAAATGTTTGTATTGAATACATTAACAAAGTATGATTGACAAAATAAATGACCTTAGAAATATTAGTACAGTTTGTTTTTCTTAAATGTAAAAGATGAGGAAAAAGCATAAAAAGAAATTACTTTTTTACACAATCTTGTCTTATTTAATAAAGCTTAAGTTCATGATGCAAAATGACTACTGATACAATATGTGTTAACTGATTTATATCAGAAATTTTATTCACTGCTATTACATGGTTCTATGTTTAGGAAACGATTTGTTGTTGAACATTATAAATACATGAATTTTGGGGGATAGAAATTCATGATAATAATGAATATTTAATGGCATGGTCTTTATTAAAACCATTCTAATTTTCTTCAAAACAAAGTCCTTGGAATGCGAATAATGAAGGCGATGAAATATGATTTTGTCACTATTTGAATACCACATATTCTCATGTTCAGGGCAGGTAGAACACTTTACTGTACATAATGTTATGTACATATTAATCCTGGTAATAGCCAAAATCCCATATTTCTGCATTCTGTTACTTCTGTCCTTGGAAAACCATACACAGAAAGAAAAAAATGGCCCTTGCATTGGTCCTACAGACACATTCTTTCCAATAACATTCCTTAAATGTGACCCTAATTTGGTAGTGTACTACTCAATGTGTATAGAATGTCGATAGTCATAAACATATATCACAAATGATGCCCATTAAATAATTAATGAAAGATACACTCAATTGGGAATAAATACATTCACGCTTCATATGAGCTGTGTCATGACAAAACCAACATAATGCGTTTGCGACCAGCCTGCGCATCCGCGCAGTCTGATCAGGATCCATGCTTTTCGCTTACAAGTAGAGAAACTGATATCCTGATCAGACTGCGCGGATGCGCAGGCTAGTCTGGATCCATGCTGGTCGCAAATGTATTATGTTGGTTTTGTCGTGACACGGCTCATATAAACTCTTGTTCATCCATGTTTATCTGGCAGATTTGATCTACATTGCTTTCTCTGAAACTTGTGCTTGCACACTGGAATGAAGCAAACTGCAAATATCTTTATGACCCTTCACCCAAGCCGTTTTCTGACATTTTGTCGAACAATACCATGCTTTCTTGCATTTGCTACATCCGGGGAATTTCTTTCCCTCAGAAGCCACCTTTTTGCACTGAGTGCAAGACGTATTATCATCACCCTCGAACTGGCATCGTTTACATAAACACCAGAAGTTAAATGATTTGTAAAGCCATGCTCGTCGTAACCTTCTCGGCATTGATGTATCGATGTAGGTTGTGAACAGCTCTTCGCCGGGTTTTATATCTCTTTTAACGCGCACGTGCACAGCAGGTTTACCTTCCGCAAATCCGTCCATAACTTCGACGTTGTTGTCACAGGCATGGTTAAGGCATGCATGTAGTGGAAACATTCCCGCATATGAAACCATCGGAGGTTTTTCTTCAAGGAACTTCAGTATCTGTAATGACCGCAGGTCTTGTATGTTTGGTAATTTCTCCATGAATTTGTGTTTTGGTGTGATAGACGAGCTGAAGGCTTGAAGATTGCACGTGGCTTGAAAGTATCTCGCCTCGAACTCTGCTTCGTTAATAGTGTATGAAATACCATCCCCACAGTCTGTGAATATTTTCTGAACCAGTTTGAAAATTTCCGGCATACGTTTTACCGCGGACTCGCGGCCAAATGAAATAAACCTGGAAAAGAATAACAAGTTTATATACTGTACATGTATTTCCTGGGTTTTATTTTTTTTTACTAAATGGCATTATTGTTTCCTTAGTTAGAACCAATATCAGCAAAAAACTATTAACAAAGAACGACCGTATTAAAGTGTCATTATGCCCATCCAATGGTATATAGTGAGTGTACAGGTGAAAGTCAAAATAAGTTTACATTTTGCCATAATTCCTCTCAATTTTATAATTTACTTGGAATGAACGAGAATTTACAAAGGTGTGCGTTTCATAAGGAAATTTCTGTAAATATTCTTCGGATTTAAGCTGTAACGTTCAATTTATAAAAAGAGTGGGATTTTAGTTTAATGGTCAATCACTATCTTTTGAAATTTATCGACAATTCAGCTAAACAATGAAATAATGAGCATACATGCACTGTCATAATAAAATTCAAAGTATATTTAAAGCATTGAAGAAGAGCAAAAATAAGACTTACTTTCGAAACGGCATCTTGGCATAAGCCCAGTTCTCACAACTTGGTGAAGTTAGACCAGCCTGCTTCATTTGTCGTTTTGCCTCGGCTACAATAGAGGCCCATAGTTTAGCCAGTATTATGGGACTATACTGCCCCGCCCAAATGTCTTTATAGACGCCCCTCTCGTTCTTTGCTTGACCTTTGTGTTCAATGATGTCGTATAACTCATTGCTAGCAGAGTTAACAGATGGACAGAGAATTTGGTGGTAGCGGTCCCAAGCACCCGCTTGACAGGTGGCGCTGCAATACTTCTCTCGTCTGCAAAACCTACAGTACAATGGCGTCACATCCGGCCAATGTTCCTCAACGAAAGGTCGAAGGTGCGATGGAAGAGTTTTCCAGTTATCTCCAAAGTAATGACTTGGAGTAATCATAGAGTTTCCACAGTGGTCGCAACCAGGGAGGTCAATACAGTGTAATAACTGACCAATTATAACTGGAATATCATCAAATGCATCTTCACCTGGAAAGGAATTCGAATAAGCTTATAACGAAAGATGAATTAAGATCTTTTTATTTATCCCAAAATGTAAAATGGCAGTACTAATGTATCGTAAGTTAGTAAGTTACATGTAAATATGTAATAATTAAAATACATGCAATTTAAAGTTAACATGTGTTGCTGTTTAGAGGTGTTAACTTTATTGTGATGTCTCAATTTGGGGAAAACTGAAACTTTTGTTGTAAATAGGTTATTGCTCTACAGCAGACATGGGGTCGATTACTCCTAAATGTAATCTATCATATAACGATTACATAAATAAATTTTAGATTACGATTACATTACATTATCTGTTTTACTTGTAACCGATTAAATTACAATTACTCTGGAAAAACGTAATCGATTACAATTACGATTACTTTTCATTGTGTCAAGGCAGTAAACAGATCATAAAAATTCCAAATAACACCGACATTTTGATTTACACAAGAACATGAACAGAGCTTCATCACACAATTCGCAAACAATTACAAAGTAACCACGATGACAAAAACAAGTCTTCTACTAAATTTAAATGTGTGATTTACATTTTATCATAATTAATTTTTCAAAAGTTTTATCACTCAGTCTACAAAACTGGAGGTTGTTGTTGAACCAGATATATCAGAACTGCACAGTTTGCATTTTGCTTTTGTTTTATTCCCTTAGCATCTGGTGGTATATAAACAAAAACTTAGAATCCATAACACTTGATTTCTGTGCAGAGAGAATTGAAATATCCACAGTATGTGCTATATAACAGAAAATTATGCACTGGTTTTACACTTCTATTACTGGACAGCAAACTATAGGTATTATTGTACAATATCAGTTATTAATTTTACAAATACTTGTTTAGCCTCAGGCAATAATCAAAGGGCTGCAAGCTCTGTGGTATTTTCTGATCTTTGCAATCTAAATCGTACTGTATATCTGTATGTGTTTTCCTGTATAAGTTTATTTTTATGTACTATAATTCATCTTGCAGGGCACCAGAGTTTGATACATACGGAATTTTGCATAACTAGAGTTGCATCAAAAAATCATTTATGTTCATTTTTTATGATAGCCACACTTTATCCTTGCATATCGTGGCTATTTCCTTAACAAAGACACTAAAAAAAGAATTTAAAAAAATGTTGACTCGACTGGGATTGAACTCCAGACCTCTCACACACGAAAACTGCACCACGGAGAAGTTTTTAAAACAAAGGCTGAATAAAATCAAGTCATTCTAAATTAGAATTTCCATTGCATTTCGGGTAAGGGTAATTTCGAGGTATTTTGTTCAGGGTAATCCTGTTGTTTAAAATTGAAGTAAATAATTTAGCAAAAATCTTCTCGCCCAAACAGTCCAACATGTAGAAACTATATATTCAACTACTCGGCAGTCAGATTTATTTGTGTAGTACTCGGTAATCGACATCGCTAAAAATAGCATTTTCATTGATTAAAATCATATTCATCCGCGTAATTTGTGAGTGTGCATTTATTGACAATTCTATAAGCCAACGCTACTTTTAAAGTTTGAATGTGTAGTAATTTGTTGGACACTTGTAACAAAAAATTGTTTTTTCTTTTAAATTGCTGGTTTTGAGTGAGAACTACTTTGCGTTGTTAGGTCTGTAAGGAAATTTTGTGTTAGACCGTGGATGTTCGCTATGTATTTACTGATCTGCGATCAGAAAATACAAAAATGATAACAAACGGTGAAAATATTTTTGGCATATAATTTAAGATTGTGTATAGTCAAACAGTAAAATTAAATAACTCAGTCTAAAGTAAAACGTACGAAAAGTAAAATAAAATTAAATAAATTTCAACTTTAACTGAATCTGTTAAAATTAAAACATTATATTTATTACACCCAGTGCACTTTGCAGTATCTTTAGTATGAAATATCATAATTGCACAAGTATATAATATAGCAGTACTATAATTAAAGTTTTTTCTATGCCAAAGTAATCGATTTTTGAAATGTAATCGACGATTACACCATTTTTCGCGCATGTAATGATTACATTTGTACAATTACGATTAAATGTAATCGACTTTTAAAATGTAATCGATTACATGGACAAATTGTAATTAATTGCAATCGATTGCAATCACGAGTACCCAATGTCTGCTCTACAGAGGGACGCTCTACAAAGGTTATACTGTGTAAATAATGTATAAGTTTACCTGGCTCGAGCGTGTCTGTTGCGTAAACGGCTCTGCCGTAATCTGTAAAATCAACCTTCACTGGATAGTCTACAGTTAAAGGTCCATAAATCCTTTTAACTCGAACTTTCTGGAACAAAGTAGGGGCCTCCAAGTCCTTCTTCCGTTCTTTCTCTGGGATCAGGGCCGTTGCCTTTCTAAACCAGAACTCTGCCATTACAGGCAGATCAAGCTTCGATAAGATTTTACCTGTAACATGTGAAATTATATAATGCTCCTTACAACAATTCAAACTATAATTATATAAAATTATCTTATTAACTCAAAAGTAATGTTATAATGTTCTTGTTGATTACTGCCTCAAACTATAACATTTAATATCTATTCAAAGTCGTTCCTTACCTCCAAGTTTCCAGACCTCGGCTATTCTGTGTGGTTTTGGTATGCTCATAAGATCACGGAGGGCATTAACATGTTCTCCCAACTCCCAGAAAATCTCTGCACGGATTTGTATCATTCTTGCATTCGTCCCATCCTTACGTATCGCCACTTGGATACATTCGAGCGCCTCCTGTAGGCGGCCATCTTCGCGGGAATTATACGCCATTACTGCAATAGACGCTGCGTCTTTACGTGTCTTCATATCAATCTGAGCCGGAGCAATATATTTAGTGGCGTCAATTTTGTGCTTCTTTAAAAGAATCTCAACCTCCAATTTAAAAAGTTCGTTATCACCAGGGTAAACGTCTTGGGAACAAAGTTCAACAGCGTTGTACTCTCTTTCAGCAAGCTCACTGTCCCTTTCATAATCAGATAACAATACATTTTGAAGGTTACGCAAGTCCTCTGCAATCTCGGAGTTTTTGGGATCTTGTACTAAAGCCTCCTTGTAGAATTCGAAACTTTCCATGAAACTTTGCAGTTTTAACGCGGATTTTCCGGCTGCTATGAGAGCGTTTGATGACTTTGGATTGATTTCAAGCGCACTTTTTGCGTCATCAAGAGCTTGACGATAAAGTTGACTCTTGTAAAACAGTTTTGAACGATCGACATAGTTATCTTCCGATTTCTCGATATCTAACAATGCTGTTACTGCAACAATCTCCTTTTCAGTTTCTGTTAGATTTTCCATGACTGTTAGTAGCAAGAAATCTGGAAATAAAAATTAAATAGAATTAGCAAATAAAGATATGTCTATAATTATATTTGTTGATGAAATATTACACAGTAGAAAATAATAATTTGATATGCTGCTGATAAACTCGCTTCCCGTCAATCAGTTATATATAAGTGCATGACTTTGACGAAGTTTTATAGATGTTCAAGAGACATATTTCTGAAACATGAATACAGTATTAAAGAAATGCAGCGGATATGTAATGAGGCATTTATCAACTCGTGTTCATGAAAACTGAACGTGAATGCATTTAATGTACTATACGACTATACAAGCGATCTTAGGTTTCCTGATTTCAGTCAACTCTTTATTGTAACCCCGCACACCTACTCCCGAAGAAATGTGCCGAGTTTGTACCTTCCGGCTTGACGACACCAAAATAGCCCGATATATATTAAGGCATTTAGCCTTGGTTTTAAAATGTACCTTCTTGTTGCATAATTGCAGGTTAAAAATATCAGAAAACCTGAAAACCCTGAATTTAGTAGGTTTTATATAGAAAAAGAGAACTTTCAAGGGTAGAAAAAAACACCTGAACTTCAGGCAAATGTCTGACAACTTGCACACATGTTATTGTTCCAGCTGTATAGATTTTACCAGGAGATTGATTGAAAATCCAAGAGTAATTATAGCTACAGTTGACTGAACATTGCTTTTATCCCTGTTCGTTATAAATTATTTAAGGAAACAACGTTTTGGTGTAAAAACACCTATTGACTTTCGTCATTTAATCACTAAATTAGACCCTCTAAAATTCTATAATCTTTAGTTTTTCACTGAAAGCTTCTTTTGTGTGTGTGTGTGTGTGTGTGTGTGTGTGCGCGCGCGCGCGTGCGTGCGTGCGTGGTTGTGTCCTGATACGGTTTCCGAAAAGGTATATATAAGCCATACAATTGAGGATCGAATTTTTACAACATCGTTTAACACATCTTCAACAGAAAGAAAATTTATTCATTTTAGAAACATAATGTGCCTGCATTATTTCAACTTGGATGCTATATATGGTCATTAATAAATACCGATACAATTTTGAATGCCTTATGGAGTAGTTCATATGGAAACGTGTAATGTTTTTCGATCGTGATTTTGAACAATGTTTGTCGGTATAATATACTTAACGACCATGGTTAAAGTAATAGACGGCTGTAGAAACTGATACATTAAGAAAATGCAAAGGTCAACAACGAAGTCTTGTTGTAATAAATGCTAGGATAAAGCGTGGTACAATAAAATAATTTAAAAAAACACTAAAAGTATATTTGAATTTCTGTCTATATAGACGTTCTTCAGATTTAGCCGTACAAATTCGACAGCACTCTTCGTAAATTGTCTATCACAATTCCATAAAACATATACAACTACATGTGTGTTTAGTTTGACTACTAGTATATTAACACAGTACATAGCATAATGGTTCGTGTTGATCATATGAATTATTTACCCATCAATAAACATGCAATAAACTATTCAAATAAATTTATAAATGTACAAGAAACTACTTACATTTTGACAATCCGTTTTACTGAATTATGTTTCACGACTTTTTACATCTGTGTACAAGATATTATCTGGACAGCCATATGGGCTTATGAGCGTGTAAGCATATTGTGTAGATTAATACTGCCTCAGATTACGCGAATACCTATAGTGTTACCATGGTAACAAATATGTGTAGCTAGCTAGTATACTGCCAGCGGAAGCTCACCTGTCCGACCGTAGAGAAGGTCGGATCGTCGTTTATACTTACACATTATATATTTAAGGGGGAAATGAAAAAGTAATTTAGTTTAAAATGAATACGATTATATTATATATTATTCTGTGTTACTGATGCTGTTACTGATATCTGTAATCCAGACTCAACTCTTAAATTTCCGTTTGTCTTCGGATAAAGTGTTTGCTGATACGGCTAAAATTGTTATTACGAAGATCACTGTATTTTTAATGGACTTTCCTTTTAAAAATACCCAAATATTACTGCTGATGTGTTTAAAAAATACACATGACTTTAAATTGGGAAGATTAATTAATTACTATACATTATACAATAACGATTATATATATATATATCCTATAGCTGCTATGCTAACATTAGCGGCTGGCAGGTATTCAAAAATACTTCTGGTTAAATTTTATGGCGGTCACTTTAAATATATTTTCTTTTGGCGGTCACTTTAAATATATTTTCTTAAAGTGACCATATGTTTTTTTTTATCTACTATTAACGTGTGAATAATGGTCAGCTTCTGCTAAAGTCGGGCCTACATTAATTAAAGATAACTATCGCAACACAATTATAATATCATATCGGTGAAATAGATGTATAATTATAATTTAGATCACAGTACCAGAGATGCTATCTATGTCTTTGACAGTACACTATACAACAAAATACGTACATCAAATAATATACTACTTACCAAATAAAAACAGAATATATCATAAATTTACAAAAATAAATCAAAATATAAACTGCGAAATGTTGTACCACAGAACACAAAAGCACGTACGTACGTGTATTTGACTAAAATAAGATGTACGTCTGTCTATATAATGTTTCAGGAAAAACATTGACTAAGATCGGTAAGCCGGTTACATAATTAAAACGATCATAAAGATCTACATGTATAATCATTGGTTTTATACTATATTAGTCTGTAATTGCATATATACTGAACAAAAAAAAAAGAAACTTCCCAGAAGTGATGCAAGATACGGTATATTTTTTAGTGGGCTCTGAATCTTTTGGTTTTTGACACATTTAAGATGAACACAGGGGTTTTTATATTTTCTGATCGTAAGATCAGTAAATACATAGCTAACATCCACGGTCTAACACAAAATTTCCTCACAGTCCTAACAACGCAAAGTAGTTCTCACTCAAAACTGCTTATAAAACCAGCAATTTAAAAGAAAGAATAATTTTTAATGTAGGCATTTAACGAATTACAGTGCATTAAAAGTTTAGATTAGTCAACAGAAATATGAGGTTACAATCACAAATTTCGCGGATGAATATCTTTTTTACCCAATGAAAAATGTTCGGCTATTTCCGTAAAGCTTCGGATTATCATGAATATCGTTTTAATCAATGAAAATGCTATTTTTAGCTGTGTCGATTACCGAATACTCCAGAGCGTAGTACACAAATAAATCTGACTGTCGAGTTGTGGAATATATACATGTCGGACTGGTTTGGCGAGAAGATTTTCGCTAAATTATTTTCATCAGTGTTAAACAACAGGTTTATCGTGAACAAAATACCTCGAAATTAATAAGGATCACAAACACGAAATGGAAATTCTCAATTTAGAATTACATAATGTATTCGTTTTTATTCAAGGTACATATGTATAACTTCGCCGTGGTGCAGAGGTAAGCGGTCTCGTTGAGGGTGTGAGAGGCCTATGGTTCAAATCCTAGTCGAGGCAATTCTATTTTTTTCATACAAAATTCCATATGTATCAATCTCAAACTGTTATAGAAGAAAATCAAAACGCTGTCGCTGCGTAAGATGAATTATAGTATATAAAAATAAACTTATACAGGAAAGTACATACAGATAGTCAGTATGATTTAGATTGCAAAAATCAGAAAATACCATAGAGCTGCAGCCCTTTGATTTAATCAATGTTGTCATATTTTCTTCCAAGGTCCGATACTCGTGCCTGTGATATACACAAATATGAAAATCAGGATTAAAGTAGATTTTTTAATTATATGTATAAAAAGAGTATTTTATTGTGTGTGTGTGTTTTTTTTTTTTTTTGGTTTTTTTTTGTTTTTTTTTTTGTTTTTTTTTTGGTAAAAAAATACTGCGGAGGGTTTATCCAAACAAAGTGAAATGGTAGTTAAGATGCAGAAGGGGTCGGGTCGCCCAACAAAATCACAAATTAATATCGGGTATGAGAAGGACTGCCTGGTATCGCTGGCGCATAGAAAAGATCAGCGTATTGATTTTGTCTTGTGAAATGTTGTTCCATTTCTAAATTAAGGCTTGTCTTACTGAATGACGTGTAACGGTGGAATAGGGCGACGTCTAACACCATGGTCCCAAATTATCCCAGAAGGTGTTCAATGTGATTTAGATCAGGGCTTTGGGTAGGCCAGTCATTGATAAATGCAATTTTATTCACCCTGCAGAAAATCTCAGTTTCCCTAGCTGTATGGCTTGTGGCATTATCATGTTGAAAAAGAGTGATATTGGCATCGTTTGAAACATACATGTATGCCACACAAGAATTTAATTTTGGTAGCGTTTGGCATTCAAAATCCTTTCGATAACGACGAGATAAACGCGACAGCCGTGTGCAATGCATGCCCAGACCAAGACAGAAGCCCCACCCCCAAAACGACCTTGTTCATGCAAGTACGCAGCAGTCGACAAAACGTTCATTTCTCCTTACTTGGTCGATCTGCTACGCCCTGGTGCTTAAAAACAATGCCTAAGATGTCGAATAGCACGAGTAGAACATCCAATATTCATATCAACGACATTCATCGTCATACCAGCATTAAGCATGCCAATGGCACGTTATGTAAATTTTACGGAATTCTAAGCATATAAAAAATAAAGAAAACTGGAGAAAATTTTTTAAACGGAAAGGTTTCATAAAATATACACGAATCTACCAGTCCGTGCATGCACGTGAAAATTGCGTTCAGGGTGTTTCTTCTGCAAAACGAGTTAAAATTGAGTTAAAATCGAGTTAAAATTTGTTTTATCGGACACATTATCGTTCGCCCGTATATATATATATATATATAGCTCATTTGACATTTTGATTTTTTTAATGACACTATACCTTCGCTTACGCAGGGGAAGTTTTTTATGTGGTTTCTGCGCTCCATTCTTTTAGTTAGTGTCGCGAAGTAGACAACCGGAAGTAACATTTGTTTAGAAATGGCGGTCTATGAAGTATTTTCGCACCCGGAGTTGCGTAGATATCGCACTCATATTTGTTCTAAAGCCTCAATTCTACTAGTGATAATACTTTTTCTTACATTTATACCTCCTCTATTCATTGTGTATAGAAGCTATGGTGAGTATACCATCATAATGCCATAAAATGTATTTAAATGTGGAAACATGTTTGGTCTTGTAGTTAAGCAATGGACATCTAGTGGGTGGGGTAAAATATTTATTTTTTTTATTTAAAAAGAAAACAATAATATATCATCTACTTCTACTGGACACTTAACATTCATAACGGTATTACTCTAAAATTCATAATAAGATTATAGATTTCAATTATTAAAAAATAAATATTAATCTAGAGCTCAATTTAAATTTTATAAAAACTTTAACATACTAGAATAGTTATAAAAGTGGCTAGCCGTACAGGCCTGTATTGCTAGCCAAAAGTTCAAACCGTATGTGAGTCAGGTAGCCTATACACACTGTTGAGGCTAGCCGTACAGCATTTTTCAATCATAAATAAATGCAATGGTGAATTCAGTAACTTGAATATACATGTAAATAATTTTATGGATCATGCTTGACCTTTTATTATGACAAGATAAATCTATCAAAAATGAATTCACCTTTATTTAAAGAGTTTTTATGAGTGTATGGTTATAAATAATAAATAAATACTTTGTCATAATCTAACTAACGCTGGAATTGTCCCACAGACATTATTTTTTGTCAGTTTAAATCGGTGATTGATACGATAACATTCTTCAGCAATTTTTTCCTTATATAAGTGGTACCGAATAACGGACCCATTCACAATCACAAACGGTCTTTCACAATTTTCAGAATATAGTTTAATGGAGTTAATGTCTGAAAGGGCAAAACTATATGTTAAACAAGGGTCTTTCAATTAGATAAAACACAAATTAAGGGGAATTTTGCAGCAGTATTTTTGATAATTTAAACTTTGTGGACAAAGATTTTTTAAGCTGAATGAATTTAGATTAGTCTTTCAGTTGACCGGTTACCTAATGATGAAAGGCATTTTTCAGAGAACTGGTCAAATTTTTAGGACATATTGTGATCAAATTGTACATTGCAAATATATAGGTATACATCCGGTTATAGTGAAGAACAGAAGAATATGCCCTCAAAGAGTGGTAAATTCTTTGTGAAATTTGGATTTTTTTTTTCACGATTGTTACGATACCGGACCCATTCACAATTTAAGGGCAAAAAAATTGCTGTTCTTAAAAATGCATTCGTGAAAAACAGGTGCGCTGCATCTTTTAATGGTGAGCAAACAACCAGCCTGAAAATTTCAATACAAGCTATAAAAGTGTAAGGGATGACATTGTTATTACAAATATATTACACCTATATTGTCAATGAAAATGATTTAATACTGTTTTAATTTATTTCTCTTTATATTTTCTCACAGACTTAATTGATTTAACTTTAAGTCTGTACGTTATCTGATCATCTGCCTTTGTGAGTAAAGATCTTTTTCTCATCAGGATAATATTGTTTGCAGAAAAGCATAAATGTAAGGAAAAATTTGAAATCTGAATAAAATGTGAAAGTTTTATTTAGATGTCTTTTATTGAAATGTTAATTAATTAGAGGAGAAAATGTGTAACTCACTAACTGTAAGCTGTTCTTCTCTCGGCTATGTGATAAATAGAATATTTATGTACTGTGAATTCATTACTAAATTTAATGAACTTGTTGAATAAAACAATCTATTATGATTGCCATAGGCATGCATACTATGATTTATTAGTTGAACTCCTTCAATAAAGTAAGCATTAAATTTGAACCTGCACTCATTCAATATCCTCTATGTATACCATACTGACTGAATTTGTCGCAGTGAATGTTTGAACTGAATGAGAGAAAGTTCTATGTTACCCCATATTCCCTTGTCAGACCACAAAAGCAAGAAGCTCAATCAGATATCGTATTAAATAACACTACACTTTAGGAAAACTTTTACACAATCTTCTGATCTTCGTTTTTTTTAAGTGTTTGTCTCAATTACTTTTTAAACAAGTTTAAATAGGAAAACAAGTTTGAGCATCAGTCATTTATGGTTCAAAACTAGGTCACAAGGTCAAAGAAAAGGAAAACCATGTTAACACTCTATAGACTAAGTTTTTTATCTGGTCTTAATGAAACTTGCAAAGAGTGTCTTGATCTACTTAAGCCTTTTCATTGTAAATGTATTCTCATATAATATTCTGTTAAGCATAAGGGTGCTCCATTCTGTTGAGCATGAGGTCAATGTAACCATTAACTTTTCTCAGGTGAGCCCTAAAAGGGCCACCAAAACCTTCATAAAAGAGGGAACAAATTCAACATGGAGATGTGTATTCAAGAGGATGCAACTGTGATGCTGGGTTAGGACTGTGAACACAGGAAATTTTGCGATACTGAAAACAATGCAACATTAATTTATTATTCTTGCATGGCAGACTGGCTTTTCTGTGAGTTTTACTCATGCCAGAAATTCATGTGGCATGGGGTTCTAGATGACTGATGAGTCGCGTTCCATACAACAACGTCATTTTAGCGCATTTTATGAATGAACCGTGTTAAAATGACATCATTTTAGAAGGAAACTACATGTATGTGCTTAGGACGACATAATTTCGCCATTGTTATTAAAGTTGTAATTTTATATGCTATTGTTCTTTTTCAGGATTTTGGTTAAAAACTGACACATACAGGGAATATCCAGAGATTCATTTCAAGAATGAGTTACTTATGGTTGCAGAGCTAGAAGGGGATAATAACTATGTTACATATAGCACATTCCAGGCATATAATACTCTACAGCAAGACCGTGTCCGCATTCCAGTTATCACTGTAACTATACTTTTTGTTACTTTCATTTTATTATTGATGTTTAGAAATTTTTATTAACACAGTGACTGACTTTTCTTATAGCATTGAAAAATAAACTCAATGATATTAAAAAGAAAAAAAGAATATTATTCAGTAAACTTTTTGTGTGTTAATTGTAGATAACTTTTGATTACTGTATTTACACATTTACATTTACTCATAATGTCCAATTGTTTTTCTTTTTTTTTCACGTAATCTTACTTTTGACTACATCTAGATTGAGTGTGCCAAACTTGGTATTTATGACCTTGTTTGTTCCATTGTTTTAATTTGTGTCCAATAATCCTTTTGAAAATTTGTATCTCATTTCTTTTTACGTTGTTTTAACAAAAATTAAATTAAGGATTTTCTTATTAGTCTAGAGAGGAAGATGTAAATGGAGATGGGCGACCAGACAATTTGTTATTCAACATGGAGCTACCTTTGACAGATACAGAAAACATTCTTGGAATTAAACTCATTCTGATCTTTGATTATAAATTATTTGTAAGTATAAATTACGTTTTTTACTGAATAGACTTGTTTGACTGGGTATCTTATAGAAGGTCAGTGGTTCTTCTCATATGCAAGCTCCTAACTGAACTAATCCAGCTGAAGTCTTTGAATTCTAGTATAATTACAATGGTTTATTCAAATTGTTATTGTCCCAACATAAAAGTAGCAAAGGCTTGAAATGTTTCTTTAAATTTGTAAATGTGATTGATATTTTTTATGTTTTCCAAAGTTTCAGATACCTTAAGGCTCTTTTCCCCCTAGATTGTATAGTGAATGACATGTTTAAGTGAATTTTGTGGAAATACTTTATATGATCTTATATATTTATTTGACCAACCATAATAAACATTTACATGATTTGGCAGAGGTGCCTGTTTACAGCTGTCTTATTTAAGTATAGGTATGGTAAGGAAAATGTTTGGTATTGCACAGAAGTTATTAGATACATCTATAGAAACAATATTTATTTTATCTTTACCATTTTTTGTGTCGCCTCTACAGAGAAGTGGCGACATATAGGGGTCACTTCTCCGCTGTCTGTCTGTCCGTCTGTGTGTCCGTCCGTCACAAAACTTGTCCAGACGACTCCTCATAAACTACTGGTGCAATTTCATCCAAACTTTACAGGAATGATCAGTACCAAGTCTAGTTGTGCATATTGTCAACATTTTCCGTTTCAATGATTTTTGTCAGAGTTATGGCCCTTTAATAATTTTTATTTTTAAAGTTTGTCCGGACTACTTCTCTTATACCACTTATGCAATTTCAATGAAACTTTACAGGATTGATCTGTAGCTCAAGTCCTTGCGCATATTGCACGGGTTTTCCGGTTGAATGATTTTTGGCCGAGTTATGGCCCTTTGATAAAAAGGTGTTTTTTTCTGTGTGTTGCCAGATACACAAAAGCTTGTCCGGACTACTCCTCATAAACTACTGGTGCAATTTTATCCAAACTTTACAGGAATGATCAGTACCAAGTCTAGTTGTGCACTGTCCGTCTGTCTGTCCGTCTGTCACAAAACTTGTCCCAACATGAAATTGGCCATCATGAGGCGACACATGTGATCACTGATCGCTCTTGTCTTATGAAATTCCTGTTAATAATGTGTTACACTTCCACAGTGTAACAAAAAGTTTATTAAACTTTAGATATTACAATTATGAATACTCTTTTACAAGAATTGGCTTGATGGAAACCTGTACCTATATTTCAGCAATTTTCAACATTAACTATGGAAGGAATGGGATACATCAACCATGACAGTATGAAAGCAGGTGCTAGGTATGATGTTGTAGGTGAACTTCGTTTTAACCAAAAGGAACCATTACCACATAGAGGAACATATAACAAATATAATGTAAGTAATGAAAGGAGGTTGCTACTTGTATCAGTAAAAACGTGGCATAACATTTAGTTCTTGTTAGGTTATACATGTATATATAAACTTATAGTTCTCTTTTTAGCTGCTAGTTAATTGAATATTTCTTGGATATTCTTTTTATTGTAGTTGATATTTATAATGACTGTTAGTTAATCATGGGTAGGATATAGGTGATGGGGAGAGTAGTATTCAAAGACTGAAACATTTTATCTATTACACTTATTTTTTCATTATAATTCAAAGATTTATAAACTATAAATCTTATTTTTATTGATATTATATTATACTTTTGTTTTCCAGACATCAGTAATTGACAGCACCAGTATACATGCAGAAGCTTATCATTTTCCAACAATTTTCAAGAACTATGTTGCCAGGAATTTCACCACGTATCTCAATGCTCCATACACGATGTGGAGCGGTGGACGCGGGGCGGACCAACCATTTGTCCTGTCAGCAACAATAGCTTACCCGGAGGAACTGTTTAACTATACTCCTGGTTTCTGGTATCTCATCAAGTGGGGTTGGGTACAATATGTGTCGGTGTTGTTATTGTTCCTGTTTGTATTTGATAGAATAAAGGTGTTTATATACCAGAACCAGTTGGTCACTACAATGGTGGACAGGCCCTGGAAAGAGGAAATTAAGCTCAGTTAGGTTTATCTAATGATATTTTGTTTTAGACCTGTGATATTTAATTGATGCCAGAGAAAGAATGTGAATTTGTACCTATCTTGTAATGAAGTCAAAGTGTCGGTGAATTGCATTGTTTGTTATAATGTTATGGAAAGCAAAGTGAAAGAGATGTTGCCATCAGTTGTTGATAATTTTCAGAAGTATGAATTTAACTAGAACCAAGATTACATAGACTAAGTAATAGATGTAAGTTTTGATGCATCTTGAGAGATAAGAAATTGACTACATGTAAGTCATAGATATGGTACAATATCTTTGAACATATCATTACATACAATGAGTGGCGATAGGTAGAACATAGTTCAGTAGAACATAGTTTATATTCTGTACTAATATCAATGAGTTCTTTTGTATTTATTCATAATCCGTCCATAAAAGGTTGATTAATCATCAATTTGATTTGGATTTTTTACAATTTTACAAAACTGTATTGTATTAGTATTTACATGTGTGAATGATTTATTCATGTCTGTGAAACTTTAAAGTGAGTGTAGGATTTGATTGGCCGTAAATGTTTACTAGAGAATAATATTCGGCTGAATTCATACCTGGGCAAGGAAATAAGAAAGTCAATTCATATCATACTGCCTTATCCAATGTGCGAGTTACTCATATTCTTTACACAAAATTGAAAACATAATGTACATGTATGTAGTTATTTGTATATTTTTGTGTATAAATTTGTAATATATGTAGATATTTTTACAGCAAAATATAAGAATGATTTTTAAGATATTTGTTGTCTTTCATTTATTTTTCACTCCTTGGTGGTAATTTAAATGAAGATAGGAGTGGAAATCCAAGAAATTGATAAAAAGTAATTATACATTTTAGCTCCATTAATCAAAGAACATTCGGACTATCTTACATCATCAGCATAGCAGTTAAACTTTTGTATGAAACTCCTTATTTCATTCACTTCTGAAGATATTCACTTCAAACATGTCTTTGGTATAATAAGAGTGGTTCACTGTATGTAACCCATAACTAGCATTAATATTGTCTGACTTTTACCTCTTTGGAACTAAAAATTCCTGGTTCATTTGATGAACGTCCACAGCCATTGAATGAATGCTTTTAAAACTTCACAAATGTTTTACAGATAGCAGTTTCAGGTCATAATTTAACAAAATTACAATTTGTTAATTGGCTCATTAAGTTTTTGCCACAATTGATGAAGGTATTTATTTGAAAATAAACCCATCCTTTGGATCGTAATTGTACATTACTTAATGTATGTAACTAAGTGGTAATAATTCACGTCAATGCAAATTCCACAGTATATTCGTCAAAGATATGAATTTTGAGCCAAAAGTCGATGAGAACCTAAATGTACAGTAACCTGAGACAATGAAAAGAGGTAGCCATTTAAAGGGCTGTTGGTCATAAGCAAAGGGCCTGCCTTACAAGCCATCAATCTGTGCTAAGAGCCCGCGCACGCTAGCACACCATCCTCGTCGTCTCTGCCTACATCGTTGGCCTTAGTTGAGTCCCCAGTTGTTGACGAAGTAGCAAACCTGATAATGGGCAGGGTAATTTATGATTAAGCTGCAAATCTTCCGATGCCCTGTGCCTTCTCAGTGTCGTGCATGCACCGAGGGGAAGTGAGAAGTGTTTATTACTGAAAAAAGCCATATACCTTTTGGCATTGATATTCACAGAGATCTTTCCTTTTATTATAATGGAAAACTTGTGAAAAACCAAAGCTTATATTAACTATCAAGCACTAAGAAATACAGTTCTACCATGTCCATTTGACAGCTCCTTGCTGTTTCCTATATTGGCAGATTAAAAACAAACAAGTTTATATGATTTTATTGTAATTTATGTAATTACTGATAATCATAAGGAATAAATATACACAAACTCTTTCAACAATACATCTCCTGTGAAGTAGTCCTGGTACAAAATTGTACATAATTCTACTGTAAGAATGTAAACGGTATGTTTAATACTAAACTTGACCATTTTAATTTCAATCATAATATATCTATCAACTGAACACATAGTCCAATCTGTTTTAAAAAATTAACAATTTCTGTTTTACAAATTTGACATTAACCTGTTTAGGTATTAAAGCATGTGCAATATTTTGTTACCAAAGGGAGTTCTTTCAACATCTAGTTTTCAAAAAAGAGACGTAGTGAATAGCCAATAAATTCCACAAATTCAAAGTTATCACTAAATCAACTAGAAAGAAAAAAAAATGTGTCTATTACTACCACATAACTATTGTTAGCTTTATAGGCAAAAACATTTTGTTATAAAAGGTTTATTCTAGTACAGTATGGGCTGGTGAAAAATAGGGTGATTTTTCTTAATATAAGAGGACTGCTTCACTGAGGCTATTAAATGATATCTAACATGGTTTACCTTGTAAAAGACTGGCATACATTATTATACAGCATGTGCAATATTGTTGCAAAGAAATATTACAATATACATGACTTTTGTTCTCAAATGAATGAACATAATTGTAAGTTCTCATTATAAGAGAATTGAAACACATTAAATTTTCAGTGCATCAGAGAAATTAACTTGAATCTACAGCTTTTTTGTTACTATTGTAACTTGCAACTTTCTAAGATAACACTCCAAAATTTATATTTATTGCCCAAATACATAAATACATGTATAGCCAGAGTTATCAACAATGTTAATTAAATATTACAGATTTTGAGGTTGTGCTAATTAGCCATTCAAGAAAGTATAAGTGCCAAACTTATATCAAAGCACCACAGATCATTAACTGGTCTTAATTTGCACTAGTTGTTCTATATTTTCCTTGTGAAATTTTTATACAAACATGTTAATCACTAAAATCTTATAAGCCAAGCTTTATATAAGCTGATTTTCATAATTTTGCTATGACACAATTGCAATTGTCAACAGGAACACATCCTGTTTTCCTGTACAAGCAATTTGTAGTGCCTCTGCTTGGCAAGATATCCTTATTGGTGGATCACTGACCCTATGCATCGGATGACAAATGAAGCAAAAAATAAAACCTTTCATATATCAAGTTGACAAAATTGGCACATACAATAAAATTAACATGTGGCAAATGATAATACAATTGTTGGTGCAAATAATATATTTTCCCCGCTGCCATGATATGTTAATTTTGTGCATTTGATATGCCAGTTGGAACAAATGAGGCAAATTCTTTTGTTAAATGGATGTTTATAAGAACTAAAGTTACATTTTATTAAGTTCATAAAAATGAAACATATACATGACTGTATGTGTCTGAGTTGCCAAAAATATTTCAAGCTAATCTCAAATTACTATTTATATTAACATCCATTTCACTTTTGAGGGAAATGGCACTGTTTTTATGTTGTGTTATAGTAGGGGAGAAAACTATGAATTTGGCTTTAAAAATTTACAATTTAAGCAGTAAACAAAAATTTCAATACCATTTGTTTAAAAGATACAAATGATTATGCTTTTAACAAACCCCATGTTAATTTATTAAACAATAACCCATGAATATAAGAAACACAATAATGTGTAACCCCAGTTTCCATAGAAACATCATTAAATCATGGAAACTCGGGTTTCAATAGAAACATCATTACAAAGATTTTTTTTGTCAACTTAAAAATCCATATAGTATGATTATGCTATACATACAAAGAAATATAAGTAGAGCATGTACATTTGTTTAAATTCTTTTCATAAATATTTACACTATTTTAAACAAATTTCAACCAATACACACATCACAAGCGCACAAGACTCACAAAGACCACTCATACTGGGACTAGATAAGTAAAATGTTAGCACTTTTCTTATTCTAACAATTTTTTAAGTTAACTTTGATGTTTTCACTGAAAGAATAGTACAAGATGATAAATTACATTGGAAACAAAACACTCTTTTATCAGATATTAACATTCAAGCTTTTCCTTAACTTCATAAAATTATAAATCTTTATTTTAACAATAAAATTACTGAAACCACCTATCGTCACCTTAGTGCAATCAGTGATTAACTTGTATTAAATTCAAAGGACTTATTCCGTTATTGAACTAAGGTGCACAACATGGGAAATAACAAGAGTGATCAGTGATCACGTGTCGCCTCATGATGGCCAATTTCATGTTGGGACAAGTTTTGTGACAGACGGACAGTGCACAACTAGACTTGGTACTGATCATTCCTGTAAAGTTTGGATAAAATTGCACCAGTACTTTATGAGGAGTAGTCCGGACAAGTTTTGTGACGGACGGACAGACGGACAAGTTATCCCTATAGAGTAGTGGCGACACAATAAATATGCACATTATTTCATTAGTTATCTTTGATGACAAACAAATCTAATTTACATGTGCACTGAACAAGTGATGTAATTTTTTTCTCATCTATATGGTGAAATCACATTTTAATCACTGAAATAAATATGAGTAAATATTCAATATTTCAATAACAACAACATGTTATCATAGATCTTAAATTGAAAAAAAAGACAAGAGAGTAGAGTGAGCAAGACTTCTAAAAAATCAGGGAGCCCTGGAGAGCAATGAAAAGAAAGCATGTAAATGATAACTGCACTCAGGTTTTATTGGGTTTGTTCACATAGAGAAAAAGTAAATCACACTGGTACGAATTGACACCAATATGCTTAATCCAGCTTAACGTACAGTAACTAAACTAGTGTGCTAAAGACAGCAAAAACATTTTGTATGTCACCAGATTTAGTGCATTTTTTTTCCATCAAAAAATAGCTATGAGCACTACTTAAAATGTATTTTACTTTTGCATATTATGTTGTTTATAATGGTCCCTCATGATGTACATGAGCTATGAATTTATCATACAATCCAATATATTAACAAACACACTTGGTCTTTTATATTCCCTGATGGAATAAAGGTATAGCTTTATTTACTGTGTATAATGATCATTCATATGTATTTATTATGAAAAATTGCACTAGCATTTCAAATTAAATAAAACAAGTGTAAAGCAAGTGATATATTTACTGATATATGCTATGTACATATAAAATTATTTTCTTTACTTGATGCTCTCATATAATCAATAGTAATAAATTTATGAAACTTTACGAAGTCACTTAGTATGACATCAATTCAATATCCTTAACAGTGATACATGTTACTTTCTAAATCCTTCCAATGAACCAAGATGGTTTTGAAATCAAAACATCAACTACTTTGGTGCATGCCTGGATTTTAGCCCAGAAGGTTGCGACCTCATTAAACATAAAAAACTTATAATAAAAAAAAAAACCAGAGTTGTCGTCTGCTGTGACACCATTTTTTCATGCCAGAATCATGATATACACACCTCTATGAGAACCTTTGAGCTAAAAAAGACATCTTTTGTAAGGTTACAACAACACAAGGGTTGTATAGCAACTTTCTGGTTTTTAACAATAACATAGTACCCGTAAACTATTCTAGCCACAAGCTGACAAGTTCCATCATCTATCAAACTTAACAACATTTTTGAAGACCTCATTAACTGGCAATCCAAATGGGATTCAAAATTTTGGTAAAATCCAGTTATTTCAAACCAATAAATCGAAATTTTGGAATGACCTGTTATTGCAAACCAACAAATAAGTGGCTAACAAGGCTACTAAAATACATTTGTCTCTGATAAAAATAGTGAAAAACAATTATTGTAAATGGAGGGCGGCTAGAGTTTATCTGATGACTGTATACTTAATAGCTGCTTAGAGTTCAAGTTGATATGTTTCTTTTTCTGAGTATTTTATTTCAATGGCTTTTTTAAAAGTACTTCATGACTTGATTACTAAGAAAATGAATTCATCCAATGTTGAGATCACATTAAAAATTACTGTACAAGTTACAAAATCACCATCTTTTGAAGGGATAATGATAAAATACTAGTATATAAAACCAGTCTTATTAAAAATAATTGTAAGCTAAATAAGCAATTATTATATAATATATCTAGCTTATCATATGAAATGTAGATATTTTCTAGTATTTCATAGACATCCACAGAATCTCTGGGCTTTTAACCTTTTGTATCCAATAATCAGAACACAAACATGGAAAATATTAGTGTAAATCTACTAAAGCAACTAATATGAACCCCAAATACTACTGCATTCTTCACAGAAGTATAGAAATTTGGTTTAAAACCTTATTCTAATAATAAATTCAATACATATATATACAATTCTATTTACATAGAAATATCTGGAAAGATTGGCACAAACACACAGAACTAAATTTTTCATGCAATACTCATGTAATACTTGGTTCATTTACAATTTGAGTTCCAGCCAAGTAAACAAAACATCTGTAAGAATTAATTCAAAATAATAATAATAATATACCTATATTTAATATCTTGCACAAAAATTATAACATCACAAAGTATTAATTCTTACAGTATTAAATAAATTCCTTGCATATAAAATAAACATGATTATATGATTTTCATTAATTTCATTCCATAAATTTGAGTTTTTATTTAAAGCACACAGGCAGCCATCTTGTTCAGCAGACTGTGATGACTTAAGAAACTTTTGTAAAGTATGATTTCTATTGATTTTATCAAAATATGCCATGCCTTTGACAAGATATTAAAAGGTTTTTTTTATTTTTAGATCTGGCAGCAATTTTGTTTACCAGAGTAAAAAGAACAATGGCTCAATCCTGTAATGTTTCATCAAAATCTACCAAAAGGTTGAGGATGAAATATCATTTAAAGCTTGAATCTCTTTTAGGTTCAGGTGGCCTTCTTGTTCACTGGAACAATTTCAGGGCACTCGTTTGGTCGTTTTTGGGGCCGAATATGGGTACCGTTCCCCTCTCAAAATCATATGTATTTTTCCCCCATCTCAGAAAAAAATCCCCTCCAAATTCTAAAATAAATCAACTTAAAGTAATTTGTTTGATTTGTTAGTCTAATACTAGCTATTGATTTCAATGGTAGGAAAATTACAAACTATTGAAACCAATGGTAGGAAATAGTGTAATGAGTAAATGTGATAAAAAATACACTAAATACATGATAACATAAAATTTCGAATTTCGCCTTAAAACGACGCAAAATTCCCCTTCCTTAGGGTATGAGTACCTGTCCCCAAAAGGTGTCTAGTGCCCTGAAATTTAGTAATTTTTTTTAAAGAATTGCCTAATAACAATTAGTGCTCAGATAAAGCTAAAATATAGGCTCAAAAACAAAAAGCAAAATCAACAAGATATGTTTGTAAAACATGTATGCCCCCTATCGGCAGCTAATTAGTCATGTGATCAGGTTATTATGCATGACTTCTGACCCAGCGAACAAACAATTAATAAGGGTTATCTAGTATCTACTGGTCATGACTAGTCACAAGGTAATAATTATTGTGACCCCATAGGTTGTGTGCAGCAATTTAAGTTATTACAAATCATACCAAATAATATATGCATAAATTTTATGAATCATGTAGGCCTCATTAAGGACAGCCAAGTTGTTATATTACATAAGACCTTCAAATGTGTATACCAAAAGCATTTTTAGTTTAATATAAAAATATCAACCAAGGCAACTTGAGTTGTTGAGTTATTGGTCAGAAACCGTCATTAAGTACAAGGTCAATATGACATTGACCCCTTGACCCCAAAATCAATAGGGGTCATCTACTGGTCATGACCAATCATCATACAAAGTTTGAAGTTCCTAGGCCTAAGCGTTCTTTAGTTATTGATCGGAATCCGTTTTTACCTAAGAGGTCAATGTGACCTTGACCTTGGACCCCTTGACCCCAAAATCAATAGGGGTCATCTACTGGTCATGACCAATCATCATACCCAGTTTGAAGTTTCTAGGCCTAAGTGTTCTTTAGTTATTGATCTGAAACCGTTTTTACCTACAAGGTCAATGTGACCTTGACCTTTGACCCCTTGAGCCCAAAATCAATAGGGGTCATCTGCCGGTCATGACCAATCACCATACCAACTTTGAAGTTCCTAGGCCTAAGGGTTCTTAAATTATTTATCTGAAACCGTTTTTACCTTCAAGGTCAATGTGACCTTGACCTTTGACCCCTTAACCCCAAAATCAATAGAGGTCATCTGCTGGTCATGGCCAATCACCATACCAAGTTTGAAGTTCCTAGGCCTAAGGGTTCTTTAGTTATTGATCGGAAACCGTTTTTACCTAAGACGTCAATGTGACCTTGACCTTTGACCCCTTGACCCCAAAATCAATAGGGTTCATCTACTGATCATGACCCATCACCATATCAAGTTTGAAGTCCCTAGGCCTAAGGCTTCTTTTGTTATTGATCGGAAACCGTTTTTACCTAAGAGGTCAATGTGACCTTGACCTTTGACCCCTTGACCCCAAAATCAACAGGGGTCATCTACTGTTCATGACCAATCACCATACCAAGTTTGAAGTTCCTAGGCCTTAAGGTTCTTTAGTTATTGATCGGAAACCGTTTTTGCTTACAAGGTCAATGTGACCTTGACCTTTGACCCCTTGACCCCAAAATCAATAGGGGTCATCTACTGGTCATGACCAGTCACCATACCAAGTTTGAAGTTCCTAGGCCTAAGGGTTCTTTAGTTATCACTCGGAAACCATTTGGTCTACGGACCGACGGACCAACGGACCGACAAGTGCAAAGCAATATACCCCCTCTTCTTCGAAGTGGGGGCATAATTAGCATTTTCCACAATTTCCATAAAATCACATATCTAATGTCTGTATTTTGTAATTGTTAGACAGTGTTTACTATGAAACTGTTTGAAATGAAGGCAGAAAACATCAATCAAGTTTATCATCTTCACAAATTTATATTTTCTTCCCATTACCGTCTATAAATAATTTCATCATCTTCAGATTTATTTGACAGTTTCTGTATAGAAATCAATTCTATATTGTTCTTTATAAGAACATTCAATCTTAGATGATGTGCACTTTATCCTGTTCATATAGCTAGTCCATCTTGACTTTAGTGTGTACGAGTCTCGGCTGATCAACAAACTCCGACCCATACCTGTATATAACAGCTAGCGAGACCAAACTTGCCATACCCCAGAAGAACACATATAACATTTGTTCACTAACATTTTCTGAAACAGAAAGTAATTTTAATAACATAAAACCATGTAAGTACATAGATAACAGGGGCCAATCTCATGCATGTTTACATAATTCAATGTTCTTTGTTGAACATATAGAATTAATAACAAAATGGTGCAAAATAAAACAAGGTCAATAATGCATGATCACATCCAGCTTGTAACATTGCATAAAATAAACTTTAAGTAATACATGTACCAACATTATTTAGATTATTAAAAGTGTTTTATAGATGAATGAAGTCTCTACATAAGAAGGGTTATCTAGATTCAGTAGATTGAGCCGCTATCATTAAATACATGAAATGTAAGCTTAAAGAAAATAACTACCATTCAATATAATTATTAAAGAAGATAACAAAGACCTACCATCTGGTATAAGAATGCTGATGATTAACATTGACATGGCAATCACAAATATCACAGGAATCTGAAATAATATACATGCATGTTTGTATGATAAATTTCCTTAAATAATAACATAATTTTTTCCGTACTTTATTCGTGTTGAAACATAATTTACAAGCGTACCTTTTAAAACATATCAATTAAATCATTATGAGCACCATTCTTAAGAAGAATGACAGACAAAAACCAATTAATTAAAGGAAGTCCAATGTGGTTTCTTGACCTCACTGAACAGGAAATATTTTTTGAGATTTTTGTATGTCTGGACCAAAAACTTAATCTAATTCCTTTACAATTATCACTAACACATGTTATAATTAAGACATTAGAAACAGGCTATAGATAAAAGTTCTATTTAAGAATACTGCAAAATTATTATCATTCATGGGGAACTAATTTTCGTGGATAGGTGAATCTATGAATTTAAGTTTCAACAAAATTTCAATTTGTCTGCTGTAAGATTATATTGCATCACTTTATGTACATTTTACCTTTAGGAAAAATAGTTCACAAATTTAAGAACCCACCAAAATGTTCTGTGAGACAAACCCAGGAAATTTCATGCCCACGAAATTGAGTGAACTCAAAGTAATTTTTATATATTGTACGAGATCTTACAGCATAGAATTTCCAATCTCTCTCAGTCTGGAATGGCGACGGTTTTGAAATCCCTTCATTCTCCTCTACTTGATAATTTCCTAGAAACAAATCTATAGAGTCTTGTCGAAATCCATCACTAAAATTGTTCTTGAAATAACGAGTCAAAGAATTCCAGCCGTCCATTAACAGACCAAGTTTGGTCCTCTTCCCTGTCCTGAAATATAAATGTTGGCCTTACATAAACATCAACATTCTGGTACATAAAAATTAAACAATTATCAGGGAAACTAAACCCTTAATCTGCTGAATTTCGTCAATGGACTTTCAATTATTAGAACTGTCAGTTGTCAATTTTTGCAAAAAAAAAATAGAGGATAAAGTTTTTCCATTAATACATGATTTAATTTCATCGAGTAATATACAAAATTTAAAAACAGATATTTCACAAGTGAATCAAGAAGAAAGTAGTCTGGCAAAACACCTGTGAAAATATGGAAAATATGTTTCACTGCAGTGCAAAATAAATTTTACAGTGAAAATACGGAAAATGAAAATACACATTTTATTTCATCAATAGTTCTCAATATGTCATTTATAATTATATAATAAAGAGCTTTCCCACCCTCCAGCAAATTTCATTATTTAATATCTTCAGCCATTAGCTTAGTTTTAAGAACTAACTGTAATAGCAAACTTTATTATTTAATATATTCTTAAGTTTTAAGAACTAACTATAATCAGGAGTCAGGGACCTACAATTTTGTTTTTTTTCAAATTACTAGTAATATAGGGACTTAGTCATACATGTATAGGGACTTACAACATTAAGTCTTGACTAAAAAATGTAAAACATTTTTTCTGGAATAACACTTAAGGCTATTAAAGTTTTCAGGTACATTTTAAAGTGATATGGAAACTTAATTAATACCCCATGAAGACCTATTATACTGCTAATGGACTAACCAGTCCTAGAAACAACTGGTACCACTGTTATGTAGATATTTAGTATAACCCAACAGCTTATGCAGGAATCAAACAATACTCTTTACATACAAAACAAATGTTCTACCACTAAGACACTTAAAATATATCATAGTTCAGCTAATGTTCATGTATATAATGTATATATACCTGGTAAAGTCGGTTTTGAGAGCTCCAGTACCTGCATATTGCTTTGATATAGTATCAGCATTATCTGCCCATACTGAAAATAAATATAAAATAATATTTCCCTACATAATCTGTCAAAATATCTTTATAATCTGTCAAAATACATCTTCAAATATTTACTTAATACATCGAGCAATAAATCTGTAAAAGGTAAATTTATAAAAAAATGATAACTAAATGTAAAATATCAATTTTGCTGAAATGCATTAACTCATATAGAGATAAATTTCTTAAATGTTTCCTACAAGGTATTTACGTTTTATCTATCTTTTTAGATGCTACAGTAAAAGCTGTTTTATACATTTATGACTACAAAAATTTCCTCCAAGCATAGACTATGTCCACACATATAAATACACTCACCATTATTATAGATAGTCTTGAACTCAGTAAATTCTTCTATTTTTGTTACACTGTCTGTTATCCCAAGAGCCTACAATAGAAATGAAAATGTCTGCTAAAACTATCAGTTCTTTAAAACGAGAGCACGGCATGTGGTGTTAACAAGTCTTAATCTACTAAAGGCAATGAATGTCAATAACCAATTTTGACATAAATATAAAGGTTAAAGAGGCATAATGCAAAAATTAAAGCATCTTAAAAATGTTTTTATGATTATTAAGTATTCCATGTTTGATTTTGATACCTTTCATTTATCATTCTTTTATCAGGCAATTTTTAAAAATTCAAATTACAAATGGGCCACAACTCCTAAAAATATAGTTCTTCATTATTATGTCCCTTCTCTTATAACTGTGACTCATCATGCTAAGCAACTATTGTAAGTGACAACAACAGCAAAAACTGAAACAAATGAGCTGGAAAACTGTGTGGTGTCATGACCAGGTGGTTATCGCATCGGACCAGTAATCTAAGGATTGCTGTCCGCGTGAATTCAAACCCCAACAAGAGCGAGCTGTTGTTTCCTTAAGCATGAGTTTGAAGAAACATTACACTAATTGCTCAGTACTGGTTGGTTCTACAAACAGATTTGACAGTGTGTCTATAAGCTTTAAGCTTCCTACACAATCAAACTGAAATAAATTCTGTATAAACCAAATGGGCTGGAAATGAATTCAGTTGATTTTAATACATTAAATAATCAGCACTTACAAATAATTGTTCTTCCAGTGTTACTTTGGCAAACAGACATTGGACAACATTGGTTCTATCTAAACAATCCATACAATTTGACCTGAACACACCATCCTGATGCTTTAATATAGTGCCATCCTGAGATACCATAAAATACCTGAAATATTTATATCATTACCTGCTTTTATATATCATATATACCGGTAAGTTGGCTTTTATCACAAAAATTATAAACTAGACCTATCACTGAAGGTGATTAATACCCCCACAAGCAACTTTGACTTTTTGAAAAATAAGTAGTCTGAAGAAAAATTTGAACACAAACTAGAACACAAACTATCAACTGTGTACAAAGAAATGTAATCCCAACTGGGGTCTCAAAATAAGCTTGCTTTTCACAAAGTTTCATTACAATATCTCATTCCTAACTCTAGTTATTGTCCGGAAACCATTTTTCTATTTTTAGTAACACTGTAACAGTGACCTTGACCCTGAGTACGGGGTCCAAATGCAATACCAACCAAGGTCTTCATATAAGCTTGCTATTCAACACGTTTGATTACAATATCTCATTCCTAAGTCAAGTAACTGTCCGAAAACCATTTTCCCATTTTAGTAACAGTGACCTTGACCCAAGTGGGCCCAAATGCAATACCAACCCAAGTCTTCATATCAGCTTGCTATACCCTAAGTTTGATTACAATATCTCATTTCTAACTCTAGTTATTTTCCCGAAACCATTTTTCTATTTAAAGTAACAGTAACCTTGACTTTGACCCCAGGGGGTCCAAGTGCAATACCAACCCAGGTCTTTATATAAGCTTACTATACACCAAGTTTGATAACAATATCTTATTCCTAACTCTAGTTATTTTCCCGAAACCATTTTTCTATTTTTAGTAACAGTGACCTTGACCTTGACCCCAGGGGGTCCAAGTACGATACTAACCCAGGTCTTCATATAAGCTTTCTATACACCAAGTTTGATAACAATATCTCATTCCTAACTCTAGTTATTGTCCGGAAACCATTTTTCTATTTTTAGTAACGGTGACCTTGACCCCAGGGGGTCCAAATGCAATACCAACCCAGGTCTTCATATAAGGTTGCTATACACCAAGTTTGATAACAATATCTCATTCCTAACTCTAGTTATTGTCCGGAAACCATTTTTCTATTTTTTGTAACAGTGACCTTGTCCCCAGGGGGTCCAAGTATGATACTAACCCAGGTCTTCATATAAGCTTTCTATACACCAAGTTTGATAACAATATCTCATTCATAACTCTAGTTATTGTTCGGAAACCATTTTTCTATTTTTAGTAATGGTGACCTTGACCTTGACCCAGGGGGTCCAAATGCAATACCAACCCAGGTCTTCATATAAGTTGCTATACACCAAGTTTGATAACAATATCTCATTCCTAACTGTAGTTATTTTCCGGAAACCATTTTTCTATTTTTAGTAACGGTGACCTTGACCCCAGGGGGTCCAAATGCAATACCAACCGGAGTTTCCACATAAGGTTGCTATATACCAAGTTTGATTACAATACCTCATTCCAATCTCTAGTTATCGTCCGGAAACCATGATGTGGACTGACCGACGGATGGACGGACCGACCGACTGACAAGCTGACTCCTATATACCCCCCCTAAACTTCGTTTGTGGGGGTATAATAAAATATTTTTTTCCTTGTTTTATATGGTTAGGTTTCTTTTGTGTATAATATCACAAACATGCAAAAGACATCACTAAAGTAGAATTACCAGCCTTCTGTTTTTTTTGGTTATGTTTCTATGTCGCACCAACACAGTATAGCTCATATGGTGACTTTTCAGCTTTACAGGTGGAGGAAGAAACTTGTGAATTATTTCAGGCACAAATGGGCACCTGAGTAGAACCCAGACATTTTGTAAGCTAGATAATAGCTTTCTCACATGAAAGAATTCAAAGACGCTATTGTGGATAGAACCTACAGCAGTGAGAGGCAAATGCCTTCTGTATTTCATTTGATACTATGAATGGTCCTTATAGAATGCAAACCAAGATAAAGATCTTGTATTGTAGGGAGCAGTTTTTGTATTATCTTATCTTTCATGTTTAAACTTAACTACAGAGATTTAATATGAATTCTTTTTTTCTAAGGATTTAAAGTTATGCTAACAGCACTCCTAATAAGCCACAGATGCCAACAGAACTGCTGAATACTGCAGAATTTTTTACCAGCTACTTTTGCCAAACTATGGTCAATGAATATGCTTAGAAATTATCAGGAGATTACGAGACTAAAAGGAAATTACTAAAATTGTTGGTTGCTCTCTAAATCCCACAGCCTACTCTAAACTTTACACAGTGTCTATCAAATGCCTATGTGTAAGCTTAACTGATGAAGGAACACCCAAAGGTGATCTTTTATGCATTTTTCTCTGGCACATGGTGGCACTATGATAAATCTTCAAACCTACCATGAACATAACTTCAGTAAAGTAGAACCAGTTGTCTAATTTGTATGTATAACACAGAAAATCTTACCCAAATTGTTTGCGTGTAGGTTCTAACCTGCTGACTAGTAATGCCAGACGATCCCATCTCATTTTACGACACTCATGATGAAAATCAAAATATTCATACCTACAAGACAGTAACAGTAAATTATATGAACAATACTTGAACAAAATATACTTATAGAATAGTTTCTAAAACAATGACAAGTAGTGCTTTTTTTTTACATTAATGTCCATTAAATCTACTGTTTGAACAGAGGGGATACTTTATAAGAATATCACAACACTTTGCAAAGGGTTAAATGAAAATTGATATCACGTGTTTTTTTTTAAATTAAATTTTATAGGAAACTTAGAAATTTTAACTATAAAACCAGAATTGAATGCTTACTTTACTCGACTATTTTTAACTTCACTGATACACTTGCTCAACACCTTCTCTAACCGGCTCTCGTGACCTTTAGAATTCACCTGTTTATAAACAAGGTAATCATATGTTATGAAATATAAAAACTACTTTAAATTAAAAGAGATAACATTTTTTCATTCAGTGTCTATTCTAGGAGGGGAGAATGGGGGATTCACTCATATTTTTTTAGAATTTCCCCCTATTTTTTCAGAGGCAGGGGGAAATTTTACATAGAGAAAGAAGGAAAAAAATCAACAAATGTAATAAATTCTCTTTTTTCGATAAACATCCCCCCTGTTTTTCAAATCCTAGAATAGACACTGTTTCATTTCAACAAAAACTTATCTTAAAGCATTATTTATGAATTTATCTTTCATTCAATTCTAATATTTCTGCTAAAACAAAACCACACAAGTCTCTTAAAATGTTTGAGAGCTTGTGACTATAAAAACTTCATTGAAGTTATTAAGTTATTTTGTTACAAGAACATAAATGGATGTATATACATATATTCATATTCTCATACATTTAACTTTACACTACAGTGTTAAATATATGTCTTTAGTGATGTCATAAAGTGTAATTGAGTGTTGTAACTTACTAAATTGACAACCACTTGATCCCCGTACAGGAAAACTTGGTCTTCAAAGTGTCTTGACATGCCATCAATCTGTAGTGTACAGGAAATAAAAACTGCCATGTCTGTATATTATACTGTAACTACATGTAATTAAGTGTCTTATCATCTACTTAGTAACTATTTAGATTTTTCTACTAAAGACATTGTACTTCATGTAAAACAATAAGACAAGTCATAGCTTGTTTAAATTTCACACAAAATGATTTGTCATAAAATCTGCCAATTAAAGAGTTAATTATTTGTGAATAGTTTTAAGAAGGAAGTCTTAAATTATTTTTTTTATACTATATAGAAAGAGTAAACATACATGGTTTGTTGGTCTGAGTTGTGCTAATGGCATATATTTCAGGCAAGGCCTTTGTGTCCAGTGTAGAGGAATTGACCCACGTGTCTGTAATATACAAAATCATACATTTAATAAGTATCTATGAATGCTAGCACATATTATTTGTTACCTATGCCAGTCATACAGAACGAGGCGATGTTGTAGATCTATGTTTTTTTTTTTGATTGGGTTTTACGTCACATCGACACAGTATAGGTCATATCGCGACATTCCAGCTTTACTGGTGGAGGAAGACCTCAGGTGCCCTGTTGATCTATGTAGTCTGACCACTGTTTATTATGTTTTTAGTGTGATTTAATAATTTTGATATTCAAATCTCTTAAACTGATTTTGGCATTTGTAAGACTCATTAAAGTACAAGTCAATCCCAATCCCAACAAATCTAGCAAGCTGAAAGTTAAGAGACTGTAAAAATACAATTTAAGATAAAATTAGTTATATTTTCCCTTACACTGCTGGAACTGAAAGTGATTAACCTTTACTACCGTTGTAGAGCCAGGTTATATACTGCAGGTAATTGGACATGCATGCAGTCTGACAAGGCTTTACAATGGTGGCTGACTAACTTTAAAGTTTCATCTTGTTATCCCAAAAATTGATAAGGACAGCCACAAAAATCGACACTGGGCAAGTTCATTTAAGAAAATGAGAATATTAAGGGTTTAAACATTAAAGCTATTGTTATTGCACCTTGATGTATTAAGCATTGATTGTCCTAATATAAATCAATCATATAAATGACAATCCATGCTTATAATTTGAAACTATAATCTATGAAATGTAATGTACAATTTCATGAACTAACACATACAAAATGGACATACCTGAACATAGGAACATGAAGTTCCTTCAAACTGCAATATTTGCTCGGTTTCAACAAAGTTTGCAACCTGACCCTCCATGTCTAGTCCACGCACGTTGAATCTCGTGCCGGCCCTGAATACACATCGTCTGGAGATGAGGATGTATTTGATAGGTTTATTATCTATCACAGATGTTGATATACTCATGACTGTGAACAATGTTAAGGAAGATATTATCCCTTATCATGGCTGATGTCAATATTCAATTTGAGCATCCACAGAGTTACAGACGAGCCTATAACCAATTTATAGTCTAATCCTATTTCTTTTCTGTCTATTACTCAATTCAATTACATCAGAAATGCCTGTTTAAACTAATCAACTTGCATCTAAAACAAAATCCTATTGCAAACCACCTAATAAATACACAAATCCAGACCATCTAGCTTGAATAATTGTTCAAATAACTTTATTTTCTGTTATGTTTTCCACAAACATTTCCATCAATAACTTTTGTAATTTGCCTGCTATATATACTTGATAAAAGGAAAAGGATAGTCTTCTTCAAAATTTTAGGAAGCTTTTAATTTTCAAATTGTAATTATATTGATTGGTCAATCATTATAATTATCCATCTTTTGAAATCAGCTCAATTTTACAATTATAAAATTTCACTTTAAATCTCATACTGGAAATGATGTTAGCAAAATTTGACATAAAACAGAAGTATGTATATCATGTGAATATGTATATCATGTGTATATGTATACCATGTGAATATGTATACCATGTGTAATGTATATCATGTGTATATGTATATCATGTGTATATGTATAACATGTGTATATGTATATGATGTGTTGATGTATATGATGTGTATATGTTTATGATGTGTATATGATGTGTATATGTTTATCATTGTATATGTATACCATGTGTATATGTCTAACATGTGTATATGTATTTTTTGTTTGTTTGTTTTGGGTTTTACGTCACATCGACAGAGTATAGGTCATATAGCGACGTTCAAGCTTTACTGGTGGAGAAAGACCTCAGGTGCCCCTCCGTGCATTATTTCAGGCACGAACAGGCACCTGAATAGAACCACCGACGTTCCGTAAGCTAGCTGGATAGCTTCCTCACATGAAAGAATCCAAAGTCCCTGTCGGGATTCGAACCCACAGTGGTGAGGGGCAAGTGTGTATATGTATATCATGTGCATATGTATAACATGTGAATATGTATATCATGTGTTTATCATGTGTATATGTATATCATGTGTATATGTATATCATGTGTATATTATGTGTATGTACACAACATATGTGAAGGATACATCCATGCATGACAGGTATACAATATCTGCCAAGGTCGGCTTGCTGCGATAATTCTCGTAAAACATGGCTGTTCCATACAAATCGTTGATCAGCCTGAAATATCAAGAAATATTAGTGTTAATCTTTTAAAACTGTTTATTACTCTTAATTTTCCAAGCAATCTAAAACATGTAAAAACCTGATAAAAGGTTTCTTATCTAATCAAGCAGACAATCATCCTGTAACTTTCACCCTGCTGCATTGTAGCTACATGTGTGTATTTTAAGCTGAAATAATATGTAAAATTACTTATGTTTAGCAGTGAACAATAGAGAGTTGTCAGACAGCTGAATTGTACCAGTCTCTCACTAATGTCACTAGAGCTTAAATAGTTCACCATTTGCCAAAATATAATCATCTGGTGCAACATAAACAGTTACTATTGTAAGGGTCACTAAAGGTTAAAATCTTCAAAAGTATTTTGATCCCAAAACTACTAGACATTAAAATAACCATGTGACAGGTAGATTAAATACATATCTTATATCTGTAAATACTCAGTGTCAGTAATAGAAGTGCACAGTAACAAAACTGTATAATTTATATACAACATTCTGTATTCAAAACAAAAGTGACACACATTTTAGAATAAGATATATTTAGTACTAAACTTACTCGTTCGTGTAAAGCTATGGTCACAAAGTCAGGACTTGTGTTATGTAACCTCTGTAATGTATGGGTTATATCATATGTTGTACTGAAGTAAAATGAGGCTGTCTTTAACACACTCTCCACCATAGATACATACACAGCATTGTCTCGTGTCTGAAACATAAATATCAAAACATAAATAATCTTAATTATAAATCAAAGATTTTGTAATATTTGTAGAAATTGTGTTGGTATTATGTAGATGAAGCTATTATGTTAATATGGATAGTAAACTCATGGTGTCAGTCCAAGCTAAGTTCAGGTTCTATAAACTACATTTTATTTCAGTGCAGTAAGTAAGAGTTGTGATTAAAAACTTGCGATTAAACTAGAATATACTTGTATATTATATCTGAATAACATAATCTAAACTACTCACTGGTTATACTTTAAAATACTTCAGGATAAAAACAAAAATAAAATAATTTTTTTTTTGTAAATCCTGACTTAACTTATTGTAACTTTGGGTAAATTACAAATCTTAAAGCACAGGCCAATCTCATGTATGATATCGTATGTGAATATGTTCATGTGCTGATTAAAATCTTTGGTATGATATACCCTTAACCATAATCATAACATGGGGTAATTATGATGTGGGCTGCCATTGTCATGAAATGAAATAAAAAATATGTAGCATATATCTTTTCAGAATGACTGTGGTAAATGCTCACAAACTAGTGATTAAAGTATGTGTGTTCATGATTATCAATTTCTATTTCAAAGTTACAATATTTCACATATTTTAACAGTCATAACCAAATTTCTTATTCATTATATAGAATATTTTTCACTGAATAATTACTTCAGTGACACTGGCTAATAAATAACATATACATGTAGGTATCTTGATTGGTTGCAGAAATGACAGCCCAGGGTAGAAACAAAGGAAGTCAACATATATAACATATACATACAGGCTACAATGTCTTAACGTCAGGTTTACAATCGCTAATATCTTATAATTTATATAAAGTAAGTTATATAATTATGTAAGATAATCTTATAGTCCTTATTATCTATTACAATTTTCTGAATTACAGTGTACATTCTGATTTCGGAGTGGGTGGGGTACACATAAAATATCAATATTTACAATTCAAAGGAACCATTTACAGGTACAGTTAACGTTTTCTTTAAACTTACCCTTGAATGTGGCTAAAAAGGATTGGAAGTGAATTATATGCACTTATGTTAATAATAATGAAGTAAAGCAACTGAGCAAATTATTTCCCCTGTAAAACAGCAAATCAAGAAAAGTAACTCTTGCCACACTTCACTGCTGCAAGACATGTATGATAGCACTGACATGTTGAGACTTTTACGGTAGTAGTTAAAAGGTTGCTAGGTAACAGGTCTTTATTTGATTATACACAGATAGGCATAGAAAGTGTATTATATAATTCTGCTTTATAGTTACATGTAACAGTTCTAATGGTTTTCTTATGTTTTATTGCTTAACAACTACTTTCATCAGTATTTATGTCTGTGATTTCATCAGCAGTATTTTACAGCAATATCACTGACCAAAAACATGGTCAAATTCCCATATATAAAAAGTATTTTTTCTATCTTTGGTGCCTGATATTTTGCTTTGAAACCAAATCATTTAATTCAACAAAATTTCAATTGGCAAATGCAATGAAACTTTGAGTAATTGATAGTGAATGATGTTGTTCCTATTTTATTATCAACTGACAGATACTCTACCTGTTTTTCTGTAAGGTGAAGCATAGTTCTCTTGTAGGAATGAAGCTCTGTTCCTGTAACCTTCCATATCACATGACCTCCAATCTCCCCAACTTTCTCCTTCTTTGTAATGACTATTAAGTATGGACCTATTAATTAAATCAACACCAAACATTGAAACTTTAAGTTAAACTAACATGTAAACAAATATAAACTTGAAAATATCCAATTTATTCTTAAATAACAGTTAAAATTAAAATAATCAGTTGAACCAGAACTACTAGAATGACAACTTAATTATCAAAGACAAACCAATCTGAACACTTTAAAAATAACACAAAATTTTGTAATTAGGACAAGGTCAAAATATATCAATGAAATGCACCATGAAAATCTCATATCCCAAAACTTTCAACAGGTTAAGCATCTGATAACAATTATTCAGGTTCAGAAAATAGTATTACCAGCAATAAGCCGTATAATTCCCATAATGCCACATACTGACTTTGTAATGGCACCTGCTGCAGGTATCTGTCCGTCGTTGGCTAAATAAAGAAACAATTCACATTAAAATTGACCAGATTTATGTACAAGAAATCTTTACAATAAGAAAACACAGTGCTAATGACATTGCTTTTTACAAATCGGTATCCTAGAGTTATTCTCATATAAATGTGTAACAAGAGAGCCAAGAAAATCCTGTGTGATAATTTTTTTTCAAAGACCTAGGTTCCTTATAAAGTTAAACATAACTTATTTATTTTAAAATTGATATAGGCTACCTTTCTATATTGTTAAACAAAGTTACATTACTTATTTATACTTTATTGTGAAGAAAGCCTATAGCTTATTTGATCCTTTCTCAAATCAACTTCAATTTTCAATTTTCTCGTTTAGGGCACACATTTTTTTTTACTTGGGGACCATATGCTGCTTTTCATGGAATGGCACTTATGTGTCTCATTGAAGGTTTCATGATGACCGCCATATGAACACATCAGCGGATGTTTCAAAATTTCTAAATTTTACCAGTTACATGTTAAATGTTGAATTCTGCTTAAGCCGGTGCTAGTGGGCGTGGACGAAGTTTGCACTTGACAGTACCGTCCATGAACAGGCTCAATCAAACCGAGCTTGCAACATTTTCAATTATGCCCTGTTAGGCTTTCTTTAGGGATTCTTTTTTCTCTCTATTTCATGAAACTAAACATATCTGGTGTCATATGAGAAATATGGTAATGACCCTACTGGCCTAGTAGGACTTGACCTATGATCCCTAGGCTGAAAGGCAGATACTTGGCACTGCTCTCCTTAACACAGAAGATAAATGAATACTGATGTCTATTTTTTTATGTTCATCACAACAGAAAATTCTTTCTTTTTTTCAAATTTACAAACAAAATCACTGCCAAATATTTAATTACAAGATTATATTCAGGTGTCAGACTCCACAACAGTGGAATATTACCTTAAATATCTAAGTAAAACCTGTCAAAATTTTAAGATCAACTTTCAAATTTTTATAAATTTAAATTAAAAGTGAAACTAAAGATTACCTTGTAGGTATATTTCTTGTGTTACTCTGTCTATAATTAACAGCTCATTTTCTCCAGTGTCTATTGGCTCAAAAATAAACTTCTCTGATGTAATGTGCCTAAAACATAAGCATACAAAATACAATCAATTCTGAATTGAAATAAAACTTTTATTACATAATGATATCATATTAAAAGGATGACATAAACATAATTTAGTCTGTTTAACAAGTGAATTTAACTTTATTCAATGAAAGCTATTAATTCTACATAAAATAATAATACACCTTTATAATCATTATTTACCTTTTACAAAGAGTAGTCTCCAGATATAATCATTTAAATCTTAGTACATGGATTTTTCAAAATCTGGGGAATACAACTACCTGGCATGTGATACACTACAGGGGATATGGTAAAAAATCAGGGGTTTTGTAATCCTCAATGGCAGATATGGGGTGTACTTTGAACTTAAAAACTAGAATAAATCAAATGTGCTGAACAAAAACAAAGAATGGAATTTGTATTTTAAAATACTTAAATGCAGGAATTAAACTTTATTCAGTGTTCAATCTAGAACAAATTCCCAGAGGGCCCTTCGGGCCCATAAACTTTTCAAAAGGGGGTCATTTGAGAAAAAAGGGGGCCCACACTTAAAATGAACATCAAATTCAAATAAGGTATTGTATCTTTTAAGTTACTTGTTCACGTACCATATTTAGACCAAAAACGGTTGCAAAATTCCGAAACAACTCAACTTAAAAAAGTGACATTAGCGTTGATACAGACTCAATTTTAAGAACTGATTGGAAAAGAAACGCGATGACATAAGGTTCAAAGAAAAGTATTAATCTTATTTTATTGTTACCAGGGATATTTGATAATAATGTTCAGTTTTTTAATCAGCGCCCGATATATAAAGGAAAATCATACTTTGAAATTAGCTTTGTTTATGAAGATTATAAACTTACAATAGTCGCTAAAAACATTTACCCTTTTCAATGTATCCAAGCGAAAAGCAAAGTGTCAACAGGTGCTAAGACACTGTATATTGACATACCGGTACCTTTGATCTTTTGTCAGGGCAGCAGTTTTTACGTCACGCTTAAGATGTCTGTGTTGATTAATGATATGCACAATGTTTTAGCGCCGACCAGCCAAAGACCAATCAAAGTTAATTTACTTAATTGTCAGACACTCCCTAGCCAATCGTGTTTGATTGCTCCATCTTTAAGACTTTTTTAATTGGATGGAGGCGTGTTCGTAATAATTTATGCACACTTCTCTATAATTAACTCGCACTTTTCACAAATATATATATATTTTTTTTCCTTTGGAAAGTTATTACATATTTATTTGTTTTGACCGTGAAAAAATTATAACTACACGCACGTATTGGATTATCTGTGACGATTTGTTTTGCTTATAAGAACTGTGACTTAAAAGTAAGTAATAGTTACGGTACGAAGAACAAGTCTACATAGTATTTACAGACGCGGACCGAGAGAGCGTAGCGATAAAGGTTTTAAATGGGTTACCGAGTGCGGTAAACTATCTTACCAACATGCTCTTGTTTTTCAATACAAACTTCAGTTATTAATATTATTCACAAGAAACTTCTTTTATGTACTTAATCAGGTTTAAGAAAGCATTCTAATGTCATTTAGGGCATTTTCTATGAGTGCGCCCGTCGGGCCCACAGTTGATTTTGTTTTGCGCCGGCGGCCTTTTCAGGGGGTCAATGGCGCAATGGCGCGCTCTAGATTGAACACTGCTTTATGAAAAGAATTTTAGCAAAAAGAAACAGACCGTCAGACTGAATCAGCAGAGGCAAAACAACTTTTACAAATGCCCTAATCAGTCCAATTAGCTTGTTCTTGCTTTCAGAACCTCTGTTTTACCTACAACAAGAGTTGTAAGTATGACAGCACATTTGACTCTTCTCAATCCTTGATAGTTAAACAAGAGCCTGGATAATTTAGAATTTTCAAAAAGAGCCATAATTCTGTCAAAATCCATGTTAAAAGCTATGGGCATTGGATTGACCTCTTACGCAGCATTTACGCTCTAAAGCAAGTGTGTGAAAGTTTTATCCCATTCCCTACAGTAGTTTTACTGTTTTGAAGTAATCAATATAACACAAAAACTTAACCAAATTGTGACGCCAATCATTAAATTTTAAAATTATTAATGTTGGGCACCTTAACACAATGATAAACGGCCAGTATTTCAAAAATGGACCAATCGCAACTTTTCGATTTACAAGTTAACAATAACAGCTGAGATGTAATTAAGATAAAAAAAATTCCCTGTCCTATCATTATGTTCCCCTCCAAGATGAAGTGCCCTCGAGACCAGTCTAAACAGAAGCGGTGCATAAAATACCAAATTACACTTTTAAAACGAAAAATAAAAAAATGAACATTTTTTTTTATTTAACTTCCCCGTTCATATTACAGAGGCTTAATTTGTCTACTGTCATATTACTTTTAAGATGAAATTAGGCAAAGCCTATAAACGGAGAAGTAGGTAAAAAAAAATGGTCATTTTTCAGTTTTAAAGGTGTCGTTTGGTATTTCATGCACCGTTTCGGTTTTCACTCTGAACACTCCCCACGTATATTTTATATACTGATCAGCTGATAGATAACCTGTCTAATCTATTACCATAAACAGTGATAAAAAAATAATAAATCATAAAGACTTACAACTAAAACAATAAAGTATTAGCATACACTTAAATAATTTTTAAATTTTCCAGAATTTTTCACATTGATCTATTTTTTATGCATTTTCCTGTTTAAATAAATTTGACAGCTCCATCAGATAACTTGCTGTTCAAAGTTCGTTCATTTTGGAATTATGGTATCACATATGACTTTGTTCAAAATAAAGTAAAACTATATTTTTCATAATTTAGATCATAGAATTTGTTTGTCGGGGAGCAAATATTTGAAAAATTAAATAAATTCATATATTTACAATTGCAAAGTTTCGTGGACGGCCATCTTGACAGGTGGCTACGGTGATTGAAAATTATGATCCTTGTGAGAATTACTTAAAATGACGATGGTCATATAACACTAAATCATTTTCTTCTGCGTTCACATTGAGATTTGCACTGAAAATTAAATAAAATATAACGGAGGATTAAGCCAAATAAATTAATGAAAACTATCATACAGCTGTAAACTCGAAGTCATGGGTTGAGTCTGCTTAATTTAAGATTAATCGGACTATTTCAACAGTGTTTGAAATCAGGGTCTACTATTTGAAAGACCCTGATGAAATGACTGCTCTATAATAAAATAATAAACAAGCTTTTCACTTTTGTCCTCCGCGTTTTTTTACAGTTCAATGAGTTACAATATCTAAGTTATATATATAATAAAATAATAAATTGTATAAATTATATATTTTTATCTTTAGGATATATTTTAGTTCTTATTCTTGTGTGTGTGTGTTTTTTTTATTATTAATGCATGGAACTTTATAGAACAATAAGTCTCTGATTATTGAAAGCTTTAGCAAATATAAGTATTTTATTTGTTACTTTTATTAACTATTAAGTATTAGTACTTACGTTCACTTCTTTGTCTATTACTGGAGCTTTTATTACTACAGCTGCCAATTCCAAATGTCCAGAGTGAAGCCAAGTGGATCGAACTCTAAAGAGTAGGCTGGGCCTCTGAGGAAGGATACTAGGGTACATAAGATCCATATTAGCAGTGACATATTGAAAAGTAAGACCTTTGGTTGGCACTTACAGCCCTTATCAGGGCTACCTCCTTCCAAAATTCGCAGCTATCATGCACAGGCTGCAGTACATTCACATGTTCATTGACCTAGTTTTGGCATAAGATTCATCTCTTTGGGTAATTAACTCTGTGAAAATTGCACAGAGATAAATTATCACCATTTTGTAGAGCTGTCATTGGCTCAATTCAAATCAAATCAACAATATTATCGATATCAGACAACAAATATTGATGATACACCAATACATGTATATCATTAATTACTTACTTTAAGTATTAATTACTTGTCTGTAATTCTTTTTTATACCAGTTTAAATGCTTTTAGTTAAAAACATGTTCTTTTAATACATGTGTCTTGTTTATAAATGCCTGTGTCTTGTTTATAAATGCCATTGCATGATTTTTACTGATCATTTTTTGTCATCACTGCTATGAAATTGCTTCTGCACATGTTTTACGTTGAATTTTATAATTCTAGATATTCAATAATTTAGTCAAAATTATTGATTATTGCCCATGGGAAATATATCAACAATACATCGATTATCATGTGTATCGATGACAGCTTTTACCACTTTGTGCTTCAAAATTAAACCTGTAAGGGCATGACTGATGCTATGCATCACTGTAACTATTTAAGGATACAACCTTGACAATATAACCATTCCCCAAAATATTATAATGGTCTTCTTTTCACAGGCAATCATTCTAAAAAGTATTAAAACTAAGGGTTGTATGTTCGCTAATTATATGTATTGAGCAAGGTATCTGAAACTTTGACCTTTGAGCACCCTAGCTGAAAGGGCTTTTTGACTTAATGAGCGTGAATACCCTATGATGTTAGATGACAGTAAGTCGTATGATTATATTCTTAATAAGCAGAAAATTTTCAAGTCCATGGACAATGTCATCTGGACCTAGGCATCAAAAGGATCTTCATAAAAATCAGGGCCTTTTCAAATTCAAGGTCTTTGTGATCTGATCATTAAGCATCCAGTTCCAAAAACTATTGAATCTGCTTTACTCAATAAGAGTGATATCACAAGAAAGTTTGAAGGATGTTGGTCAAATGGTTTTATATCTACGAAAAGGAAACAGTTTCTATATGCATTATAGAATGTAACCAGTAGAAATTACTTGAGAATTAAGACCATGGCTCCTGAAAAAGTATAATACATAACGTAAAGATTTTTCTTAGTGTTAGCCTCTATAATCCTTAAATTATATTGGTAACCAAACTTTGAAGCTGTTTTACAGAAATATTGTACAAGTTTATTACTCAAATCATCAGGGATGACAAGAGTCAAATTCGGTACAACTGTTCAATACAAGTGATCTGATCATTTAAATGAGCCGTGTCACGACAAAACCAACATAATGGGTTTGCGACCAGCATGGATCCAGACCAGCCTGGGCATTCGCGCAGTCTGATCAGGATCCATGCTGTTCGCTATCAGTTTCTCTACTTGTATTAGAGTTGGTAAGCGAACAGCATGGATCCTGATCAGACTGCGCGGATGCGCAGGCTGGTCTGGATCCATGCTGGTCGCAAACCCATTATGTTGGTTTTGTCATGACGCGGCTCAAATGATATAAAATAAAGTAAAACATGAAGTAATTTTCAAAATTTTTATTTCATTTTTAATTTCATTTTTTTGTTTCATTTGTAATGATCTTTTATGGCCTAAACATAGCTACATAATCTTTTTACACATGTATCTTTTTAAAGAGCATTGATCAGCTAACCAACTGTAAAGTAAAGAACTTGGTCTGCCTGCATATGTATATAATCTAAGATTTTATACAGTTGGCCGCTTTATTTAAGACAATTTCATACTGATATTGCATAACAAACTACATGTATGTACAGTTTCACAATTTTACACCTACGCAACTGGGACAGAGAGTCATTAGCCCTTGCAACCAGTATACAGTCAGTCTGGTTAGGTTCTTGACTGTTGAATGACTTCAAATTTTCATCTTAATATCCCCAAAACTAATACATGTATTACACAATTTAGAAATTGAGGCTGGACATGTCCATACAAGAAATTCAGCAAATTAAGGGATAAAGCAAGAGAGGTATATCACAAAACCAGTACTGTAAGATAACAGGTAAAAAATCAAATGAGCCACATCATGACAAAACCAACATAGTGCGTTTGCAACCAGCATGGATCCAAACCAGCCTGCGCATCCGCAAAGTCTGATCAGGATTCATGCTGTTCGTTTACCAATTCTATTACAAGTAGAGAAACTGATAGCGAACAGCATGGATCCTGATCAGACTGCACGAATGCGCAGGCTGGTCTGGATCCATGCTGGTTGCAAACGCACTATGTTGGTTTTGTCATGACGCGGCTCATTAATATCATCATCACATACATCATGTTAAAAATTAAGTTCATTAAAAGTGCATTGATCATCTTCATTTTTATCAAATATAGATCCATTTATTTTGAGAAAATAAGTTTGTAGTTAAAATAATTTCCACATTTTGTATTGATTAAATTCCACTTCCACAACTGTATACATAACATCTATCATTTCCAGGACTGTTCTTTGTATTACAGATGTACACATACATTCTTCTGGACTGTCTTTTACATATAATATGACATTGATCAGTATGCTTTTAGATCCCCTGCTCTAACACAATATACCACTTACATATAGGTCTGCCTTCTTCATTTACACAAAAAACAGCTGTATCAATATTCATCCAAACTTTTCAAACTTATGTTATCATATGTCTTAAACATATATTTCAGCATAGAACACATCATTCTCTCTAGACAATTTTCCTTATCACAATCTTTACACTATAGTCTCTAAACCAACGACTGTTTAGTATTATTTATTTTTTTATGTTCCAGTCTCCATGACTGACATGTCTGATTGTTCAAGACTCATTTTACTGCTTGGCATTTTTTTTATTCCAAGGAAACTATTACACACAAATATGTTCATTGTATGTCCATAAATTGAATATCAGTCTGTAATAAGATATGTTTAGGTAGAGGATGAGGTGCTGGTGATAAAACTGTAAATGATAGCTTCTCTGGATGAAACTCAGTACTGTAAATATACAAACACAGATATCAATACAAAAAAGATATAATACTATACATACACATGAAATACAATATTGCTTTGTTTTCCTTTGGAAAAAAAAAACAGTGAAATTGATAAGGTGGTAATCTACACTGGTGTGTCACCCATAGGACTGTAGGTTGGAGCTAAAATTTTGGTTTGACTAAATAAATATGGCATCTTGCTAGCTTTACTGTATTTTGTATCATAATAGCCATTAACTCCCTTCATGCAGTATTTCAGACAGAAATGAACATTCAATCAGAACTAAAAGCCTTCTGTAAGTTAAAATTTCTTTACATGAGGGAATTCAAGATTCCTCTATGAAAGTCACAAAGGCAATTGATGGAAAATCATTAACCGTAACCACTTGGCCATGAAGACTACAGTTGTACTTTGCAATTAAATAAAACATTTAAATGGTTTTCAAAAGGTAAGTACATTGTATTTAGAAATTTTATGTCATTGCAAATTACAACATTTCAATGAAAAGATCGTAAAATTTTCACTAAATTACGAGTGTGATTTCAATTTTGTTTTTCTATGACAGCAAGTTATTGATCAGTTTAAAGTGAAATTAGTTAGTGTCTGTAATCATCAATAACCTAAATAAGGTAAGTATATACTTACAAAACAACAAAACCTATGATGTTAGTTTCTAAAATATTGTCTTCTGTAGAATCTGCACAACTTATACTATATACATGATGTAAAAGACTGGTTCCTGGAATTATAATACATGTATATAAGGTTTAGACTGTGTCTCATGATCATAGAAGTCTATGATTTTCATTATCACTGAACTATATTATTAAGACATATGTAATGTACGAGATATAACGTACAAGTCTGGTAACTCAACCAAATGCTATCCTAAAACTGATTCCTGTAAAATTAGAAATATAAAATGACAGATTGATAAATATTACATTGTAAGCAATATTGTGTAGGTTTTAAAGTTGCTGGAATAACACACTGTATATATATATATATATTATTTATAAGATGGCTATCAACTAATAAATAGGAGTCTTTATCATAAAACACATCTCCTTTACATGGGCAGTTGGAAGTTATTACATAGGAAAATAGAAATTATAAGACCAGAACACGTTGTATAAAGGAAATATTTAAAAAAAAATCAATGTAATATTAAGTCTTATTCAGTTATTTACAATTATATACAATCTTTTGATTAAATAACTTTAATTTTTGTGCTGATGAAAAGTTTTAAAGGAACTCCACTGAGGTTTATAAGCCTTAAAACATAAAATTTTGATTTATCACATAGATAAACATGAGCACTTAAAACAGAAATATAAATGAAATATAACCAAGAAATATACTAAAAATCAATGAAAATCATATGTTTGTGCTATTCTCAGTCCGATTTGAGTGAAAAGCGTTTAAACACTTTTTAGTTTTTGGTCATTTTTCACTATATAAATAATTATTCTGGAAAAACAGAATGAGCTAATGATCTGAAATTTTGCACATAAGTTATTAGTACAGTAAACTCCGCTTATTACGAACTCATTGGGACATTCAAAATCTGTTCCTTATATTCGGAGTTCCTTGTAAGCATATAGCGAATAAGTTCCTTGTATCAGAAGTTTTTATAGCGAACAGTTTTACATATAACGAACTAATTGTTTACCATCGTCCTCCATTTAGAATAGCATTTCATTAAGAGAAATAACTCTTGGGTTCGTCATTGTTGTCTCCCTTATATTGATTCAATAAAGAAAAAAAGGAATAATTGCAATGTTGTTTCTTTTTAATATAATTTTTATGAATAAATATATCTATAAGATAATGATATGATATGTACCATATATGCAATGTTGTTATTTATTAACGATACAGTATCATGTACAAAAATAATCGAAGTCGCTAATTTTAGTTTGTGAATGTTTACAACTCTTCAGGTTAAATTCAATATCCAATAAACTTCAAAAAACTGTTTCTTCAACATGTGAATTAGACTCGAAGTATGACCTAATATTGTGCAAATAATCAATAGCTTCATTCTTTTGACACAGCCGGCAAATCATTTAAACATATCTTGTCTTCGGAAGATTGACTGTCATCGTCATTATTTGTTCCTAATATATCCTCTACATTCAGCCAGGTTTTAATCTGTGCCGATGAGAACGAAAGTAGAAAATGCATGATCTGTTTACGGATAGCCGATATTTTGGAGTTCGATATAAAAGTGTAATTTTCTGTACTTATTATGGCATTGGGACTAAAAAATGAGTTCCTTATAAGCGAAAATTCCTTATAACCGTGTTCGCTGTAACCGTTAATTTTTACATTAAATAAAGAAGGGCAAAATTCGGGCCAAAAAAATTTGTTCCTTATAACGGAAGTTCGCTATAACCGTGTTCGCTATATGTGAAGTTTACTGTATAGATTTACAGCAAATGGAGAAATAATCTCAAAAAAATTATTTCCAGGCTCGTCATGTCAAAAAACCTCAGTGGAGACCCTTTAAGAATGGTTAATGAGAAACAAAGTCAAACAAGAACGTGTTTGTTAAACACAAATGCCCCCGGCACAGATTCTTGTCAGTAGCAATATTTCAAACAAGAGCTGTCAGTAGGACAGCAACGCTCGACGATTCTTAGTGCTTGATAGTAAAAAAAATGCTTGATACAGTTACCTCCTCCTGTTAACAGGTTGGGGTCATGATGGTGAACAAGTGTGCAAAGTTTCAAAGCCATATGTCAATGGACTTTGAAAATATTTGAACTATTACAAAAACTTTAACATAAATTCTAAGTCGAAAAAGGGGCATAATTCTGTCAAAATGCTTGATAGAGTTACCTCCTCCTGTTTACAGGTTGGGGTCATGATGTTGAACAAGTGTGCAAAGTTTCAAAGCCATATGTCAATGGACTTTGAAAATATTTGAACTATTACAAAAACTTTAACATAAATTCTAAGTTGAAAAAGGGGCATAATTCTGTCAAAATGCTTGATAGAGTTACCTCCTCCTGTTTACAGGTTGGGGTTATAATGTTGAACAAGTGTGCAAAGTTTCAAAGCCATATGTCAATGGACTTTGAAAATATTTGAACTATTACAAAAACTTTAACGTAAATTCTAAGTCGAAAAAGGGGCATAATTCTGTCAAAATGCTTGATAGAGTTACCTCCTCCTGTTTACAGGTTGGGGTCATGATGTTGAACAAGTGTGCAAAGTTTCAAAGCCATATGTCAATGGACTTTGAAAATATTTGAACTATTACAAAAACTTTAACATAAATTCTAAGTCGAAAAAGGGCATAATTCTGTCAAAATGCTTGATAGAGTTACCTCCTCCTGTTTACAGGTTGGGGTCATGATGTTGAACAAGTGTGCAAAGTTTCAAAGCCATATGTCAATGGACTTTGAAAATATTTGAACTATTACAAAAACTTTAACATAAATTCTAAGTCGAAAAAGGGGCATAATTCTGTCAAAATGCTTGATAGAGTTACCTCCTCCTGTTTACAGGTTGGGGTCATGATGTTGAACAAGTGTGCAAAGTTTCAAAGCCATATGTCAATGGACTTTGAAAATATTTGAACTATTACAAAAACTTTAACGTAAATTCTAAGTCGAAAAAGGGGCATAATTCTGTCAAAATGCTTGATAGAGTTACCTCCTCCTGTTTACAGGTTGGGGTCATGATGTTGAACAAGTGTGCAAAGTTTCAAAGCCATATGTCAATGGACTTTGAAAATATTTGAACTATTACAAAAACTTTAACGTAAATTCTAAGTCGAAAAAGGGGCATAATTCTGTCAAAATGCTTGATAGAGTTACCTCCTCCTGTCTACAGGTTGGGGTCATGATGGTGAACAAGTGTGCAAAGTTTCAAAGCCATATGTCAATGGACTTTGAAATATTTGAACTATTACAAAAACTTTAACATAAGTGGTTACGCCGACGCCGACGCTCGGGTGACTGCAATAGCTCTACTTATTCTTATCGAATAGTCGAGCTAAAAATGTTTACCCATTCACTCAGTTATGGACAGAAAAATTGCCAAAAAATTGTAAACACAAGTTATATAGCTTGACATAGTCATGGCATTTTGTAATTGTGAAAAATATAAGTTGCCAAGTCATTGCTCTGACTTGTGAAGTTGAAAAATATTCAACTTCATGCAAGTTATCTTCCAACCAAGTATGAAATACATATGTCATTAAATAAAGGCTGTATGGGCAAAAGTGTAAAAATCTATTTTTAGCACTGATGACCTTAACCAAACTGACCCCTCACTCTATCCAAAAGAAGAATACCATGTAAGTTATCTTCCTACCAAATATGAAATACATCTGTCAATAAATAAAGGCTGTATGGGCAAAAGTGTAAAAATCTATTTTTAGCACTGGTGACCTCGACCCAACTGACCCCTTACTCCATCGAAAGGAAGAATGCCATGCAAGTTATCTTCCTACCAAATATGAAATACATCTGTCAATAAATAAAAGCTGTATGGGCAAAAGTGTAAAAATCTATTTTTAGCACAAGTGAATTTGACCCCCTGATCCCTACCCCAATCAAAAGGATGAATACCATGCAAGTTATCTTCCTACCAAATATAAAATATATCTGTCACTTAATAAAGGCTGTATGAGCAAATGTGTAAAAATCTATTTTTTAGCACTGGTGACCTTGGCCCAACTGACCACTAACTCCATCAAAGTTTATGTTACTATCAATTATAAATAACATCTGTCTATAGAATAAGGTCAATACACCTGTAAAAATGTAAAAAATCTATTTTTAACATTGGTGACCTTGACATTGGTAACATTGACCTTGACCCAAATGACCCCTTACTACACCCAAAGAAGGAGGACCTCCCTTGGCATGTTTGTATTAAACTAAGACATCACATAAAATATAAAGGCTGTATGAGCAAAAATGTTTATATTTATTTTTTAAACCAGTGACCTTGACCTTGACCCTAGAGACCGCTTACTCCACAAAAAATTAGAGGACCATCAAAGGTATCCACCTACTAAATATGAAAGATATCATTAAGGAAATTAAGCAATTAGGAGAAATTTAAGATAAATCCAACTTGCCGAAATAGGTTAACCAGACAAGGCCCTATTTTCAAAGTGAAAAAAGGGAAATAACTGGGAAATATGAATGACACAGTTATATAACTTGGCAATATCATGTACTTCGTATTGATAAGTAAGTGTGGAAATTATAAAACCATTAGTATAGATAGAACTTAAGATATTTCCAACTTGCCGTTTATGGTTAACCATTTTTCATTTTCTAAGTGCTGAAAAGGGCAATAACTTGGTAAATATGAAAGCCAGAGTTATGTAACTTGCCCAGATCATGTACTTTGTATTGATTAGTAAGTGTGTAAACTTAGAAGCCATTGGTACAGGTAGAACTTAAGAAAATCCAACTTGCCGTTCTAGGTTAACCTCGTACGGACAGACGGACGAACGGACGGACAGACGGTTCAATCACTATATGCCCGGGGGCATAAAAATGTGTTTAGAGTTCTTGACCAAATGTTGTGAATGGTCAAGCTCAGAATCAAACAAACAATACATGATTCAAATCTGGACATCTTTATTCAGCAGAGATTATTCATTTGAAGCTTCACAAAAAATGGAAAGAATTTACTTGCATTAAATGTAAAATCAGATGTCATGAAATTATGTGTTGCTTCAAAATTTCCAATTGTTCTGATTTCGGTCTTGCAAACAATATTCAAATAAAAGTCTGACTCCACCCTTTAAAACTTGAAACAATAATATAGTTGTATGTCACATACCTGGTGTTAAAGGGACGAGCTTAGTTTTGTTGTCCTGGGATTTCATTCCCAATGGTAGACAGGAATCTGGCAATGCTGGAGCTACAAAATACATATAAATGTATATCATCACACACTAGTATCTGTATTCATCATCAAATCTAGTTTTCTATATTGACAATATATATTTAAAATTTACAGCAAATTACACCAATTTCATACTGTTTTCAGAATAATAAATCTTCTGGCCACCTTGTTCACTGAGAAAGACTTAAAGCTATATATTATAGATTTGAGTTTCAACACGAGTCTCAAGTGTTCTTGTTGTTGCTTTTTACAAGGATTTGGTCCAAAATGTGTCTTTATTAATTCAGGAGGATAAATGGAAAAGCTATATTTTGTGAGAATTGCAAGTATTATATTATAATGCAAGAAATGTTAACACTGTTCAATATTCTAGATAAGTTAAACAGCAAGAGTAAAGACATTATATTAACAGTAACTGACAAAATACTCTGAAAAAAAAACACATCTAAACATAAAAGTAAATGTTTATTCACTGGAACAAAATTATTATGTCAGAAAATTAAAAACCATACTGAATAAATTGTTTTTACCTCCAATTTTATATATCTTTATATCTACACAATTGACTTCAAAAGTGTGAGGAAAAAGTGAGTTTTTGAGTCCATAGAAGTATTCTCGAACTTTAGCATCCCTCGACTCGGATCTTGATGTCTGATTTCTTTCTACAACCTTAATTAAATATATCAAATTTAAAATGATGAGCATGAAGAAAATGAAATAAAAAGACAGCATATCTCCAAGTTTAGAGAATTTCTTGAATAAGTTAGATTCTATTTTACACAGTTAACAGAAATATTAATCTGTTTCATAAATCAGTAATCGTATCACGTAAATTTAATATATGCAGCGGACCTTCAAGGGTAGGGTGGTGTCTGCCTCTCATCCCAGGGATCATGGGTTCGAGCCCTACTTGCATCATGGCCATGTTTCTTCATATGACACCAGTACTGGTTGGCTCCAGGAAGTGGACTCAGGTGATTAATAAAAGCTGCAAGAACTTGTTTCACTATCAAACATAAATAAACATGTTTAAACCAACCGAACTAGAAATATGGCTTCAAACTTTATGCAAGGAGAAACCAATAATGCCCTTCCATGCATTACTTCAGATATACCATGGAACATTGTTAACAACCAAGCAACATATTAGCTTAAAAGCTTCCTCACATGTAATTACTTTAAAATCCTAGAAGAATTACAACAGAGTGTAAAGTGTGAAGTTAGCTATGTTAAACCACTTGGCCACATAACCCTCTATTATTTTCATTTGCCAGTTGTGTTTTTGCCACCCTAAATTATTACTTTTAGAGTCAGAATTCTGGCTACAAGACAAAAATTACCTAGACAAGCATTCTGACCAAGTTTCATGACAGGTGAGTCAAAAATGTGACCACTACAGTGTTAACAAGGATTATCCATATTTGAGCAGTGTGACCTAGTTTTTTACCTATGTGACCTATATTCAAACTTGACCTAGAAATCATCAAAACAAACTTTCAGACCAATTTCCAGAATACTTGGATCAAAACTGTAGCAACTAGAGTGTTAACAAGATTTTTCTATTTTTAGCTCTGGTGACCTAGTTTCACATGCGATTTTGAAGTCATCAGAGCAATTACCTAGACAAGCATCCTGACCAAGTTTGATGATAATTGAGTAAAAAATGTGACCACTATTTGGGCGGTGTGACCTAGTTTTTCATCCGAGATGACCCATGTTCGAACTTGACTTAGAAATCATCAAAACAAACTTTCAGACCAATTTACAGGATCAAAACAGTAGCCACTAGAGTGTTAACAAGATTTTTCTATTTTTAGCTCCTCTGACCTAGTTTTTCATTCGAGATGACCCATGTTCGAACTTATCCGAGCAATTACCTAGACAAGTTTCCTGACAATTGAGCCAAAATTGTGACCACTAGAGTTTAACAAGATTTTTCTATTTTTAGCTCCTGTGACCTAGTTTTTCATCCGAGATGACCCATGTTCGAACTCATCCGAGCAGGTACCTAGACAAGCATCCTGATCAAGTTTGATGACACTTGTGTCAAAAATGTGAACGCTATAGTGGTAACAAGATTTTCCTATTTTTAGCTCCGGTGACCTAGTTTTTCATCCGAGATGACCAATGTTCAAACTCATCCGAGCTATCACCTAGACAAGCATCCTGCCCAAGTTTGATGATGATTGAGGCAAAAATGTGACCGCTAGAGTGTTAACAAGGTTTTTCTATTTTTAGCTCTGGTGACCTAGTTTTTCATCCGAGATGACCAATGTTCGAACTCATCCAAGCTATCACCTTGACAAGCATCCTGACCAAGTTTGATGATGATTGAGGCAAAAATGTGACCTCTAGAGTGTTAACAAGGTTTTTCTATTTTTAGCTCTTGTGACCTAGTTTTTCATCCGAGATGACCCATGTTCGAACTCATCCGAGCTATCAACTAGATAAGCATCCTGACCAAGTTTGATGATGATTGAGGTAAAAATGTGACCGCTAGAGTGTTAACAAACTAAATGTGGACGGACAACGGACAATCATCGATCCTAAAAATGAATTATGTTGTATCTAACATAAAATAATATCTTTACAGTATTTCTAACCTCTTTCTTTTATGCAATGCACTTCAAAATACTTTTTCTAACAAATTGAGACTGTTTATGTTCAGTAATCATGTGTTAGATAACAGATACATTCTATAATAAAACTCTTTCAAAAATCAACCATAGTATAATGGAAATAAGAAAATATTGTGTAAGATATAGCTTTATACAGAGCTTTATAGTTACTCAGTAAATTTTCAAACAGAACTTACCCCTCCTGATTTAGGTAGTAGAATTATTTTAACAAAGTCCGGCATATCCCTCTTTAGTTCACTATATAATCTTTCCTGATCCATAACAGCTATCACATCAACTACAAAATAAACATCATTCTATCATCATAAATAAGACATACATGTATGGGGCCTCCTTGGCCTAGTGATTTCAAATGATTTGAACCTCACTACTGTTTGTTCATATCAGGGATTTGGACTCTTTCCATTTTGCCCAAAGAATGTCAATGGTTCTACTAAAATAATGCACAAAGGAGCATTTAAGGTATAAAGGATTACCAGAGGTGTTCTATCACTAATAAAGCAGGAAAGTCACCACATGACCTATACATTGTCTGTATGACTTACACTCAATAAAAAGAAATAAATATATCAGACAGGATCTGTCCACATATACATTTACATGTAGACACCCTAATCATACCGAAGTTAAATTAAAAATATGATAAATAGATGTATTTGATAAGCATATAATGTAAAATCAACTTACCTGTCAGATATTTTCTGTTTACAATTAAGTCAAGAAAAAAATGTTTTCAAAATTTAATATGAATTATAGAAAGACAGCTGTTATATTGTAAGTCATTAATCAGGTGTCAAAATCTATGCCCATTTCTATCCTGTTTTAATTATCATCATTTTGATAACTAGTTACTACAAATTAGCAAAAAGAAACAAGCTCCAATGTACTTAAATAAAATTATTGCCAATGACCTTTTCATTATTAATTTTTTTTTTTTTACAATTTTGCAGAATTCATCCTCATCAAATCAAACATTCTTTCTGTGATTTACATTCTACAACACAGATGTACCAGGTATCCTTAATTCAATAGCAGAAATAGATCTTATTCAGAGATATTTTGTATTTTAAATTGAAATTCATAACAGAAAAGTTTGATTACAACATTACCTTCAAATGAGCCGGCAGCATGCTTGAGTGAATCATACCCTGAACCTCTTACCCAACCACCAGTGTTTACAATAACTCCACTATGATTCACTGTAAATAGAAAGTGTATATCTAAATATACTGGCACCAATAATCAAGTTCTTCTGCTATTCAGTACATGTCAGGCCATCCCATATCTACGGTATGTATCCTGACCACATTCTCGACTTATGCAGATTAATTATTCCAGCTCTTAAAAATTTAATTCTTTTTACATATACAAAAGACACAATCATGTAATTCCAAATTGAAAGTTGGGTAAGTGCAGTTATGTTTATTGATCTTTAAAAAAAAATAAGATAAAAAATACAGATTTTTTATTTCTATTTCTGAATAATTGTGAAGTATATCTTTTAACCAAATCCATTTTAAGAAGATGTAGTAAAATAAAATATCATATAGTATCTTTCAAAATATACATGTATATATAGACCTCGACATACCTTAATTTCATTCCTACAGGGTACAAATACTTTCTTTGTAAATCTTACAGAATATGAAAAACAAAAAAAATTGTAAGGACTTTCGTTTCCTACATAATAACAATTATTTTGATACTATTTGTCAATGTAAAAAAAGATGCATTCATATCACTGTGTTAACAATTTCTGTCTTTACATAGTATTTACTTTGATAATCTAGCTGTGTTTTCTCCTACTTTTTTTTTAAATTCATCACATTTCATATTCAATTACATCAGCTATTCGAGAAACCAGTAAGTTATATAACGTGAGATTTTTAGATGGTGTAGTATGACCGAAATGGAACACTAGTGGTGCACTCTGGGTAAATCCTTCCTCAATATCGGCGGGTCTTTCAACAACATATGCTCCCATTGTACCTGGTATAGATACCTGACCCTGGAAATAAAATAAGACCACTTTTAGTTATCTTTGAAAATGCAAAAAGTTTTTTTTCTTATGCAACTTTGAAATTTTATATTACTAGTATATTGAATTAAATATATCTGAACGGCCAACTATTGCATTACCAATGTGACACATGTGCAGGGATTTTTCTGGCCCATTCTGATGACCGATATTGGGTTATGTTCTTAATGCCTTAATTTCAAGGACAAAATTCCAGTTCAAGAAATCAAAAATAAAATAAGTAAAATTATTGTCATTTTGTTACATTTTACTGCACTGAGCCATTGAAAATTGTCAACTTGCACTCCAAATGTAATCTGTGCTTATGAGTGAAAAAAGGAGTTTAATTAACCAAATATTTGATTTCTTTGTCTTATCTGATGTATACAATATGTTGTCAGTTTTTCCAAATTTGTCTAAAACATCATAAAAATTCCCAGTTCTGAGTGTTGGGTAGACTCCTGTGCTGAGAAAAAACCCTGATGTACAATGTACCTCTATAAACCTTTTTAACAGGTGCATCTGATAACAAAGTGTAAGCAACAAATTGGTGTTACAAAGTTAGATTATCAAAGTTAGAATTAAAGACATTGACAACAGAGCAAATAACAACAGTCATTTGCTGACCAACCATTCTGAAAAGCTGGATCTTTACAATAGGTAAATTTCATATGAAATTTGACCTCCTGTGCATACAACTGCTCTTTCAAGATAGAGGCGGCATAAGGGGTGAATGACTTTGTAATTAATTAAAGTGTCTGCCTAAAAACCAACAAATCGGAGGTTCAAGCCTACTGGGGACACATCCATTTTTCTACACATGACACAACCGGTTAATTCCAGGAAGCAGGCTCTGAGTGATTAAAAAAAAACTGTTATGTTTTCTTCACAATTTAGCTAAAATCAACTACATTGTACATGTATCATAGTATGATTGTTTAAACTAACTTTATTCTTGATTATTGTTACCTTACAGACACCTTCTACTGTGAACTAATGTGTCCCTACCAGCCAAATGTAGTTTTGCTATAAAATTTGACCAGAGTCTGCCAAATTTAATAATTCTCTAGTTCTTGGATGGAAACCAAGTGGCCCAAGGATGAACCAACTAACTGACAAACCAATGTCAGCATAAAATATTGTACATCTTCAAAGGGTTGTAAAAATATGCTTAAATACACAAACAGAACAAGGTAGTTGCAATATCCTACTGTCAAACTGTCAATATGATTTCAAACAAAACAATGTTATAAAATATACTTCAAATAAATATATAATTACTTAAAAATATCATATAAAAGATATGTATCTTTTATATTCAAACTAACTAGATGTACATAAAATTTCATAGTGATAAAGAAATCTCACCTGTCCTACATCAAGGTCAACAAATACTGGTGCTCTGCCCATTCTAACACCATAGTTCAACAACATATTACATAGTGTAGTTTTGCCAACATCAGAAGGTCCAACAACCAAAAGCTGAAATATATAGTACATAACAATCAAGTAACCATTCTCAGGAGCATATATATGTAATTCATAAGTTATATTGACAAGATCCCTTTCAGACAACTGCCTGCTCATATATTTTGACAAATTTGTCCGGGATTTACATCAATATGATTATGTATCACAGACAGATAAATGGTTTCAGGTTTAAGAGATGTCATATGAACATTGTCATAGAAACTAACTGGCAAGTATCTTATCCAGTAAGTTTACTGTATAATGAATGCCTTCTCAACAACTTCTCTACAACACATCATTGTAAAAGGAGGAGAATAATACCCACAAATATAGACACAAACTGATTTATACAGTTTTCATTTTTTTTAAACACAATCATGCATACTACCTATATTTAAACCTTACTGGAACTTTGGCAAAGTGTGAATTTAGAATTTGTGTGAAAAGGTAATACTGGAATAGGATTCATACAGCATGTGGTCTCTATTTGACCCTATTTACAGTAGTTTAGTTTATACTTATTTATTCTAGTTTGATTGTGATGGAAGTTATAAGCTACCTGAAACACTCCTGAATCTATTCCTTGACCCAAACAGTACTAAACAATGAGTGTAAAGTTTCTTAGTCACAGAAACAACAGCTTGCCCCTGACGAGGTTTGAACCCACACGGCCCGCAATCTTTAGATTACAGACTTGGTTAACCACTTGGCTATGCCTCTATTGTATACTATTTGAATTAAATGCAACATTTGAAGTCTGAAATATTAATAATTTTTCTACACAAATTCAACCACAGAACTTGTTATCAAAAAATCATATAACAAGATGCAATGATAGGTTAAAGTTTAATTGAAAATTAGCACCTAGAAACATAGATTATATAATTGTGTAAGTCTATTATCACTAACCCGTGGACCTCTAGTTTCGTCCTTCTCTGATTTCTCTCTCATCTGTTCTAGTGCTACATGTGCGTTCAGGTACACAACCATTGGTGTCTCCTTGGATATATAAGCTACCTCAGTGCGACCTGTCAGGTAAGCTTTGTTAAAGAAATCAATAAAACGTATATCCTTCACACCACTCAATATAAGAATCTAGACAGGTGTAACATGTACGGCACTCAAACCCTGTCGGTGAAAAGCTAGCTCACCACCGGGAGTGGTTTGTGTCCTCATAATTATACGGGAAACATTCCCTTATGTTAATTCAACAACTTTAGTATTTGCATATTATCATGCTCATTATGACGTTCTACCAACGTTGTTACACAGGCATATTATTCTTATTTTCTCTCTGATTTTACTTACAGTATTATTTTTGGAACATTCTGACATAAACTCAGGGTTTTTTTTCTTTATATAACTACTACCCTAAAACGGTACTGTTCCTAATAGAAAATAGACATTAAAATTCCCAATTTCCTATGTTTAAATTCCCAAAATGACTGTTTAAAATTTCCACAAGGCCCAGTGATTTCTCTGAAATCATTTAAATCCAACATATTCATATAAATCATCACTCAATAGTTCTACCTGGACTGTGGAAGCTGTTAGCTATCTTTATTCATGATGACTTATCTTATTTGTAGCTGAAAAAATGCATAATTTTTTTCCCCAATTTAAGTCAAAATAACGCATTTTTTCCCAATCAGTCTGGTACCGGCACCATTCCCAAAGTAGAGAAAAACAAGAACTTGTTTGTTAAACACAAATGCCCCCGGCTCAGATTCTTGTCAGTAGCAATATATCAAAAAATGTTTACCCATTCACTCAGTTATTGACAGAAAAATTGCCAAAAAATTGTAAACACAAGTTATATAGCTTGACAAAGTCATGGCATTTTGTAATTGTGAAAAATATAAGTTGCCAAGTCATTGCTCTGACTTGTGAAGTTAAAATATTCAACTTCATGCAAGTTATCTTCCTACCAAATATGAAATACATCTGTCATTAAATAAAGGCTGTATGGGCAAAAGTGTAAAAATCTATTTTGAGCACTGGTGACCTTAACCAAACTGACCCCTAACTCTATCCAAAAGAAGAATACCATGTAAGTTATCTTCCTACCAAATATGAAATACATCTGTCAATAAATTAAAGCTGTATGGGTAAAAGTGTAAAAATCTATTTTAGCACTGGTGACCTTGACCCAACTGACCCCTTACTCCATCCAAAGGAAGAATACCATGCAAGTTATCTGTCTACCAAATATGAAATACATCTGTCAATAAATAAAAGCTGTATGGGCAAAAGTGTAAAAATCTATTTTAAGCACAAGTGACCTTGACCCACTGATCCCTATCCCAATCAAAAGGATGAATACCATGCAAGTTATCTTCCTACCAAATATAAAATATATCTGTCACTTAATAAAGGCTGTATGAGCAAATGTGTAAAAATCTATTTTTAGCACTGGTGACCATGACCCAACTGACCACTAACTTTATCAAAGTTTATGTTTCTATCAATTATAAATAACATCTGTCTATAGAATAAGGTCAATACACCTGTAAAAATGTAAAAATCTATTTTTAACATTGGTGACCTTGACATTGGTAACATCGACCTTGACCCAAATGACCCCTTACTACACCCAAAGAAGGAGGACCTCCTTTGGCATGTTTGTATTAAACTAAGACATCAACTAAAATATAAAGGCTGTATGAGCAAAAATGTTTATATTTATTTTTTAAACCAGTGACCTTGACCTTGTTCCTAGAGACCGCTTACTCCACAAAAAATTAGAGGACCATCAAAGGTATCCACCTACTAAATACGAAAGATATCATTAAAGAAATTAAGCAATTAGAAGAAATTTAAGATAAATCCAACTTGCCGAAATAGGTTAACCAGACAAGGCCCTATTTTCAAAGTGAAAAAAGGGAAATAACTGGGAAATATGGATGACACAGTTATATAACTTGGCAATATAATGAACTTTGTATTGATAAGTAAGTGTGGAAATTATAAAGCAATTAGTATAGATAGTCCAACTTGCCGTTTTAGGTTAACCATTATTCATTTTCTAAGTGCTGAAAAGGGCAATAACTTGGTAAATATGAAAGCCAGAGTTATGTAACTTGCCCAGATCATGTACTTTGTATTGATTAGTAAGTGAGTAAACTTAGAAGCCATTGGTACAGGTAGAACTTAAGAAATTCCAACTTGCTGTTCTAGGTTAACCTCGTACGGACGGACGGACGGACAGTTCAATCACTATATGCCCGGGGGCATAAAAACGCTGAAACTATATAAACATCATTATGCCATAGTTAGCACATTCAATTAAACATTAAATTGTTCAAGCAAACAAAGAACTTAATACTGCCATATTACATGTTATAAACGAACCTCTCTTAATAGATATTCATTTGAAATAATAAATTTGGTAGTAAGCTTAAAAGTTAATAGCCATTTTATGGCAATGGATTTAAAAATTTGTTTAACTCAAGCCAGATTTTAACCCTAAGCTGGCAGGCAAAGACTGATCCTAACCATGCAACTAATGCTGACCAAGATACGCCTGCACATCAAGGCAGTCTGCACGAAAAAAAAAATTATGGTCATAGACATTCCGGCTTTGTCCATCGAAATATCATATAGCCCCTAGCATGAAAATTCTAACAAAAGTTGTGGCCAACTTGCGTAAATCTGGAGAAAATAATGCAAAATGATATCACTTGATTAACATTTATTTCTGCTATTCTTAGACAGGGTGTACAGTAGACTGAAACTCAAAGGTCAAATGATTAAATTTAGCCTATGACGTCATAGATAATCCGAAAAAAATTAATATGCATATCCCTCTCGGTCATTATAAATACAACGAGTGTAAATGATTCTATATTCTATATAATTTAGAAAATTTCGTCCCAATACCTTGAAAAAACAAGAGGGCCATGATGGCCCAAAGTCGCTCACCTGTATATAGGCCCCTGGAGCGGGGCCAGTTTAAACCCCAGGGCTTTTATTTGAACAAACTTGGTTGTATATATATATATATATATATGTATATATGTATATATATATATATATATACATATATATATATATATAATATATATATATGTATGTATATATATATATATATATATATATATATATATATATATATATATATATATATATATATATATATATATATATATACACATACATATATATATATATATATATATATATCATATATGTATATATATATACATAATATGTATCTATATATCTATATCTATATATATATATATATATATATATATATACATGTATATATATATATATATATATATATATATATATATATATATATATATATATATATATATATATATATATATATATTAAATAATTATATATGCATATATAAAATATGCATATATCTAAAAAAAAAAAGTCAAGCTAATGAATGAACCCCGGGGCGGGCCAATTTTGACCCCAGGGCTTTTATTTGAACAAACTTGGTAGACACCCATGAGAACATGTTTCATGCTAAATATCTTAGCTCTAGCTCTTTGAGTTCTTTAAAAGAAGATTTTTTAAGTTTTTACTATATGCACATAGGGAAAATCAATGACCCCCGGGGGCGGGGCCAATTTTGACCCTAGGTCTTTTATTTGAACAAACTTTGAAGACACTCATTAGAAGATGTTTCATGCTAAATATCTTAGCTCTAGCTCTTTGGGTTCTTTAAAAGAAGATTTTTTAAGTTTTAACTATATGCATATAGGGAAAATCAAAGACACCCTGGGCGGGGCCAATTTTGACCCTAGGGCTTTTATTTGAACAAACTTGGTAGACACTCACTAGAAGATGTTTCATGCTTTATATCTAAACACTAGCTATCTGGGTTTTTTCAAAGAAGATTTTTAAGTTTTTGCTATACACAGTCATAAAAGGAAAATCAATGACCCCCGGGGCGGGCCAATTTTGACCCTAGGGCTTTGATTTGAACAAACTTTGTAGACACTCACTAGAAGATGTTTCATGCTTAATAGCTAAACTCCAGCTATTTGGGGTTTTTTTAAGAAGATTTTTTAAGTTTTTGCTATCCACATATAAGGAAAATCAATGACCCCCGGGGCGGACCCAATTTTGACCCCAGGGCTTTTATTTGAACAAACTTGGTAGACACCCATTAGAACATGTTTCATGCTAAATATCTTAGCTCTAGCTCTTTGAGTTCTTTAAAAGAAGATTTTTTAAGTTTTTACTATATGCATATAGGGAAAATCAATGACCCCCTGGGGCGGGGCCAATTTTGACCCTAGGGCTTTGATTTGAACAAACTTGGTAGGCACTCATTAGAAGATGTTTCATGCCAAATATCTAAGCTCTAGCTCTTACGGTTTTTTAGAAGAAGATTTTTTAAGTTTTTCTTATTGGTTGCCATGGCAACCAGAGTTTTTAATGGAATTTAAATTTTTGAACAACTTTGAAAGGGGTCCACCTAAGGATCATTTCTGTAAAGTTTGGTTGCAATTGGCCATGTAGTTTAGGAGGAGATGTTGTTTGAAAAGTTTGACGCCATTTTTTGAAGGACGCACGACGCACGACGGACGCAGAGTGATGACAAAAGCTCACCTTTGAGCACTTCGTGCTCAGGTGAGCTAAAAACAACAGCATTTCCCTCAGCCATTGCATATGTATTTTTCCGGATCTCAAAACATTGCTAGACTGTCGGACTACGCTCCCTACATTTTATGCTAGCCAGAACAGAACTTTACTAGACTGGGGCTTGGGCTTTGCCTATTTTTCGCAGACTGTCATGGTCTTACTATTCAGTCAGTACATTCATGTATTTTGATACTGTCCCTAGAAATGAGGATTTGTTGTATCCAAATTGAAAGATGGACATGTCCATTAAAGATATCTAGCATGGTTTAAAGTCACAATAATGTGTTTACTGAAACAAGTAAACAAAATAACTAAATTCAATAAACAACATGAAAAGTCTCATGTATTTTGGTGAACGTATTTAATAACTCACAACTGATGATTTTTGTAAATATTAGGGATGTAATCACAGAATCAAAATATTCAATTCAATCAACCAAGACAATATTTATTTGTTAATATTTATAAAATAAATAAATAAGAATTTTTTAAAAAAGGATATTTTGATTTGGCAGCTATGCCATGAAAATACAGCAACTTTTGAGCCAGCATTGAAGGAATATTTTCGCCCAGAAGTCAGTTCACTGCCAAATATCTCTGCCTTGCCATTGATTAACTACAAAAATACAACAAAGCACATTTCAAAAGAAAGTTTACTTACATTTATGACCAGCTACTAACATTATATAGTCATATGTACCTGAAGAACGTTTTTAAAACAAAGCGTCAATGAATGACAATTGATCAAATATAAAATGACTTAAACATTTAAAAACATGAGCATAAACTAAAGAAAAGATAATGTGCTGAACATAACTGTTCTAACCTTGTATATAATATACAAAACTTATGAGACCATATCTTGAACATGTTTGTATTAGAGATCATGTCTAGAACATATTTTATAGATGACACACTACTTATATAAGCAGGTATTATTTTGATAAGTATGCTGGTATTTCTAGATGGTATTTAAGTATTGCAGCACAGATAGAAGGTATAATGTATATCGGTAATACCGGGTACCTATGCTAAATTCACTCTTTACCTCCAATTGAACAGTTGATCCAGATTCTACTTCAAACCTCAGCTCAGACTCTTTATCTAGCTGGAACTCCTCTACTCTCTGAAATATAACATATGAATTAGTAATAACAAGAACCGGTTGAACCAGGTGATGCTCCCCGAGAAGGTTCTGGACACAGGAAAGTATAAAAAAAATGAAGTTATGTCCTGAGTAAAATTCAAAGTGTAAAAATGAACAAAGGGCAATAACTCCAAAATTAGACTAGGCTTTGTTTAGGTTCTTTAAGCATTGCAGTTCTATCTAATTATATCTAGCTACCTACAAAGTTTCATGTTGATATCTCTAATAGTTTTAAAGTTATGTCCCGGACAAAATTCAAAAAGTAAAAATAAACAAAGGGCAATAACTTCAAAATAAGGCAAGGCAGAGTAATGATTCTTAAGCACTGCACTTCCACCCAATGAAACCTATCTATCTACAAAGTTTCATGTTGATATCTCTTATAATTTTAGAGTAATGTCCTGGACAAAGTTCAAAGTATCAAAATGAACAAACGACAATAACTCCAAAAGTGGGCAAGACAGTGTTACAGTTCTTGTGCACTGCAAACCTACTCAATGAGATCTATCTACCTACAAAGTTTCATGTTGATACCTCTTATAGTTTTACAGTTATGTCCTGGACAAAGTTCAAAGTGTAAAAATAAACAAAGGGGGATAATTCAAAAATTAGGCAAGGCAGAGTTACGGTTCTTGTGCAGTGCACACCTACTCAATGAGATCTATCTACCTACAAAGTTTCATGTTGATACCACTTATAGTTTTAGAGTTATGTCCCAGACAAAGTTCAAAGTGTAAAATTAACAAAGGGGGATAATTCAAAAATAAGGCAAGGCAGAGTTACGGTTCTTGTGCACTGCACACGTACTCAATAAAATCTATCTACCTACAAAGTTTCATGTTGATACCTCTTATACATTTAGAGTTATGTCCCCGACAAAGTTCAAAGTGTAAAAATAAACAAAGGGGGATAATTCAAAAATTAGGCAAGACAGAGTTACAGTTCTTGTTCACTGCACACCTACTTAATGAGATCTATCTACCTTCAAAGTTACATGTTTATACCTATTATAGTTTTAGAGTTATGTCCTTGACAATGTTCAAAGTGTAAAATAAACAAAGGGGGATAATTAAAAAATTAGGCAAGGCAGAGTTACAGTTCTTGTGCACTGCACACCTACTCACCTACAAACTTTCATGTTGATACCGCTTGTTGTTTCAAAGTTATGTCCCGGACAAGAAAAGGGGACGGACGGACGGAAAGACGGACGGACAAGGCGGCGACTATATGCTCCCCCGAAATTTTTGCGGGGAGCATAATAAAATATATATACACACACATTTATCAAAATTATGATAAGCAGCATATTTATGCATAATTATTTCAAAATCCATCCATGAATGACAAAACTTTGTACAAAAGAAGACCATCAAATGTCACTTACAAGTGTGACCTTCACCTTTTGACAAGACACAAATATCATCATGTCTTACACATTTATACCAAATTATTTCACAATCAGGGCTCGAATTTAACTTTTTTGGCCACTAGCAATTTTTTGCTAGTGGACAAAATTTTAACTAGCAAAAACTGAATTCAACTAGCACTTTTTACGACAATGATTTTTTAATTCCAAAATTGTTAAAAATTGTAATTTATTTGGACGAGTTCGAACTGCCCGGGGTACGAATCAGCAACGTAACTTTCTACTCAAAAACTTGATTTAGGGGACAGGGGTTCTTATCAAATGTCAATCTACATGTAAAAAAATAATAATGCAATATTGTCGCATACCGACGATGTCTCTGGATTATGCGCACAACAATCGGCGCAAAATATTTTGGCAACATTTCCATCGTCATCGAGTTAGTACGTAAGACTGACATGCAGTTCTTTCTCCCAATTTTTAACCGTTTTAACTGAAGGTCTGATTGTCTTTCTTTTGATAGACTGTGAATCGTCTTCTGTACTCAGAGCATTGTTATTGGAAGACACATTTGCTTCAGTAAGTGGGAAGAAGTTCGTTATTTTTCGTTTAGACAGTTTATTCCGATCACGCTTGATTTACACGGACAAAATGACATTTGGACTGGTTTAAATTTGTGTACTTTTTTAAGCGAGGTTAAGGTATAGAAAATGTAAACCAGACAGCAAGTGCGCGCATAGTTTATAACTCGGCTACCTGCGAATATTACGCCCCAATTTTGTTTCGGAATTTACTGACGAGCTTATTCAATTTTTTCTTCAACTCGCAAAAAATTGCGAGTAGTCATAAATCTAACTCGCAAAATCTTTTTTCAACTAGCATTTTGCGAGTTTGCGAGTGTTAAATTCGAGCCCTGACAATCCATCCAGGAATGGCAGAATTGTTGACCAGACACAACCATCAAATGACTTTTATGAATGAATTCCAATCATGACTTTGGAATACAAGTGTGACCTTGACCTTTGAGGTAGGGATCTGATTCATTCTAGCGACATGTTGTCATTATGTGGAAACATTTAAAATTTTAACAAGACAAAAAGCACAATGGCAAATTGCGATTTTAATTTAAATTACTGTTATAAATAAATATCAGGAAAAAGACTAAATTGTAAGCTTAATTGCTGTAGTTTGCGAATTTTTTGCAGAATCATGAAAGGGTCTGTTGAGGGCTGTAGCGCTCTTAGATATGACATATGTATAAGTTAATCTGACATCACATTAAAATCACAGTGATTTTCTTTTCAATTTTCAAAACATCTGTGGCTTTCTGAAGGGTAAAATATATCGCAATAAATCAGACAAGGTGAAAATCAAATTTCAACAACAGAATTTCAATTCAATTTAACATGCATGGTACAAAGCAGAGGCTATCTGGGACAGCTTTCTGTCTTCTAGCTGATATAAGTCAGCTGCTGTTAAGTCATGGTTCTGGTGAAGAATGTGCACAGGGCATTTAAGGGGAAAATATTAGCATTTTTAGGGGAAAATATACCTATTTTGGGTTTGGGGAAACAGCCCTTATTCGTCTGTAAAATACAAGGAGAAAATCACTGGAGGTGTTCTGATTGAAACTGGAAGCGGTGCATGAAATATCGAATGACAACTTAAAAATGAAAATTGTAAATGATAATGAACAATTTTTTTTTATCTGACTTCATTACTGGGAAGTCAAAAGCCGTGAATTGAGCCCGGGCTTTGGCTACCCGGCTATTGACTACTGGTCGGGGACTATCAACCGGACACTTTTTGAACATTTTTCCGTACAGATTTCATAGTTTTTAACCTGGAGAACAACAAAGTTGACACAGTTCAACTAGGTTCTTCTCCTAACTAACAAACTAAGTTTGTTTATTTCTGATTGTACAGACATTTATATCTGAGGCTTGTCAAGACGGGTATCAAAATTACCTAAATTGTCTTCACTACAGTACCATGTGTCCTGACAGATATGTACATGACAGGATTTAATTCAGAAAAAAGCTTGGGTATTTTGAATTTTGATTTCTAACATGATATACAATATTTCGGCAACAAATGCTGAAGTTTTGGATTTTCTATTCTTTAATCTGCAAATGATAATAGCTGGTATATGAGGTCATGCTTTGCTTTCTTGACCCCCAAATCTCAACGTCAACATTCTTGAAATAGACATTAAAATATTACCATTTACGGAGGTTGAAATAAATACTACTTAATTTACTTAATTTTAGAAGAAACATACATTTACTGTTGATAAAAAAGTGACTGACAACCACTGAACAAAGAAATTACTAAATTAAGCATTTTTGGGGCCGTCCGGGTTTGGTGGTTGTCCGGTTTAGGTGGTCCTCAACCAGTACATGTGTATATTTAAAAGAAAATTAAGTAAAAAACAATTAAAAAATATATAGAATTATGTCAATATAAACTGATCAATGAAATTTCCCATTGTCAGTTCAAGTTCTAGTGGTAACTCAATGGTAATTGACAGGGTATTCCTATAACCGAACAAAGTCAAATTTTTGGCTGAAGAAAAATAGTTGAGCTGTTCGGATTCATAGACTTTGCCTACTTTAACATAAAGTTTTTAAAAAGGCCCGAGTTGGTACAGGGCCGAGTTGACCCTTTACCGGCTAAACATCCGGCGACCAACAAGTAAAAGGCGAGTCTGGACACTTAAAATATTTTCAGTCAACGGTTTCACATATCATAAAACTTATTTTGTACCTGTTCACTATCTGTCATTGTCGTTTCAGTTGCTCAAATTATTTTCTTGTTCTTCGTCTTCTGTTGTTGTTGTTTTCATCTACCTTATCTAAAATTCGTCTAAACACCGTACCAGTTGGACCGTAGGATTTAAAGTACTATACAAGATACAAGAAACTTTATTTTAAGTCGGTTTACATATTACAAGAAACATTAGCTAATAAGCTATTTACCGACAATAACAAAGACATAAAACATATTTACTAACATATAACAGTTCTGAAAATAAAAACATATAAAACTATTAGCAGCTTAAGCATGAAATAAGAGTATCAAGGTTAAGAAGAACTTTACAATAAGATGGTAAATTAAGGCATAGATTGGTGACATGCACAGTACATATTGTATTAAAGGTAATAACAGTTTCTAAAAGTAATAAATGACTGTAGTCTAGAAGTTTAAGTATGATACATATAGCAATGTGAAATAAATAAAAATAATAATAAAAAATAAAAAATTAATAAAATAGTAATAGTTATAAGTTAACATCTACAATTTATAAATACGTAATTGAAGGTTTCCTAAAAAATATATATAAATAAATAAATAGATAAAATTAAACTTACTTATAAAAGTGCATAAAAATTTATGATAGAACTAATACAGCATAAAAAAGAAACAAGATAAAGCACATACAGTGTAACAAACAAAGTTAACTAAAATTAAGTTGCATGCACAGCCTAATGGAATGGGGAATAAGGAGTTTTAATATGAACAAAGCATACAAATACAACAAAGATTCAACTAGCATAAAATAAAGGGTTTAAGAAAAATTAACACACAACATATAATCAAAGCATCATAGCAAACTAAAAAGGGATGCACAAAAGCAAAGCAAACAAACAAAACATGTAGTCTAAGCATTTACATAAATTAAAACTAAGCAAAATAACAAACACATAGCAAATTTACAAGCACATAGCACATTTACAGCTTGGGCCACCCCAGACCTGGATCAGTCTCCCAAACTCTTTGTAATTTTCAACATTGCGGATGTCATTAGGGAGACTGTTCCATATCTGGGCACCTTCAAACCGAAAAGAATTCTTACCGTATGTTACTGTTTTGACCCTTGGGACATTTACACTTTTTTGATATCTAAAAGAATAATTGGAATTTTTAAATTGAATTAAATCATTTATATATGGTGGTGATTTTCCGTACAGGCATTTAAACACTTCTTTGGCTATTATACAACTAGGGTACACAGGTTTGTTAAACTCTCCGTTTATTTTGTAAACTTCCTTAAAACTGGAAAAGGTTTGTACCATTTGTTTTCAAAATCTTTAACAAATTTGTTGAATTCACTTATGTGGGATGGTTTATAAATACTTTTTGATGAATCCGAAGGTAGATGACGTTTTGAAAGAAAATGGCGGCAGATGCAATCACTCGATTAGTGGACAAGAATGGAAACATATGTGAAAAGTATTTTTATAAATATGCTACACTTACAAAGGCAGAAGAATAATAAAACATCATTTGAAAGATTCTTAGACACGGATATTCTACTTTTGCAGCATGTCTTCCGAAAACGCATGAAACTATGCAGTCAGCTGTTCATAGAAAAAAAGACATCACAAATGTTACTGGCAATTGCTTAAAATGTACTCCCGAGGACGACAAAGATCAATGAATTATTACCAACTTTAAATATAAAGTATTTGCATTTAACATCTTCCTGTGCACTAAGCGCTACTGCATGGAATTTTAAAAAGACAAAAGTTCTTAAAATTTGAAGTCCCATCTTTCCCTTAGAATATTAGAGAAGCGGGTGTTTGAATTAATAAATTAGACTGTTTAGATACATCTTTGCCATTCTGTAAATTTCATGTGCCAAAATGTATTGCAAATATATGTAACATTTTCTCTCTCGTTATTGTTCTTTGCTTAAGGTATAAGCCCCCTAATGGACACTCTAAAGAACAATAAAATTGACAACATATGTCAGTTATATACCTTGAAGGACACCTGTATGCAAAATTAAAAAAATATATCGTATGGTAAACGAGTTACAGTGTATGGAGATTTTTCTTGGCCATTTCCCCCCTTGAAGGGCCTTATTTAAAATATCCTTAAAATTGACCACAATGAGGGGCTGTTTTCAAAGTTTTTGTCCTGTTTTTGTTTGGGGTCCGCCTGGGCTTCGTGCCACTGGTTATTTTTGCTGGGTCGTGTGGGGGTTGAGTTCATTGAACGCCGCCTTTCCTTGTTGATCTTATTTATCATATTTTTTGCCTAAATTTTCTTTACAGTATATCTTGATCTTGTAAAATATAAAATACTTTTACCGTCTATTTTTTTATTGTATTGGACTTTGAAAATATAAGGTTCCATATTTGATAATAAATTTTGCATAATTCAGCCAATAAATGCTGATAATAATTTTATAATTTAAACGAAACACGTTTTTCTTTGCAAGAGTGATCCAAGAGACACATAAAGAATGTGTAAAGAAGAAAAAATGAAAGAAAAAAAAGTTGCTTCCTCTGGAGTTTGAACCAGCTCCCGTCAGTTTCAATGCAGTTGACAGTAGTTATAACATATATGAATACTCTTCAAAGTGGAGGTAATGCATTAGGTGAGTCATACCTTAAAACAGATATTTGTATGATATACTAATTGCATGATTCTTCAAGAAAAATTTGTAAATTAATTCTGTAATATTAGGGTGCTCATTACTCAAAAAGCATACATGCATGAATGTAGACACCTTTTTGATGATATAATTTACATATACAGCATTCACTGGCAATAAAATATTATAATGATTTATTATAAACTTTATGTTGTAAAGAAAGTCCAAAACGGCAAATGTTGCAGGCTCGGTTTGAGTGAGCCTGTTCATGGACAGTATTGGGAAGTGCAAGCTACTGCCTGTCAATGCACCCCCACACATTTAGCACCGGCTTTAGCAGTAAAATTTGATTACTGAAATTTACACATTTAATATATTTCAATACATGTATGTAGTAAATTGCCAGGAATACCTGTTTGAAACCTAAAAAAATCTAATACATGTACAATAATGAGATAACGGCAAAAATGGCCAAATATTGATTAGAGTCTAACTGGGTTGTGTTTAAAAGCGTCAGCTTTATGATTATATTGTGATCATACACTGGTTAGACTGTTGTCAGAAAATGTTCTATAAATGGTAGGGTTACGAAAAAAGACGTCGGAAAATGACGACTATAAATTTTCATATCCGACCATTTACTGACGTCAGAATCGGACTTAAATCTGACATTGACCGGATGTCGCGTGCTTGCTAGGGAAGTTCTAATATGATTGCAAATCTTTTGTAAACCATGCATTTGTTGTAGCAATTGTAAACCATCTTTACTAGATATGGTTTCAAAAATGTTTGTCATAAAACCCAACCTTTAAACCAAACCGGTTCATGCAAAAGAAACGCACACTAAAAACGAAAAGCAACGGACATCACCGAAAAGCACTCAAATCCCGTCGCGTTATAATCAAGTGTGATTGCTGTCGCAAACTTTGCGAATGTTTTGTAAGTTATACATGTTTTGATTCATTTGATAATTTTGTAATTTCATAATCTTTTATAGCAAAGTTAAATTGAACTACCTTTCATTTGAGAATGCTCCTGACTTTGTTAAAGTAATAAGAAAACTCCTGAACATGTATTATTTCATTGTAAACTCCTTTCTATTGTTCCCGTCGCATGCTTTATATGCTTTTCTTGATTATTTTCCCGCCTTTTATTAGTATATAAGCTTAGATGATATAGCATACAAGTCAGAAAATTCTTTAGGTTCTTAGTGTGTAAGGTCTTCTTGAAACTACTATTGGATTAAAATTAAAGTGATATATTTTGGATATTTAAAATCATTTAGTTTCTGTGGTTATATTTAAAGATAAAAAAGAGTTTTATATAAGTATAGTTAAAATTGATGTTTGTTAATAAATCAAAAAAGTGGGGTATCATATTAAACTGTAAAACGTTTTTTCTGTCTGTTTAGTTCTATTTTCTTATATTTCTAAGTAATTGTTATGACAAATAGTTATAACAAAAACTTAGTAGTAAAAAGCATAATACAAAGGGTGAAATATATTCAAACACTGTTTCAGTGTGGTATAAAGATTTCAGTCTATGAAACATTAGTTAAAAGAAAGTCTACCACAATTGCACCGACGTACGATGTAGATGTAAATATGTTTTTTAAACATATGATTTATTTCATTTTATCGATTTTTAAGTGTTACCAATCGATTTATTTAGGAGAGTTAGTATTTTAGCTTGTCTTTGTTATATATTTTATCATTAATTATATGACTGTTCAGGAATATAGATACGTTGAGTGCTTTCCGGTCCTGTTCAGATACATGTACATTACCGATTAGCAAATAGAATGAAAAATAAGCTTAACTGATTATTCTATGACTCAGTGATATCGAACTAACAGCACTTCCAATATTAACTCTATATTGTGGAGTGTTCTATAACAATGTGGCAGTAAGATGACAAACCTTCACAATGCAGCAATTCAAATTCCACACTTAACGTATTTTTTCTTTATTTTCCCCTCGCATTAATATTACGCTTTGTAAGGTCTTTAAGACCTTTTGGTTCAGAAATAAATACCGGTTCATAAAAAATTATATTCATTAGAAAATAAGAGAAACGTCTAGCTTACTAGAATTAGCTTGACAACTTGAATAAACAATAATTTGTTTTGTGGCACAATAATTTCTTCGTAAAGATAATTAAGATACATCATTTTTTTTTCATTTTAGAATAAGTTATCGGTCCTATAAACTGCTGAGAATTAAGATGACATACTTTCACAAGAGAGCGGCTATCTATTCTTTTTTGTTCTTGCATATATTATGTTGCATATTTCTTTGCTATCTTTGAACCTTTTGACTCAGTGACACCCAGGAATGTATTATATATTAGAAAATAAGGGAAACAATATGTCGATTGACAACTTGAATAAAAATATTTTGTGACAATTTCTTGACACGTGTTATCACTAGGATAATTTAATCATTAATGATATGCAATCAAATGGCAAGACGTCTACATAAAATATGATAAAGAAGATCAACAAGAAAAGGCGGCGTTCAATGAACGCAACCCCCTACGACCCAGCAACAATGGCAAAAAGGAGCCCAGACGGACCCAAAACAAAAACAGGACAGGCCACAAGTTTTTAAGCCTATAAAAACACGGTTTCCTTAATTATTTTCAAACCTTCACATGGCAGCAAATCATTTTATTTGTTAAAAAGGGTTATTGGGGAGGTACATGTGGTTTTCAAAAGTAAAAATTATAAACTTTGAAACAATTTTTTTATACTTTTACTAAATTCCAAAGAAATTTAGAGGTAATCTTTCATTAGATAACAAAATTATTAAAGTTGGTTAAAAAAGCGTTAGAAAGGGACGTCGCGTTTTACTGAGGTGGGGTTTTGTCCACTCTATAAAATTTAGATGTTGGGTTTTGTCTACTCTATAAAATTTTGAGGTGTTGGGTTTTGATGTGTGGGGTTTTGTCCGTCTTCCTATAAATATCACTGTTTCCCGTCTTATACTTAGGTAATATTTATAGGCAAATATGAGCTAAAATGGACTTAATAATTCAATCTCTAAAAAATCTTCGAGACTGCAATGCTTTATTTGATGTTTGACCATTCTACAAACAACGAGGAACGAAACTTGTTTAGTACTTTACTTCCTTCCCTGAGTTTTATTTTATTCCGCATAGCACGGTACCATACGGCTATAATCAAGGCTAGTACTTTTATGTACTTCAATTGAAGAGTTAGGCGGTGAAGCAAGATTTCACATAGCCGACGAAATAAAGCGAGTTTGACTTAATCTGTTTGTCAGTCATTAAGATATTTAGGTTTTACCATATATCAAGCAGATAAGATGAACCCAAGTTATAAAGATATTGGGGAATACTTTGCCAAACAATACTACCAGATGTATGACACAGGGAACATAGATCAGCTAGCCTCTATGTATCATGTAAGATCTTAGGGTGTTTTCGTTATAATCATTATGAATAGCTCCAACCTATGTGTAAAGATCTATTGTTAGAAAGAGAGACTGATCAAGTCATGTTGAAAATTATATGAACCACTGACTTCTCATCAATACACATCCCTACTTGCTTTAAGTATATTTTGCCTTAAAAAGAAAGTGGGGATACATGCCATGTTATGGGGATACATGCCATGTTCAGAAATTTAATCACATAATCAGGGCTGCCGATTTTCCGCGGATTTCGTGAGCTGGGTCATTTTTGAGATTGATGTAAATTCGACAAAGACAATAAATTCATTCGTCATATTTTATACAGTACCCAAAAACCGGCACACTTCGGCTTTTATCGTTACGCTAGCCGCCTATGGTATGTCTGTAAGCGCTTTTCTCATTTGTCAAATAGAGTCTTTTCTGGCATTCTATTTTAGAATAACCAATCAAATTTCAGTTTACATTGTCGCTCTTGTCTGTTGTCAAAATGCGTCAAAATGTCGGATACTAAAGTGTCTCTGAATGGCTTTAAAGGCAACCAAGGAAGTCAAATTTAGAGTCCAGGAAATTGATTTTAGGGCATACCAAATCATCAGAATCCAGGAGCTTCCGGGGGCTTCGCCTCCTGGGCCCCCACCAGGGCTCTGTCCTGCACCCGCAAAGGGGGCTTCTGCAGCCCCCTTGACCCCCGGCGTATTTTCCTCTGATTTTGCAATTTGCTGTTGGCAGCCCTGATATTAATGTAAACTATTATTTGCGGCTATGTTATCACGAAGCTATACTTACATGGAGAGGAAGCTATGATATCAAACACTTGTCACAGGGTGAGAAAAATGTGCAGATTAATGGGGGAAAAGAGTCAACTCGGCCCTATACCAACTCGGCACGGGTCAACTCGGCCCACTTTACAAAAATATATATAACGTATTAACTTTGCTTTGCATTTTGTAAATTTGAATGAATGCGTCAATCATAATTATCACCTAATTAATCGGTATCCTTAACATACACACTGATTGATAATAATAAGTATTTAATTTTACGGTTAAACCTACCACGATTCAGAAATACAGTGAGATACGCAATCGGTGATCTTTACTCGCAATTCTACTCATAAGAAAAGCCTGTCTGCTGCTAGTTCGGAAACTGTCAATTCGTGTATTATAAATAATTACAAGAATTACAATAAATAGTGATAACACAAACCTAAATATTAATAATTGAAAAGTGGGCCGAGTTGACCCGTGCCGAGTTGGAAAAGGGCCGAGCTGACTCGGGGGCCGAGTACGTTTTAGGGCCGAGCTGACCCGGATTCATTGACGGGACTTTAACCAGGTACCCTCAGAATATCGTTCAGCGGCTCTTCTGACCACATTTGGTGGCCACGGCTACGGACACAGATTTCATGTCCCATTCTGCAGAACAGACACCATGAAGTTCTCCTTTGTACCTTCGGCCTTCCGCCTGTGGAACCAGCTTCCAGAGCACCTAGCCACAGCAGTCAACCTTGAGGCCTTCAAGGGAGGACTAGTCATGGGGCCCTAATATGCCAGAGTTGATTTTATGTTTAACATGTTCTTCTTTTAAATTTGCACTTATTCGCCTCATAACACTTTGTACATACACCCTATATGTTAATGCCCCAGAGTGGGTTATGTACAGTATTGGAAGAAGAAGAAGAGGAGCTTGCACACCAGATACAAATTTTATCTAATTACACATGTGGAAAATCAATTTCAGCAAACTGGTTTAACCATTTCGATACACAATACAAAATTATACCTTTTACAACGTCTGATATTTTAAGCGTTACATAATAATAAATTGTCTATGTTTACTCAAATGTCAACAAAATATTTTGTCTGAAAATTGAAAAATTATTATTCGTAAATTCTAACTTACTTTGCAGGACTCTGCTCTATTAACATTTGAAGGTGATCAGAAACAAGGAAAAGAAGCAATACGAGCTAAACATGGCGTAAGTATTATTTCAAGGGACTACATACATGTATATACTTCACCACATCCCAAGGTTTATTGAGAATTTAAGAATAGGATGATAATCAGCCCTGTGTTCACATGAGATTTAACCCCTTCTGAAAAAGGGGTTGCCTTCACTAATTGAGACATAAGAAATGCAGTCCCCTTTTATCCCAGCATGATCATAACATTGATTAAATGGGTTTAAACAACTGGAGTCTATGCATCTCTTAGATCTAGCAGGTGAGGTTGTTTTGACCCCTGGTGTTGCTTTAAGAATGTGAGACCTGAGGTCGACCAAAGTCATCTGTGCTGTTCTGGTGCCATGTGACCTGTACTGTGTTGGTGTGGCAAACAAATAAACAAACAAAACAAACATAAGATATTTAGAGTTAGATCAAAATTCAAATTCTCAACAGTTAATGCTTTCAGGTATTAAAATAATAAATGTTATCTTATGTGGACTTGAAATGTTACAAGATGATGAAAGTTAATAACAGTTTTAATACATGTGCTTTTAAAAGATGACTCAAATACCGATACTTATCTCAACATTGATCTTAATTTTGTTCAAGTAATTTACATCAAATTGTTATTCTTAAATCTTATCATAAATTAATGTAGTTATACCCCCAAAAACGAAGTTTGGGGGGTATATAGGAGTCACCCCGTGGTCGGTCGGTGGGTCGGTCCAGACGTCCGTTGCATTTTCCTTGTCCGGAGCATAATTTGAAGACTAATGGTTGGAATTCCATATAACTACATACAATGGTCAAGCACATTGAGAGGAAGTGCAGTGCACAAGAACCATAACTCTATCTTGACTAATTACAGAGTTATTGCCCTTTGTTACTTTTCCTTGTCCGGGGCATAACTTGAAAACTACTGGTTGGAATTCAAAACAACTTCATACAATTGACAAACACAATAAGGGGAAGTGCAGTGCACAAGAACCATAACTCTATCTAAAGTAATACAGAGTTATTGCCCTTTGTTACTTTTCCATTGCTTTCTTTTGTCCGGACCATAACTTGAAGACTAATGGTTGGAATTCAATATCACTACATACAATGGTCAAGCACATTGAGAGGAAGTGCAGTGCACAAGAACCATAACTCTATCTTGACTAATTACAGAGTTATTGCCCTTTGTTACTTTTCCTTATCCGGGGCATAACTTGAAAACTACTGGTTGGAATTCAAAACAACTTCATACAATTGTCAAACACAGTAAGGGGAAGTGCAGTGCATAAGAACCATAACTCTATCTAAAGTAATTACAGAGTTATTGCCCTTTGTTACTTTTCCTTGTCCGGGCATAACTTGAAAACTACTGGTTGGAATTCAAAACAACTTCATACAATTGTCAAACACAGTAAGGGGAAGTGCAGTGCATAAGAACCATAACTCTATCTAAAGTAATTACAGAGTTATTGCCCTTTGTTACTTTTCCATTGCTTTCTTTTGTCCGGACCATAACTTGAAGACTAATTGTTGGAATTCATTATAACTTCATACAATGGTCAAGCACATTGAGAGGAAGTGCAGTGCACAAGAACCATAACTCCATCTTGACTTATTGTGTCGCCTCTACGGAGTAGTGGCGACATATAGGGATCACTTTTCCGTTGTCCGTCTGTCTGTCTGTCACAAAACTTGTCCGGACAACTCCTCATAAACTACTGGTGCAATTTCATCCAAACTTTACAGGAATGATCAGTACCAAGTCTTGTTGTGCATATTGTCAGAATTTTCCGGTTCAATGATTTTTGTCAGAGTTATGGACCTTTAATAATTTTTATTTTTAAAGTTTGTCCGGACTACTTCTCTTATACCACTTATGCAATTTCAATGAAACTTTACAGGATTGATCTGTAGCTCAAGTCCTTGCGCATATTGCACGGGTTTTCCGGTTGAATGATTTTTTGCCGAGTTATGGCCCTTTGATAAAAGGTGTTTTTTTCTGTGTGTTGCCAGATACACAAAAGCTTGTCCGGACTACTCCTCATAAACTACTGGTGCAATTTCATCCAAACTTTAGAGGAATGATCAGTACCAAGTCTAGTTGTGCACTGTCCGTCTGTCTGTCACAAAACTTGTCCCAACATGAAATTGGCCATCATGAGGCGACACGTGATCACTGATCGCTCTTGTTACAGAGTTACTGCCCTTTGTTACTTTTCCTTGTCCAGAGTATGACTTTTTTGTCCGGAGCATAACTTGAAGACTAATGGTTGGAATTCAATATAACTTCATACAATGGTCAAGCACATTGAGAGGAAGTGCAGTGCACAAGAACCATAACTCCATCTTGACAAATTACAGAGTTATTGCCCTTTGTTACTTTTCCTTGTCCAGAGCATAACTTGAAGACTAATATTTGGAATTCAATACAACTTCATACAGTTGTCAAGGACATTAAAAGGAAGTGCAGTGCATAAGAGCCATAACTCCATTTTGACGAAATACAGAGTTACTGCCCTTTGATACTTTTCTTTGTCTGGAGCATAACTTAAAACGTACTGGTTGAAATTCAAAACAACTTCATACAATGGTCAAGCACAAAAAGAGGAAGTGCAGTGCACAAGAACTATAACTCCATCTTCAGTATTTATAGAGTTATTGCCCTTTGTTCCTTTTCTTTGTCTTTCTGGACTTATTACAGAGTAATTCAATAAAACTTCATCAATGGCCAACCACATTGAAAGGGAATGCAACATACAAGAACCACAACTATCTTTAATTGCCCACAACCATAACTTTATATTTCAATTCTTTTACAAGGTATTCTGTTACTAGTAACATCCTCATTTCCGAAGCAGTCTTGTGGGGGTATTAATCACATTTAGTGATAGTTCTAGTTGGTTTTATTCCAAGCCATCAATTTTTCATATTACGAATGTGCACTAAAGTGTACTATATTTAGCATAATAATCGCCAAATTTTAACCCAGCAATAAAACAAAATCTGTATCCAAATGTTCTTTAAAACATTCAAATTATATTTGATATGGTTATGTTTTTGACTTAGGATCACCAGCAGTAAAATAACCCCGGAACTTTGATGAACATCTTCGCAAGTACCAGCAAATTAATCTTTTTAAGCATAAACTGTATTATCTTTTAACTATCCTATTTGAAAAGTTTCTTTTCTAGTGAGGTCTTTCTTACGGAATCCCATATAGCAAAAAACTTTAAAAAAAAATAAATATAACATATAGATATAATTTAACATGAATAGACTAAGACAACCGAAAATGTTTTAGAATTATATATTTTCTAATTACATTTATCAAGACATGTTACATTTCAGGTCTTGGCAGCTAAGACATGCCATAACATTACAACAATAGATTGTCAGCCAACTTATAATGACAATGGAGTTACAGTTTCTATTGTTGGACAAATAAAGGTAACATTGCTATTGAGATGTCTCAATTTTTTTTAAAGTTGGAATTTTAAAATTATGTGAGCTCTTGATGCTTGGTTTCCACTTTTGCTTTTAGGATTGATGGCAGTTTGTTGAAATATTAATTTTTAATATGAATCAAACATGTATTGTCCATTCATCTTGGTTCATCTGTATATGCTTGAAGGTCAATTTGGTCATATTATGGTATGGCACTTTTCGGTTTGTTAACCAAATCAGTGAACTTGATAACTATTATGTGTACTGTCATACATAACAGGGAAGATGGTCATGGCCAAAAAATTGATCCAAATCCGTTATGAGATCATAAGGTCACAGGTCACAGTGGTCAGTAGAGTACCCCTATTGAGGATAGGTTTGTGAAACTGGCATTTCCACTGACCTTTAGATGACCTCTGTTTATTATCATTTGGATAAAGGTCAAGGTCACAGTGGCATTTAGAAGATAATACTTATCTGCTATCTTAAAAAAGAATATTAGGTATGTGAAACTTGGTTGAGACATTTCCCATTGTCATTAGATGACTACTATTGATATTGATGTCAAGGTCACAGTGACTTTGTGGAAAATCATTTTCTGCACACTTACCCAAAATGGAATAAGCCTAGGTTTGTGAAACTTGGTTAAAACATTGCCTTGACCAACTGATTTTGGTCATTAGGTCAAAGGTCAAGGTCACACTAAGTGTAAATTTCTTGTCAGGAGGATTCCTGGGGTCAAAATAGGTCTAGGCCGAGGGAGTGGGGGGGGGGGCACTTAGTTAAAATAGATTTGTAAAGATTAATACATTTGCCTTTCTCAGAGAAACAACAATGCCTAGAGACTGAGGATTGCCTATATAAGGAATTTAATGTTAGCATTGGTTTCACAAAGAAATGTCAATTTATCTGAAAAAGTAATTTGATATGTGATTTTCCTGTTAAAGGAATATATATATTTTTTTTTTTTTTGCTAAAATGCAATTTCAAATGGCAATAACAATTCCTTGAGGCAAATTATGTCTTGATTTTCACTAATTGGTTTGTTGATGAGTATTGAGAGTGGTGTCACTAAACCATTTAGCTTCATGTGTTCCAGAAACTGTCTGTATTGTGTTCACATATCATGTTTTCTAGGAAGTGAACCAAAACTTTTACCAGAATTTTGTTGATTATGATTCAATACAGTTTACTGTTTACCATTGTATACATATTTCTAGTATATTGGCACAATTTGTTTTCTATACTTTTTAACATGTAGTTTTTAGCTTATTGAAGAATAGAGAGTGCTGTTGTACACGTCCAGGGTTTGCCCAGTCCGGCCATGTTGTCATTGCCATCACACTTTGGTTAAGTTTTTGCGTGCTCAACAACTGAAGGGAATGGGTTGAAACTTAACAGACTTATTTGAGAGCATAACTCAAACATGAATTTTGACAGACTTATGGTCCTTTTTGAACTTGAAAATTCTATATTATCCAGGCTCATGTTTTACTATCAAGCAATGAAGCTAGTGGAGCGCTTTGTCCTAAAAACAGCTTTTGTTAAATCTTTGTGTGTTTTGCTTTTTGAACTTGTTCAAAGTTCATATATATATTAAGGTGAATGGAAGTCCATATTTTTAGCTTTGTGAAAGCAACATTTGGTAGCATGTGTTTGCATTACAAATATTCTTGTTTTTAATTACAGACTGAAGGAGAGGATAAAGTGCTTGGATTTACACATATGTTTATAATACGGCCATTCGAAGATGGGAACTTTTACATAACCAACGAAGTTTTTCGACTGGCGTTGCATAACTTTTAGACTCGAAACAGAAACTTATTGTCAATAATGATGTTATAATGTTCTAACATGGTGTAACAGTTTTCATCCAGTTGAAATTCTGATATAGGATACAAAGTTTTATGAAAGTGTTTTCTTTTATGTCATATTTATTTCCTGTCGGTTCTTTTTAACAAACGAAAGATGCATTGATCGGTATTATTTTCTGATGGCATTCTCCAAATGTTTGAAAGGAATTTATTTGTTCATTTTTAAAAAAAAAATTATTTGATCAAAACATGTTTGTAGAACAACTTACAGAAATATCATAGTCAGGATATTCGTATATGTAATGAAGATCATGTAACTAAGGTTATTTTGTGTGCGTGTGTGATTTTTAAAAAATCATAATGTATAATATGTCAGTTATATAAAAGGTATTGTTTTTTAGCTCACCAGATTCAAAGGTTCAGGGTTTGTTACAACTTAGGATTGGGAGAGGTTAAGAGCTTGTTGGAACTATCAATTCATGTGTTGTGTTGGCAAGATTCAGACTTGGGTCTGTAGTGGCTTGAATGTATTACAGTCTTCCCTCTAGCTTGGCAATCTAACTACTTGCAGTTGTTTTTACCTATCAATGCAGCTAAAATTAGAGAAGCTTTAAATCAACTTTTAATGAACAAATATATAGATCATTAGCGAATTCATTTATATGGTTAATTAGTAAATTCAAAATGAATAATCTTTTAACAGTGCTCTTTAAACTTTAATGTTAATATTTTTTTAGGATCAGATCTGAAATAAATTCCAAACAAACTTTAAAGGACTCCACTGAATTGTTCTTTTTTTAAATAAAAAAAAATAATTTTTTTGAGATTCATGGTCCATTTGATGTAGGTCCAGACCAAAAAAATCAGATTATTCACTTACAATGTTTTTCCAGATAAGTATTCTAATTGTGAAAAATGACCAGAAAATGAAAAGCATTGCAACGCTTTCACTAACATTGAGCTAAGAATAGCACAACAATGCAATTTTCAGTTTATTTCTGATTATATTTCTGAATTATCTTATGCATATCTTTCAGATTTAATTGGTGCACCAGATTTTGTAAGACATTCAAAATTCATGTTTTTAGGCTTTGTACCTCAGGGGAGTTCCTTTAAATCTCATTTGAAGGCTGATAGTTCAAGTTAAGGGGATGATGTTCAAGCAAAACACAAATTAATTTTTGAGGAGAAAGAAAATATATATCCATGTGAATCCATAACAAACAGAAAGAACGTCACCAAGGATATTCTTGCCTTATATTATTCTTTTTAGCTGTTTTGATTATAGTAAATAATTATTTGAGTAATTTTTCAACATGAATATGTAGTTAAGTCTTTATCAAAGTTTGTTTAGAGCTGTCATTGAAAGAAACAACGTTGCTGTATCTTTGATAATTTTCTGTCCCTGGAGTATCAACACAGATTTTGAAATATATAATAAGATAATTTTGACACAGTAATTTTAAATGTCTAGAAATGACAAAAATTCACCCCAAGCAAACAGTTGCCACGTCAAAAGGCCATGTCTAAAACTATACCGTCCTTTAATGAACAACTTTTTTTAATCCTTTGTTCATAGCAATGAGGCCCACAGGGTAGATTGCCTTTGTTGCAACTGTGAAGCCTCTTTCAATAAAGACTTATATAAAAGAGCCAAAAAAAAATATGCAGAGGGGATTTATAAACAAAACAAATCCTAATAATATGCACAAAATATGTAATTTACTGAATTTTAATATGGAAACATATGGAGAGTGATATAGATAAATAATATTCAGTATATTCGTATAATGTCTGTCATTCCAGATCGATATATTGTTAATACGCTTTGGACTGAATCAGTGACGGCTGTAGTTTAAAAATCACTAGTTCTGCTGATTTTATATCATCACTCCTCAAATAAGTCAATATTAACTCTCTTTAACCTGTTACTTTGGTGATTGACTTTAAACTATATGTATCATGTCCTTATACAATGTAAGGATCCCAACTACCCTTGTTGGTAATTACTCGAGGGGATGTTTGTTGTTTCATAGAAATAAAATTATAGCTTTTCTTGTAGAGTGATAATTTGTGTTTCTTGCTTTAAATCTATGAAATTTGCTTTAGATTTTACTGTTCTATTTCTTATTAACCAGTAGGCACTGATATAATCAAAAGAGCAATTGCATTTCATTGACTGTTGAACTAAAATATGATGTACTCTTCAGCCAGGCAATTTTTATTGTTGTACATGTATAATGTACGGACCTGTATACTATGTGTATATTTGATAAATTTTGTTGATGGTGTTAGGATCTGTGTTAATTCTGATAAACAACTGAAATATCTGCTATCCAGTGATTGTTTTACATGTATCATTAATAATTTTATCATTAAAATGCCAAGATGTGATTTTTACCATCAATTTTCATCTGAATGTGAATTCAATTCTGATTTTTAGTTAAAATGTAAACAAGAAGTGATAAACATTATCAAAAAATTTATTTTATAATGCTATAAACTATGATAAAGTCTGTATTAAGCATATACAAGTATGAATGATTAAATTGTAGATTTTATTGTAGAATATTACTCGTTGTAAATCTATATGTATCTTGTATTCCTGTACTGGAAACGGTCCATTGCCTCATTACACATAATCACTGTAATCGCATGTTGACATGGAATGTTTGTATAACATACATTAACAGATTCTCCAAGATTAACTGACATCCCTTATATTAAGAATGTTATGGAACGTTTTTATGTGTATTTTTTTCAGGCATCTTTCCTACTTGTTTTGAAATTGTGGTTACACATTATCACGAAGGACAGAATTACACTTGTTCTCAGTTCATCTTGGAAGAGTTGATGTAACTTTTCAAGTGTGCATTTACTGTTTTGTTGGCTTGTGTTTCAATCTATGCTCATATCACTTATGCCTCATGAATATTAAATCTGAAAATAATGATATTGTTGTTGTTTTACTAGAACCACAAACCTTCTATTAGTTTGCTGGATAGATTTCTTACATGAAAGAACCAAGTCTTTTCCTGTTTCAGAACACACAGCAATGGACATTGACATTTTTTGGTAGTGGAATTTTCCATTCTATGCTTAGTCTACTCCTCACAAACTTAAACCAAAACGAGGTCAACCAGTGACTATTATCAAAGTTTAGCAATTGGACAGACAGTTGTTTGAAGTCAGTGACCTAATACTCTAGGCTACAGAAGCCTCTTATCATCCACACCTCTTGTAGCTGAGAGGTTGCCTTTAATAGCATAAGAATTGCAGCCACTGTTTATCCCTCTGTGATCGTAAAAGGTGACTAAATGAGTGAATAGCTGGAGTCTATGCATCTTTTAGCTCCAGCAGGTGAGGTGATTTTGACCCCTGGTGTTGCTTTGAAGTTTGTTATTCCCCCGAAGGGTGCCATATTAAAATCACACTTTCTGTGGGTCCCCACTTCCATTTGTGTCCAGAATGTAACTTTGTCATATTTTGAGGAATTTTGAAATAGCTTGGCACAAATGTCCTCCACATCAAGACAATGTGTTGCGTCCCTACCTCAAGGTCACACTAACAGTTTGAAGTTTTACATTATCACAATTTAGAGTTAATTGGTACATACATTCGTGTCCGTCCTGCATCAAAGGATTTTAAAATAACTAGGCATAAATGTAGGCATAAAGACCTATGTTCCTGCTTCCAAGGTCAAGGTCACTCTAATAGGTTCAAGGTACTTATGCTAGTAAGAAGAGTTTGAAGGTACACAATAGTTTCCAAACTGTAACACTCGTGCATTGAAGGATTTTAAATTAACTAGGCATAAATGTCTACCACATCAAGACGATGTGTCGCGTCCAAGTATTACGTCCCTACCTCAAAGGTCAAGGCCACAATAACATTTTGAAGTTTCATATTATTACAATTAGAGTTAATAGGTACACATTATCATGTCTGGACTGTAACTTTGTCATGCATCCAAGGAATTAGAATAACTTGGCAAAAATGTCAACCACATCAAGACGATGTGTTGCGTCCAAGAATCACGCCCCTATTTCAAAGGTCAAGGTCACACATTTTGAAGTTTCATGTTATCACAAGAGTTTATAGGTACACACATTTCATTTTGTGTCCGGACTAACTTTGTCATGCATCAAAGGATTTTAGAGTAACTTGGCATAAATGTCTGCCACATAAAGACGATGTGTCGCGTCTAAGAACAACTTCTCTACCTCAAAGGTCAAGGTCACACTACCATTTTGAAGTTCACTTTATCACAATTAGAGTTTTAGGTACACACATTCGTGTCCGGACTGTAACTTTGTCATGCATCAAAGGATTCTAAAATAACTACACATGAATGTCTACCACATCAAGACGACATGTTGCGTCAAAGACCCATGTCCCTCCCTTCAAGGTCAAGGTCACACATATAGTTTGAAGGTATTCATTCTCTCAAGAAGAGTTTGAAGATACACATTCTTGTCCGGACTGTTACTTTGTTATGTATGGAAGGATTTTAAAATAACTTGGCACAAATGTCTACCACATCAAGATGATGTGTCGCAGCTAAGGTTCATGTCGGTCAGTGCGTTGTGACACAAAAATCCTTTACAGACTGTAACTCTTTCATGCATTGAGGGATTTTGAAATAACTTGTCACAAATGTCCATCACATGACAACATTGTGTTGCGTCCCACAACCACTTCCCTTCTTCAAAAGTCAAGGTCACACTTATATTTTGAAGGTTCACGCTATCACAATTAGAGATTATAGGTACACACATTCATGTCAATACTATAACTTTGTCATGCATTGAAGAGTTTAAAAATAACTTGACACAAATGTCTACCACATCAAGATGACTTTTTTTGTGTAAGACCTATATTATGTTCCTGCCTCCAAGGTCAAGGTCACTAACAGTTTGAAGGTACTTGTGCTCATAAGAAGAGTATGAAGGTACACATCATTTTCCAAACTGTAACACTATCATACATTGAAGGATTTTAAAATAATTTGGCATAAATGTCTACCACATCAAGATGATGTACGTGTCGCATCCAAGACCCTTGTCCCAAGGTGTTAAGTTTGCTATAAATAGCACTTTATTTCACATGAACAATTAAGCAATTAGTTACTTTCACCTGCATGCTTAAGAAACCTTTTCGGGGACATTCGTCACAGCTCTCGTTACACCTGAAGTTGGCCAAAATCAACATATGACCTATTCTAAAATCCCAAACAAAACATCCGCACTCAGACAAGAAAACTTTGCAAATAAAATATATATCCAAGTAACAAGCTCTTGATAACATTTTTGTCACTTTTTTCAATTCTTTAAGTAATATAATTTTCTTGCATATCAGACAGGATTTTCTATGGTTATATCAGTGCTGGAAAAAAAACTTCTTAAAGACAAGTTAAATGCTTAAAATGATGTCGTTCCCACGTGCCTTTATAAATGAATCACATGGTTAGAATGATGTTATGAATACATATTAGGAAAACTCTGAAAATCTTCCTCTTGAAATCTGTTTGAATTTAAAACAAACTTAAGGTTTATTGACTAATATTGTTAAAAATATTTTGGTTAAAATATATATATGCTAGGGGTCACTTGCAGAAATCAAAGATAAAAATTGTGGTTTTATCTGTTGGTCAAATTTTGATATGATTAAATAAGATATGATTAATAGATGACTGACTACCAATTTTATAGGATGTGTTTCCAAATATAGATAAAACTTTGCAAATTTTCCAACAAACTCTGGTGGCTGATACTGGGCCATTATGGTCCTCTTATTTTTTTTATTTTATTTTTTTTTTTGGGGGGGGGGGAGGGGAACTTTCAAAGTTCTTTAAAAACATTTACCTTGAGTTTTTTCCTTAAGTGTAAATATAAAGAGAATTTCAAAAAGCTAGATTGTTGTTGAACAAAATAATTTTATTTTTATTTAACAGTTTTTCACAAACAACAAATAACATTCACATGAATACCAATAAAGGATGTATGTTCATGTAAGGAAAGCAACAACAAATGAAGCAATATCAATATTTTACATATTATCAATTGTTTTTTTTCAATTTCATGACTACCGGTAAATACAATACATATTGAACTGGCCTACAACATATATTTAAATAAATTGTAATTTTTATTTAAAGAAAAAGACCTAATTAATTCAGTCAGTATGGTAGAATCTAATTGCCAAGGTAAAAGATTTTATATATTAAGAAGTTTGCTTTTTCCAAATACAATCAAATTACTGGTTGGGGTCCATCAACCGGACACTTTTTGAACATTCTTTCATACAGATTTTATAATTTTTAACATCATAAGAGACCTAAAAATTTGACACAGTTCAGCTAGGTTCTTGTCCTAACTAACAAACTAGTTTGTTTATTTCTAATTGCATTGACACTTATATATGAGGCTTACAGGGAGGGTATCAAAATTACCTAAATTGTCTACACTACAGTACCATGTGTCCGGACAGATATGTACATGACATGATTTAATTTAGATAAAAGTTGGGTGTTTTGATTTGTGATTTTCAACATGATAAACAATATTTCAGCAGCAAATGCTAAAGTTTTTGGATTTTCTATTGTTTACTCGCAAAAGATTATAGCTGGTATATATATGAGGCCATGCGTTGCTTTCTTGACCCCCAAATTTCAACGTCAACATTTTTGAAATGGACATTGAAATATTACCATTTAAGGAGGTTGAAATAAAATTAATTACTTAATTATAGAAGAAACATGCATTTATTGTTGATAAAAAAGTGACTGACAACCGCTTTACAAAGAAAATACTAAATTAAGCATTTTATGGGCTGTCCGGGTTTGGTGGTTGTCCGGTTTAGGTGGTCCCCAACCAGTATAGTTTAAACAAATTTGATTAAATATGTCAAATACTGTTCTTTGTTCTTAGCTAAAAAGCCTATAATTAATGTGAATGCATAATTTTCAGTTAAAACTAGATGCACCTGGTATTTGTAAAACAAAGCTTTGACTTTCACCGATACTTCCAGAAGCATCCCTGGATATACCAGACTGTGAAGGTATCTGAAGTACAAAATTCTGAACATTTTCTGTCCCAGATGATGGATTGACACCCTGCACTAAGACAGAACCTTGATTCTGCCCATCACTATCATTAGCTGTCCTATTCATTACACTGTTGAGAAGCTGAGATACAAGGGGAACTGCTTGCTGGGAGTCACTAGGAAGAATAATTTGTATTGGTATAGCACCTTGTTGTGTTAAAGCACTGTCTTGTGAAGGTATAGCACCTGGCTGGGTTAAAACAGCACCTTGTTGCGGCCCTGAAATCTGGGGTGGTGGAGTAGAAACTGTGGAATCAGCTGCACACTGCACTATCTGATGTTGCTGGGAACCAGTAGGTTGGGTTAATAACTGAGACTGAAGTTCTATAGTCCCAGGTACCAATCCACAGTCACTTTGGACAGGTCCATCTGGTTGAGTGATAATTTGATTCATTGAGGTTTGACCAGTCAATATTAAAACTTGTCCATTTGGTAATCTTATGTATGGTAATGAAATGTTTTGCATCACTTGAACTGATGGGACATCTTGTGCTGACTGTCCTACAATGGTACTCGGAAGCCCCATATTCCCAGTGCTTTGAAATGCAGCACTGGAATTAAGAGTAACAGTTTGATCAATATTGCCATTTACTGATAAATCTTGTATTGTTTCACTGGGCTGTTTAGAAGTTGGTGAGTTTCCAGCGGAATTTAATCCTGCCATACCTGCAGCCATTAAAATATCATTAATTCCCAAGGTCACTGCTTGATTTGGTAGCATTTGACCTTGCCCAATAAAACCTTCACCTTGAGATATTTTATCTCTACTACTCTGCACTTGGCCAATATTGTTCTCAGACTTTCTGGATAAAACATTGCTTCTTGTATCAACATCTCCAGGAACATTTTTATCAGCTTGATTAGAACTAGACGAGACAGAATCAGATGTAGGGATGATACCAGCTGATGTATTTATGACTGGCTGCTGTAACTTGAGGACAGCATATGCTGTTGACAGGCTTGCATCATCATGCTGTCTTAAGTGACACTTTAATGAATCTTCTCTCACAAAAGCAGACGGGCATCGTCCACATTTAAAATTCTGCTGACATTTTGGCTGGATTTTTCCTTTAGCAGAACTATCATCGTCTGTCAGTATTTCTTTAATCTTTATTGGTAAAGTTAAGGAAACATTTCCTTTCTTCCATTTCTTTCTTGATAATCTCCTTGTTACTCTGTTCGGATGTTTACGATGCATGTGTGCCTGAACGTTACCAAGCTGCACAGATTTATAGTCACAATATGTACACTTAAACGGTTCCTCTGCCCCGTGTATACGCACATGATTGCGTAATGCACTTTTATTAGAACATTGGTAACCACAAGTTTTACAGGTCAGTTCTGGATTCGAATCATGAATCTTCTTATGTTCAAATAAAGCTTTTCTGCTGGAAGTCTTAAAGTCACATTCAGTACATTTATGTTCAGTGATTTGACTGTGATGTGTTTGATAATGACTTTTGAGATTACCTGAAAATAAAACAGAAAAAACAAGATTGCATTTGAGAAAAATGCTATGCCACCGCATTAATACAACACTAAATAGTAGTGTCGGAACAGATTTTCTTTGTTTCTATACAATTTTGAAGATTGTCATAATGCATAGATCCCTGACCTATCTAATTCTTATTATCAGATTAGTGGTTAAATCTGTTGTTTAAACTCAATAAAAGATCAGAGTAGGAATATATCAATGCACTTGAGTCTAGTGAATTTGGTGGTGAAGGTCATATTTCACACAGCCTAAATTTCATGACTACATCAAAGGACAACATAGTAAGACACTTTGTCAAAATCTAGGTCAGCTGAAATCAAAGTTCACTTAACATCTTAATCTGTACACATGGTTCAAATTTCATAGCTCTACATCAAAGGACAAGAAAGAAGGTCACATCATCAAAATCTAGTTCACCTGATATCAAAGTTCAATTTTACAACTAAAACTGTGCACATGGTCAAAATTTCATTGCTGTACATCAAAGGACAAGAAAGTAGGTCACTGTCCCCTTGGGCAAGGCAAAATTTTGGACCCAAGGGTTTAATTCAAAACAATCTTGATACAGGTTCACCAAACAACATTTCAAGTCAAATATCTAAGCTGTAGCTTTCTCCTATTCAGAAAAGATTTGTTTTATTTTCTGTTTTTACTATGTGAACATAATGAGAATCACTGCCCCTGGGCAGGGCCAATTTTAACACTAGGGGCATAATTAAAACAACTTTAGTAGAGAACCCATAGAATATATTATAGAGCAAACATCAAAGCTCTATGCCTTGTACCTTCAGACAAAAATATTTCTTTTTTTTTTTACTATATGTACATAGTGAAAATCAATGACTCCTGGGGGTGGGGCCAATTTTGACCCCTGGGCTATAATGTGTACAATCTTGCTAGAGGTTCACTACATAATGTTTCATGCCAAATATCTTAACTCTAGCCTTTGTAAATTTAGAGAAGATGATTTTTTAAGTTTTTACTATATACATATAAGGAAAACCTATGGCCCATGGGGCGGGGCTAATTTTGACACAAGACGCAAAATTTGAACAACTTTGGTAGAGTACCTATAGATGATATCATTTAACAAATATTCAAGCTCTAAGCCTTGTACCTTAAGACAATAAGATTTTTTTACTTTTTACTATATTTATATATTGAAAATCAATGACCCCGGGGCAGGGGCAATTTTGACCACAGGGCTATAATTTGAACAATCTTGCTAGAAGTTCACTTCACAATGTTTCATGCAAAATATCTAACCTCTAGCATTTGCTAGAAGAAATTTTTTTACTATAAAGTTTTTACTATATACATATAAGGAAAACCAATGACCCCCGGGGCAGGGACGATTTTGACCCCAGGGCTATAATTTGAACAATCTGAGTAGAGGTCTACCAGACAATGCCTTATGCAAAATATCTAAGCTCTAGGCCTTTTGGGTCTTTACAAGAAGGTATTTTAAGTTTTTACTATACCGGTATGTACATATAGTGAAAATCAATGACCCCCGGGGCGGGGCCGATTTTGACCCCAGGGCTATAATTTGAACAATCTTGGTAAGGGTCTATCAGACAATGCCTTATGCAAAATATCTAAGCTCTAGGCCTTTTGGGTCTTTACAAGAAGTTATTTTAAGTTTTTACTATATGTACATATAGTGAAAATCAATGACCCCCGGGGCGGGGCCGATTTTGACCCCAGGGTTATAATTTGAATAATCTTGGTAAGAGGTCTACCAGACAATGCCTTATACAAAATATCTAAGCTCTAGGCCTTTTGGGTCTTTACAAGAAGTTATTTTAAGTTTTTACTATATGTACATATAGTGAAAATCAATGACCCCCGGGGCGGGGCCGATTTTGACCCCAGGGTTATAATTTGAATAATCTTGGTAGAGGTCTACCAGACAATGCCTTATGCAAAATATCTAAGCTCTAGGCCTTTTGGGTCTTTACAAGAAGTTATTTTAAGTTTTTACTATATGTACATATAGTGAAAATCAATGACCCCCGGGGCGGGGCCGATTTTGACCCCAGGGTTATAATTTGAACAATCTTGGTAGAGGTCTACCAGACAATGCCTTATGCAAAATATCTAAGCTCTAGGCCTTTTGGGTCTTTACAAGAAGATTTTTTAAATTTATTCTTATAATTCCTATTGGTTGCCATGGCAACCAGATTTCTGCATGGAATGAAATTCTTTGAACAACTTTGGAAGCCCTTCACCCAAGGATCAATCCTGCCAAGTTTGGTTGAAATTGGACAAGTGGTTTTTCACAAGAAGATTTTTTAAGTTCACTATATAATCTATATAACACACACACACACAAACAAACACACACACAGGTGAATCGCTATATGCCACCGCATCGCAGATGCTGCGGTGGCATAAAAAAGTTCATGTAAATGTAGGTGTATTTTAGCAATAATGTTCATAGATCTTAGCATTATAATCATTTGGGGTGACTTAGTAACCGTGTTAAACGTTTAACCGACCGTACCAAAAGAATATTTTTATTTTTTCACTATTTTTTATTGATATGAAGATAGCACATTTTGCATGTGTTTTACAGAACATATTACACAACATATTCTATTATGGAGTAACTGTTGTCCGTAAGGACCATACCATACAAGATAAGATAGCATGGAATCGGAAAAAATTTTTTAAAAACAAACTTGTCATATCTTGACATTAAACAAGAGCTGTCGGTAGGACAGCACGCTCGACTATTCTAAGTGCTTGATAGTAAAAGAGCCTTTATAATGTTAAATTTTTTAAGTTCACAAAAGAGCTAATTTTTGGCTTGACTATTCGGAAGGTAATGTCCCAAGGGTGTTTAATTGAGTAAAATAATACTAATTACCTATGAATACATAAATTTGACAGAAAAGGTACAAAGGCTTGTTATTAAGATGTTTTATCAAGTTAATCACTGCTTTATTATTATGAATGCATAAAATTGTCCCAAAAAAGGTACAAACCCTTGCTTACAAGCAAAACTTTACCATGACTTTCTAAGTTGAAAAAGGGGATAAAAATCAGCCTAAATGCAAGATAGAATTATGGATCATTGTCAGTGACCTACAATTATGACCCTAAATGCATATGTGAAGTTTTAAATAAATATCTTTAATAGTTATTGAGATATGTAAAACTATCATGTTAACATTAACCAAGAGACTAAGTAGAAAAGGGGATATGAATCAGCCTTAATGCAAGATAGAGTTATGGAACTTGGTCAGTGACATACAATTATGACCCTAAGTGCATGTGTAAAGTTTCAAGTAAATATCTTTGAAGACCTTTAACCTTTAACCAAAATTTCTAAGTTTCAAAGGGGCAAATATTCTGCAAATATTGCAGACAGAGTTATGCAATTTTGCAAACATATAAAAATTGTTACTATAAAAGAGTATTTTAAATTTCAATTGAATATCTCAAGCAATAATTAAGATATTTGACTTTACAAAAAAAACTTTAACCAAAATTTCTAAGTTCCAAAGGGGTATAATTCTGTCAATATTGTAGGCAGAGTTATCCAACTTGTCAATCTGATGTACCTTGTTACTATAAATAAGTATTGTAAGTTTCAATTGAATATCTCTAGCAATAATTGAGATATTTGACTTTACAAAAAACTTTAACCAAAATTTCTAAGTTAAAAAGGGGTATAATTCTGTCAATATTGTAGGCAGAGTTATCCAACTTGTCAATCTGATGTACCTTGTTACTATAAATAAGTATTGTAAGTTTCAATTGAATATCTCAAGCAATAACTGAGATATTTGACTTTACAAAAAACTTTAACCAAAATTTCTAAGTTAAAAAGGGGCATAATTCTGTCAATATTGTAGGCAGAGTTATCCAACTTGTTAATCTGATGTACCTTGTTACTATAAATAAGTATTGTAAGTTTCAATTGAATATCTCAAGCAGTAATTGAGATATTTGACTTTACAAAAAACTTTAACCAACGCAGACGCCGACGCGGACGCTGACGCCGACGCCGACGCCGGGGCGACTAGAATAGCTCTCATATTCTTCGAATAGTCGAGCTAAAAACAAATGTAATGTTTAAAATCAATCTAAAATATCTAAGTTTTTCAGCTAACTTCGGTTATCGATTATTGCAATTTATAACCAGTTTTAGGTTAAAAACAGACCTAGTCCGTTTAAACGTGACATCTCTTATAACCATTGTAACTTATTTTCAGAAACATGTGTTAGCTTATTAAGAGGTTCTAAGTTAAAAGATTTTTACACAAGAAAGCAATTTTTTTTTTATATATGACAATAATAATATACGTACATCAACATATACAAGCAAAATAAACCATTAAATCAAGTACATAATGTATGTACACTTTTCCAACTTTAATGAACCCCTAAAAGCATATACATATTTATGTAAGAATAAAGTGTACTTTTTTTACTCACTTTTGACAGCACAGCGGTATGAGCATGTGTCGTACTGACATTTGAATGGTTTTTCACCAGTATGTACCCGTATATGGCGATGTAGGTCAGAGCTTACTTTAAACACAGCATCACACATTTTACAGCAGTATGGTTTGTCTCCTGTATGTGTTCGCAGGTGTATCTGTAACTGGCTTGATGACCTTGACTTGTAAGGACACACCTGACAACTGTACATATATAACAATACTAATAAGTTATAATATACTATAAATAAAATGTTAAAAAAATTCTTACAAGCAAATGTTTTTTTACACAATAAAAAATTTGGAGCAATTCATACATGTATCAAAATATTCTTTTTAGAAACATTTATAGAGCCTATTCAGTAAATGCTTTTTTTTTGGTCAGGTTTAACGTCGCACCAACACAGTAGAGGTCATATAATGACTTTCAAGCTTTCCTGGTGGAGGAAAACCTCAGGTGCCCTTCCGTGCATTATTTCAGACACGAACCGGCTACCTGGATAGTCTTCTCATATGGAAGAATCCAAAGTCCCTGGCAGGATTCCAACCAAAAGGGGTGAGGGGCAAGAGGTTTAAAGTCAATGACCTTAACCACTTGAACAATGCTTATGGTTGTATACTAACAGATGTGTCCGAAAATCTGAATTTACCACATAAATGCATTTTTTAAGGTCTTTCAGTAAGACAAAAATTCATTTTTTTCATATCTTAATAAAATAACAATAAAAGTTGTATCTACAGGTAAATACTACAGATTTTGTCAGTAATACAAATATATCTTGTTATCACCTGGTTAAAATTTAAACCTACATTCTTGTCTTGATAATCACATACATAAGATATGTAACTGGTAATTATCACAACAATAATTTATCTGTAAGTTTGTTTGTTTGTTTGTTTAATTTTACGCCTTTCTCAACAGTATTTCAGTCATATAGGCGGGTAGTTTCCTAACCATCGTTCCTGGAGAGTTACACCAGTACTAGACTACCTTCCTCCGTTATCTGTAAGTAGAATGAAACATTACCCATATGGTCTTTCATCAAGATGCATTCTCATATGTTTCTTTAAGCTACCATTCTCAACAGCACTGTAGTTACCTGTATTAAAATCAATTTACTAAAGTTTATGATAAAACAGAATTTTTTAAGTTTTTGTTTTTTTCCCCACATTTTCTCAAATTATTTGCTAACCAAATTGCTTTACATAACCGGTATAACTTGCCATAAACGACACAATTTCATGCTTCATTGCTTGTAATGATGGACAGTTGCAGCACATCAACTTTATTGTTCAGTCCTAGTTGTTTCTATACTGTATGTATATAATTTATATTGTTTGGACACAGTTGTAACAACACTGTGATACCTGATACTAGCCCAATATATTTCCTGATGCAGAGTTACCGACACACGTCATTGTTCTTAATTGCCCCTGTGTATCTGACACATCAAACAAATGCCAACCATTACATGTATAGTATTTGATGATCAGTACAGTATGTGAGAATGAAAAATTCCTGATGTTACATTCATTACAAGAACAAATCAAATCTTTGTGTTAAAGGGCTACCAACAAAGTAAACTGAATTACCAAAGTAAGCTCAAATAATCAAGTATTCTTTTTGTGTCCCCTATAACATTAACTAAAATTTATTGATTTATTGAAGGTGCACTGCTAAATCCTATCACAATTCAATATTCAGCTTATCAAATATATAAACTTTACATAGTCATCAACCTTGGCTTTCTTGTGTAAGATAATCAGCACCTGAGGTTATAAAGAAATTTTGCTAAGTTCATACTCAGATATCAGATATTTCATTGGCCAGAAACTGCCACAAAATGTATATTCAGTATCACCAATGGAAATCCTAAAATTTGGGACAAAGCTATGAGAAGTTTACAAGCTCAAGGTCTGAACTTTCTTAGCACAAATCAACAAAGAAGACTTACATAGGTTACATTTAAACACCCGGTCATCCATGTGGTACCTCATATGTAAGGTAAGTTTATCTGTGCGCGAGAATGCCTTTGAACAATGTGTACATTTGTATGGTTTATCACCAGTGTGGATTCTACTGTGTCGTTCTAAATCCTTCAGGTATGCTGCAAATATTCAGAATGCTGATTTTAGAAATTATTATTCTAATTACAAAGAAAGGTATTTGTTCCGACTACTATTTAAGGTATTAACTAAATTTATAGATAGTTCAACATTTGTATTTTTCTCTCCTTCATTTTAAGTTGAGACTTTATTTACAAAAATTTCATTTAATACCAAAGTGCTCTTCCAGATTTTAGAATTTAAAGGGACTTCATTTAGTTTTTTTTACCATGAAAGAACTGGCTACACTGTTCTTAATATTGTTAACCATTTAATGTAAGTCTGGACCAGAAACTTGAGTGCAATATTTCTGATCATTTGCTTTTTTGCAAAACATGCAAAATGTCCCAAAAATGAAAAGCTTTTATACTCCTTTTATCTCCAAGATTAAGAATTGCACAAATAGTCAATTTTCAAATTAATATTTTTTTCCATATTTTTTTGTTTATGTTTTCAGTGCCTTAGCCTAAGTTAGGTGACCCAAGCAAAATTTTCATATTTTTAGGCGTTTGGGCCTCATGGGAGCTCTGTGCAACAAGTCCAGTGCAGACTTTTATATTTAAAGAAGTACAATTTACATTTATAACTTTTACACACACTTTTGTACTCTTTTTAGTCAATTTTAATTTTAAATTAATTTATCATTCTAAAGAAAACTCATTCAACTGTTTATAAAGTGACAACTTTTGTTTATTTACCTGTTTTATATGAACAGTTTTCAAATTTACATTTATACTTTTTCTCCAGTGGTGCTTTACTTGCTTTCTTGGCTGGAGCTGTAAATATAGATAATAACTTTTATAATGTCATTCCCAAATAATACATTTGATCGGAGCCGGATAATCAAGTTGAGGGCAATCCTTTATCCTAGCTCCAATGATAACATGTCTACACCACCATTCATAAGCTAGTCAATCTTACTTTATTGTGCCTCCTTGGCTGCTTAATCTTGAAAGCTGCACGGTTCCAGATAAGCCAAAATATTTCAAGAAAATAAACTTGAAAAGAAATTTAACTAAGATTTAAAGACAAGAAAAAGATTCAAGAATAAAATGATGATTTACATTTTATGTGTGATTAATTACCGTTTTTGCATTATTTAACACCATATTTCTACTGCGTGTCTAATCCAGCAAGGGCTTTTGCATATTTTGACCTTTTTTTGGTAATTCTAGTAGATTGTTTATTTGTTAGTGCTGTTTGCAATGTGTAAATTATTATCTTTGTTAACATTACAATATTTTAATTTCAAATACCTTTTTCAAAATTTACAGGAGTATTAGCATGAATTTTGAGGCATGGCTGCTTTAACCTTTTTGAACAGAAAGTGATCTGCCTTTGCCATCATGTAGCACTATGTACAATAAATATTTTGATAGAGGCTAATTTCAAGTAAACCTTTGGGAAAATCATTTATCCGAGTGACTTTGATAGTATTGATATGTATAGGAATGAAGACTTAATTAATTTAAACAAATGCTTACGTGGTTTAGGAGCTTCAGCAATATCATTGATGGTGTACTGAAATTTGGATATATTATCTTGAACTTTAGGGGCACTTCTTTTCTTCACAACCATAGTTTTTATCACTGTTTTAGTCTTCGGCTGTTCTCCATGCATATTTTTAACCAATGTGACTGGTCTAGTGTTTCCACCTACTTTCAGTAGAGACTTGTCATTTGAGCTTATCAAATGCTCTCTCAGCATAGACTGGCTCTCCATTACTTTAGGTTGTGACTGACTAGCTTCATTTATAGAGTTAATTGGTGTCTCAGTCTGTTGTAAGTTAAGATTATTCAAATTATGTATAACAACTGGTTGTTCATTCTGTAACAAATTTATCATGCCATTTTCAGTTTGTGATAAGTTATTTTTAGAATAATTGACTGGTTGTATGTTTTCATCTGTAGAGCTGTAGCATGCTAGTTCCTGTGAGTTATCAGTTGTAACACAGTCTGACTCTTCAGTAATTATTTGGTTGTCTGGTTCCTGAAATTCACTGGTTGTATATGTTACTGGTTCATCATCATTGCTAGTTTTCCTGTAATTGACTGGTTCTCCAAGCTGCAACCCTGTTTTAAAATTGACTGTATCTTGGATGGAACTTGATAATTGTTCAGTAGACTGCTGAAGTGAATGTGAGTTAAGTGTATATACTGTTTCAGGGATTGAGTAAACTTGTGAATCAGGCTGAATGCAAAGACTGGGGTCTTCATCCTGTTGGCCAGGTAGTATAACATACTGGTGCTGTGTAAGTGTACCTGCAACAGAAAGGTCACAATTACATGCGATATATCAAATTTATACCTTGCAATGTACAGAAACTTTCATTTCACCTATATTATGCTAAATTTGCTTTATAAGGTCATAATTGCTAGTTCTGTTCAAAAAGCCAGTGACAAGACAAAAAAACTTAAACTTAAGGTTTGAATTATAAAGTAAAATTTGGACAGTCTAGCTTAATAGATTTGTGATCTCTTCTTTCCTTAAAATGTTTCTGTTATCATATTTTAAGATCATGCGAAGTTTAAAGACATTCTATCATGTAGATTTCAATCTGCTGTATGTCTATATGTAACTGTAGCAATTATGCCTTTAATCAGAGGGCATAACTACTGATCTTCAATAAATTTGCATTAAAATACCCAGCTATGAAAGTTGATGCATGTTTGCTGTCAACTATACTTCATTCTATGTTTCATTGCTGTAGAAGTTCTACTTTTAAAGTTACACAAACTATTCTTCGAGCAGACAGTAATACATCCTGATGTACGGACAAAGGCAAATCTGTTTACCCTTCCCCACAAAGTACTCGGGGCATTAAAATGACAAAAGTGTTATATATGGAGTTAAGTACTTAATTAAGCAGTGTATGAAATCATGAAAATGAAAAAGAGCAGATTTTCTCAAATATTTTTCTAAGGAAACCCAGCATTAGGCATATTCCACTTTACATCATGTATTGTATTTTCAATATAATATGTATCAAAAATCATATAAATAGGTTGCCTGGTAAATGATCATGTTCACAATACAGCAAATAGAAAAACTTATATTCTGAGCGTGGGAAAAAAAAACAGATTTAATCACAGAATTGTCAACAAGTCTATTACATAAGTATCTAAATTTAAACAACAATAACAAACAATAACCAAATTTAAATGACAATGTACCTGTATCTTGCCCAGATTGATGAGTTACAGGAAAATACCCAAGTGTTGTTCCATCCTGACTCAGCTGAACTGCCATTTTGTCCTCCACTGAACCCTGTTACATACATAAACTCACAGGTGAAATTGAGTGAAAATTGGATATGTTAAAATACACATATGATGTATGACAAAAGTAAAGCTTTTAAAATACAATCCAATAAATAAAGACATTAATTTTAACAATTCAATACTCAAACCACGACAGTGGCTATATGTAAATGTATGCATATTTTACACAATCTCCACTAAACAAGACCAATATAAATCAAATTTTTAACAAGCTTGTCACTTTTATCTTGAACAAAATTTACCTCTTTCTATGCAAATTTCAATTAGAAACCAGTAATGCATACTTTCAACTTTTGATTTCATTACAAAACTGCTAAAATTACAGAAGATCGTATTCTATATTGTTGCCTTGGAATAAGCCATCTTCTGACATCTTTAGTTGCAAGCTAAGGCTTCATTGATTGTGAACTTTAATGCGACTGAGTAGGGTCATCATTTAAATATTAAACTAAAGAAGATATTGTTCTGCACCAGTCAACTGTTAGACATTATAGAAGGGAAATGACTTAATGGATTGTTTTTATCTTTCACCTACCACTGCACTGCAGCGTTTTGTTTTAGCACCATAATAGTTGGGGTAATGACCAACTCGCAGTATGGATTCATTGTATTTAGCTGTTGTGGCCTTTACCTGGGGTTTTAAAAACCTAAAACTCAAAGTCCCCATAATTTTCTAGGAAGGTTGGGGGTCTATGCTACAATTGCATGGTGTGTTACCTGGACTGCTGTATTGTCAATGACAGGAAGAAGTGACTGTGTAAAATGATCATTCTGGATAGAAGTTGTCACTGAAGGTAACATCTGGGACTTTCTGACATCACCTGTCTCCTTAATACAGAATAATTTCATTTATTTTATGCTAAACAATGAAGTAATAAGTTTTATTCATATCAATTACAGTATATCACTTACAGTGTAAGATATATTGCAATATTGTAATTAATGTGCAAAAATTTCTATCAGAAAATTTAAGCATAGAAGGTATTGATAAATAATATGATTTTCAATGACATATGTAATACATGTATAAGACCAATTACTTTCCTTTTTTTACCAATCCTTAGAAGGACTTACTAGATTTTCAGATATATTTTAATGTGTAAGTTTCTTAAATCATAAACCAACCTGCTGCCTTGCTAATCTAACGGGGCACTTGTGTTTCTTATGTTGTATAAACAATTCCACATCACTGAACTGGGCATGACAAAGACCACATATGTGAATGTCCTCATCCTCATCTGTAATAAAATAAATCATGCATCATAAGGCAGAATAAACAGATCTTGAATCTTGGGAAGATTATGCTTGAGAAGACTGGATGTCATATTTGGTAATTTGCCCAGTTTTGTTCCAGTAATTGAACACTTATTTATGGTACAATCAATACATACAATAATTTCAATTATTTCATTGTCAGAAAAATAAACAGCACATTTTTTTTATAATATAGAAAGCATGAAGTCTACTTGTGCACCCTGAATAAAGATATTTAACACTGTAGAGTGTGTCCCTTAATAAGTCTCAGGAGGAAAAAATATACCAGATTATTTCTAAATGATGAGGTGATAACACTTCCATCACCTCAATTAAATGACAATCCATTCAAAAACTATAATATTTAACAAATATTACAATCATTTATATTTGTAAATAAACAATTAAATTGAAATTTTGTCAAATGTTTGAGAACATTCATAAGTAATTACAATCGTTAATCATGATTAACATTCCCATTGCTAGATTATTGTGTGCGTAGTTCATAATTTCACCATAGAGGGGTTGACAGTATCCAGAGATAGATAGATTACTCAAGAATTTCAAGATTTTTAATCCCTTTCAATTAATTTAAATGCTAAAGAAATGGATTATTTCGTTTTATTTTTAATAAACCGGTTACTGTTTTCCCCAACTCAGATCATGTAAATAAGATAGTCCAACTAATTGTACAACATGTTGAGATATTGTGCTATTTAGTGTATGAGCAATAGGGGCCCTCTACAAAATATCTCAGAATCTACATGTAGCTGGGCAGCACGAAATACCCAAATATACCCAAATTTTGCCCAAATATACCCAAATATTGCCTAAATATACCCAAATATTGCCCAATTATACTAAAAATAAATATTTTATACTAAAAAAGTGCTGTTTTAATCATGAATACAATATACACTTTCACTTAGATATAATCAAACATACCCAAATATACATTTTCCTATCATTGTTTTTTGAACCAAAATACAGTATATGCACTCCATTAAAGCTATTTTTTTAATAACATGGACATTCTTCTTCTATATGATATGAAATTTCAACAAAAATACACCTTAAAAATGTAAGTGTAGACAACAAATATCATATCTTGAATTAAAATTGCAAGTACATTCATAAAGAACCTATATAGTAGATAAGCAAATGTCACAACTTTATTTTCTTACAAATACAACATCTTAACTGCCCATTTCAACGGAATGAATGAAAGTTATACTTATAGCAGGCTAAGTCATACTATTTTATAAATATTTATTTATTTCTCATTATAATCTATATTTTATACAAACAAAAATAAATATTGCTATATTTGGGTATATTTGGGCAATATTTGGGTGTATTTGGGTATTTCGTGCCGCCGATGTAGCTTGGCAAGTCAAATTGTTTTGATTAGTAAATAAGCAAAGTGTGTTTGAATATTATCCAGTTCCCCTACATAAATTTAGTTTTGACAGCTGAAGGGTACATTAGTTTTTTAGATGTGGTAAGAAAGAGGTCATTAATTATTGAAGGGGAATAAATAATGGATCACTGTTCCAGCTATCTAATCACAAACCCTTACGCTCATTCTCAACAAGAAACATGGCAATGCCATGAAACCAGGTTTTCAATTATCACCATTGTAGATAAATATGTTGTATTTGAAATACAAATACAAGCAACAAACAATGTAACTATGTGCAATGTAAAACATGAATAATGTAGGAGAAATTGCGCATAGAAGAAGTGTGCACTATATATATTCTGTATAAGGAAAAAAAAACAAAGGGCCATAATTAGGTAAAAAATTATCCAATCACAAAACCCCGACAATATGTGCTAGGGCACTTGATGACAAAGCTCCTGTGAAAGTTTGAACAAAATCCGTTGAGAAATGTAGGAAGAGTTCAGCACAGAAGAATTTGTTCAATTCTGTATAAGGAAAAAAAACAAAGGGCCATAATAAGGTCAAATATTATCCAATCACAAAACCCTGACAATATGCACCAGGGCACTTCATGACAAAGCTTCTGTGAAAGTTTGGTCAAAATCCGTTGAGAAATGTAGGAGAAGTTGCGCACTGTAGAAATTGTTCACTATATATTCTGTATAAGGAAAAAATATACAAAGGGCCATAATTCGGTCAAATATTATCCAATCACAAAACCCCGACAATATGTGCCAGGCACTTGATAACAAAGCTTCTAAGAAAGTTTGGTCAAAATCCGTTTGGTCAAAATCCGTTGAGAAATGTAGGAGGAGTTGCGCACAGAAGAAATTGTTCACTATATATTCTATATATGGAAAAAAAACAAAGTGCCATAATTAGGTCAAATTTTATCCAATCACAAAACCCCGACAATATGCGCCAGGGCACTTGATGAGCAAGCTTCTCTGAAAGTTTGGTCAAAATCCGTTGAGAAATGTAGGAGGAGTTGCGCACAGAAGAAATTGTTCACTATATATTCTATATAATGAAAAAAAAACAAAGGGCCATAATTAGGTCAAATATATACCAATTGCAAAACCCTGACAATATGTGTCAGGGCACTTGATGACAAAGCTTCTGAGAAAGTTTGGTCAAAATCCGTTGAGAAATGTAGGAGGAGTTGCGCACAGAAGAAATTGTTCACTATATATTCTATATAAGGAAAAAAACAAAGGGCCATAATTAGGTCAAATATTATCTAATCGCAAAACCCCGACAATATGCGCCAGGGCACTTGATGACAAAGCTTCTGTGAAAGTTTGGTCAAAATCCGTTGAAAAATGTAGGAGGAGTTGCGCACAGAAGAAATTGTTTACGACCACCCGCCCGCCCGTCCGCCCATCCGCCCGCCGACATACCTCAATCTAATAACCAGTTTTTTCCTTCGGAAAACCTGGTTAATAAAACACAGCATTTGATGTTCCACTGGGTAGCTCTTATACGAAGGTTTTTCTTGAGGTCAAAATGTCGTTAGAAAGGTGGCTGCCACTTTGTCTAATAGGGACACTCTCAGTTTTACATTTCTATCTGTTATTTTTCTTTTACAAGTACCATTAATGCTCTAAAATGTAACATACGTTACTGTCGCCACCTAGAATTTTCAACTTTGAAATTGTGTTTCAGAAAAATAAGTTCCAGAATAAACGAAACATGTGCAATTAGTCATTGCTGTGTGTATATGCACTTTGATTATTGGTAAACATTATATTTGACTGTTTAAATCTCATTGGTATAATGGATGATCAAATGTCGCCAAATGCATATAAATAAATAGTGACAAACCTAAAACAATAAGAAGTGAAACCCAAATTACATAATTGAATCGATGCATGCTTAATAATACAGCATATATATAATTATAAGTAAAAATAAGCTTGCAGCCTCTCAAATATCATTCTATTTTCGGAAATTTTTCATTTTTTATTCAAATCTTTTCAACAGCACTTTAAAAAGAAACATACGTTACCATCATTAAAGAGCCAATCCATTCAAAGAAGAATCCAAACAAGAAAGAAAATTAATATGTGTGTAACTCTGATATATTAACCACAAATTATGGCGGCTTAAACGGTCTTGCGTCATTTTTAACCCACTTTCAATGTAAAAATGAAACATACGTTACAGAAACATACGTTATCAACTTTTTTAAAATAAGTTTATCAAAAGGGAAATTGAAGTCAGAAAGCACGTATTACATCAACATTAACTTCTATTTGACATTAGTAAGTAAATTTTGTTAACTTTGGTCGTGTTTTTACTTGTTTAAGTAACCACAGTGAAACAAACGTTACTTTTATCAAACAGACCTTATATTGTTTACACATGCATATATAAAAAACATAAAAATCGCATTTTTATGACATAGAATGATGTGCATTTGATTTCTAAATAAAAAAGTCGATTTTACATGTAAGTTTAAATTCCGTGATAAAGTTCATAAATGAGCGAGTGTGAAACATACGTTACTCCAACTTACAATTCAAAAATTTTTGAAAATTAAAGATAAAGTTGGATTAGCATGCCTGTTAGTAACGGTTACCTTGTATAAGATGTAAGAAGACACCAAATTGTTTTTACAAAGGAAAGATATGTTAATAATATGTTGATGTACCAGCAGAAATGTTAAAAAATATATTACAAGATATTGATGTTCTCAGCAACAACTAATTCGTTTCTGCAAAGAGCTTAATGGCCGTATTTCATTCTATATATAATAATGTTAAAATAATATCCATAAATATAAATTATTTTACAAAAAATAAAATTTTTTCTCAACCTTTACTTGCATTTGAATAAAATGAAACATACGTGACATCCTATATGGGGATAAATATCGAACTGCTTAGAACTAAATTTTCCAAATATTAAGAAAGTGGAAAGTTGAATGTTTTTGAAAAAAAATTGCTTATACAAAATTTGTGTATGCATTCGACCTCTCATATATATTATATATGATATATATCCTTTGAATGAAGACATAAAATAATCATTTCCAAAATTGACTATTTTTGCTTTCTACGAATATTTAACTTTGAAGAAATTTGACTGAAAATCAGCAAGGTACCCAAACTTCTTTGAATTTTCCTGGGTTAGAAAGTCCCTCTAGATAGAGAATTTACAGATTTTGATATATTTTACAGACATTTGTTATTAATATGCAGCCAATATGTTACATTATTAGATCTGAAATCTACGTTACCAAAGAAATACAGTGTCATTACCGAAATAAATGCCATCCTGTTATATCATAGTTTCTTGTTCAAAATATTTCTGGCAAACTTGCAAAATACCCTAAACTTTTACTTCAGCGTTAAAAAATGACACAATGACAACATCAAATTTTTAATATTTTTCAACCTCAAATGCTTTATTGAGAATGTGCGTTAATGTTTCATTTTCCAGGACAAGTAACTGATTATAAAAAAGAACTTACATTAATTTTGTCAATTAAAAAAATCAAATAGTTTTTTTTATTAAATTTATGTTCAATATTAAGTGGTATGAATACCAGACACCTATGTTAGCAATCCTGCACAGAAGTGGTTGCGAGTCGTTTCGGGGGCGAATCATCATCGGGCGAATCTTGATATGAAATGTCTGTCATCCAACATAAAACATAAGGATGGTTATAGTTAGCTATACATTATAATGCTGATGTTGCTTTAATCATTTTATTCGCGAAAACCGCTCTGCTCTCTCCAATAATTACTGTATGCCAGGGCCTTTCTTGCTGATTTTCATTGTGAAATTATATAAGAAAAATCCAATTATATGTATTATTTGTATTTATGTAACTGATATAAAATACTTACATCCGTGTAAACTATTCATTTTGATTCTAAAATGGCTTAATTATTTATCAGTTTTTAAAATTAAACATAATAAACATGGCGAATACTCTCCGGGGCCAAGAAATAATAATGGGTAATGACGTCAAAATATTCGTTGAACAACACTAAATTATTTCCTTTACTGTACTAATGTTTAAACTTATTGTATCGCATTTTCTCAACAAAAAATGGCCATATTTCACCGGGTCTTTCAAATAGATTCTATTTGAAAGATCCTGGTTTCACCAACAACGTATTTCATCTTTTCAAAAATATCAATCTTCCTACCACGTGTCATTACTTCATACAGCTTCTGTCCCTCGTTTTCTATAAGTCGACCAGTTGTGTTAGAACTAATTATATATGTCTTTTTTACATTGCCATGATCACTGCACAGATGTTTCTTAATTCATAATTTCACCATCATCGATTTGTTTAACTTGCTTGGCAGCTACACTGTGAATGGCAAGCAGTTAAATGGATATTGTCAAAACATATCATCAAGATATGGGGTAATTTGTCAAGTTTGATTCTTTATTTATCGTAAATGAAAATAGATGATGACTACAGTACATTTTTGAGATGATTAAAAGATATATCTATTATAAGCATGTGTAGATTGTAAAAAAATGTATGTCCTAGAAATACTTTAAAATTATTGACAATACAAATGAGCCAAATGCCTATATAATAAAGCGAAGCTTTAACTCACAGAACTTTAATAATTGACATGACGTGAAAATGACATAAATAGATTATCATTAAAAACAGAAGCTTAAAGATATACTACGCTCCTCTTTGACTGAAATGTCTGATTAACAGAAATTACTTGAAATCTCTAGGAAATTCTTACTGAAAATGTAAAATTTGACAAGAAGAGTTCACACAATGCGTATGGGAAGATATATTTCTTATTGCACATGCTGTTAGCAATTATCAGTATTTTCAAATAAGAAACTTGGGCATAATATTTCTTTTACAATAGGTAGGCCTGTAAAGGAAAGTGATTCAACACGTAAATATGGAAGTGTTTATTGTTGTGTAATATGACATGCTCTCTCATTCACTCTAGTCACGTGGGTTTAACTCAGTGTAGACTTGTCTCTTTGATAACAGTTTGATGAAATGCTTTGGCATGTAAAAATATGCTTTATGTTTAGAATTAAACTTATGTACAATGTATAGTCAATGGTCTTCTGGTGATAACCGACAATCGAACATCCAGACAATAGTACAATTATAATCATGCTCTGCAATGTATCAAATTTGTTAACCGGGGTTATGTACAATTAACTTGTTCATGATATTATAATGTTGTATTTGTATTATATATATTTAAAAAAATGACTGAATTTAACTGATCATGAGTGTCACATGGCTGATAATGGGATTGCAGCCCGGGGCCATAAAGTTCATAATCATAATTGGCTCGTTAAACACGAGCACATGCAAAATTTGTAACAATGACTCCACATTCTACGTCACCAAAACAGCTAGCTTTAAAGATAAAGTAGGTTTTCAGCGCGGATTGCTTGATTTTAAGATTACAACTATTTAAGTGTAATTTGTGTTATCGCAGTTTTTTTATTAAAGATAAAATTACAAAAGAAATAAAGTACATTAAAAAACATGATTTTAGTTGACTTGCAAGTTTGTATATACGTAAGGGAAGTAGCTCTGTATTTAAATCTACATGATACTCCTGATACAACTTGAAGGCACTTGTCAGGAAACGTATGTCAGGAAAAGTATATTAAAAGCAGTTAAGTGTGATGTTAAAATGATAAATGTTGACAAATAACATTTAAAAAAATGGGACTGGATATAATAATCTGCCCATCATCCCACATGAATAATGCCCACAAGGTAAAGGGTTAACTCGGCCCTATACCAACTCGGCACGGGTCAACTTGGCACAGGTCAACTCGGCCCTCTATTAAAAACCTTTTTGGATATTAATTGTTTAGATTGTTTAGTTTTAAAAAATTTTAAGGAGTAAATTACTATAAAAGTATTCAGAGGTTCGATCACTAACAAATAGAGAATGAAAAAGTTGGCAGTGTAATGTACATGTGCGTATTGTTTGAAATTATGTTTGTTATATAGGCCCCTATGTTAAATATTGATCCATAAATAAAGTTTGTAGATTTCTCTACAAATTCACATATCAATACAATTTGGTACTTTCACCAATAAAACTTCAATATCCTTGAGTCGGTAACTGTGAAAATGTTAAACAATGAAAGTTACAAGGGCTTTAGCCTACGACCTTCATAGTCAATTCCTACGCATTTGAACTCCAAGACGAGTGTTAAATAGCCGATTATAAATAGGTCACTAAGACAAATAATATTCCTTAAAGTTGTTTCTTAATACTTGCAGCGCTTTGATTTTTATACTTTGTGGTATTCAACCTTGAATTGCTGAAGGGACAGAACTCTTAGAACATTTCCGGTGCCGGTAAACAAAAAGTTTTCATCATGACTGCTAGATACGACCGTGCAATTACTGTTTTTTCCCCAGACGGGCATTTATTTCAAGTTGAATACGCACAAGAAGCTGTAAAGAAAGGATCTACAGCGGTATGATACGTTTAGAATTAGCTAAAACTACGAACAATTATTTTGATTTTCTGCATTGTCACAAGTGGGTGGGGTAATGACAACTATAATGATAATTATTATCGCGGATCTTAATACAAAATATATAGTTAATGGTAGCTTAATATCTTCAGCGTACTAGTTTAGATACTATGACATGACGTGAACGCTGTAGACAGACCTGTAGGGAAAGTCCACCAATAATCGTGCCAGGAATCTGACACGCTCTTAATTTTAAATTATAATTCATCAAACATGCCATAACTTAGCTTAAGGTCTTCAGCGTACCCGTTTATATACAATGACATGACGTGACCGCTGAAGACAACCCCGTAGGAAAAGTCCACCAATAATCGTGCCAGGAATCTGACAGGCTCGTATTCATTCATCGAACATGCCATGAAGTAAAGTGAAGCATACCTTGATAATACTATATGATATGAAATTAGGTGCTACTTATGGTGCGGAAAGCTCTTATGAATTATGATTTGAGCATGACATGTTTAGTGTAGATGTAAACCAGATATTTCTTTCAGGTATTTTGTACCGTAAACAAAACAAATAAAGTAGCGGTGTTCAACCTATCGTCGGAGCGCTCGGAATATTCCGAAAATCTCCGAATGTAAAGGGGGACCACTGCGCATGCATCGGCGTTTGGAAAATCCCGTCCGCCATTTTTAGCTTGACTATATGAAGTATATGGAGAGCTATTCTACTTGCCCCGGCGTCGGCGTCTGCGTCCAGATTTCAGATTAAAGTTTTGGTGCAGTAAAATATTTTTCACTATAACTTTGTCATTTCTTACTGTATCAACTTCAAACTTCAAATATATGTTCCTTATCATCAACCACATCTTATGTAACAAGGTTCATAACTCTAGCACCAATATTTTCAGATTTATCTCCCCTTGAACTTAGAATTTTCCTTAAAAAATACTATTTTTTACTGTAACTTCTTTATTTCTTAAGGGATCACCCTCATACTTCAAATATATGTACCTTATCATCATCCCCATCTTATTTGACAAGGTTCGTAACTCTAGCACAAATAATTTCAGATTTATCTCCCCTTGAACTTAGAATTTTCCTTAAAAAATATTATTTTTTACTGTAACTTATTTATTTCTAAAGGGATCAACTTCATACTTCAAATATATGTACCTTATCATCATCCATATCTTATGTGACAAGGTTCATAACTCTAGCACCAATATTGCAAGAATTATCTCCCCATAAATTTAGATTTTTATACCCCCACCACAAAATGTGGGGGGGCTATAATGGATTCGCTTTGTCGTGTCGGTCGGTCAGTCGGTCGGTCCGTCCGTCTCCATTTTCGTGTCCGCTCTATAACTCCTATACCACTTGAAGGATTTTCTTCAAACTTGGCTCAAATGTTCACCTCAGCAAGGGGATGTGCAGAACCCATGTTGCCCATGTGTCAGCTGAAGGTCAAGGTCACAATTGAAGGTCAAATATCAAACACAATCATATATTAGACAGTATGTCGTGTCCGCTCTGTAGGTCCTACAATAATTGAAAGATTTTCTTCAAACTTGGCTAAAATGTTCACCTCAACAAGGGGATGTGCAGAACTCATGTTGCCCATGTGTCATTTTAAGGTCAAGGCCACAATTGAAGGTCAAATATCAAACAATCAAATATTACACAATATGTCATGTCCGCTCTGTATGTCCTACACTAATTGAAAGATTTTCTTCAAACTTGGCTCAAATGTTCATTTCAACAATGGGATGTGCAGAACCCATGTTGCTCATGTGTCAGCTCAAGATCAAGGTCACAATTGAAGGTCAAATATCAAACAATCAAATATTACACTGTATGTCGTGTCCGCTCTGTAAGTCCTACACTTATGGAAAGATTTTCTTCAAACTTGGCTCAAATGTTCACCTCAACAAGGTTATGTGCAGAACCCATGTCACTCTTTTGCCGGCTTCAGGTCAAGGTCACACTTGAAGGTCAAAAATTGACTTAGAAAATGTTCTTTAATTTTAACATATATCTGAATATTTCTGAATCTAGGAAAGGTATTTGCTTGAAACTTAAAATATAAATGAAGTGTCACAATTAAGATATGCTGGTCAAGTTTCATAACTCTGTATTGCATTTTAACAAAGTTATGCCCCTTTTTAATCTTCAAATTTACATACAATCACATATTAGACAATATGTTGTGTCCGCTCTATAAATCCTATACTAATGGAAGAATTTTCTTCAAACTTTTCTCAAATGTTCACCTAAACAAGGTTATGTGCAGAATCTATGTCACCTTTGTGCAGACTAAAGGTCAAGGTCAGACTTGAAGGTCAAAAATTGACTTAGAAAATGTTCTTAGATTAAAACATGTTCTTGAATATTTCGGAAACTAGCATAGGTATTTGCTTGAAACTTAAAAGATATATGAGGTGTCACAATTACAATATGCAGGTCAAGTTTCATAACTCTGTATTGGATTTTGACAAAGTTATGCCCCTTTTTAAAGTCTTTAAATTTACATACAATCAATACTAGACAATATGTTGTGTCCGCTCTATAAATTCTATACTAATGGAAGGATTCTTCTTCAAACTTTACTCAAATGTTCACTCCAATTGGGCGATGTGCAGAACTCATCTTACCCTTGTGCCAGCTGAAGTTCAAGGCCACACTTGAAGGTCAAAAATTGACTTATAAAAAGTTTAGTATATTGGGAAAATGAAAGGTTATTTGTAACTGTTTCGAACATGATTTGATAATAGATATTTTTACTATTACCTGTACAATTAGTCTTTTTTTCACCAGAGATAATTTCTTTTTATGTATTTGTGTCACTTAAGTTATTCCCTTAACCACCTTTCCAAGTTGTCTTCTGTCAAGGACATTGGTGGGGGTATGAATCGCATTCAGCGATAGTTCTAGTTTTATTAGAAAAATGTTATTTTTTACTATAACTTTTTTAGTTTTAAAGGTATCTACTTCAAATACTTATTCCTTATCATCAATTACATTTTATGTGACAATGTTCATAACTCTTGAAGCAATTTTCACAGCTTTATCTCTCTTTGAACTTAGGATTTTCTTTAAGAAATATTATAAGTTTTTTACTTTTTAAGGTATCTACTTCAAACTTCAAATATATATTTCTTATCATAACACACATGTTGTGTGACAAGGTTCATAACTCTAGCGTGACTATTTCTAGAATTATTTCCCTTGATCTTGGAATTTATGTTAACAAATGTTATTTTTTTACTATAACTTAATACATAATAATACATAATTGATTTTTCTTTCATAGTTTTGTCCTCCTTACCGCGTCCAGTATTTTATTAGTCGAGCTTGGCTGTCTCCTGTGACAGCTCTTGTTTGTTAATCTCTAATCACAGTTGTTGTTTTAATGTTATATTTAATGTGCTAATTTATCAAAAAGGATATGGTAAAGTAACTTTCTATATTTATAATCGTTACTTTAGTTCTTATCAATGGAATGCATGTTTACTTTCTGATTTTGCACATAATTCTCTCACCGGAAGTGTTATTTAGCAGACGCTAGCAATAGTCTAAATTATGTAGACGCTCATTAAAAGCGCTTTGATATCTATATTTAGCTCAAAAGGATTTCAAAATGGCGGCGCCCAGTTAACTAAGGATTTTTTCACACCTCATTAGGTATAGGATATATATCTTTTTGAAATTTTCATTTACTTTTAATTTGATTTCATTTGAATTGATACACGTCATACATGTTATCTAAAAGCACTACAGCCCTCACGGGGCTTTGGCCCCGCTCGGACTTTCCGCGTATAATCTGTTGATAAGCCAAGGATGGACAAGTAAAAATCTTATTACGAACATGAACTACCTAATAGTTTCCGGCAGGTAAAAATTTCGGCACTTGGCCGCCATATTTCCAAAATGTTTGACCACGTGATTACGAGGTTGACCTTTAGGAACCCATGTGCTTCCAATATTTTTATAAATTTCATTTTTTTAATGTTTTTTTTGTTTTACCATAAAATGCACAAGAATTGATTGGGTCCAGTGTATTTGCAAGTGAAAGATAAATCAACTTAGGCCTAAAAAAAAAAAATTGTTTTGTTAGGGTAACATGCTCTCAAGGAATAGGTAGGGTAGGTCGGATTTTCTTTTCTTTTTTTTTTTTATTCACCAGGACTGTATATTGACATTTGCTATTTTGTGCCTCCCGGGTGGCACAAATACATCCCTTCTATGTTTTCAAAAGACATTTTAGGTGTAACAATCTTAAACTCTCGGCGTTCTGCCGTTTGGTGAAGGTCACACGCCGTTTTACAAATATTGACGATGTGATCCTCCATTTTGTAACTAAGAGCGGCGATAAAACCTGTACTGTACCGTACCTCAATAATACTTTTATATTTTATATAATAATTTTTTTTTTTTTTTTTTTTGGACACGAAAGAAACGGTAGGGTCGGCGTATATTATTAGGTAGGGTTGGGTGACCCAAACAAAACAATTTTTTATGCATATAGTGTTACCCTGTTCCGTCATTCCGTCCTTCCGTCATTCTGTCATTCCGTCATCATCAGTTTCCGTTCATTATCTTAAGAACGGTTGCACACATTCAACTCAAATTTGACATATGGATATGTCATGAGAAAATACAGGTCAAGTTCGAATTTGGTCATGGTTCGATGATTTTTGGCAGAGTTATGCCCCTTTTACTTTGAAAATAATATGAAATTTCAGTTTCCGTTCATTATCTCCCCAATGGTACAACACATTCAACTCAAACTTGACATATGGATATGTCATGAGAAAATACAGGTCAAGATCGAATTTGGTCATGGTTTGATGATTTTTGGCAGAGTTATGCCCCTTTTACTTTGAAAATAATATGAAATTTCAGTTTCCGTTCATTATCTCCCCAACGGTACAACACATTCAACTCAAACTTGACATATGGATATGTAATGAGAAAATACAGGTCAAGTTCGAATTTGGTCATGGTTTGATGATTTTTGGCAGAGTTATGCCCCTTTTACTTTGAAAATAATATGAAATTTTCAGTTTCCGTTCATTATCTCCCCAACGGAACAACACATTCAACTCAAACTTGACATATGGATATGTCATGAGAAAATACAGGTCATGTTCGAATTTTGTCATGGTTCGATGATTTTTGGCAGAGTTATGCACCTTTTACTTTGAAAATAATATGAAATTTTCAGTTTCCGTTCATTTTTCTCCTCAAAGGTACAACACATTCAACTCAAACTTGACATATGGATATGTCATGAAAAAAATACAGGTCAAGTTTGAATTTGGTCATGGTTAGATGATTTTTGGCAGAGTTATGCCCCTTTTACTTTGAAAACAATATGAAATTTTCAGTTTCCGTTCATTATCTCCCCAAAGGTACAACACATTCAACTCAAACTTGACATATGGATGCGTCAAAGGAATGCGCAGGTCAAGTTCAAATTTGGTCATGGTTCAATGATTTTTGGCAGAGTAATGCCCCTTTCACTTTGAAAGTAATATGAAATTTTCAGTTTCCGTTTATTATCTCCCCAATGGTACAACACATTCAACTCAAATTTGACATATGGATATGTTTTTGAAATGCCCAGGCCAAGTTCGAATTTGGTCATGGTTCAATGATTTTTGGCAGAGTAATGCCCCTTTCACTTTGAAAATAATATGAAATTTACAGTTTCTGTTCATTATCTACCCAACAGTGTTACATATTCAACTTAAATTTGACATATGGATATGTCAAAGGAATGGGCAGGTCAAGTTGGAATTTGGTCATGGTTTGATGATTTTTTGGCAGAGTTATGTCCCTTTCACTTTGAAAATAATATAGATACATCTTAGGAATAAGCAGTTTAAATTTGATTTTGGTCGTGGATGTTGGAAAAATTTTGAACTTTCAGTTTCAGCACTCATACTTTTAGCCATTATTTTGGCTACAAATATGCAATATGCTATTTTTAAAAGGTTAAGACTGAATAATTTCAGTGCCTTGAACATTGTATGAAAATGGTTTGTGTTAACATTGAAAAGTTTTAAGGGCTTTGAAATTAAAATGAAAAAAATAATAAATGCACCATCTGAAAATTTGGCTGCATGCGGGGGCATCCGTGGCATGATGACACATTTCTAGTTTTTTTAGGCCTTATGTTATTCTGGTTAGGTTTCGTAACGGGTCTAATCCAAAACTTTAATGCCGCATCAGATGAAAAACAAAAATGTTAAATAGCGGCTTATAAAGTTTTGGAAGCCAGAACTAGCCATAACTGATAATATAAGTGAAGCATATCTTGATAAAACTATGTATAATCTATTGATGAGCCAAGGATGGACGTATAAAAAACTTAATAGGAACATAAGCTACCTAATAGTTTCGACAGGTAAAAATTTTAGGACTTGGCTGCCATATTGCCAAAATGTTTGACCACCTGATTACGAGATTGACCTTTACGGGTTAATTTTGTGCGGACAGGTGAGAAAACAGAACCCCTGTGCTTCCAACTTTTTAATAAATTACTTTTAAAAATATTGGAAAAGGTGATTTACTGACTTCTGTATTCAATATAATTTTATTTAAGTAGATCTACTAAAAAATGAATAAAAACAGTATTTTGAATTATAAATATTGAAACCATGTCAACAAATATGTTCTAAATTTCTAAATATAGTACACGACTCTCATACGAGGTCTCGCATAGCTCTTAAATGTCGGCATAATTGATGTTTCACAGTTAAATAAGCAATTTTGATGACGTTATTAATATTTTGATACTTTAAATGGTATAGAACAATATTAAAATGTTATTAATAATATTTTGATACTTTAAATGGTATAGAACAATATTAAAATAATTGTTTTATCTCGAAATGCACAAAAATTAATTGGGACAAGTTTATTTTTAAATGAAAATATAGTTAAATCAACATATGTTAATTCTGGTAGGTTACTAACGGGTCTTAATCCAAAACTTTTAATTGGATCAGAATGAAAAAAAAAATGTTAAAAAGCGGCTTTAAATAAAAAATTTTGGAAGCAGAACTAAGTTTATTGGAAGATGCCCTTGCTTGACAATTTTCCAGCACTAAATAGTAGTTTCCAATTTCTTTTTTATAGTCCCCAAATATAGGTAAAAATTATTCTCTAAGCTTAAAATAAGCAAAAAAGAAAGTGATGTTCTGTGAATTCCAGACATTTTACTTCCAAGACATTTCACTATTGAAACATTTCACTCCCAAGCAATCACACCTAGACGTTTCACTCTCACTTTGTCAATGGTACAGCCGTTTCATTCCCAATTATTTGTTTCAGATGTTTGACAGAACAAACCAAGCTCAGATTTATAGTTTTTCATTTTTTCATTTTAAAGGGTTTGTGACTTTGGAGAAAATGATAACTTTAAAAGATACAACAGAACCTGCTTAAAGTCTTGAAAATTCCACTTGTCGGGACAACCTGGGCAGTAGTGAGTACAAAGAATTGATTTTGCCGCCCCTGTTGTTACATGTTCTAAAAGTGGCAGCCTACTGTTTAGAATATTTGCATTTTCCATACTTGCTGAAGCCTTGTAGTTCTCACATATAGTAAAAGCAAATTGACAAATATTGTCAAGAAAATGAAGTTGTCAGAGTGCTTTAAAATCAATGGGACTTGCAGGGCTTCAGTTTATGTGAACATTTACTATTGGCAGCCCTGTATTAAAATTTACATGAATCGGACTATTGAAATGACTTAAAACATGTACATCTTAATTGTTAAAATTTTCAGGTCGGTGTTCGTGGCAAGGATATTGTTGTTCTTGGAGTTGAAAAGAAAGCTGTTGCTAAATTACAGGAGGATAGAACTGTTAGAAAAATAGCTTTGTTAGATGACCATGTTGCTCTTGCATTTGCAGGTAAGAATGTGTAATTACTTCTTTTTTTCAACAATGCCATACAATGCATGTTTTTATATGATTATTAAAGGAACTTAGTTATTCTTAGCTTAATTATACTTCCTACAGTTTTTATGCACTCGCTTGAAAAGTGGGAGCATACTGTGATTGGGTCAGCCTGTCTGTTCATTGCCATGACCACAACCTTGCTTCACCAATTACCAGAGAAATCTTTGACCTACAGTAGATTTAAATTTGATGTGTAGGTTGGTCATGAATAGAAGAATTATGACCTCTATTAATATTGTGGTCAAATAGAAATTGATATTGAGGTCATTTGGTTAATAATGTTACAGATGCATGAACTGAGTTAAGAACAAAAGTTTCATTAGTCATAGGTTTGTGAATTCTTTAGTAATAATATTAAAGTCAAGACAACAGATTAAGGTCTGTACATGTACTTCTCAATCTGTCATGTTTCGTTACAAAGTAATGTCTTGTTTTTAACTTTGTGATTTCTGATAATGTTTATGTACAACCTGACATAACTAGTTATGAATAAATGTTCAAAAAGTCTATTTCAGCTTTAATTGACATATTGTAGTTTTAACTCTAAGAAGATATTGACTTAGACATGATGATAACAAAAGGCCGTCTGACATTTCAGCTCTCCTTTAATTGGGATTGAGTAGAAATTATGATCATAACAAACATTGTAGCGATATTGTATATCTGATCTAAGTTAATTTTCCTTAAACTACATTTGTATTAGACTACTTCATGCGATTTTTATGTGCCAAAAGTAAAGGAAATAGTATATTCTTTTGATTCAGGAAATATCTTTAAGTCTGATTATTAAAAAAAAATGTGCCCGGGGTGTCCTAACCATTTGGGTTAGGGATTTACAAACCTTGGAAAATATTATTTCATCTCTCATTATCAACCAATGAAGCTTTACATACAACTTAACTATTAATTTTTTAAAAAATTAGCTACATGCAGGGTTTTTCTGAATCATATCCATTTTTAAGAAAATTTTTATAAAAATATCCCTTTGTTTTGATTGTATCTTTTTTTGTTTAATATCTTTTCTAATTACCTGAGTCATTTTCATTAATAGAGCAAAAAGAAGTCAGAGTCACAATAAAGGAAATCCTTTTACTAAGAAAAATAACCAGATATATAGCACAACTTAAACAGGTACATACAGTATAGAAGTTTATTTATTGTATGTTAAATAGTCTAATTTAAAACCTTGCAAGGAAGGTCAAAACAGGCTATCCTGCATTCTTAGGTTCCTTAACTTTTTCTTGTACAAATTTCTATACCATTCTTATTTTTTTTTTTTTCAAGTTTTGTGAGCTACATGGGCTCCTCCACTACCAGTGGGAAAGTTCAAAGTTTGTCACATGACTTAAACAAATACTGAAATCTAAATAAACAACAACAAAATAATGAAATAACAAAAAGTTGTTAGAAACTGTACACTATTTTTAGTATGAAAAAGAAGTGTTAATTTGTTTGTTGTTCAAATCTCTGTTACAATGAATTTTCCCACAGAAGTTTTTAATTTGTTTCGTAATGAATTTCTCACAGAACCACATCTGATAAGTAAATTAGAGAAAAATAGAAATAACAATATCATTTCATTATTCAAAACATCAGTGTACATACTGTTTAAAAGAAAGATACTGTTTAATATATAAAATATGTTATTTCAGAAATATACACAGAGTAATGGAAGACGTCCATTTGGTTTATCTGCATTGTTAATAGGTTATGATGATGGTCCACATCTATATCAGACTGATCCCTCAGGAACATACCATGAATGGAAGGTAAAACAAATAAAATTTCTTTCATAACTCTTCCTTTAGGAGTGATTGTGTCAACTGCATATGAGCAGCATCATGACAAAACCAACATAATGGGTTTGCGACCAGCATGGATCCAGACCAGCCTGCGCATCCGCGCAGTCTGATCAGGATCCATGCTGTTCACTTACAAACCCTATAACAAGTAGAGAAACAGATAGCGAACAGCCTGGATCCTGTTCAGACTGCGCGGATGCGCAGGCTGGTCTGGATCCATGCTGGTCGCAAACCCATTATGTTGGTTTTGTTGTGACACGGCTCATATACCCAATAAACTGTCCCATGTGACAAATGCAATCAAGATCATATGGCATTTTCTGCAATATTAGCTATTCAGACATATTTTAAAATTTCCCCTAAATACATGTATGATTAATAGTTTTGGCTCAATTGTATAATAAAATTGATTGGTAATAGTTAAATAAAAGTTTACTAACATTAGGTTATAATTCAAAATTTCAAAGCAAATTCTTTTTCAAGAAGTTCCTTGTTGATCTTTTGATAGGCAAATGCTATTGGAAGGAGTGCAAAGACAGTGAGAGAATTCCTAGAGAAACATTACACTGACGAAGTAGCAGGAGATGATAAAGAGTGTATCAAACTTACATTAAAAAGCCTGCTTTAGGAATTTTGACGACTGGTGAAAAAATTGGGGGAATTAGGCTATTAAAAAGAGAGGACAACCAAAAAAGGGTAAGGTAAAAAAATTTAAAGGATTTTTATAAAAAGGGGGCCATAAAATTGCTAAGGGAATTTAAAAACCCTTTTTAATGCTTTTTGGTAAAATGAAACATAGTCTTAGTTATCAATTTAATATAACAGCCTGCCAGCCATTTCTTTATAGTTCTGCTATCTAGGTAACATTATTATTTCATTTAATAGTGTTTGCTTTAAATTTTAAAAAAAGCCTTTGTTTTGATTTTAACTGTTGGTTAAAAAAGATGATAGAAATATGAATAGTGTTTGAGCCTTTGGTATACAGAATTAGGAGTGAAATATGTCTATAAGAAGGTTCAAGGTTGATACAAAAAGCCAGTTTAGTTATTCATTTGTCATTTACAAGTATATAAAGTAAATAACTGAACTTCTATTTTTGAAACAAAATACATGTTCTATTAAGTTTATTGTATTTAATGTATTTATAAAAGTTTGCTCCAGATAAGAAAACACCATCAAATATTTGTTATATTTCAGATGATAGATTCTGATGAGATAGACAAATATCTAGCTGAGATAGAGAAAGAGAAGGAAGAAGAGGCTGAGAAGAAAAAGGCCAAGAAATAGTTCATGTGTTCTTTCATTTTTCTCTCATTTCTTACCATGAATCATCACATTAGTGCTAAACAACAGAAAAACAACAACAAATGACAGTTTAAGACAAATATATATGACAGTGTCTTTAGTTAACTTATTCTTTATCACACAAAAAGTTATACTTGAAGATATTCATTCTTGTGGGCACAAAATATTGTTTTCAAATTACATGTGGTCTATAATATTCAAAGTTGGGTGAATGTAGTCAAAAAGTTCATTAGTAAAATGCATTTGTCACAATAATTTTGATTTTCATTATAAATACTGTGATTATATGAACAAATGATGCCAGGTTTACAAGTTTAAACCTATGTTTTTTTGTTTTAAAGGCAATCAATGGGCTCTTCTGCCTGATATTGAATTCTTCCAATGGGTTTAATGGTGGTATAACCATGCTCTTCAAAGACTTTTTAGTGGAATATTTTAAACAGGAAAAAACACGCAATTTTTGTAATGGACACAAAATGTTCATGATGTCTATCGTTAAATTGTTTTGGTCTTAAAAAGGAACTGTTCTTTCTTGAAAAAAAAAGTGTTTTTGAAAATGTTATAACATGTAGCTCACATGAAAGCATGTAACACATAGCTATTGCTACTTCTGATAGGAAATCTCTGTAAAACGTCTGATGATAAACTGTTTGACAACAGACTGTTAATTGTGCTGGATTTACTTATTTTGATGAATAAAATATTATAAATGTCAAAAGTTTTGTACTTTTCAAGAATATGGGTAATGACTTCAGTCTTGGCTTTTGTATGCTTACATGGTCCTCATTAAAGTAAATCTGGTGAATAATATTGCCCCTGTTCAGCATATATTGCATAGAGGGCCATTGAACTGTTAGGATTGCTCACTATTTACATATGTTCTTCCATATTTTCAGCCATTTAGGACATAGATATACCTTGCATGCTTGTTATCAATCATTGGTCACAGTCTACTTTAATTATGTCTCCCCCACCTCGGGGGGAGACATATTGTTTTTGCCCTGTCCGTCCGTCCGTCAGTCCGTCCGTCCGTCCATTCTTCGTTTCCGGACGATAACTAGAGTTCCTTTTGACCTACAGCTCTCAAACTTCATAGGATGAATGGTCTTATTGAGCAGATGATCCCTATTGTTTTTGGGGTCAGTAGTTCAAAGGTCAAGGTCACAGTGACCGTTGGTCAATTTCTCGTTTCCGGATGATAACTAGAGTTCCTTTTGACCTACAGCCCTCAAACTTCATAGGATGATTGGTCTTATAGAGCTGATGATCCCTATTGTTTTTGGGTCAGTAGGTCAAAGGTCAAGGTCACACTGACCGTTGGTCAATTTCTCGTTTCCGGATGATAACTAGAGTTCCTTTAGACCTACAGACCTCAAACTTCATAGGATGATTGGTCCTTATTGAGCAGATGATCCCTATTGTTTTGGGGTCAGTAGTTCAAAGGTCAAGGTCACAGTGACCGTTGGTCAATTTCTCGTTTCCGGATGATAACTAGAGTTCCTTTAGACCTACAGACCCTCAAACTTCATAGGATGATTGGTCTTATTGAGCAGATGATCCTATTGTTTTTGGGGTCAGTAGTTCAAAGGTCAAGGTCACAGTGACGCGTTGGTCAATTTCTCGTTTCCGGATGATAACTAGAGTTCCTTTTGACCTACAGCCCTCAAACTTCATAGGATGATTGGTCTTATAGAGCAGATGATCCCTATTGTTTTTGGGGTCAGTAGGTCAAAGGTCAAGGTCACAGTTGACCGTTGGTCAATTTCTCATTTCCGGATGATAACTAGAGTTCCTTTTGACCTAACAACCCTCAAACTTCATAGGATGATTGGTCTTATTAATCAAATGATCCCTATTGTTTTAATGGTCAGTAGGTCAAAGGTCAAGGTCACAGCGACCGTTGGTTAATTTCTCCTTTCCGGATGATAACTAGAGTTCCTTTAGACCTACAACCCTCAAACTTCATAGGATGATTGGTCTTATTGAGCAGATGATCCCTCTTGTTTATGGGTCAGTAGGTCAAAGGTTAAGGTCACAGTGACCATTTGGTCATTTTCTCATTTCCGGATGATAACTAGAGTTCTTATCAGTGAGGACATTTAACTATTATTGATATATCAGTGATATATCAGTTGTCTGGTTTTATATACTCTGTTCTTTTTTGATCTTTCCACCCTTATGCGGTCATTTTCTTCCCAGCATTTATTCTCAGCAGTGGGGGAGACATGCGCTTTTTTACAAAAGCATCCTCTAGTTCATTATTGTTTAATGCTGTCTAATGGATATTGTCATTGGTTTGTAGTTGTTTTTGGATAGACTACTACATGATTTGAGATTATTGACTTGAAATTTGTCGTCGGTTTTGTGCTTCAAGCATTTGCAATGACCTATGCTTAACCCAAGGACTGTGAACGAATTAATTGTACTGATAGATGCCAGAAAATTGTCAGTCCTAGCTAAAGTCTCAGAATTTCTAAATTTTGGAATCTTCATTAATTATTTAAAAAAGATTAAAAGTGACATTGTAACTCTATTGAATACTTGTAATTACATGTACATTAAAAAATAAACAGGTTTGAAGAAAAGAAAGGAAACAAAATGTCTGTTTAACCCATTACTTCATGAGCATTTTGTGAGAAAAGAGCTGTTTCATTGAAAAGTCTCCCGTTACAAGTTCAAATTGCTATAAAACTAATGATGGGGGGGAGGGGGGAAGGCGGCGCCGAAAAAGTGGTCGCTGTTTTATACATTTCTCTAAAAAAAAAAAGGTTTTTTTTTTCACCATTTGAGACAACAAAAAGGGGGGGGGGGGGGGGGGGGAGGTGAAAAATGCGTGTATATCAAGTTAACACAAAATGAGGAAAATAGAAAATTGTTGTTTTGTTGATTTTTTAGCTCACCAGAGCCGAAGGCTCAGGGTGAGCTATTAGTATCAAAGGGGGATACTCCGGTGTCCGTCATCATGCGTCAACAATTGTCTTCTCTGAAACTGCTGGGCAAATTTACTTCAAATTTGGTCTGTAGCATCCTAGTGACAGTCACACTTGAATTTGCTCATGTCATTTCAATTGGCCCTTTTAGGGGTCAACAGAGCTAAAAATAGAAAAAATCTTTAAACATCTTCTACAGAACTAATTGATGTATGATCACCAAACTTTGTCTGTAGCATCCTTGGGTAGTCTTTTATCAAATTTGGTCATATTAATTTGATTGGCCCCTTTTAGGGGTCTCTAGGGTTAAAAATAGAAAAACCTTTAAAGGTCTTCTTCTACAGAACTAATGGATGGATGATCACCAAACTTTGTCTGTAGCATTCTTGGGTAGTCTTTTATCAAATTTGCTCATAATAATTTGATTGGCCCCTTTTAGGGGTCTCTAGGGCTAAAAATAGAAAACCCTTTTAATGTCTATTTCTACAGAACTAATTGATAGATGATCACCAAACTTTGTCTGTAGCATTCTTGGGTAGTCTTATATCAAGTTTGCTCATATTATTGTGATTGGCCCCTTGTAGGGGCAGCTCTAGTTAAAAATAGAAATACCTTTAAACGTCTATTTCTACAGAACTGATTGATGGATGATCACCAAACTTTGTCTGTAGCATTCTTGGGTAGTCTTTTATCAAGTTGACTCATATTAATTTGATTGGCCCTTTTAGGGGTCTCTAGAGCTAAAAATAGAAAAACCTTTAAATGTCTTCTGCTCTAGAACTAATTTGATGAATGATCACCAAATTTTGTCTGTAGCATTCTGAGGAAGTCTTTTATCAAGTTTGATCATATTAATTTGATTGGCCCCTTTTAGGGGTCTGTAGCGTCTTCTTCTATAGATGATCACCAAAATTTTGTGAACATCTATATCTAGAGAACTAATTGATGGATGATCACCATTTAGCATTCTTGGGTAGTCTTTTATCAAATTTGCTCATATTAATTTGATTGGCCCCTTTTAGGGGCCGCTAAAGCCTAAAATAGAAAAAAACTATGAACATCATTTCCTACTGAAATAATTGATAGATGATCACCAAACTTTGTAGCATTATTAGGTAGTCTTTTTATCAAGTTTGCTCAAGTTTACCGGGTCGTGTACCGGGTCGTATACAGTTCGTACAGTGTTTCTGTAAAAGTTCGTAACTGAATTAATATCTGATGATTAAAAGTACAAAGTTTTGTCAAGAAACAATACAATTAAACTAAAGCTGGCTGTTATTTTCGACTTTTTTTCTGCTCTGCAAAAATTTAACGTCTACGCCGCCATTACCGGAAGTATAATGGTATCTTTTAGATAGGAGGCGGCGCCGAAAAAGTGGTCACTTTTTATACAACATTTCTCCAAAAAAACAAGTTTTTGGGGCCTAAATAGGATTTTTTTTTCGATCATTTTAGACAACAAAAAGGGAGGGGGCTGAAAAAGACGTGTATATCGAGTAATGGGTTAAAGGTCCATTATGCCCCAGAAATGCTTTTATTATTTCTTGAAAGCTTATTTCTGGTCTACTTTTATACTTTACAAAAAGATACTCAACAGGCATTTACCTGGTCGTTCGATTTTCTATTACTGTTTGGCAATTAGTACAATTATAGTGATTTGATATTTTATGTAGAAGTCGAAATACTACTTTGTTTACCTTTTGCTACTTTTATTACATAATTTCATATTTACCGCTATTTTCTTCAGGTAACAAGCATCTAACATGCTCTTTAAGTGTTATTAAACTCCCTTTTTCCTTTATAGAGAAGTAGACATTTACTTGTTTCTGAGGCATTATGTACTTTTAAGAGATAATGGGGACTAGACCCTCAATCACTCAAATCTGCAGTAGGAAGACACAGTATTCTTTGTTTAAGATGAGCCATTTGTTACTGAAAAAATGTTACACATTTACCTGGAAACTGTTTTGTTTATACTAAAGAATTGAGAATTGAGAGATGATAAAACTATGTTTAACACGATCAAATTCGTCTAAACGAAACAAAAAGCCGACTTTTATGGTATAATCTTATCTATGATTATAAACATCTATCGATCAGCAGCAGAAAAAACAAAAATCAATGATATTTAATTTCCATATATACATAACCATAATTATGTATTAGTTACGAGAATTTTGCTGAGTCAGAATATTTAGTAAGATTTCATAATTATAGTTTCATTGGCAATTTGCAAATGCTAAAATCAAACTTTATTTCAAACTATCATAGTTCAAATCACTAGCATGATAATAACATGAACCAATATATTATACACTCTAATGTAGTTAGAAACTGATCTTCAGTTGCTTTTTGTAATGTTTGCTAGTATACTCGGGTGAGGTCGGTAGGAATTACACTCTGCTTTTTCTTCCTCTATATCTGTGTTTTTCAAGTATTTCTCTATGTAACTTTTACAACCTCTTGTATCGTGCCCTTGGCTCTTTGGTGTCCAAAATTCTTTCTGATGCTCTGGCATAGGATGAAGCTTGTTAAGTCTAATTTCCTCATACAACCAGAGTTTTAATTCTTCTGGGAAAAGCTCACTGAAAAGACTATCAATTTTGTCATGATGTCGTTCCATGTGAACTTTTTTAACTGTGGCGGCAGGTATAAAATGTTTGACAGCTTTCCAGAAAGCATGAAACAAAACTCCATGGTTCACACAAACAAATGCACCAAGGCGTTCTGGATAGTGATTAGACATAAGGTATTCTGTTGCACGTGCCAATCGTGGATTGCACGCCGAGACCTTCATTCCTGAAGATGAAGTAAAATATTATTTGCAATAATTATTAGCAGTCACAGTCTGCCAAATCCCCTGACAAATTTTTCGAGTAACAGCCTGAATAAAAAAATAAGCATGAACAATAATAAAAAAATGTAAAGCAAAGAGATACTATTCTTTTGTTCTTCACAACTCCATTAAATCTAAACACCTATGAAGTTGCAACTTGTTTTGTCTCGCCTTTTGAGTATCTTTTCATATTATCCGGTTTAAAAAATTTACTTTAAAAAAAAATAGAGTCAATTTACCAAAATCTGTTATAAATATCGCTCGAATTTAACGGTATATTGAAAATATAATACCGTCAAATTTGGCCAATTTCAAAACTTACGTCGTTAAATTAATATGATATTGTGAGGCCGTACATTCAGATAATGCGAAAAGATATTTAGCTGTATGAGAAAACATTTAAAAAAAAAAACCATTACATAATTCAAAATATGAGCCAAAATCTGCGGCCCCGTTCCCGAGTTCCAATGCTACTAACCAGTAAAGTCCATAACCCACACGAGCTGGTGCACGTGTGCAGGCATTGCCCGTATTGCGTTCTCGGATATATCCAGTAAATGTTGCTCGGCGTCCTCGACAGTATTATGTTGAGTCAGGCACTGGGCAAAGTTTGCATATAAAACTGGACGATCTTGTTTGTCAAATCCAACATGGCGCTGTCAAGAAAATAAAACACATTGAGAAACGGGTACTATTGCTTTATCTAAAGAGAATCAATCATGATTATCAATTCGGAAAGTATTGCACATCTGGACGAAGATGGTATTTCCATAATAATACTATAGTAATTTATTGTTCGTCGTAAATTTATTTAAATAAATTTGACTGAAACTCGTGGTAAGCCAACTGACACCTTAAATGATAAGCATGAAAGTGTAACTGCATGAGAAGTGTTAAAGCTGAAAAAAAGAGCGGCTTCAGGAGCTTTAGGGGAAGTGGAGTAACACCTTAAATATGTTTAGTGCAGTCAACTGACATCAACAAATTAAAGTTAAGGCCGGGATATCGAAGTCGAAAACAAATCAAATATTTTGTCTGGATACAAACCATTGAATGATATCCAGGTTTGTCATAACAGAAAGTGCAAACAATATTATGGGGTTTTGTTTCCCTTCTCCAACCTATGGTCGCTTTGAGAAACTTCTCGGCTACGCTCACGTCCCAATCACATGCTGTAAGGTATCGACGATATCTATAATATTATATAAATATTAATTGCATTCAACGACAAATCAGGATTGTAATACAAAATTTGAGCAAAGGCTACATATCATTTGAAGTAGACTAGCTTTGAACGTAAATTACATATCATAACATTAATGTTATATCTTTTGTTGAAAAAATCTTGTGCAATGTTTTGAATTGAACGTTAGTAAATAAAACTTTAACAATGACACGTTTATCTGAGTAACATTTCGAATGATTTATAATACATTTAATAGCGATAAAGAAAATTAAATAATTTCTCGTTTTTTTAAGGCAATTTTCGGCAATCCTTAATATATATGCACAAAATTTGATATGTAATACATGCGATAATGTATATACAATTAAATACTATGCTTTATTTGATTTTAGATCGATTTCTTACCGGTCGATCATTGATTTAAACAAATGTAATTTGTTGTTATTTTTCATGATCAATTGTTTACTATATATAACCTCACGTGAGAGTTAAGCACATGATGGGTAACGTATTTTATTACATTAGATAAATTAAAATACTTTAATATGTTAAAATGTAGGCTGTTTCAAAATAATTTGATCCATAAATTTTATCAAGACAATATAGTAGATACATATATAAACGAACAATATCAATGAAATCCAAGTATATCCATATAATTATTACTGTGAAAACATTTGATTAAGTAAGACCAAGTTCTGCACGTGAACACGCGATGATTAGAGTTGAATTTTTCGATACAGTTTCCGTTACTTGTCGAGCGTATCAGATCTAGCATAAATTTATGGAAAGCCTTGACTGTCTAATAATGATAAACCTAAACGTTGTTATGTCCATATAGCAATATATTGAGTCAATCTTTCCTTATACAATGTGCACTTATTAATATATTATGTGGATCCATCTTTATGGAAAGCCTTGACTGTCTTATGATTATAAAAATGAACGTTGTTGTGTCACTCTTTCTTTATACGATGTGCACTCATGAATATATTATGTAGATGCATCCTTATATGAATTCAACTGAACAATATATGATGTCAATGTGTCTTTATATGATGTCGACCAATCATTATACGATGTGCATTTATGAATATATGATGTGGTAGAATCATTATATACAGTCAACTCATCAATATATTATGTCAATCTTTCATTATACGATGTGCATCTATTATCATACGATGTGCATTTATGAATATATTATGTGGTTGCATCATTATATACAGTCAACTTATCAATATATTATGTCAATCTATCATTATACGATGTGCATCTATTATTATACGACCGCTACTTTATATGAAGTGCAAAGATCTTTATATGGTGTGCTTCTGTCATTATACTGATGGGGTTAATTTACCGGGTTATATTTCACTATGCACCGTTCGTGTCAACAAGTAAATTATATCATAAAGTGTTAAGCTGACTCTATGTAAAGACAATTCTACATACTATAGTGTTGTTTTGATTCTACATAAGAATGGTTGCACATAATATACTCGTAATTGCACATCATATAATGAAAGACTGACATCATATAAGGACGTGTGGACATCATATAATGTTAAGTTGACTCTATATAAAGAAGGTTTCACATAATATATTCATTAATGCACATCGTATAATGAAAGATTGGCATCATATAAGGACGTGTGGACATCATATAATGTTAAGTTGACTCTATATAAAGACGGTTTCACATAATATATTCATTAATGCACATCGTATAATGAAAGATTGGCATCATATAAGGACGTGTGGACATCATATAATGTTAAGTTGACTCTATATAAAGAAGGTTTCACATAATATATTCATTAATGCACATCGTATAATGAAAGATTGGCATCATATAAGGACGTGTGGACATCATATAATGTTAAGTTGACTCTATATAAGAATGGTTCCACATAATATATTCGTAATAGCACATCATATAATGAAAGACTGACATCATATCAGGACGTGTGGACATCATATAATGTTAAGTTGACTCTATATAAAGACGGTTCTACATAATATAATGTTGTTTTGACTCTATATAAGAATGGTTCCACATAATATATTCGTAAAAAGCACATCATATAATGAAAGACTGACATCATATAAAGACACATTCACATCATATAATGTTAAGTTGACTCTATATAAAGACGGTTCTACATAATATAATGTTGTTTTGACTCCATATAAGAATGGTTCCACATAATATATTCGTAAAAGCACATCATATAAAGAAAGACTGACATCATATAAAGACACATTCACATCATATATTGTTAAGTTGACTCTATATAAAGATGGTTTCACATGATATATTCTTTAATGCACATCGTATAATGAAAGATTGACATTATATAAGGACGTGTTGACATCATATATTGTTAAGTTCACTCTATATAAGGATGGTTTCACATAATATACTGAAAAATGCACATCGTATAATGATAGAATGACGTCATATAAGGACGCGTTGACATCATATAATGTTGACTCTATATAAGAATTATTCCACATAATATATTCATAACTTCACATCATATAATGACAGACTGACATCATATAAGGACAGATTAACATCATATATTGTTATTTTGAATCTATATAAGGATGGCTCCACATAATATATTCAAAAATGCACAATGTTTAATGATAGATTGACATCATATAAAGACACGTTGACATCATATATGGTTCAGTTGACTACATATAAAGATGGATCCACATGATATATTAATGGGTGCACATTGTATAAGGAAAGGTTGACTCAATATATTGCTATATGGACATAACAACGTTTAGGTTTATAATGATAAGACAGTCAAGGCTTTCCATACATCTTGTCAACGTGTCTTTATATGATGTCAATCTATCATTATACGTTGTGCATTTTTGAATATATTATTTGGAGCCATTCTTATATAAGGTCAAAATAACAATATATGATGTCAATATGTCCTTATATGATGTCAGTCTGTCTTTATATGATGTGAAGTTATGAATATATATATGTGGAATAATTCTTAAATAGAGTCAACATTATATGATGTCAACACGTCATTATATGATGTCAATCTATCATTATACGACGTGCATTTTTCAGTATATTATGTGAGACCATCCTTATATAGAGTCAACTTAACTATATATGATGTGAATATGTCCTTATATGATGTCAGTCATTTATTATACGATGTGCATTAATGAATATATTGTGTGGAACCATCTTTATATAGAGTCATAATAACAATATGTTATGTCAATATGCCCTTATATGGTGTCAGTCTTTCATTTTATGATGTGCAATTACGAATATATTTTGTGGAACCATTCTGATATATAGTCAAAACATCATTATATTATGTAGAACCGTCTTTATATAGAGTCAACTTAACAATATATAATGTCAACACGTCCTTATATGATGCCAATCTTTCATTATACGATGTGCATTAATGAATATATTGTGTGGAACCATCTTTATATAGAGTCATAATAACAATATATGATGTCAATATGTCCTTATATGGTGTCAGTCATTTATTATATGATGTGCAATTACGAATATATTATGTGGAACCATTCTTATAAAGAGTCAAAACAACATTATATTATGTAGAACAGACTTTATATAGAGTCAACTTAACAATATATGATGTCAACACGTCCTTATATGATGTCAATCTTTCATTATACGATGTGCATTAATGAATATATTATGTGCAACCATCTTTATATAGAGTCAACTTAACAATATATGATGTCAACACGTCCTTATATGATGCCAATCTTTCATTATACGATGTGCATTAATAAATTTATTATGTGCAACCATCTTTATATAGAGTCAACTTAACAATATATGATGTCTACACGTCCTTATATGATGCCAATCTTTCATTATACGATGTGCATTAATGTATATATTATGTGTAACCATTCTTATATAGACTCAAAACAACACTATATTATGTAGAATTGTCTTTATATAGAGTCAGCTTAACAATATATGATACACTTTACTTTGAATTTTCCCGCTGTTGCCACGAACGGTGCACAGTGAGATATAACCCGGTAAATTTAACCCCATCAGTATAATGACAGAAGCACACGATATAATGATGTTTGCACTTCATATAAAGCAGCGGTCGTATAACAATAGATGCACATCGTATAATGAAAAATTGACATAATATATTGATAAGTTGACTGTATATAATGATGCAACCACATAATATATTCATAAATGCACATCGTATAATAATAGATGCACATCATATAATGAAAGATTGACATAATATATTGACAAGTTGACTGTGTATAATGATTCTACCACATCATATATTCATAAATGCACATCGTATAATGATTGGTCGACATCATATAAAGTCACATTGACATCATATATTGTTCAGTTGAATTCATATAAGGATGCATCTACATAATATATTCATGAGTGCACATTGCATAAAGAAGGAGTGACACAACGACGTTCATTTTTACAATCATAAGACAGTCAAGGCTTTCCATATAAATTACAGAAGTTCTTGAGGAGGACTCCTGTGTAAGAAATTAACCCTTTAATTAAATGTCCCCGTTCTATGTACTCGTATGTAGTGTCTAATTTCATTTTCATTATTGTACACAAAGATTTAGTTAGTTTAGTCATGTCATAGTTATTGATCTTCTCAAACATTAAATTAAACACTTTTTTTACCAAACATATCGGCTTCAGTGATTATACGCAAGTATATCTATAACCAAAAACTAACCTATAATATGTGTTCTATTTAAACGAAAATCTGTTTGATGTAATATAAATAATTGCCATTTAAAGTACATGTATATACGGTGTTCCGTTTGGACACGTTTGGACAATCGTGACATTTTATTTATTCTGTACCCGCGATGCACGATGGTACGATGGTGAAAACGCGATGGCACGATGGTACGATGGTGAAAACACGATGGTACGATGGTGAAATCACGATGGTACGATGGTGAAATCGCGATGGTGCGATAGTACGATGGTGAAAACGCGATGTTACATCGCGTTTTCACCATCGTACCATCGTGATTTCACCATCGTACCATCGCGTTTTCACCATCGTACCATCGCGCTATCGTGTTTTCACCATCGTGCCATCGCGCTTTCACCATCGTACCATCGCGATTTCACCATCGTACCATCGCGATTTCACCATCGTACCATCGCGTTTTCACCATCGTACCATCGCGTTTTCACCATCGTGCCATCGCCTTCCTTTGACATGCGCATTGTACATCTTTATCAACACTGGATGAATGCATAACTATGTATTATGTGAGAGGCTATACGTATCGAGACATTTTAAATATAGTGAGGCTTAAAACGGGATTTGATCTCAGCACAGACTATTTAATAAGTGTTGTGTATTAAGATTCAATCATTATAAAACCTTTATGCACTGTGCTTAATTCATCTTGTCTAGATATCTATAACACAAATTTTTTAAGGTTTTATATCATAAATATGATGCTCAAATTAAGATAAGTTCCAAAAAGCATTATTTGTAAAGATGTTACCGAATTTAACATTTCATGTAAATAAAGGGAGGTAATAAAAATTTATTTTCTGTAAAGTCTAAGTCAAATTTTTCAATTAGAAATGAATGCATATATTTTAATGATTACATATCATATGTATAAATATTTGCAGTACATATTTTACATATTCTCGATGTTTGAAACTTGTTTTATATTAAAGCATTATTATATAAATATATATAATTTCACTGAAGTGTGGTGTTAGCTCAACAGGTACAGCGTTGGACTGTGAATCGGGCGATCGGGTTTATATTTCTCCTTCAAGCTACTCAATCAAAAGTAAACACACATACACAAAAATATGAGAGCAGGATAAAGGACCGATGTTTGATAATTCTATAAGCTTAACCAGACCGCTTATGGATTACAGTAAGGATTTTTGCCGTTGTTTTTAATTTGTGCATTCAAAATAGCAATTAACACCACTTTAACGAAAAAAGAAGAACTCAAAGAAATGTTGATGTTTATTTTATTCAAAGTTTTACAGGATACAGTCTTCTTGTAAAATGTTCACGTTATTCTTTATTAACTAATTAATTTATTCCCAAGAAACAGTATAGTTTGCAGTAACTTGTGTATCCGACAAGACTCTTACTGCCATCTTAAGCTTTTAAATAGATAAAGAAAGAATGTATACTGTACCTGTATCGCTGCTTCAATCTGGCCAAAGTCCAATGGTTGTCTTCTTTTCAAACCTAATCTCTTTAAGTGTCCTTTCAGTTGACGAAAACTGAAACAAAATGTCGCAATATCTGTACTGAAAATACATTTTATTTTTATATCACGAATTTTTTTTTAATGCCACAAGACATGATCGTTGAATATGTACGCAGAAGACAATCAAGGGCCTATGTGGGTCTCGGATGAAGCCGGATAAATGTAACGTGACGTTGACTTTAAACTTTGTTATCATTAATTGAATATAAGTATTGAAAATGTATTGTTTATACATTTTGATCAATGTATCATGAAAATCATGAATATCTTCAGGCGGTAGCTGTTTGTTTGTTTTTTTTCTTTTTTCATTTCTCATGATAATTATTTATTTTCCTCTTACAAATACCTTAAAAATAATATCATGTCATGTGTTAAAATTAACAAATATTCACCACTGTTATGTATACTCATGTGTTATATTATATGTAACTTGAGTTAATGTTCTGTACTTTTCTGATAACGTACTACATTTATGTACAAATCAAAGTAAAATAACGTTTTCTTCTGTTCTGTTATGTTATTTAATTGATTACAGAGGCAAATCTGAGAATTCAATCATAATCTATAACAATAAAATCTGAAAGTATGTAATTAAGTAAATTACTGATCAATCCCCAGGTCTGGCACTGGAACCAATGCTCGGATTATAGCGCCGAATTTACAATTTTTGCAGTTATAATTAATCTTCCATAGTAATATAATATTCTTTGGCTTTAAATTCCCAATCGGACCAGGTCAAGGGCAAACATTTCTCACTTTAAGGCATACACATTCTAATAGTCTCGGGAAATAGAATTATCTTATCTATATGTATGAGCTCTTGATGCATCATTTTCTGGCTCAGTATTTTCTTTAATTTTCCTTTTATTTTCATTTTGTTTTATAATTTACTTTCTAATACCTGAACGTATTGTGATTTTTCATTCTTCCATATCCAAGCAAGAATAATTGAAGAAAAAAAAACATGACGGCTATACCAAAAGACAATTTTGTACCGTTCTAAAGATTTTGTATGTTGTAATTGAGGTTGTACACCGTGGTGGTTGTGGTGATAGTTTTAACTTCCGATCATGACAGTAAGCCACATTGAATTCACAAGAGCACAGTTCAAACACCGCATTTTCCTGGGCAGACTGTCAAGCAGTTTACCAGTACTAGTTGCCTTCACTTTCGCAAGGAACTGAAACTTCTGCAGAGCAGAGACCAGTGTCAATGACCGTAGAAAGGATTTCATGATCAATCACAACGAAAGTGACCTGCATCCGTCGGGGGAATCCAACCCGATCGCCCGATTCACAGTCCAACGCTGTACCTGTTGAGCTAACACCACACTTCAGTGAAATTATATATATTTATATAATAATGCTTTAATATAAAACAAGTTTCAAACATCGAGAATATGTAAAATATGTACTGCAAATATTTATACATATGATATGTAATCATTAAAATATATGCATTCATTTCTAATTGAAAAATTTGACTAAGACTTTACAGAAAATAAATTTTTATTACCTCCCTTTATTTACATGAAATGTTAAATTCGGTAACATCTTTACAAATAATGCTTTTTGGAACTTATCTTAATTTGAGCATCATATTTATGATATAAAACCTTAAAAAAATTGTGTTATAGATATCTAGACAAGATGAATTAAGCACAGTGCATAAAGGTTTTATAATGATTGAATCTTAATACACAACACTTATTAAATAGTCTGTGCTGAGATCAAATCCCGTTTTAAGCCTCACTATATTTAAAATGTCTCGATACGTATAGCCTCTCACATAATACATAGTTATGCATTCATCCAGTGTTGATAAAGATGTACAATGCGCATGTCAAAGGAAGGCGATGGCACGATGGTGAAAACGCGATGGTACGATGGTGAAAACGCGATGGTACGATGGTGAAATCGCGATGGTACGATGGTGAAATTGCGATGGTACGATGGTGAAATCGCGATGGCACGATGGTAAAAGCGCGATGGCATGATGGTGAAAACACGATAGCGCGATGGTGCGATGGTACGATGGTGAAAACGCGATGGTACGATGGTGAAATCACGATGGTACGATGGTGAAAACGCGATGTAACATCGCGTTTTCACCATCGTACTATCGCGCCATCGCGATTTCACCATCGTACCATCGTGATTTCACCATCGTACCTTCGTGTTTTCACCATCGTACCATCGTGCCATCGCGTTTTCACCATCGTACCATCGTGCATCGCGGGTACAGAATAAATAAAATGTCACGATTGTCCAAACGTGTCCAAACGGAACACCGTATTACGTATAAGACTATTGAAATTAAATAAATTACGTCTGCTGTGACAGGAAGGCGGGGTCATCCTCCGCCGTTTCCAATCCCTCCACTCGCTTTTCTAGTTCCGCTATTTTATCCTGCTCGTCAGGAGTCTTTACATTCAATAATTATTATTATTATTATTATTATTATTGTGGAGTTTATTTTGTACGCAAAGACAATGTACTTAACAATGGAAATAACATGCGCACTGCTTACTATAGCACTTTGAGTTCACTTTTTTAAAAGCTGAAGCGGATAAATTGCGTTTAAAATAATAAATTGTGATTAGCTCAATTTTTAAAAATCATTTTTTTTAAACACAAAATTATTGCTTACCCTTGAATAGTACTCAGCATTGACCTTGGTGTAACGCCTGTCCCGATCTATGACGTCCTTGACTTCCTTAATTGACGCCACAGTCAACGTTGACTTTCTCCCACGACCCTTGTCGTCTTCAATGTCCTCTCGGCCGTCTCGAAAACGCTTATGCCACTTGAAAACGAGTGATCGACAAACAGGAGGTCTCACTTTTGCAGTCTCCAACATTTCCTGCGTCTGTGTTGGCGTCTTCCCAAGATTAACACAAAACTTGATGATAGTCCGACGTTTCGCGTAATTCGTGGACGTCATTTTTTGTTAAATATCCAAGAGCAACGGTTGTCAGTTGTCCGCTGGTAAACAATACATTTTTTTAGATACATAAGCTTTCGATAGTTCATGTTTTACAGTGTTGTTATATTTTTCTGGTCTCGGGCACCTTTAAGGGTAGAATATTGTGTACTGCTCAAACTGGTGCCAGGGCATGATCTCGAGGGATGTTAATGCACCCTTTCATTATCCCTCATGTACAGACTCCAACAAAAGACAAAACAAACAAACAAATAAACAACAACAACAAAAACAGCAAAAACATATAAACGGCAACAAACAGAAATCACAAAAAACTAAACACACGCACACAAACACAATACAGAAAAACAACAACAACAACAACAAAAAAAAACAAATAAAAACGCGGAACTAAATTTCGACTTACTGGAAATTTCGACTTACTAACCCTAAATTTCGACTTATTCACTCGAAATCTCGACTTATCAACTCGAAATTTCGACTTAGTATTTCGAAATTTCGACTTACTTACTCGAAATTTCTACTTATTACATCGAAATTTCGACTTAGTTACTCGAAATTTCGACTTACTAAACCGCAATTTCGACTTTTTAACTCGAAATTTCGACTAAGTAACTCGAAATTTCGACTTAGTAACCACGGATATTTATTATGAATCCGTGTAGCACGAATCTTAATTACATGTATTATAAATCCGTGTAGTAACTCGAAATTTCGACTAAGTTACATTACTAGAATGGCCAAAAAAGTTATGAGTTACCATGAGTTTAGATAATATAAGATATAGTGGGGAGTTCGATTGTACGATGGAGATGGAGAACCAGGTGCCTGGTCAAACTATTAAAGTTAACCTTAAGGTCATTTTTGACTATCGCGTTTACACGCCGGACCTCAAAAACACAAATTGCTGCCTTTAATTTGTGCGTTCAGGCGTTCTTCAGGCATTGTATTGTAATCCACCTGTTCGCACATATCTTTTCACTGATAATATTCTTCACATCCCTGTGAATAAAACGTTACTAAACTTCACGTGTTGGACATCTGAGGAAAGTACCGCGGAGTGGCCGAAATAGAGCGTGGCGCTGAGGCCTTTGGCTGACTATACGAGAATTTTTCCGTTTCTTGTAAAATCGGATGCTTTAATATTATTCCCAACAAACAACAAATTCCACTTTCAACACAATGCGAATCAAAGTCTGAGTAAATAAAAGAAAATAGAATATTGACATCTTTTAAAAAACATTACAAAATTAATACATGTGTATTAGTATAAAGAAACGTGACAGACTAACTGGCGTATACATACGGAAGCGTCCTGGTGCCAATTTAAAAACATGTTCTATAAAAAAAGATAACTCTTACGTAGGACTTTGTAACTCCTACGTAGGACTTTATAACTCCTACGTAGGAGATAAAAAAAGCCTAATTAGGAGTTTATAACTCCTACGTAGGACTTTGTAAGTCGTACGTAGGACTTTATACCTCCTACTTAGGACTTTATAAGTCCTACGTAGGACTTTTTAACTCCTACGTAGGAGATGTAAAAACCTAATTAGGAGTTTGAAAGTCCTACGTAGGACTTTATAACTCCTACGTAGGAGATAAAAAAAGCCTAATTAGGAGTTTATAACTCCTACGTAGGACTTTGTAAGTCGTACGTAGGACTTTATACCTCCTACTTAGGACTTTATAAGTCGTACGTAGGACTTTATATCTCCTACGTAGGAGTTAAAAAAGCCTAATTAGGAGTTTATAACTCCTACGTAGTCCTACGTAGCCTAGGAGATAAAAAACCCTAATTAGAAGTTTTAAAGTCCTACGTAGGAGTTTAAAAGTCCTACGTAGGCGTTTATAACTCCTACGTAGGACTTTATAAGTGTTCCTCTACGTAGGAGTTATAAAGTCCTACGTAGGAGTTATAAACTCCTAATTAGGCCTTTTTATCTCCTACGTAGGAGTTACAAAATCCTACGTAGGAGTTACAAAGTCCTACGTAGGAGTTAAAAAGTCCTACGGAGGAGTAAAAAAGTCCCACGGTCCCACGTAGGAGTTTTAAAGTCCTACGTAGGAGTTAAAAAGTCCTACGTAGGAGTTTAAAAGTCCCGTGTAAGAGTTATAAACTCCTAATTAGGCCTTTTCATGTTCTACGTAGGAGTTAAAAAGTAAGTGCATTTCTGGAGAAGGTGCGTTGTCCTGAAAAGGGGAGATCACTTCGTAGAGAAAGAGCCGAACTTATCGAGTCCTACGTGTAGGAGTTTTAAACTCCTAATTAGGCTTTTCTATCTCCTACGTAGGAGTTTTTCAATTTTATTGAACATGTTAAATTGGCACCAGGACGCTTCCGTATATACACGCCACTTAAAATTTAGCTTACAGTCATGAATATTGCACAGTTTACAATAGGGTGGGTTTTAGACTTGTACGTATCTCCACATGATGTTTGTATGTGTGCTTTAGACACAAGAAACATCCGGTTAATACGGAAATGTGGAGAGTGTTATCTCCTCCTCTCCCCTCACACAAAAGCAATCACAGAAAATGGGAAGGGTATGATGATCGGTCTGTGTGCAAAATTTGATCCTGTTAAATTGTCCCGATAAATACATGGGTGTATACATGGGTGTTTTGTCAATGTGCAACAGCTACACATGGAAGAAAGCGTGCTTTCGCCGGTAACCAATGTAAGTTGTGCAATGTAAGTCGAAATTCCGAATAAATAAGTCGAAATTTCGAGTTAATAAGTCGAACTTTCGATTTAGTTATCGAAATTTCGAGTTTGTAAGTCAAAATTTTGAGTCAATAAGTCGAATTTCGTATTAGCAGGACTGGTACGTATATTAGTAAGTCGAAATTTTGAGTTACGGAAGTCGAAATTTCAAGTTAGTAAGTCGAAATTTCGAGATAAGTAACTCGTGCATTTCTGGACTGAAAAGGGGAGATCACTTCGTAGAGGTTTCAAGGTTTATGAGAGAGAAAGAGCCGAAAAATTGCGATTGGAGATTTAATGCAACACCGTTAAATCAATTACTTCCGGGTCACTGTTTTGACAGTTGCCAAGGCCGCTATAAAAATTTGGCAAGAGTATTGGCTTTTAACTCTACAATTCAAATAATCTCAAGCAATGTCATTCACCAGATTTTGTTCCAATATATTATATTTGCATATTAGCAATACAAGACGCTCTTAACGAGCGATTTATGCTCTAAGAAAGAAAGGAAAACTCTCTACAAACTTGACATCGGCATTTGGAATTACACAGTATTCTAACTTGCCTTTTTATTGGACATATATTTCAGCCGCTACGTTGTATTCTTAAATCGGTTATCAGATTAATATGTCATCCGTTATCCATAAAGTGAGTAAGCGTTTTGATTCTATGGGAATAGAAACAGTATGGGAATAAAAATAGTACGGTAACTGTATTTAACCTGTTGAAATTGAATGGATATAACTTCATTGTTAACAATTAATACAGTACTGTAGCTTTATATTATGATGATTAATATGTTTGAAAAACGAACTGACTTTAAATGTCACAGTTCATATGTTAAACAACCAGAATACTTCTGTGGGAAAATATTCAAACAAAAAGCAAAATCTTGAGTAAAATTTAACATTATTTAAGTCTCATGTTTTCAATGTTTATGCCAAATATGCCAGACAAGAAAGTAAATCAAAACAGACCACCAGTTTATATCCAGACTATGGCAGGAGGTTCAGCCAAAACTGCTAATGGTAAAAAGAGGAAAAAAGGAAAGAAACTGAAATTCAGAAAGCAGTTTGTATCAATGGCCTCCATTGTGAAGATAGACAATGAAGAGGAAATGAGATTTAAGAACAAAAATGGTTATTCAACAGACAGGTCAGATGATAATTGTACCATGCAGTACATTTACAGACCAATAAGACAATCTCAAAGTGAACATGCATTGATGTCATTAACAAAACTGCCACAATTGCCAAAACCTCCCACACCTACACAGTCACTGTCAGGTCTGTCCTGTCAATCAACTACACCACGATCAGCCGCAGGATGTCGTCTTCCAATTACCTTGCCATCAAACTTGCAACCAGGTGCTCATGAAAGGCGGAAAAAGCTGCCAATTTTAGCTGCAATAAAACCAGAGAACGAAAAAGCAGAAAGGGACAGATTTATGAGGGCAAATTATAATTACAATCCATTGTTTGTGTATAGATTTCCAGCTGATTCTGAGGTGCTAGAGAGATTGGGAAAACCTTCTGATAAATACTTGAATCAGGTAAGAGGAGTCACCAAGATGAAGTTAATGAATTTAAATTATCTGTAAAAAATGTATTGTATCAGACGTAGCATTTTATATTTACTGATCATTTCTTCATCCTGTTTTCAACTGAATTGTTTACCAGCCAAAACATTACCTTATCAGTAAAAAAATGGCTTTCATGATTATATTTCTGTGCTTCTGAACTCCATAGTAACCATGCTATATTATAACACAGATCACCCAAAATCAAGATTTATTTCCTTAAAAACAAAACAGCAAATGAAATAATAATTTGATATATGTATTAATGGGAAACTATAATATAAGGGCGAGCTATCCTACTCAGAGTCAGATTATGAGTCACACTAAAGTGACTTATGATTCTGATTTATATACCATGTACCTCTTTTTTCCATATCCTTTGAGATCTTGTACATGTATTGCTTTTACACTTGGAATTTTTTTATCATCATTCTGGCCTCTGACAAGAGGACATGACTGCCAAGGAAATTGGCAAAATCATGACCTTTCATTTTCTACTTAAAATTTTGGGGAAGGTTTCTTAATTTTTTATTGTAATAATTGAATTTAAATTGACTTGATAGTGATGATCATGATGACATATAAAAGTTTTTTTTCTTACCATCATCTGAATATCATAAGACATGCTTTACAATTTACTGTAGATTTACGAAATACATTAAAATGTCAATTGTATGATATAAATGTATAGGTAATGCAAATTTTAACATGAATAGAAGCTTTAATTTAACTTATTATAAAGAGGAGCAGAAGAACTAAATTTCTTTAAATATATCTTTCTTTGAAATACATTGTCCTTGTATGTTTAAAATGTCTATTTAATTTAGCCTGTAAAGCAATGATTCTAAAACTTGTCATTTTATTTTATACAATGATTATTTACCCTCTTTTATGACATTTAAAAAAAAGATACCTTGGGACGGGTTTAATAAATGACCTAGACTTGTTCACTTAAGCAGATTTGAATTTCAAAAGAAAATCATATACAGGAAGATTAAGCAGTGCATAATGCTTATTAATTGTTAAGTTTGTCAATTCTAATGTATTAAAATCTAGGTGCTCTAAATGACATTACAAAAACTTCAGTCTTAAAGTCGCAAAATGCCTGCAGATTTAACACCTTTATTAAGTTATGATGACTTCAGTTTGTTTAATAGACATAACTTTAAAGTGAAATAATTGTTAGGAACCATACATGTAACTTCTATACACACAAGCTAAGTCATGTACATACATATTGCTTTTGGTGTAAAGTTAGTGTATTTTATGGCATGAAATAAAACCGAATGAGCTTTATTTCCTACATTTGTACTTCACTGAACTTTTAAATTTAAGCATAATTAATATAGGTTATTACAAAAAATAAAGTTTACTGAAAATAAAAGTCCTAAAATTATAAAAATATCATTTGTGTAGTGAACTGCTGTTTCCATTTGATATTGGGTCATTGACAGAATATAATGTTATAATTGTAATATTTACCTTAAGTTTGACATAAAAGCATTATTATTGCAGTCCTTTTTTATTGAATAGGAAATAGTATATTTTGAAGTTTAAAGTTTTTTAAGTACAAATTAATCATAAACCGAGTATAATATGCATGATTAAATTAAATGTTTATTTACTGAGAGATAAAATACCAAAATACAGATATCAAAGTAATATTCTATTGTTATAATCAAAACCTTTTGTTTTGGATGACAGATTTTTTATTAGCTGTACCTTAAACTGTATCTTGTGTCAATCTAATTGAATAAAATTGTATCCTTGTATTGTTTTTGATAAACCACCAAATTTTGGTGAGAATTTTTTTAAATGTGATATTGTAGATTAAATAGTAATGATGTGCTGCAGTGAATATCAATTATAATGCTAAGATTGAGTATTAAAGTCAAGTCAGTTTTACAAATATGTACAGGCTTGTCTGACTTAACTTACTCTGATGGCATACTGGCAAAGATAATTAATTACATGTACCAACACAAGCAGCCAGCTAACCAAAACGTCTTTTCTGTTTCGGCGGTATATGACCTAAAGGTGTGCTGTAAAATCCAACAAACAAACAAATTTTAACATGAATTTTTTATGTTGAGAACGATTCCTTGAAAGGTCCTTTATTATAAATTGAACAAAGAAACTGAAATAAAAGATATAAAAGGAATATATCAAGAAAAGTACCAGTCTCAACTTGACATTATTTGTATATATAACTTTAAAAAATGTTAAACGAACCAGCTATCATCAACTTATCAATTCTATGGGAGAAGAACAAATAGGCTCTTGAAAGAAAAGAAGAAAAAAGGAAAAAATAAGAATTAAAAAATTGCCCCTCCCTCCATGTCTATTATAATTTTTCCAGGTCACACATATAGGATGGATTTTAATTGGTTCAATTCTATAAAAATAAGACTTTTATTTAAAGCAATGTAGAAACTTCAGAGACAACAATTAGATGACTGGAAATCAATAGTCATAAAACAATTCCAGTCTTTTGTCTTTGACTTTTTGCTCAGTACAATTCAATAGAGTTTATTTGAAATTATTGCAGATAATTGAGCGACATATGTTGTGTCTTGTACAGGTATAAATTAAAGATATATAGTGGTAATAAAATACAGACTGATGTAAGGGACCAGTTTTATATAACAGGAATGTTTAAGTAACTTCATACAGATTTATTACAATATTGATGAAAATAATACAGTCAAGTACATGTAAATAAAGCAGAAATGGGTTATTACATTAGATCCATTATGTCAATGTACTTATTTTGAATGCAAACTAAGTGACTGAAACAGAACTGGGCATTATAAATAAGCTACAGTACCAGTGTACTGAGTGTAGCCTACACGTTTTTTATGCTCCCTGAAGGGAGAGCATATACATGTAGTAGCCGCTTTGTCCGTCCTTCCGTCTGCTAATCTTGTCCAGGACATAACTTTGAAACAACAAGAAGTATCAACATGAAACTTTGTAGGTAGATAGATCTCATTGAGTAAAAGTCAAGTGCAGTGCAAAAGAACCATAACTCTGTCTTGCTTAATTTTGTAATTATTGCCGTTAGTTCATTTTTATACTCTATATTCTTTGTCACGGACATAACTCTAAAACTATGAGATATTAGCATGAAACTTTGTTGATAGATAGATCTCATTGGGTAAAAGTGCAGTGCAAAAGAACTATAACTCTTGCTTGCTTAATTTTGGAGTTATTGCCCTTTGTTCATTTTTACACTTTGTCCCAGATATAACTCTTAAACTATAAGAGATATCAACATGAAACTTTGTAGGAAGATAGATCTCATTGGGTAGAAGTGTTATGCAAAAGAACCATAACTCTGTCTTGCTTAATTTTATAGTTATTGCCCTTTGTTAATTTTTTTCACTATGAACTTTGTCCAGGACATATTTCTAAGACCATATTAAGAGGTATCAACATGAAACTTTGGAGGTAGATTGATCTTAATTATCAAATAGAAGTGCAGTGACATAACTTTGACACTACAAGAGGTATACTTTCCTGGACCAAAACCTAATCGAGGAGCATCACCCGGTTCAATCTGCTCTTGTTTTTTCAAATAAAAATCATTTACTTGTCTTATAATATGTAATATTTAACATTCATCTCCTGAACATGACTTATTTGTACTAAATATTTGCCAAAAAAGTATCTCGCCTCAGTCGTCTGTAAGAAAATGTAATGATCGATATGTTTATAATGTATCATGGCATGATATTTTTAAGGCTATTCACATCATGGAGAATTCTCTACAGAAATACGGAACTTATGAAAACTTCGAGGAGAAAACTGGTGGTAAAGTACTGCAGCGGTCCAGTATTATGGCACTGATCCAGAAATATCTGAAACGTGACGAGTTAGAGAGGGAAATCCAGGTGAATCTTTCTGAGGATCTTTTATCTCGTGGCTCTATGACACGGACAAAAGGAAAACCTACTCTAAACGTGAGGGTTGTTGATTTAAGAGAATACTGGGTAGAAGGATTGTTACGACATGAAATTGGTAAACCTTTTTGTTATATGTTTTATGTATAATAAATTATGTGTTATATGAATTATGATTTTGCATATATAACCTGTTTCTTGAAGAATGGGCACTATAAGGAACTAAAAAATTGACATCATAGGGCAGATTAATTATACCTTAAAGTACACCTGTATGTAAAATTTAAACAAAATTTACCGTACGGAAATCAAGTTATGGCCACTTTTCTGAACTCAAGCTAGGATGTTTTGAGAGCCCTTTTTTAGAAATGAGGAACCTTTAAATAATCTGCAATTACATTCTAATGAAAAATGTTTTCCCATTAATTTTTGGTAAGAAACAAAATTAATAGTACCATTCAGCTAACAATCCACATCAGCAAAATTATGGTTTCTACTTAAAATTTATGAAATCTGTATAAAAATGTTACCCTACCCCACCCATTTTTACCACGTGTCTGACCATTTTCCTACTAAGGGAGCCTTATTTAAAAAATCCTTAAAATTTACACAAATGAGTGCCTGTTTTCAAAGTTTCCCTTAATTTTTAAAGAAGTGTATTGGTTGATCTTGTAAAATATGAAATACCTTTATCGTCTAGTTTTGATTTTATTACACTTTGAAAATATCAGGTACCATATTTATTACTAGATTTAGCATAATTTAGCCAATAAATACCTATATAAATTAAAAAATCAAAATTAAACACTTTTTATGCCCCCGGGCATATAGTGATTGAACCATCCGTCCGTCCGTCTGTCCGTACGAGGTTAACCTAGAATGGCAAGTTGGATTTTTCTTGAGTTCTACCTGTACCAATGGCTCCTAAGTTTACACACTTACTAATCAATACAAAGTACATGATCTGGGCAAGTTACATAACTCTGGCTTTCATATTTACCAAGTTATTGCCGTTTTCAGCACTTAGAAAATGAATAATGGTTAACCTAAAACGGCAAGTTGGAAATATCTTAAGTTCTATCTATACTAATGGCTTTATAATTTCCACACTTACTTATCAATACGAAGTACATGATATTCCCAAGTTATATAACTGTGTCATCCATATTTCCCAGTATTTTCCATTTTTTCACTTTGAAAATAGGGCCTAATGTCTGGTTAACCTATTTCGGCAAGTTGGATTTATCTTAAATTTCTCCTAATTGCTTAATTTCTTTAATGATATCTTTCATATTTAGTAGGTGGATACCTTTGATGGTCCTCTAATTTTTTGTGGAGTAAGCGGTCTCTAGGGTCAAGGTCAAGGTCACTGGTTTAAAAAATAAATATAAACATTTTTGCTCATACAGTCTTTATATTTTATGTGATGTCTTAGTTTAATACAAACATGCCAAGGGAGGTCCTCCTTCTTTGGGTGTAGTAAGGGGTCATTTGGGTCAAGGTCAATGTTACCAATGTCAAGGTCACCAATGTTAAAAATAAATTTTTACATTTTTACAGGTGTATTGACCTTATTCTAAAAACAGATGTTATTTATAATTGATAGAAACATAAACTTTGATGGAGTTAGTGGTCAGTTGGGTCAAGGTCACCAGTGCTAAAAATAGATTTTTACACATTTGCTCATACAGCCTTTATTAAGTGACAGATATATTTTATATTTGTTAGGAAGATAACTTGTATGGTATTCATCCTTTTGATTGGGGTAGGGATCAGGGGGTCAAGGTCACTTGTGCTAAAAATAGATTTTTACACTTTTACCCGTACAGCTTTTATTTATTGACAGATGTATTTCATATTTGGTAGGAAGATAACTTGCATGGCATTCTTCCTTTGGATGGAGTAAGGGGTCAGTTGGGTCAAGGTCACAAGTGCTAAAAAAAGATTTTTACACTTTTGCCCATACAGCCTTTATTTATTGACAGATGTATTTCATATTTGGTAGGAAGTTTACTTACATGGTATTCTTCTTTTGGATAGAGTTAGGGGTCAGTTTGGTTAAGGTCACCAGTGCTAAAAATAGATTTTTACACTTTTGCCCATACAGCCTTTATTTATTGACAGATGTATTTCATATTTGGTAGGAAGATATCTTACATGGTATTCTTCTTTTGGATAGAGTTAGGGGTCAGTTTGGTTGAGGTCCCCAGTGCTCAAAATAGATTTGCCCATACAGCCTTTATTTAATGACAGATGTATTTCATACAATAAAAAAATATAATGAAAATCCTGTAATTGCTGCAGTTCATATTTAACACAAAAGAACATTTTTTGGGAGAGAATTTAAATGCCAGTCTGCCAAAACAGTTTTTTTGTGTACAGTAAGGAGTTTTTATGTGTTCTTCAGGTAAACAAAACTCTGAGTATTTGTTATTATTAAAAACAATTGAACAGCCAAAATTTATGAGTAATCAAGTTATAAAATTCAAGCAGTTTATAATTTATAATTCTTCTTTAATATATCTTCTATATCTTCTTTAATATTTATATATCATAATATGCATGTAATAAAACTGCAAGTTTCGTGTAATTGTTTATTTAATATTTATGTACATTATTGGCATTCAGACATTTTAATGCAATAGATTATATAATATTATATACTATATCAATGATATGGTACAAACATACTCTAAATACATCATATTGTACAATATTAAATATTTATTATAAAGACAGAAATTGTCACTGTCAGGACAGACTGGGATATACACTGGCCAGGTGTACAAACTAATTGTATTTATTGGTTGAAATGTCAAAGAAACAATTACATCATATCACATTATATCAAACCATTGAAGTATTTATAATTAAACATTACATGTAGCCATAATTGTACAATTTCCAGATATTCAGATATAGGATCAAATAAATCTATAGGTTAAATACCATAAGTCGCCGTTTGACATTAAATACAGTGGAACTACAATTTTGATACCATAAACCACTACTAGCCCAATGCCAATGCACTGAGCGCAACTAGAATGATCTAACATGCAGTCTTTTCAAACAAGACTAGCAGAAGTAGTGTTGATCTGTGCCCTATACTGCTTATTTAAAAGAACCACTTTATATTTGAAAAATGAAACATTTAAAAACTTGTATCATATAGAGGATATTTGTTTAGTTCAGAGTGTAAGATCGGAATTTATTACATGCTTTTCGGTGGTTTATAGAAATATATCAGTGATATAAAACTGGTAATTTCACTGTTTCAAACAGTGAAATTACCACTTTGATAATTTCACTGTTTTGAATTTAAGCCCCTCACGTTGTTTCAGTGAAATACCAGCGTGCACAATACTGGGTACCAACTTAATGACGTGACGTCGTAAATGACGTCACATTGTATTATAATTTGGCGCGCATTTCATTCAGTATTAGGTTAAATGTCTTTTTAAAATGTTTCTTTGCATGTAATAAAAAGAAAATTTGTTTAGTTTAGTGTAAGATCGAAATATATTTCACCTTGTGAACACCAAAAGTTCATATTTTACTCGTGGCTGCGCCACTCGTGAAATATACCTTTTGGTGCTCACTCGGTGAAATATATTCCGATCTTACACTGAACTAAACAAATATCCTCTATATATTTCACCGAGTGAGCACCAAAAGGTATATTTCACGAGTGGCGCAGCCACGAGTGAAATATGAACTTTTGGTGTTCACAAGGTGAAATATATTTCGATCTTACACTAAACTAAACAAATTTTCTTTTTATTATATGCAAAGAAACGTTTTAAAAAGACATTAAACCTAATACTGAATGAAAAGGGCCAAATAATAATACAACGTGACGTCATTTACGACGTCACGTCATTAAGTTGGTACCAAGTTCTGTGCACGCTGGTATTTCACTGAAACAACGTAAAGGGCTTAAATTTAAAACAGTGAAATTATCAAAGTGGTAATTTCACTGTTTCAAACAGTGAAATTACCAGTTTTATATCACTGATATATTTCTATAAACCACCGAAAAGCATGTAATAAAATAAATTCTTTTTAAGAACTTGTACATACATGTATTTCATAACAACTAATGAGTGAAATTCAATGAATGTTTGAAGAAGTATAAACTTCAAATACATAAAATAACTTGTATTGCATCAAGTGTCAACAAATATGCCATAATATATAATTAATTACATATAAATGCTATTAATGTTTGTAGGAACACATTATCTGAGGAGTTACAATAATAAAATGCAGGAATGGTGGAACTGGAAGGTGAGAAAGGAGCTAGGTATGAAACCAGCAAACCCAACAGAGGAGGGTCTTGCCTCGCTTCACAGTGTGTTGCTAAGGAAAGACCCAAATTTATGGAGGATTGCTCTCCTTTATTATGTGTCATACAAATCAGCATTTCTATCATTAAAAGAGTTATTTAAAGACCTTGGACAGTTTGTGAGTGACCCTTATGTGAGATGGGATTATTGTATTCGAGCAAAGCGAGGACAAGGGGATACCTCAACTCCAGGTATGAATAATTATAGTCTTTGTATTAAAAAGGGAGGTCATATACTCGGCAAACTTGGATATCCAAGTCATGCAATGTACACAGTACTATTTATCATCAATGATACATGAAAGGTTAACTTGAATATCTTGGATTACCTTACAGTATACAAAGGGATGTAACTGAGTATAATTTAAAATGGCTATCAGGATTCATTCAATGATATGTCATTTACAGTGTATAAAGGGAGGTTACTTTGTATTATCAAATTTTATTTATCATGAACCAAATATTATATTAGGAAGTAACTTTGTATTATTTGCATTTTTTTTATTCTTTGCTATTATGTCATACTTACAGGTACACACTTTATAAAGGCCATAAAGCAGCTTTCAGTTAAACTGGTGGAGAATAAAACCACCAGAATTCTGTAAGCTAACTGAGATAGATAATTCATAGGTCTTGATTAGGGCTGTCATTGAATATCACGATATATCATCAATATTCATCATCCGATACATTATCAATACACAACTTCAAATATCGATACAAGCTTAAACAATTGTTTTTCTGTTAGTGAATATACATCTTTATTTTTGCCTAATAAGCGAAGTCACTTTTCTATTTTTCTTGGCTAATTTGAACTTTTAACTCTGTTTTCAAATGTCAGCGACAAAACTTTCTGTTAGTTTGTTTTGTAAATGTCTAATACAAGCATGCGTAACACCATGATCCCAATTTATAACTAATATTTACATGTTTTTCATTCTATCTACTGTTATTTCGATATATCAATATTTATAATTACATGCTTTTCGGTGGTTTATAGAAATATATCAGTCACAAACATTTTAGCTTTTTTCTAAAACAACTTTAAAAAACAGAAAATCTTGTAGGTTAGGTTTCACTTTTTTTTATTGTTTGATAATAAGAATATTTGGATGTTAAAAAGAAATGAAAATATATTATAATTATAATGTGTAATGCATATAAATTTATTACAACAAGTTTAACCTAAATAGGGCAGAATGTAAGAGCTATGAACAGGGAATGGAATAAGGCAAACATATAATTACATTTCAGGTGGTTTCTGTAAGGATCAGGTGTATTTAGAAGGTGCTCTACAAATTCTTAAAAATCGTAAAAACATTGACTTCCATCTGCTGGTTCAGCTGGGAAAGATATCATGGGAGGACATTGATAAAGTGGCGTTGCTAGGCAACTTAGATGACACAAAGATTCCATTCTTCATGCAGGACCTTGAGGCTTATCATAAATATTTGGACAGAATTTGTGAGGCAAATGATTTGACTGATGATATCTTAGAAGATGTATGACGAAAATAGAGGAAGGCTATATCTCAAGCATATCTACATAAATTTTGAGAAGGATCATTCTCAGCTTGTAATGAACGCTTGATTGACGACCAAATAGTTTTCCTTTTATTAAGTAAAATGACCAGTAAAAAGAAACAAAAAACATTTTGCATTAATATTGTTCTGTGGAGATATCAGTGGATTAATATGATTCTTCTTAATATGGCCGTTTTGAAAACTCAAAAATATGTACAACATCCAGATGTGACTGAAATTACAAAATACCATGTACTTTTATCAAAGTTCTATAAGTACTCTGATGATATATATATAACGACTGAATTAAAGATATTGGTGTTCGGATTCAATTTCTTAGTTAGACCATTTTATTTCATTTTAGATAGTTTTCACAACAAAATTCGACAAAAATTGTTTTTTATTTATCAGATTTTCAAACAAAATGGCGCCCTCAATGTGAAAATACACAGGGAGATAATAATAATGGCGAGTGCATTGTTGTAGAATAATGCGCGCTACAGGCCTTCTTCGTTTATATAGAAAAATTTCAGAGTGTTAGAATCAAAATTTTCTATTACAGTCAGAGACTTAGTGTGCACTACTTACAGCGTTGTATCTTACTTCAAGTTTGCTGCATGGATAAAACAGCTTTTCTGTATTAACAATGTGACAATCTGTTCCATTCTGTGACTTTTTTGTTATGTAACAATAACAGATTCATATGCTAAGTTGGCTACATTTCTCTTGAAAGTTTGGCCCCTTTATTTTTATCGGCCAAGTAAGCAAAGCCATAGATGCAACAAGCATGTTGAACATCTACCTAGTTATGGCACTACATGTTATTAGTTCATGATCTCAGTGCCTACATACAGCATACTACATTAATATAGGTTGTCCAGTTAGCTGGTGACATTTTTGCATCCCCTTGATAAGTTTCAGTTGCAGAATGTCATGTTTTGAAGACATTACCTATAATCATGTATCAAACTTATACCTTTAGGTTGCACCTTTAGATTAGGGTCACCTATAGACAACATTAATACATTTACCTGTGTCTATTTTCAATCATATTGTCAATCATGAATTTTCCCTGGTGCAAAAATCCAGCGCGGCGCTGCTCTCTGATGCTATAAATCTTAGATTTCATTATTCTTGCATATCAGACAGGATTATCTACTGTTTACACAAGTGCTAGAAAACCTCTCCCCCCTTCCATACAAGAAAAGCCCTGTGTCATTTCCACAAGCCTTTTATGAATGAAATGCGTTCTTAGTATGACATTGTGCCGTTATGAATGAAGTTGTAAATTCAAAATTATGCTACCATAGGAAAAAAGTGCTAAATGAAAATATAAGTTTTCCTAATTTCTTTTTTGAAATGTCATTAGTTTGTAATATGCAAGAAAAAGAATCAAACACTGGCTCGTCACAGACTGGAATATCTAGCTCTTAGGTAATTGTTTAGCGGAAACTTGGCAGAGCCTTGTTATCGCCTTAAACAGTTCCCTGGAGCTAGATATTCTGGTCTGTACCAGCAGCCTGTGTAAGATCCTTTTATTCTGTCATTGCAACAATAAATGATTCGACTTTATAAACAAAATATCATGTATATGTAATTTCATGTTTCAATTCTGGAGATATACACATTCCAATCAGAGTACTTCGTAGGGCATTTTGTTTAGTGTATATGATATTTATATTATAAACAATGCCAATGTATTAAAGAACAATTTATACCTTTATATGGCGTACTGACAATCCAATTTTTCAATTATTTATCTAGCTAGCTTGTATCTCATTTTCTCAAATGTATCGGAAACTAGAGCTAATTTCATGAAAGTATTCAAAATCTAAATGTTACTGCTTTCTTTATAATTTGTGCCTGCATTATAGACTTTCAGTATGCTGAAGGTTACGTAGATGTAAAATAATATTATTGTAATTTTGCTGAAGTAGCATTATGATAATAAATCTTCCAGATTTCTGCTCACATCTCATTGTTCTTGTCATATTTTTATGTGAATTTGAATAAAACATGATTTCAATAGAAAATTAGCACTGATATACTAGTAAAATGTAATGATAATATTACTAAAGGATATCGAGAAATCAAAATGGTTTAATATAGTTCATTGACTGATGTTCAGTTATGAAGTTGGGAATGTACTTCATGTTACTGTTTTATATTTTACAGGATCTCATGTTCACCCCACAACAACAAATTACACCATTGGGTCAAACATACATTTTCTTGTGAATCAGGTTTTTTGCTGGTTCCGGTATTTCTAAGAATTATATGTAGGGAGCCCTTGTTTGCAATGACCACTATTTCTAAGTGAAAGGAAAGGAATACCGGTGCTTTCAATAATTGTATGTTACCTTTCAAATTGCATGAATTATTCTGCTGGTTTTTATTCACTTTATGCACCAGGCATACTAATGACACAGCCAAACAAGGTCTCTTAGTGCACTGGGACAAAGCAACTTTGAGATAAGAAAATCCCTATCTTGCAGGGAAAATTAGATGGTTAAATATCCATGTTAACCATCATGTTTAATGCATGATCACTTCACATTTACCTGTTGACATGTTACAAGTAGTGCAGTTGTTGGCACTTTTAATCATAAAAATTTGTTTATTTGAATTAAAATATTGATGTGTAACTTACCATATTACCCAGATAAATAAAGTGATAAGAGGTCAACTAGTTACTTGTTGATGCATTAACCATGTTTAATTCATAAGATATTAACACATGGTTTTCTGGTGGCAAAAATATACAACTTTTACCCTGCCACTATCATGGCAAATATATTGCCCCTAGTATGGGACCATCACTCTGAAATTTAATAAGGACACAGGAAATCATCAATGGCTTGAAACATAAGCCCAGCACTATGAATTAAGGTAGAGAAATATAATTTTAGCTCACCAGTCTGAGCAAAGTGATTTCACTGTGTCATACAATGTATATTTACACATGTAAAATATTGTAACTTATAATAATTTACATAGATTTCAAATCATGGGTCAGTGAGACCTTGACCTAAAACTCAATATGGGTCATCAACTTGCCATGAACAATGTTCCTACTAAGTTTAACAGACCTTACCACGGTTTATTACTTCTCCAGCAATTGTTTTGAAGAAGATTTACACGAAGTTACCTTGAATGACCTGAAAATAAATAGGCAGGTCACAATGTCCATACTATGTTTAATAAACTAATATTTATTCGTTCTCAAACATTGACCAAATACATTTTACACAGAGACCTTGATTGAATGCCCTCATATTAAAAAGCTCAAGCTTATTGTGCCTCATTATGGGGGGGGGGGGGATTTAGATTTACCCTTGTCTGTCCATCCATCCGTTCTCATTTTGTGTCGCATGTTGCAAAAAAAGTTTTTGACCTAGTCATGAAACTTTACAGGAATGTTGCTCAGCATGTGTAGTTGTGCACCTGGGTGTTTTTGTGTATTTGTAGAATTACTGCCCTTGACTTAGTAAAAATTTGCAATTTTCAACTTGTGTCGCACATGGCTCAAAAATGATTTGATCTAGAGTCATGCAACTTAACAGAAATGATGCTCAGCATATGAAGTTATCCACCTGGGGTTTTGCTTGTATTCTGTTTTGTCAGAGTTATTGCCCTTGACTTAGTAAACATTTGCAATTTTCAACTTGTGTTGCATAGAGCTCAAAAAGAATTTGACCTAGTTCATGGAACTTTACAGGAATGTTGATCAGCATGTGTAGTTGTGCATCTGGCTATTTTCGTGTGAATTTATATAGGATTTGTAGTTATTGCCCTTGACTTGGTAAAAATTTGCAATTTTCAACATGTAGCTAAAAAAGAATTGAAAGGTTACAAGAATGTTGGTCAGCAGGTGTACTTATGCACCTTGGGAGTTGCTGGTGGATTTATTCTGTATTTTTTAAAGTTCTTGGCCTTTACTTAGTAAAAGATTTTTAGTTTTCTACTTGTGGCACATGTAGCCCAAAAAATATTTGACCTAGTCATAGGACTGACAAAACAGTGGAGTGTGGGTGCAACTATGGACACATTTCTAGTTCCTTCTCAAGTCGCATAAGACATACAAATAGATTACATATAAACCACGCCATCACAGTATGCTCCCCACTTTTTAAGTGGCGGCATTTTGAATAACAGGAAAAGCCTGTGTATGATTAACTGGATAATTTAATGAGATTTCAATCTTTCATTGCATATATCACATACACAAATAACTCTCATACATGAAAAAGAATTTGATAAATAAATGTCTTAATAAAGAAACAAAAAGTTGTATACCTAAACAAATAAAAACATGATCAAAAATGCTTATATTGTAAATGAAATAATAGTTAAATTGCTTATTTATTCCCAATATTTTACTTTTTCCCCTTTTCACAAAGTAATATAAAACATAAATATATGGACATATATACAACATTTACATTTTTATATAAATTAAGAAAATAAAATAGTTTCAACTTTACTACAATATTCAATTTCAATCTCAATTATGTTCTTTTTTCAAATTTCATTACTATTCGTATTTTATTGTGTTCTTTCGAGGATCTAAATAATGTTGGTCCATGTTAATGTTGTTGATCTATGTTGTTTACTGTTTAATTTTCACTAGGATTCTGCATAACTATCAAGAGGTATTCCTTATCTGGAAATGAAACAAAAAAACAACAAAATTAATATTACAATCAAGGAAAACAAGTGGGATATAACAAAGTGTTTGCTTCTAAAAGCGGAACATTACAATAGATGCTAAAGTCTGAAATAAACATGGCACCTGGGTGTCACTGCAGGAATTTAAACAACTATAATACTCAAGCAAAAGATCATAAACATTTTGTAGATTCCTTTCAACTGATTTATATGGTACTTTATAAAAGTACTTGACTTTTAAAGATGAGAAAATAAAGTAATTTCTAGGCAATAATATAACAACTTCCAGGTTTATGTCCTGGAGCCCTGCTCCTGTCGAAAATCTGGACTTTTGACTTTAAAATGCTTAATATATCATTTTACTGGTATATATTTGTCATACAATAATTGAATATCAAGTTTACAAAGATATAACATTCTGATTGAAGTAAACAAGACTGCTATTTACCATAAAAACATGCTTAAGCTGAATTTTTATCAAATCAAAAAAAAGTCAATGTTACATGATTAAACATGTCAAACACAAGCACTTTTATCACACATAAAATTCTTCTATATTAAAAAGTATTCTTAAGCCATAAGACACTTCTAACAAAGGTTAAAATTAATAATGCACACATTTTCACCAAGTTATAATCAAAAACCATAATTTAGATATTCTGCCTGTTACAAAACTCTCATTAATATACATGTATATATAAGTAGCAATAATTATAGTCCAACAGGTAGGGAAAAGTCATAAATTGCAAACTACATTTTATAAAGGTGTTGCCATGACAACATTTATGATTCTTTCAAAAAAAATTATTTACTGATTTATTATTTAACTAAAAACTCATTCAGGAGGTATATAAGATAACAGGATTACCAGTTCCTCAATTTTTTAGTTTGACTTTTAATACTAACAAATGAATGGTGTAATACAAATTGACTTTATAAATATAAAGGTCTATTCATTTATATTAATTAATTTAAACACTTTCATATTGAATGTATGACTGAATTTATTGTTCACTTTTACGTTCATTAATGGTAACCAAAGGATGAATAAGTAGTTAAAAAGTTTGAATAAGCCAAAAAATATTCCAAACATACTTATTATCTATTATCTAAGCTTTTGTTAAAAAAAGACAAAAACGAACAAAAAGAACACTCTTTAAATAAGTATCATACAAAATGCTGAATATTGAATGTGCAGAACAAGTTCCTCAAACTGAATTAGGGTTCTGGATAACCATCAGAACATAATCATTGTCTGGTGAGGAAAAAATAAAAATAAATATTCAATAAATTCATGAATATAACTAAATATCAAGCTATTTATACATATTCCATGATAAGTTTATTCCATGGTAGGTTAGGGACCCTTACAAGACATATTGCGAAAAATTATGTTAACTTTCCTATATCTGAGTAAATTAGATCATTTTTTTCGTTTCTTTCGTTTAACATTGACACATAAATATGCTGAACTTTATGTCTCACATTATTTCTCATCAAAGTATCTTAATAAAAAGATCCAGATATATTTTACATAGATTTCAATGGTTAATATTTGAATACCCTATATGCATGAGTTATACTATCGACATCGTCACACATGTGTATGGTACCAACACTGATTAAAAATGTCAAACTTTGGGAGCTTGACAAAAGGATTCACATTACAAGTTATTTGTGGCAGTCCTGCCATGGAACATGCCAATTGTCAACTTTGATCCTTCACAAAATAATTTTGGTCTTTAACCAAATAAAATAACCCTTGTTTATTTGTAAAAATTCCCCTTGAATTGAATATTTGGCTAACTTCCAAACATTATATTACAGTTAACCTAAATAACTGAATTTTAAGATTTTCAAACAATGTACCATATGTACAAGTAAATTTTAAAGATGTTTTGACCCACAGACTTAACAATAGCAAACAAATGCAACACACCCAACTTTACACACCCAACTCCCAAGTCCCATTTTAATCTTAACTGTACATGTGGAGATATAAAAAAATCAGTTTAAAATGCCGAATTTTACTATATATGACGTCTTTTATTTGGCAGGAAGATTATAAATTTATGTTCCTTTCTTAAGTGTACTTGAAATTTAGACTGACAATTTCAGAAAAGCTTTGAAGCACTTACCTGGAGCAACCATTATTTCATGTTTCTTTGACCTAATTCTGAGAAATGTAAGGTCATTTTGTGGGTCAATATCACGTACTGTGCTCCTTGCTTTGGCTGCCAACAGATGGATCAAACCAGCATACTGAACTGTCGTTGAGTTATCTAATGTTGTCCTAATTGGAATACCTTGTCAAATAAGAGAAAAGGGTTATATTTATAAGACTGTAAGGTAACCTATATGTATCTACATAGCATATATAGTTGCATTCTCCCTATTTCAGTTTTATTTGTCAGACATTTAAATTATTTTATTTAAAATTTATATTTGAAATTGATCTGTGATAAAGTGAAATGCTGCGTATTATACAAAAATGATAAATATGGCTTATGATGATTACTGGCTAAGACTTGTATTTGCTAATTGCATTTAAATACATAGTTTATATTCAATTAAAATCTTAAAAGAGACTTTTGTTTCTATCACTTAGCAAATGTCAGTTAGGATCAAATAGCAAGGTTTACCTTAAAATTACCATGTATACAGTTAAAACTATGTTATTACCTTCTGAATTGACAACAATGATACCAGTGACTCCCCTGTGAGCATGGATTCTTTTGAGAGTTTCTTCTACTTCAGACTGTTAAAAAATATGGAGAAAAATGGTAAAACACTAAATCCTTTACAAATTTTTTGAAGAAAGAGCAACAATTTAACTTCCAGTAAAAGAATTCTAAAAATTACAACAGTTGATAAGCTAAAGAAGACAAACAAACCAAGTCATGGTGTATTTAGATGTAACATAATAAATGTAAGACCAGGGCTCTCAAAAACATTTCATCAGCAGCCAAACAGCAAATTCTAGCAGGCCTTTTGTGTAATTAAAACAACAATTTTCTGCATAAAAGTAAGAAAACGGTATATCTTATAGAATTTCAACAGACCAAATCATGATTTCAGCCAGCCATTTTGTCCTGTGGCCTGCTGTTGAGAACCACATAAGACACCAGTATATGTATCAATGAGGTTAATAAATACACAGTCATACTGAAACTCTGCATACTGTGAAAATATGAATTATTGTTATATTTTAAAGTATAAAATTGAAACCATTGTCCTGTAACACATTAACTGTCAAATGACAGCGGCTCTGCAGGTCCACACTTTTAGACTAGATATATATTGAAACAACACTACAATTATCACTGCACAAAAACTTATCAAACATGTTATGACTACAAAAGTTGCACCATTTTAAGAGAGATAACCTTAATACTAATTATCTCATTTGAAAAATTTCTGTCAGATAAACTTAATAACATATTTAATTCTCAAGCATGGCCTCATAAAAAAATACACCAACCCAATGACTCCTTCCCCCACTTCATTAGAAAAAAATCAACATATCTGTACAAGACTCGTCACACAATTTGTAGGTGTTCCTAAAGTCTTTGAAGTACTGTAGGTATGCTTCATTCAATAATAAAAAGTAGTAATGAAGAATGGTGTTCCAAAATGGTCAGTATTATTACAAAACATAAAAAAAAACAACACAATTTTGTGGAGTCAAACTCACCTTTGTTTCCTAAGAGTAATATAAAATTATTTATTTAATACAATTTCCTTAAACAGAAATACAAGTAAAGAGAGCATTAAATAGCAGAAAATGTTCCAGCAAAGTTTACGCCTTTGAATAAGATAGTCTTTATAAGACAAGTTATAAAATTTCAGTTTTTTTTACCTCACAATTAACTTGAAACTCTGAATACTCATCATTAGCACCAATTTTAAAGTGAAATTGGAAGTATTGCCAAGACCTTCTTATTTTTGAAGTCTTCCATTGCATTTCTCATGCAATAAAATTTAAAATACATGAAAATCATAATACATGTATAGTAACCCATTTATTTACACTGTAATTACTTTCTTGCCCACTTTTGTCCGATAAATCAGAAAACATGAAATCAGTCCAACAACTGATAATGGAAATTTATAAAATTAACAATTTCAGTTCAATTTAAATATGCATGGTACAGCTTTCTGTCTTTCAGTCAATTAATTTATCTGATCATCGTTCAAATGCATTGTAATTAATCACTCACTCTTATCGACCTTCGTGACTATATTCTTACGCATTTAAACGCGAACCAAGCATTATTCTAAAGCAAAGGATTATGCCCTTATGGCCTAAAATGCTTATAGATTTAGTCCTAAACATAATTTCTGGTGAAAAGTAATGAGTATAATACTGTATTTAAAGAACATGTGACTTCACATGTTCAGTTGATATGCCGCTGGCTATTTTATGGCCAATAACACAATAACTGTATTCAAAATAGGACAGTGATATAAGCATGAAAACTAATACAGTATATAGATGAAGAAATAACTAGTATTTCTTCCTTTTATTTTCCTGTCTGTAACTTAAGATCGAAGTTTAATTATCACAGTGTTACAATTCAACATCTGTATTATATACACAGAATAACAAAAGATGAAAAACTACAATGCAGGATCCATAAATAAGAAGGTAAACATATGTAAGCAGAACTTAATCACATGTCATAAGTTGATAATTAAGTCAAACATGAGTCTTAGATCATGATTATCAACAAACAAAACATAAATTTTCAATGATGGTCAAAATATTATGAATCAGTCAACTGAAACTGTAAAATCAATTAACATTAAACAACAATTTTACGATCAAACTTACTAAATTCTGGGTTATAAACAATGTCAAAAAGTTGTTGCTTAAAATTATTAAGGAAATAGTAAAATTAAAACAATCGTACTTACCATTTTGGTGTGTTTTGTTGCTGCTCTATGTTTGACAAGTACGATCTGGAATCGTTGCTAAGGTTTGACGCATGCGCACCAATATATCCGGTGATTCACCGGTTACAAGGTTAACGCTTACTCGTTTAAAAGATCCTTTGACGAAAGTGCAATTTTTCATGTAAATACATGCGTTTTTTGATGATACAATGCAACATTTTAAGGTCCAGATTTAATGCAATATATTTAAGAACAAAATGTAAACTTTTGTAGGCAATGACTTTTTTAAGTAAATTCATTTAGGTGTATATGTCGCATAATTTCGCGATATCATCTTACTTTTTTGACGTTTCCTCCTCCAAATAACGAGCCTTGTTACTTTCCTTATTTAGACGCTTCGTTCGTAGGCACGCTCCTTAGTTTCTTTTTATCTGTGTTTGTATATGGGGATCCGCATTAACTAGGTTGTCAATAGATGCAGGGGCGGATACAGAACGGGGGGGGGGGGGATGCTGGTGCATGTTTGAAGATTTGGCCAATATCTTGTTCATGTGACAAAAAAAATGTAATTGATGTGTTTCATAGCTTATCTGATGAGTGGCAATGTACTTGCCAAGCAGGGGGGGGGGGGGGGGGTTGCTGCAACCCTGAAGCCCGGGCCTGAATTTGCCACTGGGATGTATATTGGACTAGGCCTGGGTCCAGATTTTCAGGTTCTTGAACTTCTTTCTAATAAAACCCAGGGTCTGGTAAGTTGTAACCTTTTATCACATTCAAATCTGATTGAAGAGTGTGAACATGGAGTTACAATGTACATGTAGTTCTTAAAATCTCAAGCTATTTTCTTGTATCATGTTACAGTTGTAGCCTGTATTGAAGCTCATTAGCCATGCTTTTAAAGAGCTTACCTCAGAGCTTCACCTTAGTGAATTGCCCATATACCTTGATTGATGACTGCACAAAATATACCCTGTAACAGACCATATCCTGTATTGGCTTTGTCACATTGTGTGGCTTTGAAAGTGCACGTAATGATAACAAATTTATACAATATTGGCATTATACTCAAAATCACAAGAGAGATACTGGCATTATCTCCATTTACTTTTTGTGTTAACTGACTTAAAAAAATTGATGGAGACTGGTTCTAAGAGGCTCCCAGTAATAAGTATTGTATAGGTATTAATCAGTACAAGTATTGATAGGGCCAGCCATAATGACATTTTTTAAGTGGTAGATCATGATTAAAGAGTGAAGTGAGGAATATATTTAGATTGATTAAGTTTAATATCAATAGCAAGAAAATTAAATTCCAGTAGTTTGGGGAAGAAGATGAAATTTTGAGTTTCAGACATCATAGGTTGGTCGCAAAACTGTTGTAAGTCCTTTATTTCATATATGGTACTGCAGTTTTGCGGTCAACCCTTCAAATATATCTTTCACCATGTCATTTTTCATCTTAGAGCAGTAACTGGTTAAGTCCTTCTAAATTTAATAGGAGTTAACCAGTTATTGCACTAACGATTTATAGTGAAATAATGAATTAAGTAAATTGGTCCCATATCAGAGTTAACACACCAGAGCACAAAAATTTTAACCCTTTCTGTCCATTTTGTCTGTCCACACTCACAATAATTATATTAATACTCTGGTGCCAATGGGAATATTGGCAATTTGCTGCAAAAAAACACATTTATAATGCACTGATAAGCTTTAAGATTTTTTTTATTGATTATAAATGTAAATGTAAATTTGCTCTTGTATATGATAAATCAAATATGTTTAAGCCAAGATTAAAAAGCTTCCAAACGTTTACAATTATTTGATGCGAAAATCAATTAATCAGGACACTATTAATTACCCCTTTTTAGCTCGACTAATTCGATAAGAATAAGTAGTACGCTATTGCAGTCACGACCGAGCGTCAGCGTCGGCGTCGGCGTAACCACTTATGTTAAAGTTTGTAATAGTTCAAAATATTTTCAAAGTCCATTGACATATGGCTTTGAAACTTTGCACACTTGTTCACACATCATTGACCCCATTTGTAGACAGGAGGAGTAACTCTACATCAAGCATTTTGACAGAATTATGCCCCTTTTTCGACTTAGAATTTACGTAAAGTTTTTGTAATAAGTAACTATTTTTCAAGTCCATTGACATATGGGGCTTTTTGAAACTTTGCATACTTGTTCACCATCATGGAACCCCAACCTGTACACAGAGAGGTAACTCTATCATAGCATTTTGACAGAAATTATGCCCCTTTTTTGAACTTAGAATTTAACGTATAAGTTTTTGTAATTTTCAAATATTTTCAAAGTCATTGACATATGGCTTTGAAACTTTGCACACTTGTTCCACCATCATGCCCAATCTGTAGACAAGGAGGAGGTAACTCTATCAAGCATTTTTGACAGAATTATGCCCCTTTTTTCCGACTTAGAAATTTACGTTAAAAGTTATTTGGTAATAGTTAAATATTTTCAAAAGTCCATTATATGGCTTGAAACCCTTTGGCAGCACTTGTCACCATCATGACCCCAACCTGTAGACAGGAGGAGGATCTAATCAAAGCATTTTGACAGAATTTATGCCCCTTTTTGAGCGTAAATAGTTTAAAGATATTTTCAATCCATTGACATATGGCACTTTGCACACTTGTTCACCATCGATCCAACTGTAAGACAAGGAAGGAGGTAATCTATCGAAGCATTTGACAATTATGGCCCCTTTTTCGACCTTTGAAATTTACGTTAAAGTTTTTGTAATAGTTTAAAATATTTTCAAAGTCCATTGACATATGGCTTTGAAACTTTTGCACCATTTTCATTGTTCACCATCTTAACCCCACCTTGTAAACAGGAGAAGGTAACTGTAATCAAAGCATTTTTTACTAAAGCACTTAGAATAGTCGAGCGTTGCTGTCCTACCGACAGCTCTTGTTTTAATTCCAGAACTTAAACAGGATACATGATGGGGGATGAGATTCAAGATTTCTTCAAAACAGGTCTCGAAGTAGCTAAAGAAGCAGGGGAGGTAATTCACAACAATTTATAAGATAATTAAAAGCTACAGATCAGAATGATTTTGTAGTAAGGCTGTCATTAATAGAAAATTTGTAATTTTGTACCGATATATTGAAGGTTAAAGATTAATGATATTTAAAACTGTTATGATCTTAGTTAAACATGGTTTAGATATAACAAAATACAACAGACCAAAAGAAATTGTACATTGTACTTCAGGGTTATTATTAATCTTAAAGGCCCATTATGCCTCAGAAATGCTGTCATTTTTATTTCTCAAAAATTTCTTATTTTTGGTATACATCTTGTGACAGTTTCCAAAAAAATGTTTGTTTGCCCAGAGTTTAGTTGAATTATATTTGCTGCTTTTGATTTGTTGAACATTGGTATAATTATTGTGATTTAGTATTTTGTATGGAAGTCGAAATACTACTTTGTGTACATTTTACTACCTTTACGACATATTACTGCACATTCAATGCTACTTTCCTCAGCTGTTAAACATCTAACATGCTCTAAATTCATTGTTAAAACATTATAAAACAGTACACATACTTGAAATTTCTGAAGAATTTAATGAATATGTATTTCTGAGACATGATGTGTCTTTAAGAAGTAAATGACTAAATTGATACATGAGAAACAAATATTTTAAAAGAAACCCACAAAATAGGAAATTAAATGTGACTTAAGCAGTCATTAACTAGAAAAGTTGCTTGACTTTCAAAACTGAAAAGAAAAATTAAACACTTGAACATAGAGGTTTTAAATGGTCTTATTAGAGCAGGAAATTACTTAAATTTTTAATTATGAAAATCATAAATACAATATATATAATGTATTGTCTAAATTAGGTTCACCCTGCTTTTAATTCAAGATGTTTCTATCTGTTATACTGAAGCATGCACAATGTCAACAGTAATGGCTGCTTCCTTTGCACTTAAAGGATAGCAAAATGCTTTGGTGACCATAGTGTTGCTTCAGTATTTCTTTGAAATGCTAGAACTAAAATTTGAAACATAAATATACATTCAAAACTTGCATTTTTAGCTCGACTATTCGATAAGAATAAGTAGAGCTATTGTAGTCACCCGAGCGTCAGCGTCTGCGTCGGCGTAACCACTTATGTTAAAGTTTTTGTAATAGTTCAAATATTTTCAAAGTTCATTGACATATGGCTTTGAAACTTTGCACACTTGTTTACCATCATGACCCCAACCTGTAGACAGGAGGAGGTAACTCTATCAAGCATTTTGACAGAATTATGCCCCTTTTTCAACTTAGAATTTACGTTAAAGTTTTTGTAATACCTCAAATATTTTCAAAGTCCATTGGCATATGGCTTTGAAACTTTGCACACTTGTTCACCATCATGACCCCAACCTGTAAACAGGAGGAGGTAACTCTATCAAGCATTTTGACAGAATTATGCCCCTTTTTTGACTTAGAATTTACGTTAAAGTTTTTGTAATACCTCAAATATTTTCAAAGTTTATTGACATAAGGCTTTGAAACATGTTGAAATTTTATACTCTTCTTTGAGAGCATAATAGGACTCTCTCCAAGGCCTATAACTGTAATATGGATTTAAAGAAAAAATTTGCTTTTTCTCTACTGAAAAAAATTTTACCTTTTAATGAAGGTTTTTTTACTATCAAGCACTAAGAATAGTCGAGCGTTGCTGTCCTTCGGACAGCTCTTGTTAAATTTTTGAAACCTTGGCCTGAATTATTTTTCTTATGAATTATTAAGCTATTTTTTGTTGTTGATGGCCTTTTTGCTAGTATAGTGACTAAATTGGTATTTAAATTGATTTACCCATGATAGGAGCTATTGTTTACATTTTGTTTTAAAACTTTTGAATTGTTTTAAAGTATTATTTGAGCAGCAATTTAAATAAGAAGTAATCAAAGTTACACAAAATCATCTAAACATAACTACATTGTTCATTTGACCAGTTATAATATTTATGAATAAAAACTGATTTTATTGTTTTCATTCTTTTATTATCATGGTGAATCATTTAAAATGTAATAGTCTGTCAAATAAGGACATACAAAATGTAATTGAATTGCAATTGTGCCACTTAATAAAGTATATACTTGAAATACACACTGTTTTTGTGGTTTACTTATTTTATCACATTACTGTTACAGAGAGTAAAGACTGATTTCTATAGGAATAAGAAGATAGAAGTGAAGGAGAACTTTGCTGACCTTGTTACAGAGACAGATAAAGCTGTAGAAGATTTGATCATGTCAAAATTAGGACAAAAATTTCCTAGCCATAAGTAAGTTCATAAATGGTCAAGTCAAACCCTTATAAGGAAATTATTTCAGTTTCTGTAGGTTTGAATGCCACTAAAGGCTTTAAACTCTTTTGAAGGGGCATCCTTGGGCGAATTGTTAAGGATATTGTCTTCAAACCAGTTGCTTCCACACCACTGTGGGTTTTAATCCCGACAGTGTGAAGAAACTAATTAGCATGATTTAGCGATCATATAAAAGATCTGTGGTCCTATTTGAGTTTTATTTTATGCCTGAAATATTTTGGGAGGGTATCCTCAAGAAGTTTTTACTTACCAATTTAGCTGAAAATTCAATTCTATTTAAACCTTACATTGTTGTAGTGACAACTTTTTTCTACCATCCAACAAAAAAATTGAAAGAATGTTGTATGATTAAAACCTAAGATGATGTAAAATATTGCATTATATCCATTTTATTACCTTGTAGATTTATAGGAGAGGAAACAGTATCTGCAGGTGGACATTGTGAACTTACAGATGATCCCACCTGGATTATAGATCCTATAGATGGAACTACTAATTTCGTACATGGGTAAGTCAGGTATTAAAGTTTTGTCTTTTCAGTAATAGAACTAAAGTTTGTGCTAGCTCTTGCACTTATGGGCTCTTCATCCAGGCTAAGTGTAAATGGGTACTAATATATTTCTTGGCACTATAATATGGGCTGCCCAGGGTTGTCATAAGAAAGCAGCTGTGGGCCAAAATGACCTCTTATTTGCATTTTTGGCATTATTTGTTGTTACATTGTAACATTCAAAGCTGGTACCCTTAAGGGTTTATTAGAATACATGTATTTTGTTTAACCTGGTCATAAGTTAGAAATTTATGTTTGTTACAGAGAATAGGCTATCTAGTTTATTTATTAACTTGTTTGTGTACTCTTTTTCAGAATTCCACATACATGTATATCAATAGGTCTAGCTGTAAATAAACAGGTGAATACATTGTTTTTTAATCCATCATTGAGTTCGTTTTCATGTACAAAAATAGAAGTCATTAAAACTTGCTACATAAAATATTTACCAAAAATGAAGAAAGTTTCAGATTTTTTTATCAGTATATTACATAAATAATGTTTCTAGTTTTCTTTTTGAAATGCTCAGAATGTTCTTTGATAGTGATAAATCATGCAATAACCATATCATTATCATATGATTCAAGATTATTCTACGCTTTTCCTCTCTGTTGTTTTCATAGATTAAAAAACGATAATTGTTAACTGTTGGTTTTAAATTGTGGGATCTCATTTGAGCTGGTGGTTTAACTTTGAAAAGAAATTAAGCAGAAGATAAGTTCCTGTTCATTGATTTTCAGCTTTTTCAAATTGATTTAAAAAACACAAAATAAATCTTCAAAGAAATTCTGCTTGCATCAGTATTGTATCTCTTTAGCCAAACTTTACTTATGCAGAAATATGAGGTAGTTACGTACATGTATATTAAATTGGCAAGTAAAGAATAGGCAAGTAAAGGATATTTAATTGGTAACTGATTAAAACATTATTGTTCCAGATAGTAGCAGGAATTGTACATTGTCCAATACTTGAGGAGACATACACTGCTATCAAAGGTCATGGTGCATTTTGTAACAGTGATAAATTATCTGTGTCTCACAATCAAGGTAACTTTAAAGCTGCATTTTATAAATTAAATAAAAACAGAATTAGCTACATTTTTTTAATTAAATGGATTTCATATCGACTACTATTCTGATTTTGGTGTCCAGATGACTAAAATGAGCTTTATAAGTTTCATAGTCAGCAACCTTGTTGTGGAGAAATCAAGAGTACATTTCCTATTTACATGTGAAACTCCACCTTTGGGTCATTCGAACATCAAACAGAAAATTGACAGTCATGGCTTTATGTAGCATTTCCAATTTAACCATATATTTCTGCATTATATAACATTTGTTTTCATAATTTTATTAGTCACATGATAACTCTTGAATAAACAACAGACCTAATGTAAGCCAAAAACGGTAAAATTTGATTAGATTGGAAAATCCTACATTTGCCATTTACAACTTCATGTATTGATTTTTGTGTTGCCTCTAAGGAGTAGTGGCGACATATAGGGATCACTTCTCCGTCGTCTGTCCGTCTGTCTGTCTGTCCGTCCGTCACAAAACTTGTCCGGACTACTCCTCATAAACTACTGGTGCAATTTCATCCAAACTTTACAGGAATGATCAGTACCAAGTCTAGTTGTGCATATTGTCAGCATTTTCCGGTTCAATGATTTTTGTCAGAGTTATGGCCCTTTAATAATTTTTAATTTTAAAGTTTGTCCAGACTACTTCTCTTATACCACTAATGCAATTTCTTTGAAACTTTGCAGGATTGATCTGTAGCTCAAGTCCTTGCGCATATTGCACGGGTTTTCTGGTTGAATGATTTTTGGCTGAGTTATGGCCCTTTGATAAAAAGGTGTTTTTTTTCTGTGTGTTGCCAGATACACAAAAGCTTGTCCGGACGACTCCTCATAAACTACTGGTGCAATTTCATCCAAACTTTACAGGAATGATCAGTACCAAGTCTAGTTGTGCATATTGTCAGCATTTTCCGGTTCAATGATTTTTGTCAGAGTTATGGCCCTTTAAAAATTTTTATTTTTAACGTTTGTCCGGACTACTTCTCTTATACCACTAAAGCATTTTCAATGAAACTTTACAGGATTGATTTGTAGCTTAAGTCCTTGCGCATATTGCACGGGTTTTCTGGTTGAATGATTTTTGGCCGAGTTATGGCCCTTTGATAAAAAGGTGTTTTTTTCTGTGTGTTGCCAGATACGCAAAAGCTTGTCCGGACTACTCCTCATAAACTACTGGTGCAATTTTATCCAAACTTTACAGGAATGATCAGTACCAAGTTTAGTTGTGCACTGTCCGTCTGTCTGTCCGTCTGTCACAAAATTTGTCCCAACATGAAATTGGCCATCATGAGGCGACACATGTGATTACTGATCGCTCTTGTTTAAAAATCTGACACTGTGATGTAGCGCATACACAAGCTAATTACAGCCTTCATTTAAAATTTGTATAAAAAACTTTAGTGTTACCATGGGATTTTCCTTTTAAAATCATAATTTCGGAACAGTATTTGATAAGATTTACAACAACGTTGTTAAAAAGGTTAATAAAAGAGACTGCTTGGTTTCGGCAGCAAAATATTTCTAGATATTTATGACATAAGTATAATGTAGTTTTAACATATACTACAATAACTTTAAAATTCTGCAATGTTTGCAGGATGATCTTGATTCGTTATTGTTCGTTATTTCAGAATTAAAAGGTGGTGTGGTTATCATAGAAGGTGGAACATCAAGAGTGAAGGAAATACTTGATGCTAAAATTAACAATACCAAAGCTCTCATTGAAAACTGTCATGGGTAAGACATCCGTTTAATTAATTTGTACCACTTATGCATTTGTATATACAGTGTAGATAATAAAACAGAAACTGTCATTACATATATACAAATGTAGATTGATGGACCTTTCCGGTATTTTGCCACACCTTTTCCATTCATTGCTAGGTCAACTGCTCACAAACAGTATCACAAACATAACCATGTGTTCTTTTGTGCAAACCAGGTCAACCAGTGACTATGTATAATCTCAGTGTAGCAATTGGATAACAAGTTAGCCAATTTACATAAAACTGTAAACACTGGAAAGGTCCATTGTGTAAATTGTCAAAGTATTTATCAATTTATTATTCAATTTTAATCTTATCCAATCTAATGAAACATTTTTAATCTGATCAAATCAAGTTTGAACAGCACTAATCTTATCAAGTTGAACAATTCATATTGATCTTATCACACAGAACAATTCCAATATAAATCTTGTCTAATCAAGTTGATAACTTAATGTATTTGTTGCTTTTTTTCTTTGAACAAATCTAATCTTGTCAACACAAAAAAAAATATTGGTTCAAAATATTCTCAATTTGTGGGAATATTTACATACTGTGATACATAATAACGGCAAATACGGAACCAGTCAAGTTGATGTCTACTCTATATATATGTCATGTTTAGTAAAAAAATAAAAAAAATATGGACAAACTGTGGTCCATCTGAAACATTAATCACAACAAAATACATGAAAATTACAGAATTGGTTTGATTGAGTGATATTCAATTTTCAACACTTAAAAGTGTTCAAATCATGCAATGATCCCATAACCAGAAAAATATAACAACACTGAATGTTTTTGAGTTGGGATGTATAATGTTGCACAGTTTTCTTGTTAAAGGTCATGTTGTCTAGTCTAGTGCTACATTTGGTTTATTTTAGTTTAAGTGTGTAGGAATCTTCAAGTTTATAGACACACTTTTGAGTCTGTCCAACTAGTACTATGCAATGACTGTAAAGTTTCCGGCATAAGAAAACAATGTTTTGCCCCAGGCTGGGTTTGAACTCATGCTTCTAGCCATCATAATATTACTAGTCTGGCAGAATAACCACTCGACCATGTGCTTGATTGTTTTCTTGGTCTCCTATCTATTTTATATTCTATGCAGCTATACACACTTGGTCTGAAAATGGATGTTTTTTATTTCTTGTGCGAGAGAGATAATGTTTGAAAGTACTTCTGTTCTAAAATTTTGTAATATTTTTTTTACATATATTACCCATGATAAGAGGTATTTTGCAATGAGTAAAGAATATCCCTTTTACAAAGATTTTCCACTGCCTTGCAGAATACGAGCATATGGTTCAGCAGCTATCAATATGTGTTGTGTAGCACGTGGATCACATGCTGCCTACCTTGAACATGGTATACATGTATGGGATATTGCAGCAGGGAAACTAATTGTAGAAGAAGCTGGCGGTGTTGTCTTTGATCCATCAGGTACTTTACATATGAATCTTTTGAGGGCTTATTTTATGATAATGACAACTTTATGTCATTTGTATGAAAAATAGCCTACATATCAGGGCAATATGCCCAGCTTTCACTTTTGATTGTCAAACCATGAAAAGTCCTTTTTTTAATTCAAACTTTTTTTAATTAAAGTCTCAAATGAAATCTTCTACTTACTGTAATTTTAACATTGTCGTGGCTCTTGTTTTACCATCAGTCATTGAGAATGGTAAAATGTAATGTACTTCTTACAGCTCTTATTAAAATACCTGGCCCCGTGTTCACAAAGATTTAAGGATCAGGATCAAGATCAGGATCAAATTTAAAAACTCAAATATTCCCGGTTATTTATCCTCATAGATTAAATATTCAGTATTAACTTGATAAAACTGGACTAAAAATAGCATGTTTATGAAAATTAAGAATAAATTTATTGTTATTTTCAAAAGGTATGGGCATTTTACAGTTGATCCAAATTTGATCTTGATCCTAAAAATGATCCTTATTTTGATCCAATTATTTTTGTATTTGTTTTGTTATTTGTTGATTTTATCCCAAAAGAGGTTGGTTTCTTTGCAAATTAGCAATTATTTATATTTCGAATACATACCATTTAATTCTAGCATAATACAATCAGTTTTAATATTATAAAACAATGAAAATTAAATCAGGATCATCTGATCCTGATCCTGATCTTTTCTTTGTGAACACAGGGCCTGTATTTTGCTACATTTACTGCATGTATCACATCTGCAAAATTAATACAACTGAAGTGGTTAAGGTTGTTGTCTTCAAATCACTTGCCCCTTCGCCGCTGTGAGTTTGAATCCCAACTTGGACTTAAGATTCTTTCATGTTGGCTTACATAACATTGGTGGTTCTACTGAGACTGTTTGTGCATGAAATTAAACTTGGCATGGCAACTGAGTTCTTCTGAGACTGTTTGCTCATGAAATTAAACTTGGCATGGCAACTGAGTTCTTCATTCATCAGTAAAGCTGGAAAGTCGCGTTATGACATATACTATGTTGGTGTGACATAAAACACACAAAAAAAAATTATGTATACTATTATGAATGATGTCCAATATGATGCTGCTTACATAAATGGTTGAATGTATATTGTAAATATAAAAATGTATAAAATAAAAGGATCTTCCTTTCCGAGTATCTTAATCTTAAGTTATCTGTCATGGGCAACTACCTCACTTGCTGCTTCCGTGCCTTGCGAGATCCTGGTCTAGTATAATACACACAAGTTAATAAAAGTACTCTTCTTATTACTCTTTTTTATTATAATGTAAAATATATATAAGGCATTCTTTTTGTCTTTTTGAATTGATTTATTAAACTTAAACTATTTCAGGAGACTCCCTAGATATCATGAACAGAAGGGTTCTGGCAGCATGCAATAAGGAAGTTGCTGGTCAAATTTCTAAAATCATCACAAATATTTCATTAGAGAGGGACTAGTCATTTTAATGCTATTATGTTTGTGTCATAAATGAATTTTGTTTCTTAATTTATTTTACTGATTTTTATCAATTTCCAATATTAGATGACAATATATAATAGTTTGATAGTAATGCACATTAATTATGGGAATTTATTACTTAGATTATATTTAAAGGTATGATTGTTAGAGGTTTTATGGTAATTGTCCCCCGCCTTTTCAAAAAAAGGGGGATATAGAAATAGGCTCTGTCCGTCTTTCCGTCCGTCCGCACTCACAGGAGAGTAATTATGTGGCTAGAGGGACAATAGGTTCTCTTTGATGTCATTCATTCCGTAATGCTTTTATGTGGCTATTTTTCTTTTGCGTGGCTAAAAGAACAATAGAGAGAACAATAGAGTAGCCACATAATTACTGTCCTGTGAGAACGTCCATCCGTCCGTCTGTCCGTCCGTCACACTTTCGTGTCCGGTCCAAAACTTTGTCATTTATTGAAGGAATCTGAAATAACTTTGCACAAATGTTTGTTATAATAAGATGATGTGTCATGCGCAGCAACCAGACCCCTACCTCCAGGGTCAAGGTCGCACTTGCTCATTCAAGTTCAACATTGTCTATTTGAGGGTATAGGTCGTGTTCATCTTTGAAGGGATTTTGTAAATACTTGCCACAATTGTTTACAATAATGAGATGATGTGTCATGCGCAAACCAGTCACCTACGTCCAAGGTCAAGGTCACACTTGAAGGTCAAAGATTAACATAGTCTGTTACAGGGTATATTTCGTGTCCGGTCCATAACTTTGTCATTTATCAAAGGAATTTGAAATAACTTGGCAGAAATGTTTGTTATAATAAGACAATGTGTCATGCGCAAAAACATGACCTCCAGGGTCAAGGTCGCACTTTCTCATTTAAGGTCAACATTGTCTATTTCAGGGTATATCTCGTGTCCAGTCTATTACTTTCTTATTTTTAAAGGGATTTTGTAAATACTTGCCACAATTGTTCACAACAATGAGATGATGTGTCATGCGCAACAATCGGTCACAAACCTCCAAGATCAAGGTCACACTTGGAGGTCAAAGATTAACATAGTCTGTTATAGGGTATATTTTGTGTCCGGTCCATAACTTTTTCATATATCAAAGGATTTTGAAAATACTTGGCACAAATAGTCACTATAATAAGATGTGTCATGCGCAACACCTGCATCCCTACCTATAAGGTCAAGGTCACATTTCGAGGTCAAAAATTAACATAGTCTTTTAAAGGGTATATATTGTGTCCAATGTAGAACTTCTTCATAGTTCAAGGGATTTTGAAATAACTTGGCACAAATAGTCACAGTTATAAGACGATATGTCAAGTACAACACCTGCACCCCTACTTCCAAGGTCAAGGTCACACTAAGAGGTCAAAAGTTAACAGAATCTGTTATATGGTATATTTTGTGTTCCGTCCATAACTTCTTCATAGATCAAGGGATTTTTAAAATACTTGGCACAAATAGTCACAATGATAAGATGATATGTCATGCGTAACACCATTGTCCCTACCTCCAAGGTCAAGGTCACATGTAGAGGTCAAAGATCTACATAGTCTGTTATAGGGTATATTGTGTGTCCAGTCCATAACTTTTTCATAGATCAAGGGATTTTAAAAATACTTTGCACAAATAATCACAATAATAAGACGATCTGTCAGGTGCAAAACATGGGTTCCTACCTCCAAGGTCACACTAAGAGGTCAAAGATTAACATAGTCTGTTAGAGGGTATATTTTGTGTCCCATCTATAACTTCTTCATAGTTCAAGGGATTTTGAAAATACTTGGTACAAATAGTTACAATAATAAGACGATATGTCATGCACAACACCTGCACCCCTATCTCCAAGGTCAAGGTCACACTTAGAGGTCAAAGCTTAACATGATAGATTTTTTAAATTCAGTGTTTCATTTTATTTCTTTAATTTTATTGTTGCATTTGCAGATCTAGCATTGATCATAATTTTTGACTGAAAGTCCTGAGATCCATACCTCAATCTTTTGAAATAGCACAATTTTATGCTTCATATAAAACTTCTCTGAGGCGGGGGACATTGGTAACTCTGTTACAAATTCTTGTTTACTGGGTAACGATTTAATTTAGATTTGATACTGTGTAGTAATATTTTCACGACAGTGAAATTGATTTGGTATGAAGGAATATGAAATAAAACACAAATATTTCACAAGGTTATTTGACAGTTTTCTATACATAACTAAAATATATGTTGACAGGTTTTGGGTGGAAAAACATATTAGAAGAGCTATTTTATTCTAGCTATTTTTCAACTGTCCATATATATGCTCATATTGAACAGGTCATTGTTAAATAACCTTTTTATTTTATACCCCATTTTTTTATACTTTCAAGCAAGGTAGTTTCTTTAATCCTACTACTTGTTTATCTATTTGCAATTGTTAATAAGGACATAGTATATAACCAGTTTGTATAGGGTGTCTTATTAAATCAGATTAACTTAATCATCCAGAATGTGTTCATGCATGTATAAATTTTATTGTTGAAGTTTACATAGGACTGGTAAATCATTCAATTTGGAGAATATAAGACATACATGTATATGCAGACATACATGCATTCACACTTTTAAAAGGAATCAGGCGATTGGTTATGTTAAATAAGTGAAGAATAAATATTCTAAACTTTGATTGTGTACATGGTGTATACATTTATGTTTTAAACGTTTACTTTGACAGGGTGAAATTTTATATTTTTATAGTATCTTATTATGAACTCTTTGAGTTGCCAGTAGGGGTAATTACATAATTAAATAGGGACCATATCTGTTCTTATTTGAAGTTGAATCATTGTACAAATTTAACTAGTGCTGCAACATTTCACAGGTATACTATTGTACTGGTAGACTAATGTAACATTAATTTAGTTGATACCTTTTGTTGTAACAGGTTGAGTGTATCACAATATATGGCACACAAGTTAAAACCTTAACCTGTATTGTTGACTCCTAATTTTAGCATAAATTCATGTGCTAGTCAGTTTAAATATGTTGTAATGTTTTTTAGTATCTTGTAACTTAGGGTTATATATCTGCTTTGCAAGACTTCAAGTATAATATTGGAAGACTATGAATGAAACTATCAAATACTTACATTGCACTATTTCTTTAGTCTTGGTAGCAATGCAGTATAAATTACTTATCTTTGGTACCCACAGTACACATTCTGTATATACTACATTTATTTACTGATAATGGTTAAATAGCCTGGGTTACCGAAGACGAAATTACTTTGTTTAGTTTACATAACAGGGTTGGCACACAACATTTCAAGTGTCCAATTTTCAACATATCAAGTAACAAGTCCTTGTATTACTTAGCATATACAAACTAGTAAACACATTCAGCTACAGTCCCTTTTTAAACTCATAAAGGTATCTCCAAAACTATTTTAATAGATGTACTAGTTACATATTATTATATACAGTTGTTATTATTTGATTATATTTTTATTCATGTTGTACTATCTTATTAAGGAATAAAAAATATAGGCTTCTTTTGTTCTTTTTTATGTAAATGAAATAATTGTCCATATGCTTGTCCTTAGGATTAACCTATTTTCAACAAATTGTATTTACCTTAAGGTCAATTTCTACCAATGACTTTATACTTTATTACCACTTGCAGGTCACAATCCTGGTATTAAGGTCAATAGCACTAGCTCCTGTTTATGTTATCTCCCATTCACACACTTTTAAGAATGATTGATTGACAAGATTTATTTGATTGCACCAATACAGTAGAGGTCATATGGCAACTTTCCAGCTTCACTGGTAGAGGATGACATTGGGTGCCCCTCTGTGCATAGTTATAAGCACCAACGGGCATCTGAGTAGAATCACCGACATTCTGTGAGCTGGCTCATGAGAAAATCATATCAATCCATTGGATCAATATACATTGTATCTATAAGTTCTACAAGTATCTGTGGCTTCATGCTATTCACACTTCTATACAAAGGCTTTAATACTAGCAAGTTTCAACTTGGAACAATTTGCACTGGCAAGACCTTAAGGTCAAGTGCTTCAGGTCATGAAAAAGTACCAACATTCACTACACCTGAAAGTATAGAATCAATCTTTAGTAAAGAATAATAGTTAATCTTCAAACTTTTTATAAACCTTACGAGTTTTCTTGGTTAACTAAAAGACATGTACATTTATTTAATTGAAAACTCATCAAATTATTTGCTTTTAGTTTTATTTTGATTGATTTCAACTAAAACACATTTCACAATATCTATAACAGCCAACTGTTTTGAGTAACAATCTTGTGGTAGTGTTCATAACTCTTTGCTTCAGAGAATATTTTGATAAAATTACAACCAAATATCACAGACTGCAAGTTGAAACATTTACAAATATGTTACAGCATATAAGGTATAATAAGGATTGTATTTCAGTATTTTATCCTTATGCATTATACATGTATTTAATGTTTTAATTAAGCCTGCTTATGGCAATATATCCTAACAGAACTATTTGACCAGTGTATACCAGTCCAGACTGAGATTAGCTGAAAACATCCACACTGTCTGATGTTGGTTTGCACTCTTGGCTATCATTCAGTAAATTTTTGGAAATGTTCCCTTAAAATGATGAATGGTTTTGTCCAGATTGAAAGATGGACAAGTCAATTAAAGATATTTAGTGTGGTAAGGGATAACTGCCAAGAACTGACACAAGTGTCTTTTAAAAGTTGTTTTGTTCCAATTGTCATGACTTGTTTGTTTATTCAGGTGACATTAGAGCTGGTATCAAGCTGAAACACAAACTGTTTATTTCCTGTCTTCATCAGTAATTTATCTATGTAGAAATATTTCAGATCTGAACATTCTTGTAGTATCCTCTCCACGATTTCCTGTTCAATTAAAAACAAAAACAAAATCTAATTTATTTGTATGAATGCATTTATTAAATTTAATAAGCCAATTTGACTAAAGTTAAGAACTTAGGTTTTTATATAAACATAGCATTAGTTTGAATCAGAATTTAATAAGATTGGTTGTAAGTATGACCGCACCTAACTGTAAATATATCCAACTCTACTTACTTGTTCCCTTGATATCTATTTAATTCATGATTCAATAATTTAAGACAAATTGGTAGAAAGATTCATTGTTAACACAAAATGAGATGTTCAAAGACCAAATTTATACAAGTATTTATTGTCTTATTTTGTAAGTCAAGGTCACAACTTCAAGTCAACAAGAGAGATATGTTTGTGTATCTAAACCTTATCTGATGCTCAGTTACAACATTGCAGAAACAATATGTTGTGCACGAACTGAAGTTATATCAGTAGATATAAGTCATGCTGCATCAATTTTGTTCTGACCAGATTTTTATACAGGTGCTTATTTCTAAAATTTTGATCTTGAAGGACCTTACATTATCATTAACAGCTGAATGAGTTCTTATATATAAATTATAAAGACTGGGGTGTATAAACATTACATGTTTTATTGAATCATTATAACTCCTTAAAATGATTTAATATCATTATCAGTTTTGAAAAATTACGATTTTATATGGATGATTTCAAAGACAAAACAATTATTACCTTCAATTTTTTATTACACTTCCCTGTAACAGAGTCTGTCACATCACCTAAACACCAACCTATGCTCACATGGAAATGTGGGGGCTGAAAAATGCAAAAAAAAGATATCAATGCAGAATAGACACATGACAGAAAAATACAATTTCTATGCCTTATTTTGACTTTTCTTTAATTTCATTGCACTTAATGTCATCCCTGACCTGATAAACAAGAGCTGTCAGAAGGACAGCGCGCTCGACTTTTTTAGTGCTTGCCTATAAAACAAAACTTTGACAGTTAAGGGCACACAAGACTTTAACTAGGAATTTCTAAGTACAAATCAAGAAACATTTTCACAGAGTTATCTTCTCTTGCTTACAGATAGGTCTCATGATGGCACATAAGAACTCCAACTTCCAAAGTAATATCTCAAATGGTTAAGTCAACAAGTGGACAAGAATGAAAATCTTAACTGAGTTTCTAAGTCAAAAAGGGCCATAATTCAAATAAAATCCTTAACAGAATTACCTTCTCCTGCCCATGTTTTGGGACCATGATGGTAAACAAGTATTCCAACTTTCAAATTAATATCTCAAACAGTTCAGTCAAAAAGTGGACTGGTACTAAAAACTTAACCAAGATTCTAAGTCGATAAAAGGCCTTAATTTTTAAAACAAATCCTTGACAGAGTTACCTTCTCTTGCGTACAGATGGGGGTAATGATGTGAAATAGCATTAAAAGTTTCAAAGCAATATCTCAAAGGGTTAAGGCAATAAGTGGATTTTACCCATATTCAATGTATTTTCTAAGTCAAAAAGGGGCATAATTCTGTCAAAAACCTTGACAGAGTTATGTCCTCTTGTCTGTTGATGAAGGTCGTGATGGTAAACAAGTATGGTCAGTTTCAAAGCAATACCTCCAATGGTTTTGAAATAAAGTGAGGTGGTACAAAAAACTTAACCAAGCTCAATACACTTTCTAAGTCAAAAAAGGGCCATAATTCTGTCAAAAACCTTGACAGAGTTATGTACTCTTGTCTGTAGATGGAGGTTATGATGGTGAACAAGTATGGTAAGTTTCAAAGCCATACTTGTAATACTTCTGAAATAAAGTGGGGTGGTACGAAAAACTTAACCAAGGTGTGACGCCAACGCTAACGCCGACGCCGACGCCGGGGCGAGTAGGATAGCTCCCCTTTTCATAGAAAAGTCGAGCTAAAAAAGGAATATGAAAAATAATTGTCCTCTATTTAACATGAACAAACTTTTAAAACCTAAAGCAATATTTGTGTAAAGTTTGATACCTTGTAGTATTCCTGTAATTTATATTGTTCAAAACATGTATCTATCACAGATATATAGTCGTGTAGTAAATCATCCGCCGGGGACACTGATAACACCAAGAATGATCTGTAATTAATCAAATAAATGTAGGACAAGATTTTAATGAATAAATAATGATCTGTCCCATAATGACATTTGTAAACATTAACCTCATGTTAGCGATAACATTATTGATGATTTTTCTCTTTTTTAATTATCAACATCATTCGTGTTTAAGGAATACAATTTTTAACATTAATTTTTATCAAAGTGGGGTGTTTCATCAATTACAAGAAGTAAATGAATGAACACAAAGTTAAACAGGGTGTCATTGACAAATCTGAGTGGGGCAAATAATTTTTTAACCATTTTAATATCATAAATGCTAAATATTACATATTATAAACATTCAAATGTTTATCAAGCATTACCATACAAGGCCCATTAAACAATTATTATATTTATTAAAATATTTATAAATATAAGAAGAAGATAAAATATCAGGATCTGTTTAACTGTAGATACATATAACAATTTGCAAGTTAACAAAATTTGCTAGTTTATTCATAGCATTTTTTAAAAAGATATAATCATAGTTGTTCTGCCAGTATGTTTGCAAACAGTAGAAATTAACTCAAAAACTTAAGACACAAACAACAAAATATAATGTAAAAATTGAAGTTTATTTGAATCCCTTACCTTGTTTTTTCATCATTAGTTAACACTTGAACCCCATCAATTTCACAACAGCAACTGGAAAATATGCCAAATAGAGAATGTTCTAAAATAAATGCTTCATTTGTTCTTATATGTTAAAAGGCTCTTGTCACATCAATGTTTTTTCTTTTCTTGTCTTTATAACAAACATTTAAATAAAAATTTCAGTAATTTCAGTAATAAAAAAAATTTGTACAAAATCAAACCAAAAACATGGTACATGTACCTGTCACATGAATTATTCATCTCACAGTACTGAAGATATGCATGCAGTTTAAACACATCTGACGGAATAGCCTGCGAGAGATCTTTTTAGCTTCAATACTCAATTAGTTATTAATTATTTCTTTCAACCAATTAAAACAATTTCAACCAATCAAGAAATTAGTGAAATAAAATTACCTGGCTTTGAATTTGAACAGGTCCTTATGCATTATAAGTTAAAATACTAAAATCTTGACAACAACAAAAGTGGGGTCATATGTCATCTATTATTCAGTGTTTAATTGATATCCTAAAAAAATTACCCTTCTAACTGAGAAAATTCCTTTGCCAAAGAATCACAAATATCTTGTATCCAGTGGTGACGGATAGTGACTGTTCTGGAGAAACTTATATGATAATCAGCCAATGGTTGAAATTCTAGAGGTCTCAAACACAGAAATAATTCCTGCTGCATCCGTAAGAAGTCATCATCTGTTTTATCTACAAGAACAATTTGATATTAAGTCCATCTTGTCCACATAAAAAAACTGCCTGTAATCGTGATGTGTACATATTACAGACAAAAATTAACAGAATCAACTATATAGGAAACATGGTTACTTATAGAATTTTAAAGGACATTTTGTATTACAACCTCAAGCAAGTGATATTTCACTTTAAATCTCAAAGTCATTATTCACATTTAAGGCATGCTTTTAGACTTATAAATAATCTTTTAAAATAAAAATGAAAATTTTTCAACCAAAGTATAATTCTATTCATAGCTACATGTATAAGATTAAATTTTGTTACAACATCTTGAATTTATCTTGATGATATAAGTAACAGTTTGCCAAAAATATAGTGAAGAAATGAAAATACAACGTCCATATATACATGAAAAAATCTAATTCTTGAAAAATGGATTCCAATAATAACATAGCAAATGTTTGTCTGCTAAACAGAGTGTAAGTATATATAACAGGGTACAATACTGGTTGGAGAGATAACTCCGACACTAAATCACATATTTTTTGCAATATCTTAATTATCTTCCTGTATATTTTAAATATTGAACCACCTAAACAAAGTTCAGTACAAAGACTTTACATTATACTACAAAAATTATGTATGAAATGGAATCTGGTACTTCTTAAAGTTTCTGAAAGAGGTATACAAAACATGGTCTTTTTACCCCACAACAGTAGATAAAGTCAACACTTAATTTTTTAAGTAAAAAATGACTGGAAAATCTGCATCAATAATTTATTTTTACATTTTATATGTTTTATCTAGTTTTTGTGAATATTTAAACAATTTTTCAAAAATCTTTCCCAAGCCAGTGGCCTGTGGTCAATACAATTCTAACTACCTTATTGTAATTTAGTAAAAAGAACGTTTTGAAGCAGTTCTGCCTATGAAAAGTTTAGGTTATTTGAAAAACATTAAAAAGTTTACCAAATTATAAAAAAAATCATCCCATTCTGTTCTGCTCCTATACTTTTATAACTTTTATATACTTTAGTTACAACAATTATATTTATCAAGTGTCTGGGTATCTATGCGTCAGAGTTATCTCTCCGACCAGTATGTATGTTTAATAGTTTAAATACATTTCAAAGTGAAGTAGTGGGTATTTAAATGACTGAGGTAGTTGAAATGACTAAGGTAAACAACAAAAGCAATACAGGTAACCTACATATTGTGCAAATACTAAAGTTGCCCAGTTTCCTTCCTCATGTGGAAAAGACCGCAACCTACCATCATGATGTTTAGGGTCATTGCTTACTTTTCTCTCACTGCCTGTATCATTAAACAACCCCCTTATGTCTTCTGGAACTGGTAATGCCTTTTTAACATTCCCACAGCTGAAATAAAGCGAATGGGAGGTAAATTTCAAAACCTCTGCATGTGCAACAAAATGAAAACAAACAAAATTATCTATTTAGCTTTCTATCTAATAAATAATGCATTACATCCACTCTTTTAGTGTTTTATGCTGGTGTCACAGGGTGAGAAAAATGTGCAGCCTGACCGGGACTCTAACCCGGGACCTTCGGAATACCGTACCGTGGCTCTACCGACTGAGCTATCCGGCCGCTTACACATTATCTCCCCTAAATAGTGAACAGTTCTGAACCGTGACACTGGTATGTCAGTAAAGAAATGTTGGGGCAAAGGAAGAAATACTTAATAGTAACATGTAGTATGGAGTCTGGTCTGTAGAAAGGGGATGCATGAGGCAACCCTCTTTACATGGGCCTTATTATCCTAAGTAATTTTAGCATTAACGGTTTGGACCATTTAACTTACTGTTTTCTTCGCTTGTCAAATCGATGTCGATTTGACGAGTTTAATTAGTTGGACTAAATACATAACAATGTATCTTACATATCCGAAATTATATTCACTTTGTCGCGAAATTATATAACATTACACCACTGAAACATTTAAACGTTTAATAGTTAATAAAATGTAATAACACTTACACTTTTGTTTCGCTTTGAAGAGATGAAGATGGTTCTTCAACAATGTCTTCATCAGATTCATCAGAACTTGAGTAACTTACCAAACCTGACATTTTTGTGGTCAGAGGGAAACATTTAGTTGCTCGTAGGTCAGACAGGTATATAGATTTTGCGCAAGAAAATAATGCCATTTATAAATGAGACAATTATTTCAACAAATTTGTGAAATGACAATGAAAAAGTCTTACCACAACGTCTCAATGATATGCAAATACGTTAAGAGTGAGTTACAAAGTAATAATTCTATAAGGAAGCGCGAAAAAAGTAGATCGAGTGTCTACTATGTACACTCTAGGTTAGGTATTACTGCTTAAACTCGGGAACATGTGTTCAGAAGAATAGTTTTGCAGGACTTTTGAAAGACATGGCAAACCCCTTAAATAATCTTAAACTTTATAAATCTCAATTACTACTCATACAACGGACATATACCGAAATGGCCGCAAAAATGCACGAGAAACATGTGCATGCATATATTGTTGAATTGTTTAGGACGTATACCTTAATTTTTCACTACTAAGCATACGGTCCGGAGCCATCTGATAAATAACAAAACAGACAACTGAGGCATAAGCAGACGTTAAGTGCAATTAATTTTCTCAAAATTAATATCGCAAGATAAAATGAATGATAAAGTTAACAAATGAATGACGCGTTACAGCTAGTGGTCACACATCACAAGCATTGTCATAGTTTCAGCCAACCGCGTACATGTAAGCTATATTAAAATTATTTCCAACACAATATCGTACTGTGGAATAGACTGACCAGAGAAATAGATACTACATGTATCTACATCTCTGGACTGGCTGATCAAGTGTAAACTCGTTGCTTTTTTTTTTAAAGAAATCATTAGAGTATAGAGATCTTCTTTGTCTCCGCATTATTGTATAGAACTGTTTATGAACAATATGATTTTAAAATGTGAGTTATATGAAAGACCTTGCTACGAGAGAAGACTAAGTTACATTCGTGAATAATACTGTAAATGATTATAGGTCGGACTTGTTGAATAATCTCTTTCTTAATGTCTTTGTTTTTAATCGCAATATTTAGAATATTCTCGGGTATATATACAGGAGTCTTAGCAAGAGTTATATGGTAAACATACCTTATCAGTCACTTGCTTATATCTTTAACATCTTACAATGGTACTCTCTGTTATGAAATAAGAGGAGTATTAGAATAACGTTGAAAGCTGGACAAACTTCATATTTCCCTATAAATATCATATAGATCTATAGGAAAATAAAACAAACAGAAATGTGATAATATAGCACATATAACATTATATGCTCTCCCTCTGTTCTCATGAAATAAACAAGCCGTTTACAGAAATATCTCGTATGATTTCGTATTTTTAAGATTTAATATATAAGTATTCTATATTAAACAGCATTTATTTACAATGTCTAACCCCGAGAACCTCATGTACATTTTAGAAACATAACACGTGCTTTCTCACGTTCATCTTCAAATGAAGAGTACACGTACTTCGGTAATGGCTACGGAAAATAAACAACAGAGACTTGCCGTAGAGAAATCAAACTTTGAATCCTGAAAAATCTCGAGGTTGACTTTTTTTAATTTACAAAAATGGTTCATTTTTTATTTAATCTCGTTTTGTTAATTCATACCAGGCAAAAGTTCATTAGAACTGTTTTTAATGGGCCATATTAGCATATTCTATATAAAGTCTTCATGCATATCTTATATCAGAATTTATTCACAAAATCTCGAAACATATTTTACAGATCTGCATTTATTTACTAAGTCTAGAACCACAATCCAGATCAGTATTTATTTACAAACTGTTAAAGCATAGTGCATATCAGAATTTATTTACAAAGTCTAGAAGAATATTCTATGTAAGGATTTATTTACAAATTGCAGAACCAAATTCTACATCAGCATTTTAATTTTTTATGAATAATGTCATTACTGCAAGAAAGCTTAATACACGATTATGTCATGCCGGTATACGCAGGTAATATAAGTGAGCAACTATATCATGTTTTTTCTGGGCCAAAATAAATAACGGGGAAGCACATGCCAATATTTGAGTTCCTTGAACGCTATATAGAATTACCGTGGAGGAACTTGTTCTACAGGCGAAAAAGAAGAACAACAAAAATCAACAAGAAATACACATCTTTATTTACAGCAGTACGTAAATCTATATATACAATTTCTATATTTACATCATATCATTATCACAACCTTTGACGAGCTATATAACTTCCATTATATCTACATAGCAATAATACATTTACAAATGTCTTTTCGATCACATCTGATGAAATGAAATGTTATCTTTAAGAGAAAACCCAGTTTATCCATGCATATTAAATGTAGGGACAAGAAGTCTTGCATATCTTTAAACATATAACTGTCCATATCGACATTTGTACACTTCCTATTATGTACCCAAACTTTTCAAGTATAACGTAAGAAGGGACATGGTAATTAAACTACTTTGCATATTATTGTTATCGGTTGAAAACTGTCCATAAATTCTCAAAAATGGAATTATGAGTATCTGCCACTTGTCGCTCTTGTAATTGCAGAGAATACACGACTTGTTTAGTTTTTTATGTGTCAAATATTCTTAAGCACATGGGATGAAATGAAGCATTTCCATTAAGTGTTTACAACGCCATCATGACCAGTTTTATATACAGCTTTGTATTTCAGTCCCATTCCACACTTGGTTAATACCAGCAGTCAAGCATTAATTAATGTTCGTTTATGTATGTCGTTTTAAAATTTGAAAAATGGATGTTTTCCCATAAACATTCCAGATTTAAATTTGAGAGTTAATAAATAAGCTAAATTACGTCAGTCGTGACCGAGACACTATGATTAGTTATTCCGTAAATGACTTTCTATCCGTTTCAACATCTATTTCAATATTTAATAATTAAAATGATTCTCAGGCAAATTAATGACAAAAGTATCAAAATGATCTTATGTACTCAAATCACGCTAAAATGACATTTTATAAAGTCCCAGCATGAATTTCTGTATAAATTCTATATAGCGTAAAAATATCTTTATATATTGAACATAATTTAGATGCCGACAGAACCACCGAGTAGTTTTAAAACATGTCATGTGACTTAAACAAACCCGGAAAGTTACAATAACAGATATTGGGGATATTGCATGATTGAAACAAGTCTAAGTCATTCATTTGACATGTTCTTTAACGTTCCAGAGTTCTTTGAAATCTTAACGCTCTAACCTGGCCCGCGTGGGTGAAGTTAGAAAACCACCATTTTATTCTTTATAAGGAGAAACGTTTTGTTCCTGTGACTGCCTTGTGTATTTATTTTCAGGATATTAACAGAATAATGAAAGAAAAATTCAAAACGAAGAAATGAAAATTTTGCCTGTATCTCCCTTTAATTGAAATAAATATTCATAAACGAACCAAGTTATTCTTTAAACAGAAGTTTTTTTGTGTATGTTGAACAATTCTTTTAATAAAATAACTATTAACAATAACAATATCTAACAATTAAGCCGATTGACACGACATTACATACGTTTTTTTCTATTTTTACAAATGCATACAGTGTGTTTGTATAACTAATAATTGAGCCGCGTCATGACAAAACCAACATAATGGGTTTGCGACCAGCATGGATCCAGATCAGCCTGCGCATCCGCGCATTCTGATCAGGATCCATGATATTCGCTGTCCGTTTCTCTACTTGTAATAGAGTTGGTAAGCGAACAGCATGGATCCTGATCAGACTGCGCGGATGCGCAGGCTGGTCTAGATCCATGCTGATCGCAAACCCATTATGTTGGTTTTGTCATGACGCGGCTTATATACTTCTATACAGTTCTATGATTTAAATCCTAAAATATATTTCTCGAACCAATTAGATTCTTTTTCCTTAATGTTTCTTTCTTCTCTGAGTTCGTCACTTGGAAAGAAAGCTGGGATTTCTTCTTTCCATTGTACAATATTAAAATATTTGAATAAAGCAACACCTGGAATCCACAAAGTTGACATGAGGATAAGTAAAGCAGCGAGAACCTGACACCACCAAGGCCACTGAACTAATATCGTTGTTCCCTATAAATATAAATTTATATATCAGTAATGAAAATATGTGTGGAAAGTACAAGTAAACGTACATATCTAGCTCTACGTATTTATATAATCTTTTCTCATTGATCACAAAAGAAAATAATATATACTTGAATAATTACTGACAAATACATATATTATTTTGTATTCACGTAAGATAAGTAGTCAAAATAAGCACCCGTGACTGCTACAACCAACGACATTTACATCATTTAGGAAATAAAAAAAAATGTGTGATTCGTTGTATGGTTAAGTTATGGTTCAGTGCGGTTGATGCTGATATTTAAGTACTTTTTGATTTCATAACTGGATTTATTCTAAACAAATTCAAAGCTTAAAATCTGATTAGGGGTTCATCCCTAAGAAATTGCCCTATCAATTTTAAACAATCAGCTAAAAAGATATCTTAAGTCATAGCGTATATGATCTATTTCTATGATTGTAACATGGCCAAACAAAATGATACCTTTAATGAATCCCATATTTCATAAGGTGTGCCTTTATTTACAATTTCTACCAAGCTTGCTGCCAGAATTCCCATCATTGCTAGAGGTCCCACATATCTCCAACATATCAGCCAGAAATAATGTGGTCTGTGGCCGACCATCATCTCTATGTCATCACTAAATCTAAATTATGCCAGTTATATATTGGTATCATAGTCATATATCGAAATATATATCACGCCCATATGTCATTGTGATATTGATTATACCGATAACCAATTTGGTAGTATAGGATAGCATTAATAGTTTTTGATTTTCTCAATATGACAATTTAATTAGATTGAAAACAACATTTAACACATCAGACCACTCAATCTAATATTTCATTCTCTGAATCAGTCAAGCTAATAAATATCTAAACATGACAAATTATCGATCGTACAAATAACGAAAATGAAAGATAGCACTAAAACTTAAGATAATATATATGTCAGAGAACTAAATTTCATTAAAAAAACAATAATTATGATGTATTTGTGTTTTGCTGAGTAAATTCATGTACTTAGACCATGCATGTATTTATCCGTAACTTCTCTGCATTGTTGTTGTTTTTTTTAAAGAAATATTTGCTTACAATAAGTCTTTCTAGAATTAAATGTCAAGCCTCTTTAAGAGTATAAAACAGTTAGTAACGGACGCAGTTTCTCATTTTGTTATTGTAAGAAAAGTAATCTTAGATATACAAATCCACTAATATACGTACTGTTTAAGACCATACTTGTACGATATAGCCACACATTCCATGAAGGCTATGACTAACAGTGGTATGTTAGCACAGTACGAGTCATACAGATCAAAGACATACGGGCCCGTTGTAGAAGCAAACGCTAGTGATACGAGAAACGATACCAAACATGTGATACCTACAAAACAACAAGTGGTTATAACTAATTATTTATACATATAATTATTAGTTTATGCAGCAATTATGTAGAGACTGTTTTTGAACGATCTGTGTTTTATATTGTACAGAACTTCAATTGTTCAAGTTCAAACAAAATATTGCAAAAATCTCATGAAAATAAGAATGTAATAATCAAAAGTACAGGTCGTGTTTGAACAAATATCAAGAACATGTAAAGTATTAAGATTATATTTTATACACAGTTAATCAAAATATCAAGCAAAGCAAAACGATAGTCCATTAATGGGATAAAGTATTATGTGACTTAAATGGTCTCCAAAAGTGGTGGAACAACTAAACCAACTTACACAAATGACATTAGTAATAAAAGTGATTTAAGTATTATAATTATGTATAATAATCTAAACGATTTCCATGAAGCATACCAACTAGAATTTCCTTTCTCAAACCCGGAAACATCATCATATCGTTGATAGATGTCAGGGCACCTTCCAAAGTACCAAACATGCTGTCTAGTCCTAGTGTCAGCAACATCAGAAAGAACAAAACTGACCAGAGTTGTGCGATGGGAAACTGATTTATTGCTTCCGTAAAAACAATGAAAGCAAGTCCCGTTCCTGACGCTGACTGAAATTAAATATGACAAACATTAAAAAAAAAACATTTATATATCTAATAGTAAAACTCAGACGAAAAAATACAACATATTCGTACACGTATAAGAACTATACGCATGCCCATTTACTGATTTATCTGTCTATAGTACATGCAATACTGTTTACAGTATTCCGCGAAAGACTGTATTCTTTAATCAGATTCTAGATACTGACTTTATTCGAAATGAATATGATGCGCCATATAAGGGCCATGTTTGACCATTGAATATATAAAACAAAACAAAGCAAAGGCAATTCCAGTTCTATGAATTTGAGTTGAAATGTATTTACAACAAATCTCCAGACTCATTAGGACATTGGATCGATCACAACATGTGTTGTTACAGACAGTAGCAAAGCATTAAACAAATCATTTGAAGATTTTTTTCGTAAATACTTATGAATTATTGTCGGCAAAATCAAAACATTTTACATACAAAACAAACACATACTAAAAAACTTTTAGCTTTAAGCATATTCTTGTTTTGTTTATTTACGATATGGAAGAACATATTAAATATCAATTAGCATACGAAACGAGAAAACAGCAAACATTAACCAATATTTATTGGTCTTCCATGGACAACAAAGCACTTGATTTAGGAAGAAATGAAACAGACGGAAATATATTTATGAGCAAGAAAATCCATACAATGTAACAAAAAACATGTTTACAAACATGTTTTCAAAAAAAAAAAAAAAAAAAAAATTAGCAATAAAACGGTTTACATGAGAATTGATTTATTATTCATAAAAAGTAGGCAAACGTTGAAAAACATGTCAGAAAATCTGGAATATAAATTTAAGTATCTATAAAATTACTTTTTTATTATGGATTATTCTAATTTTGATAATACCTCAAGAAATATTCAACCAATCATTTGGATTTATACGCGGATTTGACCTTGGCAAAATTGAAAATTGTTGAAGACTAAGTTTGATTGATCGAATTTGTAAATGGACGGTAAATGCAAACTACCGTTCATGCTTTCTAGCTCAGGCTTTAGCAAAACCCTACATTAAACAAAAACTGGCACTTAAGTAAAACATACCCCTTCTAGAAACTCTTTAAAATCACAAGAAGTATTTCCAGTTCCTGCAGTTTGACCTGCATGCAGCGTCTGGTTCTCAGAATGTTTTGACACGCATTCTTCAAAAGCCATTGTTGCTTTAAAACCTAGAGTCAAGAAAAGAATCACTTAACATAAACATATTTCTTCGTTCAATTCAACATGAGATTTTTTTAAACGCACCACTTCTTTACGTGTCAATTGCTACTACATAATGTAAGATCTCACATGCACTTCAATGCATATTTAGATATAGCCCGAGATGTTCGTGTGTTTAGAAGCATGTAGTAGGTGAACTGCGAAATACGTAAATTTGCACGTACAATTGACAGAATTTCGTTCACATGATGTTTATATGACAGTTTCTCGAAATTAAAACATGAATCATATGGATAATCAAATATGACCGAAACATTTTCATGTTATATCAACATTTTCGAATGGTAATATGATCTCACCAAGTATAGAGAAGACAACAACAGCTGTAAATATAGATGTGAAAAAATCCGTCACAGAAACAATCAAAGCTTCTTTCACAAAGTTACTCCTGACTGGATTGTACGACGACAAGGCGATGAGACACCCGAACGCTAGACCAAACGAGTAGAAAATCTGGGTAGCGGCATCTAACCACACAGCCGGATCTGCCAAACGACTCCACTATATAAGTAAAAATATATAATGATAATATTTTACGACATCACTTCCTTGCCCCCCCCACAATTATAACTATCTATATGATTAAAATATATGATTTCCGTTTAAGTAAATTGTGTCTAAACAACTAGTGTTTATAGCTTGAAAGACTCGATATGTAATAAAGACTTCTGATAAAAACCTAAATGACTTTCCATCTTAAATGTCTTCGTCTATTAACATCAAATGCTTTTATTATAATTTGAATACTTCAGATTTTAGACAAAAACATTAGGCAATACCTTTTGGTCTACTCTGTTACTATTTTAAGACTCCTTTTTTTAAATCGCAGTTTAACGTCAGTGAGGCAACTTGCATTAGAATATAATATACCGGTACGAAATTTCCAACACAATGATTGCGTAGACTTAATATTCAATCAGGTGGGGTAGTGAAAAAAGCAGTGATTCGGGGAAGAAAGCCTATGATAATGATTAACAATAATAAACAAGGAAGAGCCTCAAACAAACACACGTTTCTAGCGAAACAGGTCCGTGCATGTTTTCTAGGTGCTTTAGTTACAGGAACTTCCGGTCTATTTCTACGTGCAGATAAGTCTTGTAACTTGTATACAATTGGAATCACTTACCTCCGGTATAAAAAGGTACTCTAAACCTTTTTCAAACCCTGGAAGCGTCACACCACGAAAAAAGAATATTACCAAAACGAAATAAGGGAATGTGGCTGTTACATAGACTACCTGTAAAATGTTTAAAAACAAGTTTTAGCATCTTAATACAAATCTGTAACAGGAGCAATTGATTGAAAAAAAGTAAAAAAAAAAGTAAAAAACAATTCAATTTTATTTTCAGACATTTTGAGGGGTCAAACCCATGCTTTTCAAGGTATAAAACAAGATGATGGAATAGTCTTAATGGATTTGATGATATCACAAATCATTTTGTAATAGCATTTTTGTATCTATAAGTATGATATAAATGAGAATTTAGCATAGGAAATTATTAATGCGCTATTGATCCAAATTTATATAATTATTATTCCACAAAACCGATTCGTTTTGAAGTTCAGAATCATCAAGCAATCTAACATTATTATTGAATCAATTTCATTTTATTAATTGGTAAAGTTCAGTAACGCGAAATTATCAAGCTGTGATTTCAATGTATCATTACATGCTATAAATATCAAAAGCATATTGCCATTGCAATCGTTTAATCTAAATTATATGTCATAAGGTTATCTTATGTAATATACGGTTTCTGTCATACAAGGACTAAGCATTTCAGATGATGTAAATTTTGTATTTTTTATATTGTTTTTTTTATTTGCTGTGAATTATTTTGCGTATTGATAACCAATAATAAAGGAGAAAGATTTACCTTTCCAGAGCTTTTAATCCCCTTTATCATACAAAGATAGACAAGAATCCATGAAGCCAGTAAGGCAGCTGCTAGTTTCAGATTGAATCCAGGTGTTGATTCTATATCAGGTGATATTTGTAACGTTTCACGGTACCAGAAATAGGTTGTAGGGCCGCTTCTCTTGGGAATAAGAAAATACTTCAAATATGGTAGTTTTCATTTTTAAATTATCAGAAATCGTTTTAAATATTATGGTTATTTTCATTTACAATTCTACCTGCAACACTAGCATTTGAAACATGTCAAAGTATTATCTGGCTACACTTAAATTCTTAACGTCACCACTAATAATCAATACGAGTATGTAACAAAATATGGTAAAACAGAACTGATTCTACTAACTGGCCTAAACAATATTTGAAAGATTAATGAATATATTGTTGGGCAAACAAGGATATCTAAATAATAAACCTATTATTAAATAAACGACTATACCTGACATTCGTCGTCGACAACTGTAATATTTCCATGCTGAACAGACGGACACGTTGACCATGGTAACGGGTCCTGGAAACTTTGGACAAGGTACAATATACACCAAGCCATTATTGTGTTATAATACAACGCAACATTGAAGGACACGGCAGCTGATGCCAAACCAATTCCACCCAAGTACGGTGATACCTGCAAAAAGTCATCCAGGATCATGGAATGAAAGCTCGTCAGTCACATCATTCCATAACATTTTTTGAATCGTTTTCTTTTCATACACATTCTAACAAGAGTATCGACAAAATATATGAGGTAACAATTTTTAAAAATTAAACTTTATTTATTCACGCTTTCTATAAATAAAACGCTTCATTACCATTGTATTATTTTGTTATGAGTTAATGGCAAACATTTTGATTATGCATTTTCTTTTTAAGCAGGACATTTTATATAGATGAGATAGTTAATTTTGTAAGTGAAGTGACAAATTGACATCAGTTGAACCTCACTTTGACTTCAGACAATCAAATTGGTTCTCACTTTGAAAATGATAACAGTTTGATAATATTTTTGATAGAAGGACATTTATACCGGTATATGAATTGGTAATTAATTTCAATAGTGAAGAACCTACTTTAATAAAAAAAAACCCTATATACATGAGAGTTTGTTAAACGATCGAGGAAACATTTTCGATTTTGCCGTTTTGGGCAATTCTTTAAGGCTTTCAATTTCTCTATATCATTTGAAATAAAAGATGTGGAAAAGGTTCAATTGAACAGAAGACGATTAATTAGACCTTAAAATATGTACGACTACAAACAATAAAGTAATACTTTGAGATAACATATTTGATTCGTATTGCGCAATTAAGAAGTTCATTTGTGATTAATCTGAAAAATAGAAGGATGCAGTTAGTAAGATTCTAAAAATGAAAACAACAAAACTAATACCATTAGCGAATTGACATTCAAGGCATGTATGCATATCGTTATTCAAAAAATACCGGGGGATTAATAATCAAGAGGAAATCCTTTAAATGCCATTTTAATGACAGCTTATCTTCCACATTTTATTTCTGTACCTTTTTTTATTAATACGTTAATTTGCATTTTTGGATTTAAAAAAAAAGTTTTTTTTAAAGCTTGTTTTTCTTAAACGTCATGTTTTACCAAAATAATTTTATTACAAAATAATTTTGATAAAATGGAATAAAACCTGTAAGTGCACACCCTTTACCGAAATACAATTTGTAACCTGTTTGCGCAACCCTCCAAACATTGGGACTAAAGTCACTGTTAAATCCTACTGCCAAACATTGTGGACCTGAACTTATTTCCAGACAGAATTAATAGAAAAAAAGAGAAAACGGAATATGTAAAGAGTGCCTAAAACGAAAGTATGGAACTATTGCACGATCGGTTTTATTTAGCTTGCCCATGACGGTACATGTAATGGTAAGTGCAACCTGCCATCCACGCCCCCTCCCCTTAGCAACGGCTTAAGCAGGACTCAACATGGTGAACTTTTGAAGCTTTGACTGGACTGTATGATTGGATGTACAACTTATTATTGGATTTGAAGAAAATTTCGCCAATCTTTCTCGATATAAAAGATTTATCAATAATGTCGGGCCTGCAGAATTGTTTTGATTTAGCAGTGTTGGGCGCATCCTTAAAGGTTACCATTTTGACTATTTTCTTGTCATTTCAACGTTGTTGTTTTGCCCTCAGGCGACCGGATAACGAATCTAAGATGATATACTTGCAACCCAATAATATATTTCACTACATCATTCCGGTTGCGTATGTTCTGTTTTTGTTATGTAAATATATATTTTTCTTGTTATGTAGTTTGAGCAATTATACTTGTCAATGTTTTTAACTGTGCGTATTTAAATTTGAAATAACTATATATCTTTTGACATGTAACGGATGATAACCAAACGAGTATAGTTATCTAATAGACAAATTAAAAAAAACATGGTGTCAGAATTTTAAAGTCCATAAGTAACAGAACTTGTTGCATGTAATTCATATGATTTTTAATGTGAGTAAGCGATAACATTTGTGTCATAGGTGAAAGTATAAATATTTGTTTTGAAAATGGCTCTCCTCTTAAGTAAATCCAGAGCCTTAATACTGACCAATAATGGTGTCATCTAAAGTGGTGTTATTAAGCTCTTATAATACAAGAACCAATGTAATCAATTAAAGAGTGACTATTTTAATGTTTTCATTTATCTTCGAATAAAGAAATTAATTGAATTACGTATTCATATTAAAACTAGATAAACTGACTTCATATATTTCATTTTGCCATATCAGCTTGGTCAATATTAAAGGAATAGCTGTTAAAGTAAGAAGAAAAAATGTTATTCAAGTCAGCGCATCTATTTCAACATGTAATTTTGTGATATCCATTTTTTTCAACGTAAAATTCTATTGACTTACTTAACTGATGTACAATAAACGTGAATTAAATCTCTGGAAACTCATTTGGTATCAATCATTTTCAGAGAACGATTTACAACAAAGTTTAATTGATTGGAGAATGATCTTGTAAAGCAAATACATACAATTACATAAATTGTTTTTAAAAATCTTATTACATGTACTCATTTTGTATATTCAAGGATTTACTGGGAAAATTTCTTCCGAAAATGTCAGGAAAAGGACAATGATTGACTTTTCTCAAGCCTCATTAATACAAACTCTTTACTTAATTAAAAGACGACACAAAAACAAATATTTTACATTCTAAATAAATATGTGTTAAAACATGACTATTCTTAATAAAGCATAGCTGTAGTTATCTGCGAAATCGTTATGTAGTAAATATCAATTTTGACTCAAAATGGCGGGAAATTGATTGTTTACTTTGAAACGCGTTAGAGTCAACAAATCAACAAGAAATAAAGCTGTATTGCATATTTGTAATCAAGCACGCAACTTAAATGTGTTGACAATCTATAATAGACTGTAAGAAGTTTTGACATTTCATCGATAAGACACTCTCCAATCATCTTTGCTAAAGTCAGGAAATAGCTAATTTAATTGCTTTATGTAAATCAGCATGTACAGGCACGCACGTTTAACTCACAACGAGTGAAAAATGTCCATCGGTAAAAATGTTGTGAGCAACTTCCGTTCCTCGTTGTGAGCACCCATCTTTGATGTGTGACACGATAAACAAGGTGAGTTTTTCATAATTTTGAAGATTACAGACATTTATGTAAAAATATCGAAATGCAGTTAGCTAGCGATGTGTTTTCCGAGTATGCACATGTAAAGATATTGCCTGTTGGTGGACAATTTGATGGAAATACCGTGCGACGCAGTCACTCGGGGTAGCTGGAAAACTGGAGACAACTTCTCTTTGGACCTAATTTAACATTGAAAACGTCGATTCTGGTGACGTTTTGTGCATTCTAACATAAAACAGATGCCCACAAGTCTTCAGCGTAAATTATTATCTGAAAGCCTTCATAAAAACGAAGATATACCCTTTTTTGCTTTAATCCTCGTTGTGAGCACCATAACCTCGTTGTGAGCAAGACAATCGCAGTGCGTGTATGGTATTAATATGTAATTCAGATGGTGAAAACATAATTTTCAATCTACCACAGCAATTAAAACGTTTTTGCACAGCAGCATTTCTTTGCAAGACGTTGTGCATACCCCAAAGGGAGGCATATTAGTTTTGAACTGTCCGTCTGTCATTCCGTCAATCTGTCCGAAAACTTTAACATTGGCCATAACTTCCTTATTAGTAAACGGATTTGATTCATATTTGAACACAACATCCCTTAGCACCTTCCTACGGAACTGTATTTTTTACCTTGACCCCTGAATGGCCTTTACCTTGAAGGTCAAATTGTCCAAAAACATTTAGGACTGGCCATAATGTCCTGGCATAATGTTTAGGCACAACACATCTTTGGACAAGGCCTTTCAACTATCCTATATTCTTTTGACCCTGACCCCTGAATGACCTTCACCTTGAAGGTCAAATTGTCCAAAAACTTCAAAATTGGTCATGACTTCCTTATTAGTATACGGACTCTACTCATATTTTGAAACAACACCCCTTTAGGCAAGACCTTCAAACTGATCTGTATTTTTTTACCTTGTACCGTGAATGACCTTCTAGAACATCCAAAATCTTTAACATTGGTCCTAACTTCTTTATAAGTAAGTGGAATTAATTCATATTTGGACACAATGCCCCTTTGGACAAGACCTTCCAACTGACCTATATTTATTTCACCTTGACCTTGAATTACCTTCACATTGAAGATCTAATTGTCCAAAAACAAATAATCTATCTGGTCCATAAATTAAAGGACAAAGCACCACTTCAGGGGCATTGTCAACTTACCGTGATAGTTTTTGTTTTACATAACTTGGTCAGTCTTCAGCTCAGGATAAACACATGTATGTGTGTATCACACAGATTGTGAAATTGTTGAAATATTCATAAACAACCCGTGATGTTCACTTGTGCCACACTAGAGTATACGAAATAAATTTAAAATACCTTATTTACCTCCACTGATTAGTTCTTCTGTTAATCTGATGACTTGTGAATATGAAGAATAATTTTCAAAAAAGAAAAAGAAGAACTATTGCAAAGAAAAACTATTGTACAAAAACTTTTTGATTGCTTTTGGTAGATTGAAAATTGTATTCTTGCCATTTGAATAACATATTAAAACCAGACAAGCACTGCGCTTGTCTTGCTCACAACGAGGTTATGGTGCTCACAACGAGGATTAAAGCAAAAAAGAGTATATCTTCGTTTCTACGAAGACTTTCAGTTAATAATTTACGCTGAAGACTTGTGGGCATCTGTTTTATGTTAGAATGCACAAAACGTCACCAGAATCGACGTTTTCAATGTTAAATTAGGTCCAAAGAGAAGTTGTCTCCAGTTTTCCAGCTACCCCGAGTGACTGCGTCGCACGGTATTTCCATCAAATTGTCCACCAACAGGCAATATCTTTACATGTGCATACTCGGAAAACACATCGCTAGCTAACTGCATTCCGATATTTTTACATAAATGTCTGTAATCTTCAAAAATTATGAAAAACTCACCTTGTTTATCGTGTCACTCGTCATAGATGGGTGCTCACAACGAGGAACGGAAGTTGCTCACAACATTTTTACCGATGGACATTTTTCACTCGT